TTTTTTTTTTTTTTTTTTTTTTTTTTTTTTTTTTTTTTTTTTTTTTTTTTTTTTTTTTTTTTTTTTTTTTTTTTTTTTTTTTTTTTTTTTTTCAATTTCTCTCTCTTTCGCTTCGGACGTCTACCATTCTATTTCACATCCTATCACATATTCAAGCATATCCAACCTCAACCCACCTCTTAACTGAACCCCTCACGCATGTCTCTGCCCTCACCACTTAGTGAACCACACCAACGCATAAACCAACGCAAAGTTCGAACAGCAAAGCCCACAAACACTCCAGCACTGCCCATACGAATAATCTAGCGTGTCTAGATACTCATCGCCCACCGAATAGGAAAGTATGAGTAATCTGCCGTCGCATTCATCTCGGGCCGTAAAAGTGGCCCACTTGCGGAACCAGATGTCCTGGAGATCAGCGCAGGACGTAGATATAATCCAGGAAAGAAGGAGCAGGACGATCATCTGGTTTTGTATACCTTAGAGAATGGACCCGGCGTGGAAGAAACTGAGGACTATGAAAATGGAGACGAAGAGGGACTTGGCCATTTTACTGAAGATGTACATCCCGTCCCGCCAGACAGAGGCCCAGTTGCGCTTGGTTACTGCGATGGTGTGGACCCAGAGGGATAGAGCATATTTAGTCTGCAAGAAGAACTCCGAAGACTGTAAAGAAATAAGATTGATCTATCTCCCTGCTGGTGATAGTGGAGTTTAGCTGCGAGATAATTGCTTCCAGAGCTTGGTATTCAAGGGCGTCATACCATATATTCAGCAAGTCCAGCAAGCTTTTGTTCGTGGACGTGACAGTAGAGAGGATGAATTCGGCGGGGTTTATGCTGCTTCCAATAATGGCACCGTAACAACCGAAATACTCGACAACTTCTGAGGACTTTTCACCCGTATCGCCAAAGTATACGGTCCCTCCTCCTGGAGCGAGGAGCAAAACATGGTCGAACATATCAAGAATCACACCGGACGGCGGATGGATTGTGCACACAACGGGAGTACCTTCAGCCGCGATGCGACGTACTAAGAGAACTACAACTTAACAAGCTTTGCTTAACAACTTTTCCGTGATGATTTTGGTTACGTTCAGCTATTGAAGCCCCAAATCCTGTTATCTAATTGGCAAGCCACGATAATTTGTTGATCGATCACTCTGTTGGAGGCGTATCTGGCCGGGTTGCTAGACTCTGGTTAGTAAGGAGTCCATTGTGGGGTGAATCGCCCTGCAGGAATGGCAAGGCTGGCATATCAATCCTGCCACCACTGCTCCCCCTGATATGACCTGGGCAGAAAGCCTCTGGCCACACAACCTGTATACAATAAACAAATCGAGTACCACAGTAATACCTACCACTTCCGCGTGAGCACTATGTATCAAAAATTCTAGAGATGACAGAGAATTGCTGAGATTGCGGATCTTGCGGCCCGCGTGCGAAGTACAATTCCTGACAGCATCACGATGCGAGAGCGGCATAGAAACATCTTGTACATAGCAGCATAGAATTATTCGAAACTGCAGCTCCTTTCCCCTATCCCAACCCTCCACATTGGTGTAGAAGGGCCAAATACGACGATGACACCCAGTATCCCCTATTTTTGCAAGACTAGTCGGTCCCCACGCCCCTTGGGCATTACTATATACACAGTCGAGCTATCTGCAAAGGGGGAGATTCTGATCAACTCTTAGCTAGTTCGAGAAGTTCGCCCAGATCTGTTGTAACCTGGAAGCGAATGGTGCCACCCATGACATTGGACGTGCGTCGCTCGTTCTCATTCTTTTCTTTCCTTGAATACATTCTCACCATCAATCAAATGCCAGAGCTGCTTCCAGTTTCAGAAGGCTATACATTACGTGCTAATGCAGCTCTCAAAGTACTTACTCCTGATGGCCTGCCCGTGAAGATTTGGCCTATCACCTACGCAGCCGTGGGCTCGGTGTAGTTTGGATATATATCACTCTTGCGACGATCCTCAACACTTTCGTCCATTCAATCGCTTTCGACTAATACTCGCAGGTCTTATTTATGGCTTCGGTTTTGCGGGTTGCCTTTCCCCGAGCGCGGGGTTCCTCGCCCGAGGAAATGGCGCTTCTACTTGACTCTAGCGGCTGTCCTAGTAGCCGAGGAGACCCCGGTAGCAGGTGCGAAGAGGCTAATGAAATAGATGAGAAATACCGGTCATGGTCTGGTAGAATACTGCCGGTCAGCTTCGATTTTCCGGTGAGTTTAGAAGTAAAGTTACGTCCCCTGCGGAACTGCATCCGAGAAGGTGGATTGATCAGCACCAAGCCTTCCCTTTTATCTCGAAATCGTCGTTCGCTTACTTGATTGCCTGACCGACCCGAAATTACTAACACCAGTGCTTTCCTTTACTATACTCTTCGTAAAACCGCTATTAAAAAACAGGTCGCCTAAGGGACTTTAGGATGAGCGATACGTTGACTCGGGGGAATGCGAGAGTAAAAGGGCTCAACCAAATTGACTTATATGAGCTACAGTCGCGAAGGAAGCATAGAAAAGCAAGATCATCAGAGTGCGCACACAATGCTCATCAATTAGATGCGGGCAGTTCATTGGAACATGTCAACCCGCTGCGGGGTTTGACAAGCACGCAAGAATCACTGCCGCTTGCGAGAGAGGGCTTGGCCTTTCCTAGAGGCGTATAAAGTTCCATCTCAACTCCCCTCTCCCGCACTTTTTGACCATCTCACTGTCTGCGGCAGATATAGACTTACTTCAACCTGAATTCCGGGAATTCATTATACAGTGCATCGACTTCACCTAAGGTTAATGTACCCATCCTTGAAGATGCTGAGAAGATCTGAGACTGATCAATGTGCTCTCAGCACGCATCATGCGCTCACCCTGGCTTATTGCAGCCACTGCAATGCTGCTTCCTTTGGTGGCAGCTGACTGGCAGTTTAAATCGCGCCCCGACTTGGCACCGCCCAAGTTGAACATTACTATCCCTGCAGCCGCGGATGTGGAGAAGGGATACCTCTTTGTTGCTCCTTTTGCTGGTATCGCAGATGGCCCCGGAGAGATGCACGGCCCTCGCCAGGCTTCTCCTTACATCTTTCGGGATGATGGTGAGCTGGTCTGGTCTGGCTACTCCTACTACTCCATCTGGGCTACGAACTTTCAGAAAGCCCGATGGAAGGGCAAGGACGTCCTCTTCTGCTTTGAGGGTGATCATAACCCGGCTTATGGGCATGGTCACGGCCATGTCACAATCTTGGATCAGCACTACGAGACAATTCGTGAGCTGCGTGCTGGTAACCATAAGATTATGGACAAGCATGAGTTCCACGTCATCAATGAGGAGACGGCATTGATACAGATTTACCAGCCTGTGCCAATGGACCTCACTCCCTGGGGAGCCAGTGCGGAGCAACAGTGGATCGTGGATGCTATTATCCAAGGTAAGGATTTTATTCACATGAGAAGTATAAAGCTAACTGTATCGGCAGAGCTTGACATTGCAACTGGTGATGTTCTGTTTGAGTGGTCCAGCTTGGATCATGTCCTTCCCGACGGTGGGTCTTCCTTTTCCACAGCACCCGCATGCAACCAACTAAACTCTCACAGAGGCAATCCTCCCCATAAATCCTGGCCAGGCTGGGGCAGGCTATAATTCTTCAGATGCTTGGGACTACTTCCACATCAACTCCGTTGACAAAGACACGGACGGTAACTACCTGATCTCCGCCCGCGATGCCTGCGCCGTGCACAAAATCAACGGCAGCACCGGTGAGATCATCTGGCGCCTGGGAGGAGTCAAGTCAGACTTCGAACTAGGACCCAACGTCAAGTTCTGCTTCCAACATCACGCTCGGTTTGTTTCCAAAGACGGTGGCTCTGAGGTCATATCCTTGTATGACAACTCCGCCCACGGCACCGAGAACGGTCGCGGCCACGAAGTCCACACCCACCCATTTTCACAAGGCAAGATTATCAAAGTCAACACTGCTACCTGGAAAGCAACCATTGTCCAAGCCTTCCAGCCACCCGATGGTCTATTGTCCAAGTCTCAAGGAGGCACCCAATTGCTACCCAACGGCAACGTCCTCGTGAACTGGGGCTCAGAGGGTGCATTGACTGAATTTCGCCCTGACGGCACTCCAATCCTACACGCCTACATGGACTCGGGTTTTCTGGGTGTGGGCGTCGAGAATTACCGTGCTTTCCGGTATAACTGGACCGGACTTCCTAATGAGACGCCAGCCATCGTATCATTGCAGAACGATGAAGGTACAGCCCTGTATGTCTCCTGGAACGGTGACACTGAGACGAAGTTCTGGCGCTTTTATAGCGTGGTTGACGAGTACGGCTCGCGCGAGTTCTTGGGTGATGCGAAGCGAACTGGATTCGAGACTGCGCTGTCGCTTCCAGGTCGTATTATTCATGCTGTGTCTGCGGAAGCTATTGATTCCAGGGGAAGGGTTCTGACGACTACTGGTTCAGTGAGAACTAAGGCTGAAGTGCTACCTCCTAAGGCAGCTTCGGTTGGACAACACGAGCACGGGGCCGCGCAATCCCAAATCCAAATTGGAGCAACTAGTCATTGGGAGGAGTATATGATCTTGAAGTTGGATCGTTTCTATCGCGGATAAGGGTATGCAAAGCACTGGTTGGAGTCCTGCCGTGAAGGTCAAGCGTCGTGCGGGAGGTGCCTGTTCGTCCGACCCATGGTACCTAGTGGCAAGTGCTTTTAGTGGCAGCGTTGGAGCGGGAGACTCTATTTGAGGGTAATCTTTATGATATTAGCCTAGGAGATAGCAGTATAAGTTGTTGGTGATGATGGGTTCTCTAAGTGTAGTCCATAAACGCTCCACACTTGCACTCTGTTGTAACTCTGCCACGCTATGTATTATCCCACCCGCGACAATATCTTTCTATCCCAAACCACTTCTTACTTCTACAGCTCCTGACTAAAATCATACTCATTTCCGAATCCCCGATTCAAGTACCGCGCCAACGCCTCCTCCTCGGACACCCAATCAACCGGAACCTCCAACCCAGTTTCCCTCTCAACCATGGGCCTCAATTCCTCCGCAAGTTCCAACCTCATCCTATTCCGATACCACGGCGCAAAATGAACTACACGACAACGTTAGTCAACGCCAGCCTACCACAACCACCAAATCCCAAAGGAAAGAGGACTACTCACTCATCGCCAACATAACCCTCACATCCCCCGTCCAATTCCCCATGCCCGCATGCCAAAGCCTCAAATCCCGAATGACTAATGACCCCTTCGGCACAACAGGCTGACAGGGCAGTCTCACAGCACGACGTTTCTCCAACTCGTGCATCTTAATCCGTCCACTAGCGCGATCCGCGCCATGCGCTCCCTCTTGCACATGCAGACCTGAGTCCGCGTGCGTGCCGAGCCAAATTTCCGTGGATCCATTCTCAGGCGTCATAGTAACCAGAGGGACGTTGATAACGTAGGCGAATGGATGCGAGGGATGATCGAAATCCGCGTCGGTGTGTACGGGCTGCGAAGTGGGGGGACAGGTACTGGTTGGTGGCATGGCGGTGTTACCTGAGCAGAAGGTCCATTTAGGACGGGGGCCTAGGGCTGTTGAGGTGATTTGGATGGCGATTGGATCTGTGGTTGATTATTCTGGTACTTGAGTGGTGGTGGAAACCGTGGCTTGGGGGGATAATCACGTACTCAGGAAGATATCTTTGGAGAAGTATCCTCTTGTTGGGGGTGGGTCTTGCTGGATGTTTCCTGGGTTGTAGTTGTAAGGGCTGTTTTCGTTTCTGGCTTGCAGGGTGTAGGCGTCTTGGATCATTTTTGCGTTAAGCTGGTCGAGGGGGTCGTGGGGGATGGCGTTTTCGACTATGACTAGACCGTCGTGGAAGAGGGAGTGGAGTGGATGGCTGTTTCGAGGTTTTGTGGCGTGAGTTGCTTATTTGATAGTTCGGTCTTTGATGGCTTTATGGCATGTGGATGGGATAATTGCTTGCGATCATGGTAGTATTTCTGGATTGGGGTTTGTAGTAATGATGTAGGGGTGAGTTGTGGGGTCCGACGAGCGATACGAAGTGGGAATTGGTACATGACGCCGGATTTATATATTGCGGGTGAGGTTTCACCTGAGCGTTCATGTAAGGTGGTTTCAAACTGAAATATAAATAGTAGCTGATATTAGAACTTGACTATGAGACAGAAGACCTGTTGGATATGTCAACGAAGGTAAGGTCGTGAGAATATCCCCGAGTCAAATAAGATGTGCAGTGAAGGTAAGGTGGCTCTCATAATACAAGACAAAGGGCGAGAGAGGAGGCCGTAGTAGGGGGAAATGTAACCATACATATGTAGAGGTAAAGCTCCTGCCCAATCTAAGGCCTTGATCGTTAAAGATTTACAATATCTGGCGAAAGAAACATGAACAGGTTCGAGACGAGTGCGGATGAGCTCGATCACCACCTGGGTAGGTTAGTGGGTTACATTGCATTTCCCCGCTTCTCCGGATTCCGAGGAACAGCAAGTGCTGAAATAGCGACATCGCACGAAATGGAAAAAAGACACCAACGAGAACCCGGCATTTATTCTAGAATTGCGTAGCATTCGACATTTTGGCTCAGAAAGATAGGTAATACCTGATTCAATTCTGATCAAACAATATTGATGAGCGGAATGTGGCCCGCTGCCTTTATGGAGCAAAGCTATTCAAACTCTACCAATAAGATGGGCTTGTGGTTTAGGGGTATGACGCTCCATTCGCATTGGAGAGGTCCCGGGTTCGATTCCCGGCGAGTCCACTTTTTATTTGCCACTTTTGCACTTTGACTTATTTACATAAGCCAATAAACATAGACCCCCCTCAACACCTCATCCTCGATGGTCTAACGGTCATGATTTCCGCTTGTCAATCCCAACTGGGAACAAGCGCGGGAGACCTGGGTTCGACTCCCAGTCGGGGAGATCTATTTTTTCGTTCCCTTCCTTTTGTTTGTCTACTACTTCTTCACTGCCACCTGTGCTTCAAACTCGTTTGATTTTTGATTTCGAGATAGTGAGTGGTCTCTGCCTTTAGTCGCAAGCAAGCTACGAACTTCAACCTCTCGTCTGTCTGGTTCTATTTCAGTACCAGAGACTAGCAAAACTCTTCCGTGGCCCAGCATTGTCTTTATAAGACTCAGTGGCTAGTTGTCAACTCGAACATCATACTGCAGATCTACTGTTTGCCAAACCTCAGTTGAAATGACCACAGAATTGACCTAGCAATAATTTGCCGATAAGACATAAAAGCCAAACAGCACCCAAAACAAACTAGAATCGAAGCATGCGACGAGAATGCAGAGGTCCAGCAGGCAGGTATTCCCATCCCAACACAGAAACTACCAAGAGAGGATGTATCCGATGGAAAACATTACGGCAGATTACCACACGCACAAATCCAAAGTTCAGTAACTTTCCATGCTACACTCTAGCAGCGAATAGCCTCCTATGGGGAGAACGAATGCCAAAGCGGCCGCAACATGATACCAGCTACACAAGTAATAAAAAATTGAATAACACGGAGCTTAGATCACATTCTCACAACCATTGACAGCTTAACGTGCTGGGACGGTTGGTAGCCAATCCATGAGCCTTGTACAAATGAACGAAGGCACTATTGAAGAATACTTGATTTTTGGGGCCTCACTTGATCTCAGGAAATGCGAAGTAATTGGGCGGTAACCATGAAAACGTGATAATGAATGTTGGGTGATGAAGCATGACCCAGAGAACTCTGCGCTTGACATCCTACAGTGGTTTGTATGTGCGCGCAAACCCTGGCAGCGATTCCAATCAGAGCAGCTTATCCTATGCAATGATTACAACATAGAATTCCAGAAACCTCTATCTAGAATACCAAGGACTAGAACCCTTTTTTTTTTTATTTATTTTTTTTTGTGGGGGGGAAAATCCCCGAAATAAAGAAGAATCCCGAAAGCTACAAAACAAGAACACCGACGGGGCTCCATTCCCTTTTTTGTTTTCTTTTTTCCTTGTTCCTCTTTCTTTTTTTTTATCCCCCCAACACGAAACTAATAAGGAAAGAAAGCTCATCAGAACGAGAAAGAGAACGAGAAGGACAGTGATGGAACAAAGCAATCGAAGTTGCTCTTTACTCTGTCAGGAGTAATAGTGAACACGTGCTTCTCCGAAAGTATGGCCAAGGTCTTCTGCTTTGAGATGTATCCCGTCTCGCTCAATGGTGAAGAGCACTTGCACACTGATAGTCTGGCCGTGTCTTGCGCTTTCGGATTGCAGGATTTTTGTGAAGTCGCAAAATAACCGGCCGATACTTCTGGCACCTAGGATATCTGGTCAGGGAATGTGGCATCAAAAGGGCTTCAGGATGAATGTGTGGCTCAAGGTTACGAGAAAAGAGGTGACATATAGAGAAGAGTAGAAGGCCGAACCTGGAGCTCTAGCGGGAGCAGCATCATCGCCCGAGTCATAGATCTTAATGACCATGCATGGAAACCTCTGTGAAATCTTGCAGGGAACTGTAAAATCTCTCTGAGAGCCGATATCACAGTCCTCCCCCTTGAAAAAATGGATGATCTCGTTAGAGCTACTTATTTGGCAGTGTCTCCTGTCGTGAACTTACTTTCCTAAATAACCAGAACATGGCATCATTCTCAGTCCCAGAGGATTCTAGGCCATAATGATGATGCAAAGCTATCCTCGAACGAAGACGATTGTATGCCCAAAGTGCGGCACCTTCAGCAACAACATCCATCCTAAACCATTGAATGTCAACTGATAAAGAAGACGGATAATGGATTGAAGAACTTACGGGGCTTCAGGATAGTGTATCTCTATCTGTTCGCCTGCGAAATTCTGTCTTAATGCACAACGCAGATACTCTGAGCACGATGCCCCGCCGCACATGTAAACGTGCTGTGTGTTTATCAGTCCCTCGTCCGATAGTTGCATGAAAACCGTCAGTGAGATATCTACACACCTTTACTCTCGGGCCCCCAAGTTGCTGATTGGCTTCACGTATCTGCTCCTCTAATATGGAGCAGACTTTCATAATAACAGGAGCCTGGATTCTGAGCATGTCAAGGCTGTTGTTGTACGATTAGATTTTAACAATCCAAATCCACTTGAGTAGGCCAAACGGACCTTTTGAGCTCCAACGGTTCTTGAGCTTTTCCATCTCTCGTGTACGGAAGATATGTAGGTCCCGAAGAGGTATCCCCAGTGAAGTCACACTTGGCCTTCTCGAAATGTTGCATCATTTCGCTCGCAGGGGAGGTGTCTGTCAATTTCAGGTCTTCGATGTCTGGAATCATGTCACTACACAGAGAGTAGAAAGCCCTATCTATCATAGTACTACCACCTTGTGGCTCTGTGGAATTTTAGAAGGTGCTCATGTTCTTGATAACCCCTCGAGGGAAACGTACCTGTGAACGCGCCTATCTTCCGGTAGGCCCCAATCTCTCCTCTCCGGTGAATCTCGAAAGTACCCACATCCTGTAAGTGGTAAGTCACACATACTTTAACATCTGAATATAACGCTGGAAGCTGCCTCACCAACGTGCCACCCCCACAGTCACAAATAAGAACCCCATCTCCTGTCTAGCACCAATGTCAACAATATTAGTACCTTCAAAGACGGGGATTACATAGCACCATTGGGGACATACTTCAGTCTGAATATTCCCATTCGCTAGAAGAGGTGTGAGAGCTGCTTCTGGTTCAGTGACAAAGAGAAGATCTTTCCCCCTCTGCTTTCGTGAAAAGTTTGCCAGGTAGGCCGCTTCTCTGGTCTTCTCCACAGCAACTTCTGACCAGGTTGCCGGAACGATGAACACAAAGAATAAAGGAAGTACTGTAAGAGAGGCGTATTTGCAGGCTAATTTGATCTGAGGCTCAATATGTTCGCGTACACTCTCGAGGAACTCCTTAGCGATGTGGATTGGATCTCTGCCCCCTGGCTGCCGAAAGATGCCGACCGTGTCTGCCCATCCGTCGTCGTTGTCCTCAGTAACACGATCGATGACTCCCGTCTCTAAATGAAGCTTCGTCCAGGCAGCTGCTACATGTGATGATTTAACCTGGAAACCCCAGTTGGTCGTACGAATGTAGCGATTATCATCCGCACAGGCGATACAGCTTGGAACGCGGCTCCGGTTTACCACGGCACCCGCACTCGGCCATTTGTCTATCATCCTCACACGTTGCTCGGAGGGGTGCTTCCATGCAACGCCTGCACCGATAGATCAATGCCTATTCCAAAGCTGTGCCCAAGGTGCTATAGAATATTGGATGGGGGCGGGGCGTACCGGTGTGTGTGGTGCCATAATCAATGGCTACAACAATTTTACCACTGCTACTCATACTATTTGTCGCGGGTCGATTAAACTGTAATAATCACTCGGAGAGTACGCGCTCGTTCAAAGTCGAATGTGGGCAATGGGTAGCAAGGAACAGGGCACAAAAAGCGGAACGAAGTGCAGATGAGGAACTAAAGGGGATAGCTGTTGTAAATGCAGCAGAGCCGTTCGCTAGGAAGGGTACTGGGTGCCTGTTATATCCTGTTGATAGCTTAATGTAGTACTCTATAATAGGCTATGCTAAGCCAGGCTCGTATTTCAGAGGGCCTAATAAAACTAACAATCCTAGAATTTGATGTTGATTCCTGTGAGGAACTGGATAGAGCCACCGTCTTCAGTACTAGTGAGAACTTACTACTATGCTTTTCAGGGTGTGCCGTAGGGGTGGCGGGTCCCCACCGTTGGGCCTGGACCCTGCTCCATGCGTTTTGCATTTTGACTTCAGGACGAAAAAGGTCAAAGAGATGGAACCGTGTTGATGGCTTTAAACCGTTCGGTAATACCCATGCACATCCCGGAACAATTGATTAAACCTCAAGGTTCAGATGCCTAGTAGGTACTTGTGGCGCCTTTATCCCAACCTCCCTTTCTTTCTGCCTTTTGTTCTCTTTTTTCCCCGACTGCCACCGTCACCGTCACACGCCCTTACTACCAAGTATTTAAGACCCAACACATGCTCCAAATGTTTAAACTTTCAAGAGAGCTTGAATCCTCGTCAAATCAGTTTTTACTCGAACCCTCCTGTCAGAATCGTGGTATTCGAAACCCCCCCCCCCCCCCCCCCCCCCCCCCCCCCCCCCCCCCCCCCCCCCCCCCCCCCTCTCTCCGGGTCAGCAAATCGACCGCCTTCTTCACTATGGTCAAAAAAGGGTCAAAGGTTGCCAGCCAGGGTAATCAGGTAAGAGGCGATCGACATATACAGTGTTTTCCTTCTTCCCCTTCTCTCTTTCCCACCCGCCCTTGACTTCTGAACCTCCCCTGAGGGCGCCCGCTTCCACCGTGCACTTCTATTCTGAAGCGTTGCAGAGTTCTGGAACCACAAAGCTCCGTATTAGGCAAGGGTTCATCGTGCCATCCGGGGCACCCATATGTGTGTGGTACTATGTTGGGCCCGGGGCTTTGGAATTAAGACTAACGTAACTTCTCCCTTATAATAGAAAAGTCGGTCTGCCCCAGCAACAACCAAACGCAATGGGACCAAGCGGAAGGCGACCAGAACAGAGAAGCCTGACCGAACGGCCCCTTCTGCAGATGGCCAGCCTGAGAATTTGCCCGAGACCCGAGAAGGGACAGAGACTCAAGAACTACAAGCCCCAGTTGATGAAAACGAGGTGCCTCTGCTTCCACGCAAAAGAGTTTGTGGACAACGCCTACTCTGGACACGTCCTGACTCTTTAGACCATCACGGTGTGTGGCGGGAGGATGACATGGATCTAAAAGCCTCGTTCCAGACATTAGAGAGATCTGTTTGCACTTGGACGAACGCCTACTGCCACCGAGAGCCAGGGCTGAAGCGTAGATTGTCTGCAAGTGAGATAGAGGTAGTCTTGGACGGCCTTGGCGGGTTCTGCTTGTACAAGGACTGGGGCTCAATTGAAAAACGTCTCGACGAGAAGGGTCTGAATAATTTTTGGATTTGGTTGCCAAGCGCGGTATTAATGAAGCATCTGTTTGAGGATGTGATCGCCAATCCGTTTGTCTATGTGAAAGGCGACCGCACGAATGATCAGTCAAGCATGGGCCCACCAGGCTTGGGGCAGGAACTCTATGAACTCTGGCAGAAATTAGTCAAAGGTACGTTTCGAAAAAACTTCTTTTGTTTGGAATACTGAACTTACTTTGTTTCGCCCTATTTTTCCACGGCAGTCGACCCAGCTAGAGCAACTGTTTGGCGGACAACGACAACCCAGCTCCTAAATATGGTGCACCCCGAACATACCAATGACTGGAAGGTTGCATGCCAGACGGGCGAGGCTAAGGAGTCGCTTGCTAATAACTTAGCCACCGGCATGCTAGCAGAGTGCAAAGCTTTACAGGTCCTGTTACAGGAAGTAACCGATCCGGATACTACCAAAAAACGCTACGAAGCGCTTGTTGAAGTTTACCGGGTCGCGATCGACATAACGGTTTACATTGGAACTGTGAAAACGGAGTTTGAATTTCAGCTAGACGTGAACCGGTGTGGACCCTACCTGCATCGCCTACGGAGAGTCCGAAAACAAGGTTGTTCTGATGAAAAGCTCCCTGATAAGTGGCCAGTCCCAGTGCTACTGTATATCCCCCTTGTTGCGGCTCGCCGGATAGCAACTTCACTTGATGTCGAATGCTGTAAAACAGAACGAGAAGACTTCTGGCAGGCTCATAAGAGTGACAGGAATCCGGACCTACAGAAACAATTGGATGACGAGATTCCCGAGGTCAGAGAGGGCGATACCGTTTTCTCTTCGGCATTACATCGTGCTAAAATTGTCTATTCAAAAGATGGGCTTCAAGCTTGCCCATGCGGTGGTCGTTTCGTCTGTGTTGGTTTTTGTGAAGGGGCAGACAGATGAGGTCGTGATCTTTCTGTGTGGATGGACTCAGTGTCTCCTTGTGTCTGTCTGGGTCCTTATGCTCGGCTTCATCCTTCTTCTCTTGTGCTTGTCACCGTGTATTGCTGTAGGACATGTGCCACGATACGTGTATCCTACGACGCCTCACTATTATTTTACAAAGTGGCTTGTGTAATAATTTCGTGCTCGAAATGTACTACCCCGATAACTTCAGCTGGTCTACTTGAGATTTAGTTCACAGTAAATGCTTCGATTTAAATCATTGGGTGAGTTTAGTTTACCATTTCGTGATAACATATTTTCTTTCTTTCTTTTTCTTTCTTAGGAGGCGGGGTGGATCTTCACCCGTATATTCTGGTTCACTTATGCATTTAAGCATTCTTCAGCTGCTGTTGCTATTTTCATCTCTTTCATCCGTCTTTCCTTTATTTATTTGTTATCCGCCCGGAAGGCCATATCCGACCGGGCGATCCTCTGCGTTTGACATTTCGAATACAGCTTAAGAACAAAGTAACGCATGTCGAGTTGCGAATTTCGAAAGACGAGATTACGAACACAAGAGAGTTGGTCTAATTGACAGCAAAGTCAGTGAGGTAAAATAATACCGTCCATGACGATGCAACATCATTAGGGAAGGTAAGATTGGAAAGAAAAAAAAATAATTATTATTATTATAACAATGATAATTAATTAATTAAGTATTTAATTAAAGAAATAAAGAAATAAAAACAGAGAAAAAGAAAACAACCCCATGAAAGACGTCATCATCAGTCTGACCGCAGCACCCGCTTGAATGTCTCCAGTGTATGGTCCCAAACTTTGCTAGGGAAACTCCTGGCTCGATAATCAGCCATCAATTTCTCCCGGGTTGCATTACTCCCATCGTATTTAAGAATATATGAACCTCCGCCGACTTTGCCAGTTGATGCAGACGCCGTGTCCACCCCTTTGACCAAGGGAACCCCCAGCTGGGATGGATCTTTCGGCGTGGCTGGTGGATAGGCTGCCGACGTCGAGAGAAACAAATTACGCTCGCCACTCTCCTCCGGGGACATTGAAATCGGACGAGAAAGAAAGCTTAGGATGGCGCCGCCGTAATTTCCGAAGGAGGCGTTCATCAATGGAGTCCGTACAATACCCGGGAAGACGTGTAGAAAGCTTACGGTCGGATGGGCGGTGGCTAGATGCTCTATCGCTAGCGAGTTTAAGGTGGCGGCGTATGTGTTTGCTTTCGTAAAACTCCAAGATTTCGTCAGGTCGAAATTGTCTTCTTCCATGGTGCCTTCTTGGCCGCCTGCTAGGATGGATACGACCCTGGCTGGACCAGGGGAGGCACTGAGCAAGGGCATGAGATTCTGCACGAAGCGCATGCGGGAGTAGTAACGAAGGGCATGGTTGTCGTCTAGTCCCTCGTCGGTTTCTGTGTGTGGATCCCCCTGTCAGCACTAGTAAGGTATAGGGGTGTTGGGGTTGGCGCAGTGGCGTTTGAAGCCGTTCCGACTGACCAGGATGAGGCTGTTTCAGCTACGTACCGTTCTTGGATAGAGATAAGTGACCGGTGGACATGAAGAGGAGATCAATTTGCTTTTCCTTGTCCGTAATTTCCTCACAGGCTTTGTCGACGCTGCGCAGAAGTGAGACATCCGATTGAATGAAGTTATATGATCCGTTTGGATTGGAAGCCCGGAGCTCCTCTAGGACTCTGGAACCGGATGCAGGATTCCGGCCAACCAGGTGGATGGTTGGTTGTTTTACAGCGAGCGCCATCTGCTTGGCTGTCGCTTCTCCTATGCCGCTGGTGCCTCCCACGAAGACGGCGACCATCTTTTGGCGCTGAGCGCCCAGGGCCGTGTTGGACTGACGGACCTGGCTGAGAGTGGGCATGACTAGTTGATTGTAGAAGAAGATTATGATGATAAATTAATGCCTTAGGAAGAGGGGGAGACCCTGTCTCATCTTCTACACTTTATAGGTACCTGGTGGTGTGGTGTATGTTGTATGCTGACTGATGACGTGGACCTGACTCACTCGGGCGCGGGTGCTCGGCTTTGACTATTGGGCCGGCTTACGCTGACGTCAAGCAAAAGAGCTTATTAAAGTAGCTGGATGCTTCTTTCGTTATTGTGGCTGTGATCCGGGCAATGCCGGGTGAAAGAGATGATTGCTAATTGACTCGTCTTCCTGGAAAAGCCATTGAACTTTAAGGGACGGGAAAGGGCTTTTTAGGATAGCAGATGTTTGTGGGCTACGGGACCAGGCTAATGCGATCAAGAATTAAAGCCGAATAATCCAGGGATTAAAATAAACGACTCCAGATAAGATTAATTGACATTAAGGGCAGCGAATGAGGACTAGCGGTCGTATTCTCCGGGCAGTTGGTACTGTCTAGCGATCTTCAAACAGGGTCCACATCCCGTCCGTAGCGGATGCACTGGGATCAGGTAACATCTCCACTCGTCGTCACAGCAAATCCGACTTCTCCATTGCAATTAGGTTCTGTCAGGGATATTCCATAGTTGAGCTCTCTCAGGCACCTGGCGAGCAGTGGCGGCAGTCGGCCCACAAACTTCTTGACAGCCACGGGCATGGATCACGAAGGGGCTGTCCGCTCAACTGGCAGCAGCGATGACTTTTCCATCAAGCTTACAATCTTCCAATCATTCGCACTGATACGGCTAACACTTTTAGAGTTTCCACCGTCGGGTCATTTGACACCTAATACTAGCTCAAAGGAGCTATGATCGGGTCGGATCGGGCCTAGCTTAACCTATCCAGGTGTGTTGCTGCAAGGCTACCATTTCTCGTGAGCTATCATTGCGGATGGTCCGGGCACCGACCAGAGCCTAAGCTCCCAGCGGGGAAGTGCATCACAGATAGCAGCCAGATGTAGAGCCGAGCACGAGTTTAGTGCTTGTTAGATGATACTACCAGATAGGCTGTCTCGCGACACCAAGCATTTACTCCAAGTCTCGTTGGCCAGCAGCTGGATGAGCTTTATGTAGCAGAGGTCGCGCGGCTTTGATATGATCCAATGCGCTTCATATATGATAGAATGCTTTTGTTTTCTGCGAGGAGACTAGGTAGGAAGCTCATAGTCTTTCTAGTACAGTTTTACTTCCAGAGAAGGTGCAGATTGTGTCAGCAACTTTCACACAGGATATTATTTTCAGGGCTCATTATCCAACAGTGTTGAATTTGACTCCCGATCGGAACCGCAGCCGGCCTCGACAAGTAGCATAGTCCGCGCCTCGACTCATCGACATTGTTACTCCTCTACCACGAGCGCAATGCATCCAATTCGGCCTTGATAACTTCATTAGGAGACAGAATGCAGAAGCGTTGCGCTCGCATTTTGTTCGACCTAACAGCATCCAGCAACACATACCGCCATATTTCCGACCGATGCCTTGCGTCTGCTGCATACCGATAACGCTCCTCAACTCTCACTGATCCCATCGAGATGAGACCGTTTTTGTTGTTGTGAAAAATGGCCAATATGTCTTCCCAGGGGAATGTCGATCTGCAGAGGTCAGCTTTCCTTCCACCGGAGATGTCTGGGCACTCACCACCCAGGAAAGAATCTTTGTTGCTCGTTCGGACCGCGGTTCCATACGGCGCTGTTGTACTGTCAGGGGTTGGTTGCGCTACGGAAATGGGGACCGCCATACCGATCAACGGGATGTTGACACCAATCTGACCAACATTGACACAGCGTTGGAACGTATTTGCATGCTTGCCGCTGGTGGTGAAAATAGAGCATCCGTTACCATCTGCGATCAGGTCAGCAATCCATCCCCTTCAAGCCCGGGTTGTGGGAGACTGACACTTATTTTGGTTTATCAGATCGATCGCTTCCTCAAGAGTGTCCACCTCCATGCAGATGAGCACAGGCCCAAATATTTCCGCCTGATAGCATTCCATGTAAGTCTGCACATCCCCGAGAATAGTTGGGCCCATGAAGTTGCCATCCGGATAGCCGGGGACCTCAATATCTCGACCGTCCAAAAGAACGGTTGCTCTCTCCTCAACTGCTCGCTGGATCATCTCGCTGACTTTGTCTTTGGCTGTTTTGTCAATCAACGGCCCAATCTTAGATTCCTGATCACCACCACATCCTACTACCATCGACTGTGCCAGCTCCACCAGCCTAGGTATCCAGTCTCTCGTCGCACCTACAAACACCGCTACGCTCAAGGCCATACAACGCTGACCGGCGGCCCCAAAGGCACTTCCAGCGATCGCAAAAAGCGTCGAGGACATATTAGCATCCTCCAAGACAACCCCATGATTCTTACCACCACACTCGGCTTGTATTCGCTTCCCTGCGGCCCTTGCCAGGTCATGCACCTGCCTAGCTGCTGACTCGGACCCAACGAAACTCACCGCTTGAACCGTCGGCTGGGTCACAAGCATCTGCACTGTGGATGGGCCGCCGTGGAGCACATTGAAGACCCCGGGAGGGAAGCCAGTCTTGATGAATGCCTGCGCTAATAACGAAGACGTAGTTGGTGTTTTCTCGGATGGTTTCAGGATGACGGTGTTGCCAGTGATAAGCGCGTACGGAAGCGACCACAGGGGAATCATGAAGGGAAAGCTAAATGGAGTGATTGAGACACAGACGCCCTGCCACGGTCTGTTAGTAGCATATCTGTAGTTAACCGGCATCTAGACTCACAACTGGCTCGTAGAAAGTTTGCAGCAATGTTGCATCGCCTCCTAAAAACATGCCAGCCATTTCAGGCCCGATCGAACATGCGGCATGTATGCAGTCCAGACCACGGAAAACCTCCGCGTCTGCATCGGCTAATGTCTTTCCAACTTCTCGAGACAGGCAGGTCACCTACGATCGTCAGTTCCACTCCTTTGCCTGTCAGCTGTCCCGGCAGCTTACAATCTCAGGAGACATCTGTCTCAATACATCCACCAGCCGCAACAGATGTTCACGCCTCACCTGGAACCCCAGAGCAGCCCATCCAGGCTGGGCATCTTCAGCAGCATCAACAGCCCGCTTTACTTCCTGAAGCGTACTCCCCGGGACCCTGCAAAGTAGACGTTGTGAAACCTGTCCTTCACTTTAGCACTAATCGCAATAATCTGAGGTTGATCAAACCAAATACCGGATCCAAAACATTCGTCCAATTCTGCGATCTAGACATAACTGATTCATTGTTAATAAACAGATGCGTGATAGTCGGCCCAGCCTGCGACCGCGGCAAGGGTTCATCCCGGTCGGATTCATCACTTTCTTCAACCGGTACAGTTCCAGCACGACTGGATCGGGAACTTAGTGCGTCACGACGGGTCTTATCTCAACAATATCATAAGCGGATTATCGGATAACTGGAAGAAAGCAACCTACATCTGAAATCCGCCGGCGCACGCGCCCCGACACCGTGGTACCATCACTAGAAGCGGGCGAGGCTGCGGGGAAGGGCGTGAACCTAGACCGACCCGAGGAAGCGCTTGATGCTCGTGGCATGTTATTGTATGGGGGACTATCTATCTAATCACAAGATAGAGATTATCGAGCTCTGGTGGCGATGATTATCTGGCGATCTGGTAGATACTCGCTGTCTTATCAGACTTGGGGTTGCTGCTTGGCCTGTGCGCGTGTTCACTGATAAGCGAGCTGCTACGTAAATCGCTTGATAAGCGCACAGGCGATGCTCCGTTGGGTATAGTTGCACACCTTGTCTGCGTTTTATGTACAAAGTTATCGGCTGAAGCCTTTAGCCTCATACATGTGTCTACTATCTATATATGAGATTCACCTGTTTATACCCTTAGACCAGACATATAGGCAGAAATATCATTTATCACAGTGTAGGAATGGTATCACGCATGGGAAAAATCAGCCTATGAAGACTGCTCGCCTTTCCAACGCATCGTCATATCAATAGTGACATTTGTTTTGTCGGAAAGAAACATGTCAGAATATTGAAATGATGCGTGGAAGTAAACAATCATCACAGGGTGCTGAAAAGCTGCATGTTAGTTACCTGAGATTTCTGCTCATCATCCAACCTTCTCCGAATGCACCGAGGATATTGTGTGATACATGAGAACCGTAGACAAGCTTTCGCCTCATTGGATAGAGCTTGGTACAATTGAAGAGATCATATCCTCCATTCTCCTACTATCTCGAGCATAATATTTTGATAGTATCCCCATGATATATTTCCTCACTCCAGTCAGCGCGTGAGGGGTGTCCTATCTTAGCCATTTCCACTGCACTTGTCGAAGTATAGAACAAAGGTGTATGCCCTTCTACTATAGACGCATCTAGCTCTTATATTATTCTTCCTCGACAATAGCGACCGATACAAATCCTGTCCCAGCCAAATACGCAACACAGATAAGATTAGATTAGATCCTCACCCCGCTTATCTTATCGCCCTTCAGCACCGCAAAACCCCGCGCTTTTTTTCCCTCCGAATTTTCACTCCGCCTTTCTTCACTCGATAGGCGTAAAGCACGCGACTAAAACAGCGCCGGTCGAGACTAAGCCCAAACTTGTTCAATCTATACCATATATCCAGTCCTATCCACGGAGTGGCCCAAATCATCCATCCCATCTCCAATTCCTCACAACACCTCGACCATCACTCCGCCCACGTCCGGCCAATCGATAAAAAATAAGTCCAAAGTTAAATCCACACCATGGAATCTCCTAGCGCAGCCTGGACCGCCCAAATGGACCGTATCACCGTCCTGGAACAAGACCGGTCGCTACTTAATCTAATGACCATCATCCGGGACGTGAATACCAATGATCGGGATTTCTCCGCTGCGGTGGAGAAGGTTGTTCGCCGGTTGATTACGTCCGGTACGTATTACCCTAAATTCAAGCATCTATTTATGTTTGGAACGACGGCTTAAGTGAATGTATAGCATTGGGCCACGTCCCCGCTGAAGAATACACTGTTACTACACCCATCAACAAGCCCTACACCGGAATCCGGTTCACGAAGGGTGTCTGCGGTGTCAGTATCCTCCGTGCTGGAGCTTGCATGGAGCAGGCGCTGCGGGATACTTGGACGTGAGTGTTTTCTTCCTGTACTTGGAGAAGTGTTCAAGTGCACTGATTAGAAATGTACAGTGGTCCGCTTAGTTTCGGTAAGCTGCTCATCCAGCGCGATGAGGAAACGAGCATCGCCAAGATTTATTACTCGAAGCTGCCGGCGGGAATTACGGATGATAGTATGTTTCGTCCCTCATCAAATGATTTGTTGGTTAGCAGGAAAGGAAAACGCACTAACAATGATCTAGTCGTCCTGCTCCTGGAACCCATGCTCGCGACCGGCGGATCTGTGATCAAAGCTGTGGAGAACCTGACGAGCAATGGCGTTCCTGAGGAATCTATCGTGCTTGTCAATGTGGTGTCGTCGCAGAAGGGTCTAGATGTTATTTCCGGAAAGTTTCCGGGTCTGAAGGTTGTTGCTGCGGCGGTGGATGCGGAGTTGACTGCTCAGAAGTAAGTGTGCTGAATGAAACTGAAGGTAGACCGCTTGCTGACTATGCTATAGCTATATTAGCCCTGGTCTGGGAGACTTCGGTGATAGGTACTATGGAACGACTCATTAGGAGTGGTCTTGGTTTCGTTTAGGGTTCGGACTGTCTGTGGGATTTACAGGTGATGGGTTGGGTCTACGTGTTCCAGGGATTTGTAAATATTCTTTCTGTTATATAAAGGATGGCTGCTTTGCGTCGATAAGATTAAATTTTCTGAGCGGTGCCTGAGTGTATGATGCTGCGTAGAAGACTACCTTTCTGAATTGTTTCGTGACTTTGAGCATTTAACCTAGGATATGGGCTAGGACCTCTCGATATCCACAGATGTCTGGAATGCTAACCATTTAATGCTGGAACCATATGATCAACTAATTTCAGGGATACAAAGGTGAAAGAAGGGCACAGAAAGTACTTCATATCGCCAAACACAAGTTACAGAGATAAGTCTTCATGATCTTATACATTTCTATTATGAATACAATCTAATCGAATGCAGTCCCATAAAGCCTATCCCCAATATCCCCAACCCCAGGCTGAACATACCCCTTCGCATCTACCTCAGGGTCAACCGCACCCACCACAAACCGGCTACCCTCGGGCCACACGGCAGCTGCATGCTCCAAGCCAACCGGAGTAGACAACACAGAAAGAAATGTAACCTTCTCAATTCCCCAATCCCTGACATAATCAAATTAGTAATTCCCTAAAGATCACAATATCTTGGGAGCTTACTTCAATATGCTGATGACTGCCGCGGCCGTACCACCCGTGGCAATCAAGGGATCCAGAATATAGGCCTGCTTGATATGCGCCGGCTTCACGGGTAACTTATTGTAATACTCAACCGGCTGCAATGATGCTTGATCTCTGAATATGCCCATGTGATAGACGGTCGTAGATACATCTTCAGGAATGTTGTCCACAAAGCCATCGAACATAGCCAGACCGGAGCGGAGCACAACGATGATAGCTATTGTTTCGTCCTTGGGTGCGTCGATGTGGATGTTCTTTGTTATGGTCGCTGTCATGTCGCGCACTAGGCTGCGCACTTTGGAGGGCTTGAGGGATCGATCCCTAAGTTGTGAGAGAAGGGATGTGAAAGTGTCATTTTGAGGTTGATCAACGTTGGCGGGTAGTGCGACGGTCATGATGGATACAGTGGGTTTGTATTGCGGTATTGAGAAGAGAATTTAATGGGAATGTACGCTTAAGCTGGAATGTAGTGGATGATGTTCGGCTATAAATACATTGGCCCTGGCAAGATATAGAACGATATGATTACCGTGGCATCCTCCGATCTCATACTGTTGTTGTTCGCATCTTTACAAGGCGGTTATCGTCGCTGGTATCAGATAAGATACCGTATCAGCCGAGGCGATAAGCGCCTTCCCCGCTTTGTTGTGCTCATCCCCTCATTCAGTGTAACATTCTTAGTAGACAACACATCTGTCTTCTCTTTGTATCGAAGAAAGACCTTCTATCGCATATTCTCAGCTTGAGATATCTTCATACCGAGCAAGCACGATGGATTCCAGCACCCGACACTTGCTTCGTCTAGAAGCCGTACGCGAGAGAGCGAACATCGTCTTCCGCCTTGCTGAACAAGGAAAGCTGCACCACTACGACTACCACCCTGAGCGGCTCGATGCGACTGTCGACTACGTTGCAGGCATAATCCAGGTATATACTCTCATATGTATCCACAGATAACCACTAATAACGTACCCAGCGCGACTTCGGCCCGAACCGCTACGACCAAATCCCTCCCCACGGTCGCTGGCAGCACTTCGACGTAGGCGGAGTGCCTCGAATCCAGAAACTGATCGAGCGATGGGATGCATCTGGATATGATGATAAAGAGAAAGTTAGAAGTCTGTTGGATCTATTCTTTGTCTCCGTTCTTCTCGATGCCGGTGCGGGAGACACTTGGCGTTACGTGGAGAAAGAGACCGGGGCCATGTTCAACCGCAGTGAGGGTATCGCGGTCGCATCGCTGTATATGTTCTTGAACGGTGACTTTGCCAACAAGGACTCGGAAAGGAAGGATGTTGTGCATGGTACGTGCTGTTTACGCCGTTGACAGGCAGAAGTCGTTACTCACTATGAACAGGAGAGGCTCTGCGAACTCTTAGCGTGGACAAACTCCTTCGCGGCTTTCAAGTCGATGATTCCAGCAACCCACTTCTTGGAGCTTCTGCTCGGGTCCAGATCCTCCAGAAACTGGGCGAGTCGCTGAGAAATCTCCCTGAGATTTTTGGGCCGTCCGGCCGTCCTGGGCAAATCGCAGGTCAGTCACCAGTCGACGCAATAGATTACCCAGCAACTAATCTAATTTGTAGACTACCTCCTGGCGACAAGCAAAGGGTCCCTAGACTACTCGGTTCTTTGGGACGTCCTACAGAAAACTCTCATCCCCATCTGGCCATCTGACCGCACCAAAGTGAACGGTTACCCTATCGGCGACGCCTGGCCACTCGCCGTGCTTGCAGAGCATTCACCATCCTCACCTACAGACGGTATTCAACCCTTCCACAAGCTGACACAATGGCTCGCATACTCCCTCAAAGTCCCATTTGAGCGACTTCTCTACCTGAAATGGCAGAATGCAGATCTAGGAACCGGACTCCCGGAGTATCGCAACGGTGGCTTGTTCATAGATATGGGCGTGTTGACGCTTAAGCCTGAGGCACAGGAGCGGGGACTACGCATGTCTGGAGGAAGCCTTCCGTGTTTTGCAGTTGGAGACGGCGAAATCGTAGAGTGGCGGGCCATGACTGTTGCTTTGCTTGATAAGCTACATGAACGGATTTTGCAGAGCGGGAAGTTCGGGGATATCCAGTTGTCATTGCCGCAGATGTTGGAGGCGGGATCATGGAAGGCGGGCAGGGAGCTGGCGGCGAAGAACAGGCCTGAGACAAAGTCGAGTCCGATTTTGAATTCTGGAGATGGTACTTTATTCTAGATGCTAGGCCGATAGTGCAATAAGAATGCTGTTCTCTTACTATATGCTGGTATTGTAAGTAGCTGCTGTACTGCATAGATTTCAGATATCCTTCAGAAACACTCCACCTTCGCTTTGAATACATCAAAACATTACTGAAATTTCCCAGCTAACTAGCTGTACAATATTAATTCTGACTCTGGCAATATACAAGCCATAGTGTTGTGGTAGATGTAGATAGCGCCAGAGATAAGATTAGACAAGATAAGTCGCAGCCATCGCTTATCGGACCCTCTGATTGGCTATCGGCGGCAGCCAGGGTCTATCATCGAGAGATCAATCGTATCTGAGCTATCTGAGCTACTCCATCATGGGGATGCTGATAGCTCTGCCCAGCTGTCCCCAGATAGTCCAGAAAGCGGAAACACCCTATCGTTTAATCATCTCAGAACTTCATTTATGCGAGAGAACCTTTGAGCACAGGTCGACATATAAACCCATCCCTCCCCTTCAACAACTCTCAATCATCACGTCTCGTACACCATTCACCTCAACTGATTCCCTCATCGTTTCCTCCACACCACACACCCACCATGCCAACAGCAACACAAGAAACCCCCTCCAAAACGGACTCCTACAGCAACCGCATCGTCGTACGCCTCCTCTCCTGTCCCACCCCCACTCCAACCAATTTAATTCACTAGCTAACCATCACAGCTAACAACCTACCCCTCCCAAAGTGTCGCCAACCCCATCCCCCTAACCTGGGGTTCCTCCACCCCAGAAACCCGCGGTCCCGTCATCGTCTCCCGCAGCAAAAACACCCTCAGCAAGCGCAACGCGATCGGCGCCCACGGCGGCAGCTACTCATTCTACACCGCGCTCGCCATCGCCTCAGGGGACCTCGAGCCCGACTTCCGCCCGAACTTCCTCAACACACAGCCAACATTCAATTTCCCCTACCAAGATGCATGGGGCGACAAGAGCAAGATCGTCTCAATGGACCCATTCGGACATGATATCGTCAAACACTACGGGAAGTATCTAGATGAGGGGATAGATGTACGGCCGACCATCGCTGTGACGCGAGCGACGATGCGTGTCTCTGAGATCACAGATGCAATTGCGCGGGGGAGGGTCCCTATCGATGGGAACATCGTTCTCAATGAAGGTGGGGATGTGAAAGTTACCAAAGTGGCCGTGGAACCAGTGTGGTATCTCCCCGGTGTGGCTGATCGATTCGGCGTATCGGAGAAGGATCTCCGACGGGCGTTGTTCGAACATACGGGGGGCAGTTATCCGGAGTTGATTACGAGACCTGATATGAAGGTATTCCTTCCGCCGATTGGTGGACTGACGGTTTATATCTTTGGGCCTCCCGAACGGGTATCTGATCCGGAGATGCGGCTTGCGCTGCGCATTCACGATGAGTGTAATGGGTCGGATGTGTTTCAGTCGGATATTTGTACGTGTCGGCCGTATCTGACCTTTGGTATTGAGGAGGCGATTAAGGAGGCACAGGGGGGTGGGAGTGGAGTGGTGATTTATTTCCGCAAGGAGGGCCGGGCGCTGGGTGAGGTGGTTAAGTATTTGGTGTATAATTCGAGGAAGAGGGGTGGGGATACCGCCGATAAGTATTTCCAGAGAACGGAGAATATTGCTGGGACTAAGGATGTGAGTATTCTTTCTTCTTCTAATAGGGGAGGTGTTAGTGGTGGAGTGGGTGATGCTAATGCTGTTGTAGATGCGGTTTCAGGCGTTGATGCCGGATATTCTGCATTGGTTGGGCATTACGAAGATCGATCGCATGCTTTCCATGTCGAATATGAAGCATGATGCGATTGTCGAGCAGGGGATACCGATCTATGAGCGGGTTCCTATTCCGGATGGTGAGTTGGCTTGCTCTTGCCGATCAGAAGGTTTGTGGCTAACTGGGTTAGATATGATTCCGGAAGATTCGCGGGTAGAGATCGACGCAAAGATTCACTCTGGGTACTTCTCGGCTGGAAAAGAGATCACAGAAGAAGACCTCAAGCAAGTTAAGGGACGGGGCTGGGAGTCTTGGGAAGATGTAACGGTGAGTGAATACGAACCTGATGAGGAATCTATGACAGCTGACATGTCGTTTAGCATTGATTAGCATTTTTGTATACTGCTTAATATAGATATCTTATGAATGCGATCGGATATTTTGAGTTTCGGCGATTCGCCACGTGTTCTCAATGCCCTAAATTGATACATCAGAGCGACAATAAGAGACGGTGTAGACTACAAGGAACTGGGATAGTAGATGATTAGATGTATATAATGAGCGATAAACCCCGGCATAAAAAGTGTAAGCATAGGTAGTTTTTCATTGCAAGTCGGGGAAATTACACAAATAGCGCAGCGATGATTGGCCAAAATCGTCCGCATGAGAGCAATGCTGCAGAGATCGTGCCGTGTACCCGAGTGACGAAAAGCAAATATAATGCAGTCAGTCAGGCAGACATACATATGGACAGAATCGAACTCGTCGCGAGTATCCTGAATCAGAGCCAAGCCAGTGCTTAACCGAGCTTATCCATTACATTAGCCCCAGCATAAATTGCTTGCGCTGGCCTCCAACCGAGGTTGGGTCCAAGCCTCCCGAGACCCAGGCGTGCCGATATCCGATCTCACCACTCCCGGGATTTTGAACATGGACGCAACACAAGCAAAACTGGGTATCAGATAATGCCAGGCTCGTATGTAGTATGGAATGTCTTTTTCAGTATACGGCATGGAGTCCTTTTATATATATAAATTCATAGCTAAAAGCATGTTTTGTCAGGTTTTTGGTGAGTGGCAACTCGGAGTTCCAACAGCAGAGTGGGTCGGGATGCCACACGGAATGCTCCGTTTTTTTAGCGTCTTTTCTTTAGTCTGTGGTTTCAGCGCAGGCGATAGAATTTTAGTGATAAATGAGTGGTCGGCCGCATTCATTCTGCTTATCGGTGTTATTTTGTTCACTGGCTTGCCATGTGCACTGTCGTTCGTTGTTGATACCCTTTTAATATTCCTGGCTGTGCCAGGCCATATCCCTCATGAGAAACACGCTTCAAAAAGCTTCACCAAACTAAAGTAATAGAAAAGATTCCCATTAAGCCATCTACCAAATGGAGGACGCCCTCACCAAAGGCCCGCTCCCACCAGGGGTATACCGGTCCAAAATCCCCTTCTGGCGCCTCCTCACCGACCAAGCAGCCATCACACAAGAAGTCCTGGAATACGACTTCCCCGGCAACGGGACCGAAGATGACCCGTACGTGGTATCTTGGATCCCGAACGACAACCGCAACCCGATGCTCTTCGGCCTGGGCCGCAAAGTCGCCATCACTCTCATCGTAGCTTCCTGCACGCTGACTGTCTCCCTCACCTCCTCTGTATACAGCGGCAGCGTCAGCGAAATCACTGCTTACTTCAACGTCAGTGATGAAGTCGCGACAATCGGCCTTTCCCTTTTCGTTCTCGGCTTCGCCGTCGGTCCCCTCCTCTGGGCCCCCTTCAGCGAAGTCTTCGGCCGCCAACTCCCCTTCTTCTTCAGCTGCATGGGCATGGCCGCGTTCTCAGCCGGCTGCGCCGGCGCCCAGAACATCTGGACGCTGTGCATTCTGCGGTTCTTCGCCGGCGCGTTCGGCTCCGCTCCTTTCACGAACGCAGGCGGTACCATCTCCGATATGTTCACGGCGCGCCAGCGCGGTCTAGCACTAAGTTTGTACGCCGCTGCGCCATTCCTCGGCCCCGCGATCGGACCCATCATCGGTGGGTTTCTGGGCATGCGCGCTGGATGGCGCTGGGTGGAGGGGTTCCTGGCTGCGTTGGCTGGGTTTATCTGGCTGCTCATGGCAGTTTCGATCCCTGAGACGTATGCGCCGCGGCTGCTGCGACTCCGCGCGGACAGGCTCTCGCAGCTGACGGGGCGGGTCTATCGGAGTAAGGTTGAGCTGGATAAGGGGACGGTTTCCTTGCCGAGGTTGTTGAAGACGACGATGTCTCGGCCGTGGGTCTTGCTGTTCCGTGAGCCGATTGTGCTGCTGTTCGCGCTGTACATTGCTATTGTGTATGGGACGCTGTACATGTTCTTCGCTGCGTTCCCGATTGTCTATGAGGATGTGCGCGGGTGGAATCCCGGTGTGGGCGGGTTGGCCTTCCTGGGAATTGCGGTAGGGATGATACTGGGGTGTGCGTGCACCATCCCCGCCAATCTGCATTACATCAAGGTGCAGGAAAGACATGGAGGGTTTGCGCCGCCAGAGACACGTCTCATTCAGTGCATGCCAGGGGCGTTGGCGATCCCGATCAGTCAGTTCTGGTTCGCGTGGACGGATTATCCCTCCATCCACTGGATCGTCAGCATCATTGCTACCGCGCCGTTCGGGTTCGGGGTTATTTTGATTTACCTCGGCGTTATGAACTATCTTATTGATTCGTACACCATCTATGCGGCGTCTGTGTTGGCGGCGAATACGGTGCTGCGGTCGATCTTTGGTGCGGTATTCCCCATCATTGCGCCGTATATGTATGACGGGGTGGGCATTCATTGGGCGCCGTCGATCCCGGCGTTTCTCTCGCTGTTGTGTATGCCTGCGCCGTTTTTGTTTTACAAGTATGGTGCGATGATCCGGACGCATTGCAAGTATTCTGCCGAGTCGGATCGCTATATGCGGAAGTTGCAGGAAAACGCGAAGCGCAAGTCGGAGGTGGTGGAAAAGGAGAGGCCCATCAAGGATGAGCCGATGGTGCCGGCGGATGGGGAGCCGGGCATGTCGCAGGCCGCAGAGCAAAAGTGAGTAAATAGACATACATAGACTTAGAGTATATAGAGACTTTAGATACCATAATGTGAGATTTCAGTTGCATGCATATTGGATCGATGCTTGGTGCAGCCAGGGAGGAAGGTTATTGGACTTATTGGCTGCCAGCCGCGTGAATCTGATTGACTTCACGCAATTAGGATAGGTTAGCACTGTCAAGTTGCTTCGCCTCTTGGGTCAGCTGAGTTCCCTGTATAACATCATGACGTGTACATAATACTTTGGGCTCACTTCCTATCCAGATGATCAAATTGGATCTTGTAAGCACCGCTATCGCTGGTAGTGATAAGTGCCGTCAGTCACATCTAGTCACTGAATCCAAACTTCAAATTGTGTCATGACAGAACTCACCAGTCGGCTTCAGCCCAACAACTGAAGATCATCTTCCTATCACACTGACATGAAGCCCTATCCTGTCAACCCAGACCAAACAATCCGCTTATCGAACTCTAAATCACCACCATCGACTCCACTCCCGCTCAACGAAGCTTCTCCGCGATAAGCATCCCCCAACAAGTAACCACGAGAACAATGGCCATGATAGATCAACACAATAGTGTCATTGATGGAGTCATGCACAGGCATGATGAACCCCACTCGATCAATGAACAGATGTTCCCCGGCAATTGAGATGATAAGTTCATCGGGGATGCAGGGATATCCTGGATTCATCCACCATAGACACTAATCAACTAGCCAATAACCACACTACATCCTCCCAGCTAGTCACAACAATATTCACCCCTTGATTGGCAGCTGAGATCACCGCGGAGATGTCGACATGCCCGTCTCAGTGCTGATAAGATGCGAAGCTGTGACTCGTCCGGGCCCGTCTTGGCAAGAACCCCAGCGGGACCCTCGACATGCTGGGGCTGAACTCTATTCAGCCTGAATCTGAGGATTCGAATGTCGATCCGATAAGAAGTATACCAGCTATGTGATTGGTTCTGGGTGTTTGTTTTCTTCCCTCTACAGGGCTACAGTGCTGTATATAGGGCTGTCTTGTCTTCACTCGCCCCCTACTACACGTCCGCTCACCCACTGCACATCTATAGATACCCTCAACATGTCTCTCAGTATAGACGCATACACCCCAACCGAAGTAATCAACCTCGTCGCCCGAGCAGGCATTGTCAAAGGCAATACCCGCCTCGACAAAGTCTTCCTCAGCTCCGTCTCAGCAGGATGTCTACTTGCCTTGGCGTGCGGAACCGCCCTCAGCACAAACACAAGTACCTGGTTTCAGGAGAATGCGCCGGGGTTGATTCGCACCATTAGCGCCCTGGTCTTCCCGTATGGATTGTGCATGATTATCTTAACCGGGGCGGATTTGTGCACGGGGTCATTTATGGTATACCCCCCTCCCTTTACTCCACTCCAACTGTGGATAATGTAGTACTAATATACCCAGTTCACAACGGTCGCAGCCCTACAGCGCCAACTCCCCTGGTGGAAGATGCTCCTGCACTGGTTCATCACATTTTGGGGAAACCTATGCGGATCGCTATTTGTCGTGGCGATCATCTTCGGCTGTATTTCCACCCTCCCCCCTTCTCCACACCCACACCCTAACCTAAAATCCTAACAATTGCACAGACGGCGAAGTCTTCTCCACAGACCCCTACAAAAGCGAAGTCATCTCCTTCGCCACCAAAAAGCAAGTCACTCCGCACTTCCAACAGATCTTCCTCCGCGGCATCGGATGCAACTGGCTCGTTTGTCTCGCCTGTTTCTTCGGTCTACAGGGTCGTGATCTCGCCTCTAAGATCATGGGCATCTGGTGGCCGATCTTCGCGTTCGTATCGCTGGGATTCGATCACGTCGTCGCCAATATGACCTTCATTCCGCTGGCCATTTGGCTGGATGCGCCGGACATTACGGTGGGACTGTACGTATGGAAGGGGATTATCCCGACGTTGTTGGGGAATATTGTCGGGGGTGGGCTTTTTGTAGGAACGTACTACTGGTACATGTATCTCTTGCAAGGGGAGAGTATCACTCTGGCTGGGTTGCGCAGACAGGGCATGGCTACTTCGGCGACAGCGACGCCGGCCACGGCAGGTGGGAAGGATGATGTTGAGGCGACTGCTGGGGCGATTTAGTTCGTGAGTGAGCAATCCCCTTGCGTAGGGGGTATATGATGTGTCAGATGGATGGTTGTGATGGTAGTTACTGGTGGTGTTGATAACAATAGTAATTGCTAATTCAATAAGCTTATGTGTCTGCCTCACGGCAACATCAGGGATTGACCAATCAGTGTAAGATCAATATACGCCAGGGCCAATCTTAGCCCGCATCGTATACTTGCTAGCTATGTAGTATCCTTGCTGGTGATCAGGCATCCATCTTCTCTTTAGTATTTCTATCTCTGTTTTTTCTTCACTTGATTATCCATCTATCCTCAACCATCCAACTAAAATCCTACATCATGACACACTCCAAAGAAACAGCATCACCCCCTCCCCTCCCCCCTCGACCACCACTTCAACCCAACCCCTCCAAAACAACAACATCCATCCTTCCCAAACCAATCATCATCCCGCGTACGCTTCCCCCCCCCCTCCCCATCCCCTTCACCACCACCCACTAACAACCCCCAGAAACCTCAACCACAATCCACGGCCCCTCCTACCGCCCCTTCCACCTCGCCCACTCCCCCACCCTCTCCCCCCGCCTTCCCACCCCGACATTCCTCACCTTCCTCAACCACCTAAACCACGTCTGGCTCGCAAACCCCTACCTCCAAGCCCTCAGCGCCACCTCCAACATCCTCGGCTTCATTCCCTCGCTCGAGGCACAGCTCGCGGCACTAGGGATGCAAGTAGCTGCTGAGCTGGGGACGATTACTGTCTCGAAGCTCCGGACGAAGATGTTTCTGAGGGAAGCGAATGAGAGGGTGTTTAAGCCTGTGGGGTTAAGGGTGAGGATTTTGGGGACGGAGGGGTTACTTCGTGTTTTGGGGGTGGAGGGGGATAGGTTGGGGTTAGGAGAGGTGTTTGAGTATGGTTGTGAGCAGGGGAGTAGTAAAGGTGGGGATGGGTGCTGGTTTGATCCGGTGATGAGGAGGATGGATGCGCTTAGGGAGTATGTGGCGCCGGTGGTGTTTGTGGATGATATGGATGTAAGGACTGGGGGAGGGGGAGACTGGGTGCGGAAGGTAGCAGAGAAGCAAGAGGAGTGGTTTACGCAAAGACAGAATCGGGTGCTTGTGCGCAGACATAGACGTGCTGTTCGAGGTATTGGGGAGGCGGAGGTTGCGGAGAAGGAGTTACTTATGAAGATGGAGGAGGTGGAAGCGGAGATGATGGCAGTTAAGGGGAGAGCTGTGGAGAGGTTGTCTGGCCCGTTGGGAGAGTCACTCCAGGGACGGGGGATTGTGCAGGATGATCTGGAGAAGGGGTTGAAGCAGCTGCAACGCAAGATGGAGAAGTTGGGTAGGGAGCGCGAGAAGAGAGTGACGAAGCGGTTGCAGCAGAGTGAGCGGACCTTTCAGCGGGTAGGGAAGAGAGAGGCGAAGATTGCGCAAAAGGTCATGTGGGTGGTTGTTACAGCGGATGATGGAGTGGAATATTCTACTAGTCTATCTGATGAGGATGATTGATATTATACAAGGGTGGTGCAGCGCTACAGCACGTAGCGGAAGAACGGGTTCTGCTTGTCCGTCAGATCTTGGAACGCCAGCTTGTCGCGCTGGCTCTCGTCCAGATCCATGGCGTCGCGACGCCGGTTCTCCCGCCACAAGAGAACGTATAGCGCTACCGCGGCCGCGATGGTGATGCAGTAGCAGATCACCATGCCCTCCCACAGCTCCGGGTAGTGCTGGTCGACGGTCTTGCTGTTCACCAACTGCGGCCCGATGATGTTACCCACAGTGTAGGCGACAAACACGGTGGCCGCCATGACGGTTTTCTTGGTCGCGCCGGCTACGTTGCTGGCACCGAGGGTGATGATAAGGCTGACAACAGGTCCGAAGAAGCCGGTGATGGCGTATCCGGCAACTGGAACTGCCGGGTGGTATCCCCAGTCGGACTTCCAGATCATCACACAGCCGGCGATGACGGGGAGACAGCAGGCGATGAGCATGGGAATGCGCGTGTTAGGAACGCGCATGCCGATGTAGCCGCAGAGGGGGATGAAGATAACGCAGACCCCACCCACTGGGAATTGGAACAGAATGGAGTCGAGGGTGTTGTAGCCAAAGGTTGACACGATCAGGGGGCCGAATCCGGAAATGGCACCGTTAATAGTATACCTAGGATGCATTAGATTTTAGCAATGTTTGTCGGGTTTGCGGGATTACTCACGCTGCAGCCATCATAATAGCGATCAAATACAATTTGATGTCCAGGAATGCCTCCACAATTTGATCTTTCTTGATCACCTGGCAGCGCACACCGGTCTGTCCCCGACGCAGGCGCTCCACGGCCACTACTCTTTCCTCATGGGTTAGAAACCACGCCTCGACGGGCGAATTGGGCATGGCACAGCACCAGATCCCGAATAGAAAAGTCAGCACACCGGCGAAAATGTAGATATACTGCCAAGGCCTAAGGCTGCCTGAATCGATCTGTCCAAACGCATAGTTGAGCGCACTTCCGATAATGGTGAACCACCCGGTACCGGAGAACCACCAGGCCTGGCGCAGACTCTGCTCGTCTTGGGTATAATAACCACTGACGACAGTCATGAAGCCGGTAGGAATGACACTCTCCACGAAGCCTATATAATCAGCCAACTATGTCATGTAAATGTAGAGCAGGGAAAATACCCAGAAAAAACCGCTGCACAAACAACCCCCGCCACGAGGTGACTCCCGCCGTAGCAGCACAGGTAATGGCCCACAGCATGACGACCGGCCCCAAGACGTGCTGGATGCGAAACCGCTGCAGCACAAAGGTCATGGGGTACAACCCGGCCATCATACCAAAGTAGAAGATGGAGGTGGCCCAGCTGAGACGGGAGGTATCTTTGGTGGCAGGCGATGTGGAGTAATCCATGACCTGCAGTTGCAAATCGGTTGTCATGCCGAACAGTGATGCACTGCCAAGAATGGCCTACAAATAGTAGCTTCTAGTCAATAGATTGAAGACATATCAAGTTGGAGCGTGCTCATGACGAACCTTATCCCAGTAAACAAATCCATATCCTATAATGTTATGAGTCAACAATATGCCAATTGATCCAATTCAAACGATCACCTCGCACGAAAAACAAACACCAAACACGCAAATGAAGAAGATAAATATAACGAACCAATTAACATAGCAGGCATGAAAAAAGCATCAATCTTGCGCACCACCCTCTTCTCCACGGCGGGGTCAATCTCCCCCGCTTCTTCACTGACTATGGCCCAGGCGACATCTTTATCCGTGGGAGCAGTCGCAGACGCAGCTATTGTCTGCGATTCGACCTGAATCATGATTCCAGAGGGAGGGCGACTATGCAGCTGGGGGATGCAGTGATGGTGAGTGAAAATTTCGATGGCGGGATGAAAAGACGCGTAGATCCTGGCCATGGTGGGTTTGGTTGATTAGATTGTTTGGCCCGCGTGGGTTTAATTTTTAAGCTTTCGGGTATTTCAATGCCGTTGTCTCTGTCTGTCTGTCCGGCACTGGGGGATTGTGACGGATAAGTGCAACCTCAGGATTCGAGATGGAGGATTATCGATTCAGATGACTGGATTGATGCGTATTGTTTGCTTCATTGGATGTTGATTCATGGTGCTGAATACTACTTAGTATTGTGGCTCTTTGTTCCTGCTAAGGCAAGAGCAGCATACAGAGCAGAGAGAGAATGCTGACGGAGGACTGTGCTCCGTGCGCACAATAAGGTTTGTTGACAGGTGCTGGCCACCATCTACCATTTTTGCCCCAACAGAATTGGTCAACTGGTGAGTTTAGTAGGATGGACACCCTTGCGAAGTGAACAGTGGTATACGTTGTTTCATGATGCCTAGTATTGATTATGCAGTGCTACCTACAGCATTACATCGTAGATTGACCAATAAGATTGGACGGTAAAAAGTAGTGGGCAGCAAGGTTCATTTCCCAGGGGCATGGGATATATATAAATGTATATATACTACCGAAAAGTGACAATGTCTCCGTTTTCAAACAGGTGCATCACTCGAGTGGAGGCATATGACTAGAGAAAACATCGGCTTCGGAATTCAGATCAGATGATTGTGGAGGTGAGGGTCATTTTCACACCCGAAGCCCCTAACAGACCCATAAAATGAAGCCTAAAACCAGGGCGGTGATATGACAATGCGACCCATTCACCGATAGCACTTCTTTGTACAAAATAAACGATCCAGTTCAATTCTAGATCATGATAGGCCATTCCCAACGGAAAATTCCGCGCGCAAAATTGCAAGTGGGTTACACTTCAATTCAAACACCGCGACACCAATTGTATCAGTTTTCATGCAAGCTGGATTCAAACCAGATCCCGAAGTATCCGCCTGTCCGACACAATGACGTAGGAGATGAAGCATCACGGAAACCAATTCCTGGCAGAAAAACAGCATCGGTGGAGATGGCCAGCTCCAACGGATCGTAGAAATTGGCCCGCAGGCTGATCGTCGACGCTGCTCGGTATGATTGGCGAATCGCTTCCGACCGCCTTGCAGACGATCCTCAGGCGGACGCTGTGGAAGGGGAAGGAGGTGGAAGAATATTGTGGTACACCTCACGACGCATCAGACCACTCCATCATGGTGGAGTTAATTTCTCTCAGAAATTCACGAAAGTAGAAGTGGGTAAGTTGCAATGCATTGCCAAGCAATCCAATAGACGCTGGACTGGGGTGGTGGTGCTTGTCGTTCTCTGCTTGACCCTCGGCTATTCCTCCATCACCACAACCAAGCCACCATTGATCGGTGTGAAGCCGGGCGTTTATCATGAGTATTTGATCACCTAATTCCACCCTCAAGAATAGGGAGGAGGAGTAGTAGATGGCCTTTGTGCCAGAACACCAATGCCTATCCCAGTTGCTAGGGAGGATGGAAGCTCTCACAGCGGCAGCGCACTGACCTACATTAGTGAGCGCAAACGCACGGACAACGTGGGATTGATGAAGTGGAACATCTCGGGCAAAGCAAGGCAGGGCTGGCTGCGGAGTATAGCATAACAAGGAAAATACAGGGTAGCTCGATACACAGTAGAGAAGGGAGTCCCCGCCGGAAAAAGATGCCGACCGCCAATTTCGAGTTGCTCATTGCAGGCGGAAGAAATTTCCGACCGCCAGGCAACGGAGACACGTCACATGTCGATCTCTATTATTCCACACTTCCAAGACATTCCACCGGAGCCAAGTTCCACACCGGCTGTGGATAGGCCAGGCAGACACCGAATCCCGAGCCATGAGGGAGGGAAGGTATACTGGAAAGGGGAAAATGTACACAGGGAATCAGGTAACAAATAAAGATCTAGCATTAGTGGTAATGGTTCATTACTTCGTCACGGCTTTGTCAAGATATGAAAGAAAGGAAAATGGGTGGCTGGGCGATGCCATCATCAGTCAGCCGAACTGCCTCGCTTCAGATCGGACTCCGACGCGGCCGAATCCTGGTTTGTCTGCGAGAGACTCAGCCCATCCCATTTCGCCAGAAATTGGTCCATATCCACGTCTCCCTGGCGCGCCGGTCCCTGCTGCACAACGGAGCTGAAATGCGGATAGAAGCTGCTGAACTCCTTGGCGTCGCGCTGCTTCCAGCCCAGCGTCTCGAAGTCGGTAAACAGCGCGTCGGTCTCCTCGGGGAGGGCCACCTCTGTTTGCGTCGCGGACAGCTGAATCATTCGTAGGATACCCTTGGCCAAAGGGAAACGTCGCGAGAACGCCCGGGCGATAATGCACAGCTCAACGAAGGCGTTGCGGTTGTCCGTAGAGTCCAGCGCCTCCATGAGGGTGAACATGCCAATGCTGCACCACTGGATGGTCGACGGCGCCATCCGGTCGATACCCCACTTGTCGCGATGAACTCGCAGCAGCTCTGCCACCCGGCGAGCCGACGAGAGGCAGAGTTGCTGTGCATGTGCGGCCGTAGATACATCCAGGGCCACTTCGCGGTTGGATCGGAGAAACCCAAAAATCTGCATGACGGTGGTGTGGTAAAACATACTAACGGGTGGGGCGAATCAGCACACCGAGTCGCACAGAGGCATCTTGTGAAGGGAGGGGGCAAAAGCACTTACTGGATACTCAAAACGTGGGGGACGGTCGCCACATCCGCGTTCATGCACGGTGGCAAATGCGCGTACCACTCCTGGAGCTGTTTGTAGATGCCGTCGATAAATCCGACCATCTGCGATGGCGTCACAAGGTGCTCGGGATCATGAAGTCCCTGGCTGATCTGCATCATAATGCAGCAAAAGTCGCACCATCGATCGAAAACACAGTTGTGATGCCCGCGGACTGCGTCCACCTCTCGCGGGTACGGGTACCATAGATCGTCCGGATCGCTGTGGGTGACGGGGATGCGTGGACGCTGCGGGGGGTTGACGTTGATATGCTTCATCAGCGACACTGTTGCCGTCCTGTCACCAATCCCAATTAGTAGTTGCTCCTGGTACCCAGAAGGTAGCACTTACGAAGCAATATTGAAAGCGCCCCAGAGTGTCCTATTCACCACCCCCTCGGCTGCGCCGTCTGCCTCCCAACCAGCTATCCCAGGAGGGTGGCTTTCCGCATACTCCTCCGCCCCCCGGATAGCCAGATCCAGGTACATCCACCCCAAGCGGTCTTTTCCCATCAGAACCATCCTGCAAGCCCAATACTATTAGCATGGCCTACATTGCTTGAGGCTTCAAGCACCTACCGGATAAATAGAACCAATAAGCCTTGGATCGTTGGTATTGTCGCTCCTCCCTCCTCCTCTTCCAGGAGCCGACGGGCTTCTTCGTAGAAATGATCGCCCCGGGTGAGCGGGTCGTGGGGAACGGTGAATACTTCGGCGTAGTCAGAGTAGTACTAAATAAGCACCCAGTCAGTCAGTCCTGCGGTAAATGGCATTGATCCAAAAGGGTCAGGTACACCTACACAAGCCTCGGAAAGAATAGCATTCACCAAGAAGCGCGAACAGAACCGGCACTCGAGATTGCCGGCCCGCATGTCCCGCAGAAAAGCATCCTTATCCAGCCAGTGGAAGAAGGGGTAGGTCCAGGTCAGCCACAGCGACACGAGGTGGGACACCAGGTCATCGTCATCGGTGACAGTTGTCCATGGCTTTGCAGGAACTTGGTGAACGGGGTTATCGGCGAGACGGCGGACGTCCAGGACACGGCGGGAGGATCGGGGTTGAGAGGACGGTTGCGACTCCTCATCATCGTCAGAGGGACGGGAGATCTGGCTCTGGATCTCACGCAGTTCCGGGGACAGTTCAATTTCGCGCCCGGTGAATTGTTGCTCCAGGAAGATTTGAAGTTCCTCGAAGGAGGCATTACTTCGGATGAGATTCAAGAGCTGGGCGAGACGTTTGCTCTCACTCTCCCGGAGCGCGTCAATCAGTCGCAGCAGCGTCTCCTCCGCCTGTTCGAGCCGGTCTAGTTTCCGCTTCATGGCGTATTTGCGGCGCATGTCGGCCATCTCGTCGACCAGGCATGGAATGCCGTTTGCCACGCAATGCTGACATGGTGGATCACCTCTGCACTTGAGGGGGTCAGCCGACGAACAGGGATTGATGTGATGGTACGAAGATACCAGTGACAACGGGCTTAATAAAGAAATCCCACCTTGAGCTTCTTCTGTTTGCACGCCTTGCAGGCGGTGGTCTTGTGCTTACGACCCTGAACTACATTGTCCGCCACCTTGGCAGTCGGGGGCTGACCAGGAGCGGGTGCCAGGAAGCGGGAGGAGGAGGATTGCGAGTCGGACATATATGACAGTGATGGGAAGCACCAAGACGACCACACAAGAGGAAGTCGCCCTGAGGAGGGAAATTGAATGAGAGGTGAAGAGATGAAAAGGCGACCCGAGGGAACGGATACAGAGAGTCAACAATCAATGGGGTGGGGTTCGGTTGGCGGGAGGAGATGGCAATAGTGTTGTGGGAATGAACGGGTCGATGAAATTGGCTAACTAAGTATTGCCCACCCCCCGGTTGCCGTCTAATCGTCTGTTATGGTAGAAATAAGGGAGATTAAAGGGCCGACACTGAATCCCCGAGGAGTGGAAAGAAGGCAAGAGACCCAAACGATATGATGGTCAATTGAAAGTGTATTCAGTAAGAGATGTCAGTAGTAGTCACAATGAGCGTTGGTACTTGCTTTAAAGGTTGAATTTTATATATGGAGCAGGAGGCCCAGTGGTTAAGGGATTTGCTTTTCCGGGCCTAATTCTGTGGCTGCAGCGGTATCCAAGTGGAAAGATAAAAATAAAAATATAAAAATATAAATATCAATCCGAGATTGGAAATTCGAAAAATAATAAAATAAAATCCAACGACTAAAACCCGAGTGTGAAAAGAATACGGCATTGAAACGAAGTGGGCGAAAGAGGGTACGAAGAAAATAGGGAATCCCCGAAATTACCCATTTAGGAACTGCAAAGGGACAAGAAAATTCGAATATAAAACAAATCAAACCAAAAGGGGAAATGCACAGAGGTGGAGGGAGGAAAATAGAGGAAATACACAGAACAGCACCCAGACTCTCAGAGACCCAGAGGGGAGGAAGCTTAAAACGCGACAGCCAGTCAGCAGTGAGGATGAGAGGGTGTAAGACAGACTTTGTTGTTTCTGGAAAGCAGCAGAGGCTGCGACAGATTTCCGCGGGCCCATCGAGACTTCACGGCTTCCGGCCGGGGAGGGAGCCGAGAGAGAGACATGAGAGGACGAGAGTGGAAGGCAGCCCGTCAGTTCAGTCAGTAAAGAATCAGTAACTTCCAACCGTATGGAAAAGAAAAAAGGATCGGGAACCACCAGTCCCAAAGAGGATAAGCCTGCGGGCAGCCCCAGTCTTGGCCCGGCCTGTCGCTGGTGGCACTGCTATCCGCCCAATCACTACCGGGGGCGCTAATGTCAATAGGGAACTTCGAGGTAAGAGTTAGTATTGTAGTCTGTAGTAGGCAGTAAATATCTTCGGCCGTCCAAGTGTCGGATCCGGTAGAACCCAACTGGCAAATCCTCCTCCTGCCAGACTCTTGCTCCCGGAGCTAACCTGCATAGGAATCTCATCATGAAGCAAGCGAAATTCTTCTTCCCCTTCCAAGGCCTGGGAAACGCAAGCTCCTCCTGTCTCAATTGCCGTTTTGAGGTTAGCTGGCCGCGCCGCTGGGATCTTCGGGACCCCTGTACCATACTTTGGCTTCGTTCATGAAGGGCAATTCCCAGCTTGGTAGTTACCATTAGATATTGTGGAGTACGGAGTACTATACTATTGCTACACAGTCAATTGGGCGGGTGTACCTTGTTGGGCCCGCAATAATACCAAAGAAAACCAAGATACAATAAGTACTTTGACTTTGTGTATCCAGAACACACCAGTATGCGTACCTGATGTGATGTTGCCTTAAGTTACCTCAATACTGTACGGGTCTAGTACCCGAAGTCAGGTCGGGTCTTAACTCTCTTTTTCCATTGTCCCTCCCCTTCGCCATGAACACATGGAGTCTGCGGCCCAGTCAATCAACCAGGGGTGTGGAGGCTGTCCATCGGCAGTGGCAAAAAGCGGCACGCTACTGATCGCGCCTGCAGAAAGTCACCAGTTGACCCAATTATCGAGACTTTTGGCGAGAGGAAGTAACAGCCGGCCACTCAGTTTTGTCGACCAGCCATGGAGGCTGCATGGCTGCGGTGGAACCTGGTCGGCAACCCCTCTCCCGGCGGGTTTCCGGGCGAATCACCTGACGCGCCGCGGGCCTTGCGATCGCAGCAAGCGCAGCCTATCCGAAGACTCAAATGTAACTATGAGTTCATTCCGGCCTCTGCTTGACATCAACAGACAGGAACTTGTTGGGCTCACGGAACTGTTTTCCAGTTAATGTCGCCCAATACACCGCTCAACCATGCAACTTCAGATCCCCTCTCAGACTCCATATTCGCCTCAAGCCTCCTTCCAGCCTAGAATACGTCCAATCACAAGGGCTGCTTTGGATATGCGCTACGCCATCTCATCTCGAGAGTGCACGCCTCGTTTGACCGGGTCATTCGGTGGCAATGCGAGAGTCCAGATCGTCGTGCAGCGCTTATTAGTTGATATCGTCGACTAGAGTACACTGCCCTCTTCCACCACTCCCCTCACCGAGGGAGGGTGATATTAACCCAGTTGGGAAGGACACACATGAAGGGAGGAAGGAGCCTGATCTCCACCAGAGCCCGGGAATAGAGGCTTCGGTCGTCCAGCAAACATCATTCTCGAACCACACTGGACGGGCTGAGACCGAGACAAACTAAGCATGGGCACGGGTGGAATGACGGGACGGAAGGGGACGAGACACGCTACACTCCCTACGAATACCCTCGGACCCAAGACTTTGCATGCGTCCGTGATAAGCGGGGACTAAGTAGTATCATGGGAATAGGTAAGAAATAAGACTCAAGTAAATAGGCTCACTTTTATGGCTTTGCGCAATCGTGTGCATGGTTTTACCGGCCGGTAACAAATCGTCACCCGCATCACAGGCAGGGTTGGTTGTCCGCATTTCAGGTCGCAAGGTTTCGTGACGGGGAATGGACCTAACCATAGTAAGAATGCCCAGCACTAGCTCACTCATTGGTCGTGATCGGGCCCTCATGCCAGCAAGTGCGTCGTAGCAGCCCTCTATTACCTACCTGTATGTACAAGGGGACTAGGCCAGCAGATACACAGTAGCGATACGCCACCAGAGCTCGGGCACCGATGGGAAATCTGACTCCCACGCGAGCAATTCCGAAGCCCAATCAGATGTGCCACAAATGTCTCAAGGGAGGTAGATATCCTTGGCATTGGGAAAGGGTAAACACGCATGGTCGATGGGGATTCGAAATCAAAACCAGTCCAGCCGAGATACAGCAGCAAACCACCCTGACACCTCAGCCATCAACCTTCTGAATTCAGTAACTAGCCGATCATGTGAGGCCACGATCACGCCCATCCTTCCCGTTTTGCATGGATGTTTGCTTCTGAGTTCAATCACCTCTTTTTTTCCCCCCCTCTCTCTCCCTTCTCACCCCTTCTTTCCCCCCCTCCATCACAATCCACATCCCCTACTATCGGCTAGGAGGGAAAGAGAGCCATCGCGGCCCCTACCCTAGCGTCCGCGATTATCGAATAATAACGCCGATTGCGGGCCAAAACATTCTGAGACCACGTCGCCGTCTCGGAGAAATGGGAGGTCCAACCTTCATCACCAGGTGTCAGACTAGGCCACTCGGAAGCGGCCCGTCTTCGTCTGGGTTGCATCACCCAGCTTTGGCGCTGTCGAGAAGATTCCATCGCTTGGATCCCACTAACCGCAACAGCTTTCCTGCATTGGTGGCATCTCCGAGCGCACCCAGACCTGGTATTACCCTGGTCTAATGCAGCTGTCATGACTGCACTCATGTAGCTTAGGCAGAACCGACCGTTCTAGGCAGGCGTGACCCTCACTTCACTCTCCGGATCACAGGTCATCTTATTATCTGGCGGCATCAGAGGCCTAGATCACCATCAGGTAAGCTGGAGTATTTCCTCCGTACTTCGATCTTGTTGCCAGGACATGCCTGGATTTCGGTGTACGTTGCCGAACATCACCGGGATGAAAGAGATGAGCCTGTAGCCAATCATCCACCCGCTGAAGGGAAATCCTACCCATCCCGGCAATATAGGCGATCGCAATTGGCGTGACAGCAATCCCCCCGTCCCCTTCATTTCTCATTATCGACGTCCTGTCACTGACCTTGCTTTCGTTGAGATCGTGCCAGTCTCTGTCACCCATCGAAAAATTCTCCCCGGTACTAGCTGAAACGTCGGAATCCTGTCACGCTTCGTCGCTGCACATTAAGCCTATCAGCATAACAATGCCCTTCCCCAACCAGGCCCACTTTCCTTGACCTCCGCCGCACAACAGGGCAGTGGAGCCGGACGCACAAGTCTTCAAAATGGGTTACCTTGGCAGAACAGATTGGATTCATGGCGGGAAGTCGTCGATGCTGCAGAGTCAATGAAATCGGTGGAAAGGGTTGGCCATGTTGAGCTGCACTTGCGACAGATTCACTGCGCATGGACTAGCAGTGAAGCGTCTCAACAAGGATCATAACTTGGTGGCGGTTCAGGGTGTTCTGGCCAGGGATCACCGGCAATGTTGGGAGGGTCTCTCGCCCTGCAGGCTGTTTCTTACAGAGCACGGACGTGGCAGGTCATGGACTAGCCTTCTGCAGGCTGAGACTGACTACAACACACCTACTCGATTATTCGAGCTACCTCTTTGCTGTAAAAGCTGCTGGTAGTTTGGGGGAAACCTGCATGGAGCTCTCGTCAGGTTCTGCAGCGCAAAGCCCCGAGCTCTGACCCAGCGTCCTTCATGCGGCAGGAACAGGCTAACCACCCTGCCTTGTGAAACCCCAAGGTCGAATCACATAGCTGGGAATATTTACCGGCTGATGGGAAATTGTCGCTCCGAGTTTCGGTTAAGTATTTCTGCGAATGTTAACGATGTTTATACAAAGATCAGAAACGAAGCCTAGATGCCATCCACGACACTGTATACTGAGCTTCCAAGCATTCATCACCAAATACCACACTGCCGCCTCTTCTGTGCGACCTCCTCTGTTAGTCAAACAATGCCAGGCTAGGTAGCATAACATCAACAGCGATACTCGCTGCTCTCGCTGGGAAGTAAATGGTTTGGAGGAAGAGTGATCAGTATGATCAGCCGACAACGCACAATTCTCGCAGGATCCCGTGTCTTAACCCTGTTAGAGCATTGCTTCGTCACATTGGATCAGTAAGCGGGAATTCTGTCTTATGCGACCGTGGGAACCATTCAGGCTCAAAAGCCTGTTCAGACGTCATACCCAAGCGACCGCGCATGTCATAATGAAGCATGAAACCATCGTGCATCTAGCATGCGCAAGCCGGGGATTCCCACGATTCATCGCGATTTTCTGGCGGTCGGAACTCGATTGCGCTGGACACGTCGCCCCCCAATCGCTGCCACAGTGCCACATGACGTCATGCGTGATTTGCTTACCGCCAGTGCCTTTCCGCTTCGGGAAGTCGTGTTGCCATCCGCAATGTTGCAGTTTGTGCCTCTGACCCTCGTCTTTGCGGGGACTGTCGGACTCCCGTTTGTAACTCGCTGCAACTACGCAGATAATTTGACTATCCGGTCAAGTACCGTAGCGCGCTGTATCTGCGGCACCTGCTGTGAAGATCGTTTGAATACTTTGTAGACAAGAACGACTGGGGGAATCATCATCATCATCATCATTGAACTTTGAGAAAAGAAAGAACAATCACTATCAATTGTCGCCATAACAGCTTAAGTCCATATGCTCTGGAAATTGACAACTCCTATTCTAAGCCTATACACAATTTCCCTAGACGCTCAGATGTGCATCAATGGCTTCCATTTAAGCTCGCGGGGTCAGTTGGACCATCAATCGGTTCTTTTGCCATAGCGTCCACGTATTTTGCTTCTCCCAGCCTACTGATTCAGGTGCCAGTCTTAGATCATAGTGGTATAGGACCTTGGCTAGGATGAGTCGCATCTCATGGTAGGCGAGACTATTTCAGACGTCAGACATGCTTATTAGAGCATTGACACACCTTGATTAGAGGAACTTACTTTTTCCCCAGACAGTTGCGAGGACCGAAAGAGAAAGGCTGACAGGCAGCCTTGTTGTCACTAGCAAACTGCGGGTCATTACCCCATCGCTCTGGAAGAAACTCGTCTGGCCGGGTGAAGTTTCGCGGGTTGCGATATGTCGCCCAGTGATGTACAGAGACAGCCGTCTGAAGACACACATCAGTTTCAGGTTCTACTTGCAAAAAGAAAAGGTGGTACGCTGAGTAAACATCACTCACATCGCCAGGAATATATTCGCCGCAGATTTCCATACCCTCCTTGGGAGTGAGACGAGGCATCCCAGTAGGGACAGGGGGATACATTCGAAGGCCCTCGTCGATACACATGTTCAGGTACTTCAGCTGGGCTAACCGCAGCATATCGATGTCCGAACTCTGCTCGAAGGCGTCGCGCACCTCGTTGGTGATCTTTTCTAATTTGTCGGGATTCAACAACAATTGATACGTAAGGCCGCTCAATGCAGTCGCGGTGGTTTCCGTCCCAGCTACCATGAATAATTGGGAGTTGGCGTACATCTCTTCGCGGCTCAAGCGCAGGGACTCTTTCTGCGCCATGACCAAACCCCAAATATCAGGCCGATCCAGACTCTGGTCAACCCGCCAATCTACCCTGTCCTTGCATGACTGGTAATGAGACGCTTGCCGTTGTTTCAACGACCGAGGGAGGAGGGAGTTTAAGAAATAAGAACACCATGGATAGTACCGTGCGATACGTCGGAGTGAGTTGATCTTCACACTGGAGAAGATGGATGTCACCCATGCTACATTGCCCGTACCTTTCAGCAGATTCAGTGGGTCCCCGAATGTCAAGTCACCCATGATGTCGAATGTCGTCAAATTGTACATCATGACCATCTCAATCCTTGCCTTGGGATTTGCTTGAACAATTTCTCGGAGCTTGTCGATGAGCATGTCCGCATAATGAGCGATGAGCGGCTGCTGCTCGCGCAAGGCCTTGTCCGAGAAGGCATGCGAAAAGTTGCGACGAAAGCGTGAATGATCGGCGGCTGGGGCGCGAATGACATCTGGGGTTCCATTCAGTGTGGTGCCGAAGAATCGTTTGTCCTTCTCGGTAGACTTTTTGGTTGCACTAGCATGGCCGTAGATATCTCTCCATGCTTCGGCGGACGAGTAGCTGACTTGATCGGGTGAGATCCGGACAGTGTCTCCGTAAACCAGATGAAGGTTTCTCATCCATGTATGCTCGTCTCCCATGAGGTTGTGATACATATACACCAGGCGGGTAACTGCCGCCAGCTTTGGACCGGCGATCTTACACAAAGGGTTGATGTACAACTCGTAAAAACATTTTCCCACCAAGGAGAAGAATAACTGGGGTCATCAGAGGCACGCGTTAGCAACCACCAACCCCTGACGTCTGGAAGGATTGCACTCACTAAGCCAGCTGTTAGTATTAGGTAACGCCCCTGTAGGGCCTCATGAAGATTTTCGTGGATCATGCTGAGGTCTGAAAATAGAAATAACCGACAACCAAACTGTGAAGGAAAGCATTGGCTGGTATCGAATGCACACCGCTGTGACGGGGCCCCAGATGGTATTTATCATATCTCCTGTACTCAGAAGGAGTCGCCTGACGTTGCAACAGCCGGCCTGATTATGTCGAGGCAAAGCTGCACAAGCTCAGCCAATGCTTTACCAAGCCGGCACACGACCCGCTACCAGCCAAGCTGCATGAAGCTATTAGCAGGAAAAGACCTCGGCCTATCCTCCATACATCACTCCGATGCAAGTGGTGCTCGGCCCTAGACCTCCGATGTCCCGATGAGGAACAGTCACAACGTGTTATCTTCAAGGCCTTGATGTGTGTTCTACAAAGTAGGCGTGATTCGAGCCATACCGGCCGAGCGGGGAAACTGCAGAGTGGAGTTCTGTTGCGGCACATCGAGGCTTCGAAAGGAGGGGTCATGTCGATCGCCGACCCCCTTGGAGCGAATAGCAGGATAAATATTAGCGTTATGACATTGTACCGAGACATCAAGGTTTTGCATAACTAACCGGCCGCTTTCTTTCACCGGCTATAGCCTGGGCACAGATGGGGGTCTGGAATAACAGCAAGGGTGCATCGGGGTACGTGTATAAGCTTGTCACATGGTATGAGTTATGCTAATTGGCCTGTGCACAACGCCGCGTCAACGATCGCTACATTTCCTAGAATTAGCAGGCAAGGGGTTGGTCTGCGCTCGTGCCGTTTCATCCGGCTGTGGTCGTTAAAGACCAAACTGCAGATGCAGTGTTACCCTCACAGGGATGCACTGTGACAATGGTAGAATCCACCGATATGAAAGGCCTTGTCTATCCTCCAATAACAAGTCAAGCTGATATGCCCTGCCGATCCTCGCCCAAACTCAAATCTAGCAACTTATAGCACGGAAACTGGCGTCATTGAGCTTACATTCCTGTATCTGATTTCATTTCCAATGAACACACTGTCTACATGAACAGCCAGTCGGATACTCGGGTCAGACTGCCAACGCATAAGACTGTCACATATACACTCACCCACGTCATCTTAGCAACCAAGCGACGTAGGATCGATTACCTCCTTTTAGCGCTTGGTGGATGGTAAGCAAGCCCTATAACCTTGATGACGGAGTTTGTTGGCCGAGCCTGCAGCAGCAGCAATGCCAATCCATCCATCCTTCGACCCGAAAATGAGCTATCGCCGGGGATGCTCGGGCCGCAGGATCAACTAAGCTATGTATGTTACGCTACGCCATCCTTTCCAGGGGGCCGAGTCGATCTTCGGTGCTCGGGAAGGATCAGGTACATATATCTTGTAAGCACTGTAGCATAAACCAGTGGGGACAGGATTTGCGGGTGGCTGTCGTCCTAGACGTACGTGAGGTGTTCGTAGCTATGTTCATATGCGTTCCTGAGAACCTTGTTTGCTTGTATTCTGCTTGGCTCAAATGACTGACATATATTAGAAGTAGAGATATATCAGTACTCGAGAAGTGAGGCGTGAAGTCTCCCCCGTCGGTATACATTGTCGACGAGTGGAAATTCCCTCATCTCGACTACCAAGTGATGGATCCCAGACACTGCCAGCATGGAACTCCACTTTGTCGTCATAGACAGGTTCAACTCATTTACAGAACTATGTCTTTGAGCAGGCAGCCAGATTATTCCACAATATTTGCATGCAAGATCTGTGATAGACAGGCAGTTTTGCCTTGCGGTCGGAATTCCCGGGCCTTCCTATTCGGGATCGGATGTTGGTCTTCTATGCCGAGCAGGGGTATTTGCTTTTCTGAGATCATCGACCGTTTTTCACGAACCATGCTTTTGTTCCTTTCCATCGCCACTCCAACCTTTGTTGTCATTTCCCTAATCTTGGAATGTCTGCGTTGCGAGCTTCACTAACCCATTTTTACTAGATGAAAGAGAAAGAATTCGAATTAGATTAATTTAACTGGCCGTGACGGGTAAACTGAAGTATCACGCTGCTGTATATCTATCCAAAAGCTCGTTCACTATGCCTTCCATATCATCTTCCTCTTCACTTGGTTCTCTTACATCGGTCGTGCTTGAAGGCAAAGAGGGAAGGGACTCATCGGAGTGAACCTCCGACTTGCTAGCAGCAAAGCGCTCAACGAGCCACAAGGGCCGATTTTCGCGAGAATTCTTGAACTCGGCAGGGCCTGGGCGGCGTCCATCCTGTGTCAGAGGGTTAGGAGATGGAGCGATGACCGAAGAAACGGAAGGAGAGCGGTTGGCTCGAAGCGAAATTCCAACACTAGCTGAGGTGTGTACCACATCGCTAATATTGGACTGCCCCCCGTGGTCCTCGGACACGGAACTGTTATGGATATCAACTTCCTCGTTAACAAGAAAATGGGCACCAGGAAGCTGAGCGGGAAATTCCTCTTCCGAATATTGAACTTGTGAAATGCGGTCGACATTTTCTCCTTCCATTCCTCCCATTCCCCCATATCCACCGGCTGCTACTCCTGCAACCCCTGCCCCCAGCACAAGATCAGAAGAAGTACCAGAAGCTTTGATTTTGTGTCTAGAACCGATGGCTCTCAGAAGTCTTGTGATCTCATGCAAAAGCCCAGTGCGTCTGTATCTTTTTCGGTCTTTAACCTCAAGATCCGTCAGATTGCTGTTAAGCTGCGTTATATATCTCTCGTTTCTAAGCTGTCGCGTGTGTGCTAATAGATCCTCTTCGAAGTTGTTGAACATGGCTTTATTGATAATTATATAGTCGTAATTAAACTGGGAGAATTATATTTCAATCAAAAAAATAGAACTAGCATGAGAGATTTTGAAGTTACTACATACCTTATCCCACTTCCAAGGTAAACCATAGGCGTTGAGACTCACGGGCAAAACATGCTTGCGATCTATCTACAACGCCGTATTAGCATTACTTCTAACTAATTACATCCGTCTTCGGGAGAACTTACTCTTATGTCGTCTGTAATTGCTCGTTAAATATCCGCGCCTTCGAATGTCGTCATTTCTCCTTCAGTCGTAGACCTGTGGTGCATGAGGCTCATGATAAATACGAAACTTCTTGCTCGAATACCGTCAACTCCATTAACTATGCTGTAAGCGCAAGAAAATTGTTCAGCCCTTTTTGGTCCATCTGCAAGGCTGCACTAGGCGGGATGTGAAAGGCTTCATTGGATACAGAGGCTGGGATATCTCTGATGGCCGGGGTGCCCGGTAGCCGCTGGCAAGGCTGAGGTGGCCCTCTAACTTACGTCTTTAAGAAAATCATCCCCCGTACAATTCAGCCCATCACTTATTGACTAATGATCAACTGAGTCAGAACTTCTCATGTCCATGAAGAACCACACAATATACATTTATCATTCTGTCAACGTAATACTATACATGACCCTCACTTCATCCATAACCACCAGCCACAAGGACCTTTAAGCATGATCAATAGGCGACGGCCCCGCATCAATAGGGTAAGTAAAGATATAGTTCGGCCCATCGGCCATCAACCCATCACCACCAGGCCTCATCTGCGAAGCAGGCAACCAAAGCTTCTTATCAGCGGTGACCCACATCAGATCCGTCCAAAGCAGCTTCTTATCCTGGATAAGTATTGTCGCGCGTCCCTCAGGCGTAACCTTCCAGATAGCCAGCAAGTTCGTATCACTAACATAGATGTTCCCATCCCCGTCAATAGTACTACCACCGGTGCTGGGCGTCAGAGCGAACGGCTCCGCATAATCTCCCAGCGTCGACGCAAGAGTCGCGTTCTTCAGAGACGCATCGACATACGCTGTCTTAATGCGATACAGACCTCCATTGCAAGGTTGGTAGTACAGGTAGACACCGTCGGGAGAGACCTCGATTTGATCGAGTCCAACGGAGAGGGTGCTGCCTGCGGCACCGTACCCGGGGACCAGGGTACCGTTGTACATCATAGGGAACCAGGGTTGAGCGGAAGAGTCGGTGGAGAGCACGCGCACACCCGTGCCGGTGGTCATGTTCATGACAAGGAGGGCACCGGCAGTGTCACTCATGTAGGCAACATCACCAGCGGCATTAAAGCGGACGTCATCAATGCCGCTGTCGGAAGCTTTCATGGCGTCGAGGTAGTAAAGCTTGTCAACGGCATCGGTGGTGAGGTTCACGCCAACGAGCTTGGTGGAGCCGTTCACTCCTGTGGAGCCGCCGTCGACAATCCAGTAGCGACAGTCGGGACCCATGCGGGCGCCGTCAATGCTGACGAAGGTCTTGCGTGGGTCAGAGGTAGGGTCACTGGAGTTGTAGGAGTTCCAGGCGGTGTTTGGGTAGAGGGCCGTGGAGTTGTCGTCTAGGAGCTCGACAATTTGAGGGGGCAGAGTGGTCGAGTACCGCTGGGACAGGAATTTGCGGCCATCGGAGGAAATACTGATGCCTTGGGTAGCGCGCTCGAGGGAGTAGGCCAGCTCGAGCCCTGGGGTGCTCGCGGTTGCGGCAGCCAGGGGGGCTGTGAGGCCTAGGAGGCCGAGAAACAGGGCGGCGGACATTGTGGTCTCGAGTTCAAAGAAGAGACAATTTGAAGACTGTGCCTGGATGTTGTAACTGTGGCCATGATGTTCTGTACCTTTATAGTAGCCAAATCGGCCCAGGAGATGGAAGAAGGGAAACTATCTCCGCCATGCCAAGCAACGCCAAGAGGATGCGGAATCAAAGCCAAGCACAGCCAATCTCAAACAAGCTTAGCCTCCGCAATCTTCACTCCTTGATTGATGGCCAGATGAGCATGATATGACGGTAGTGGGGAGTAGAAGGATTACCTTAAGTGGGCGCTAGGCGTTTCGGAAGGTCAGGAGCCGGAAGGAATGCAGGTACGAGAGTTTCTTATTCATCAATAAGTTGAAGCGTCGTCTCCACTGCTTGCGTGGTCTGATTTTACGGTAGTATTGTAGAACCATGGGTGTTTACGGGACTGAGGATTAAGAATTATGTGGGTTATCTAAATGGAAATGATGTGCACCGATCCGACCGAAAATAGAGGATTTGTCAGTCATTGTCTTCATGATAAGCGCAGCTCACGAGTGTCGGTGGAACTAATAGCCAAGCCTCTACTCGTCACTATCTCCGAGACTTCGGTCACAGTGACCTGATTGGGAGAGCCATCGGAAGATCGATATCATCCAGACAATCAGCCATTCGATATGCGAAATAAGACAGATATGATGAGGAGCTTGACGTTCAGCATTGTGTCGAGTTATTTATTCGACGTGGTACTGAGCAGGAGAAGTGGCTTTTGCCACTGATAAATTTTTTTCAAGATCAAACGTTTCATGAAGTAGTCTAGGTTCGGAAAAAGCTGATTTGTATTCTCTATTCGATATGAAAGCGACATAGTAGCATAGCGAATATAGCTTTGTCATCAAACTTCAGCAATGCGCTGTGTGGCTTGCCTTTCGAAGTCTGACTTGTTGCGAGAAGCAAAGATCTCGTACAAGTGACATAATGCCACGAAAGAGCAACGCAAATATGACAGAACTTGAGTCCATACCGCTTTGCATCTCTGCGAGGCCTTCTATGCTTTCACATACTAGCCCCTTTCAAGTACACTCAAGCTCCGTAACTGCACTATGGCGACCCCACCAAAACATTTCGATATAACCGACGCCCAAGACAAATCCAACCCACCCTCACCACCACCACTGGTCACCCTTCCAGACCTCAAAGGCTCAGGCATATCTCCTACACTGTGGTATCGAATCCACGTCCTCATCTTCGATCTGAAGAATTTCGATAACGCCTCATCCAAGAAGCGTCTGGATAAAGTCACAGACCCATCTTACATCGGGGAACCATACTTCACCATAGAAGAAGCCAAAAAGATTAAGCAGACTATGATTGATGCCAATGGAAAGACATTCTCAGAAGCGCTAGTGGAAGGCTTGAATGACCGACTGGAACGGCGGAACAAGAAGCGTATTCAGAGTGGCGACTTTCGAGTTTGTGCGGCACACGATCTTGCTCCACTCATGGCAAGTGCGCTGGGTATTGATCTTAAGCAGATGGAGAAGGACAAGAACTTTGCAAGGATGATTGAAATAAAGGGACTAAATTTGCGTGGAGAAATCTGGGGCGGGCTAAAAAAGAAATCTTTTTCGCCGAAGAATAAGAGACGATAAGCCCAAAAAGGAGTTGTCTATGTTACTTCCCGACTTGGAGATTGTCGGGTATTTACCTACAAGAGCAACAAGTAGACAGGACTAGGAATAAGCGGAGAGGTATCATTATCTGGCTTGACTCATCTATTCTAGAGTCGTCTGCGATCGCTGCAGCCGTCTCAAAGTCTTCGACCACAGTATCTGTGCATAAAGAACATGCGCCTCATAAAGCAGCCACGGCAGCATCTTAAAGTCTCTTTGTTGCTGGCCAAGAGGATGCAAATTTGTGCACTCAATAGTAACATAGGTCACCCTCGCCTTCTCATCCGAAACCCTTTCAACAATGAACTCCTGAAAACCACCGTCCATCAACCGCCACGGCAAGCCATATGATGCAGCCTTGTCCACTCCTTCGACCAATGCTTTTGGAAACATCCAGTACATCACAGCACCAGCTGTATCCACAGCGCTCCCATTTCTAACAGCTTCTTCATTAGGACCAAATTCAGTGACTGGCTTTGAAGCATCAGAAGGCAAGTCCGATGGGCGAACATTCATTCCACGGTCAGCATCCCAAGTCCCAAGCATAAATGCTCCCATCTTGCTTGGGCGTCCGAATAAACGAGAAGAAGGGGTAAAGGATAAAGGCGGAACATCTCTGTCCAATACCGATGTTTCTAAACCTGTCGCGCGCGCATCTAAGAATGCAGCAACGAGATTCTTCGACAGGCTATGCGCGTCGTCTTTTTGGTCGACACCGTCGTGACTGAATAGCCCATATTGCGAAAGTTGTGACACAGGCACCTCAGCTTGAACTGCTACAAAGGATGGGACCCAGTAGGTCTTATCTCCGCCTGACCATGACGATAGCAGTGTCGATTTTGTGACGCCCCATGGTATCGGTGTATTTGCTTCACATGGTGTTTCAATTAGGTTGCGACATGCGCTTGCCTTTGGTATTTCCGTGATTGCAATTGTGGGGCATGACTGGTTGAGTCGTCGCTTGGTGAGATATGCGACAGCGCTGCTGACAGTCGCTATGGTGAGCGCTCCTGTTAGGAAGGGTCGATGTCGGATGAAGTTTGCCATAAGAAGAATAAGAAGAAGGTTTGATAGATTTGTTGTAGAAAATAGTGGTGAGAAGGCTCTATCGTTCTGAGCTGATATAGCGCACCGGGTAGCCAAAGCTATATGGAGGCAAATAGAGGAAGTCTGTTTTGAATTTGAAGATGCGAGATTCTGTATGATACTTAACATATACTTAGCACTTGAAGAACCGGTAAGTATTCAAATGAATACAAGACTTATAATAGTTGGTTTGATCAAGATCCTGATGTCGGGTAATCTCGGGCGAGGCTGTCGTGAGTCAGATGGATCCGAAGCCACCCGTTTTCGACCCCAAATAAGGAGTCAAAAACACATCACAAGATCAATGATGCGCTGGCTTGACTGAGGAATCCACAGTCAGCCCGTATTTATTTCAAAGGGACTGCTTGATTATGCAACAAACTGGTATGTGTAAGTGCTCGCACCATATGTGGAGAACTGGACACAGGTGATTCACATTTTATTGATCAACATCCCCAAAGCAAAGCCCTCATTTCAGAAAACCCCAAAGATTATTCAAGCTTTCCGCAAAAGTTGGATGGGCGAACACAGCATCTTGCAACTTCTGATAAGGCAGATTTCCCATCATGGCAGTCTGCACAATACTCATTATTTCGCCGCCCTCAACGCCTAAACATGTAAAGCCCAAGATCTGTCCAGTCTCCCCGTCAACCACAGCCTTCATGGCACCTCTCGTCTCGTCCGTTTCCAACGCCCTAGCCACATAGCTTATTGGCATCTGCGCAGTCAGGATCTTCCGGGCCGGGAACCTTTCCCTTGCTTCATGCTCATGCAGCCCGACATGTCCGAACTGAGGGTCCGTATAGGCGACATACGGCACGATTCGATCTCTAATCGAGAGCCGCTCATCTGCAGATGTGGACCCCAACAATGTGGGCCTGAGTACTCGGAAATCGTCGTATGAGATATGTGTAAACGACGGCGGACCTTTGACGTCTCCCATGGCGTAGATTGATGGCGAAGAAGTCTCCAAGAACTCATTTGTGATGACATAGCCTCTCTTATCCATCTTCACGCCCGCAGCAGCAGCGTTTAAACGCTCGGTATTCGGCACCCTTCCACTTGCAAAGAGGATGTGCGTAGCCCCTTTGACAGCCTCCCTCCCCTGTCTCGTCTCAACTGCGACATTAAACACATCCTCTGAGGCATTCTCAATTTCAATCGGCGTGGTCTCCAACATGACTTCAATCCCATCGTCCCGGAATATCTCCAACAACATATCCGCCAACTCCTTATCCTCCCTAGGAAGCAACTGTTTCCCCCTCTGCAAAACCGTAACCCTAGCCCCAAGCCTCCTGAACAACTGCCCAAACTCAACCCCAATATACCCACCTCCAACAACCACCAAATGTCGTGGCACCTCCCCCAGCTCCATAATAGACGTAGAATCCAACACCCTTTCATTCGGAACCCTCTCCAATCCATCAAGTATGACCTTCCCAGGCCGACAACCCGTATTTATAACAATCCTGTCCCCCCTCACAACTCTCTCATTTCCATTCCTCCCATCCATAATCACCATCGTCTTCGCATCCACAAAGCTCGCCTCCCCCATAATCACATCCACCCCCGCATCCTTAAGTCTCTTCTCACCTCCCGTGCGGAAAGAATCCACAATATCCCTCTTCCGTTGTCTGATCTTTTTCATATCGATCACCACTTCATTACCATTATCCCTCCCAGTGGAAGCGGACGTATTCGCCATCTGGACACCATACTTTCCACCCCTCTTAGCGAGATACGCGACCCTCCCGGACGCGATCATCGTCTTGGTCGGCGTGCAGCCATCGTTCACACAGCATCCGCCAATATGCTCCCGCTCAATGAGGGCCGTTTTATGGTTCGCGAGCGCGAGGGCTCGAGCGAGAGGGGTGCCGCCTTGGCCGGAGCCGATGATTATGGTATCGTATTGGGTGGGGATGGACATTGTTTGGATGAGATGATGTTTCAGGGGGTGTCGGAGGATGGGACGATACATTCTGTGGCTATTTGCTGGGGTATTTATGTTTGGGATGGTAGTGGGGAAAGGAGAGAGTGGTGATGGGGTTACTGGGTGGGGCAGATATGCTTAGTATACGATATTTAGGTGGATACCAAGAAAAGAGGGGTTATTGGAAGGAGGGATCATGATTAGATCATTGATGTTTGGTTGAGGATGGTCTGGATCGCCGGGAAGAGATCGGATGGATCGTGATGGGTTGGGGTTCCGTGGGTGAGTGCGGGATGCCATGTGCTTTTTTAACTGGGTATGGGGCGGATGGATGAATTGGGTTGCTTACTTGCACAATCTCCGAAAGTGGTACTGTTGGGTGTCTAGGATGAGGTGGAATACGACGGAGGTTGCATTGCCAATCTTATTGCTGGTGATGCTGATTCGTCAGTTATGTATGTCTGATGAGTTACTCAAAATGTCTACGAAGAATGGTTATCTTATATCCTGCCCATCGCGTAAATACTAGTAGTAGCCTGTCATAGTTGATACCAGAAGCAAATAAAGCATCGAACTCGAATATCACCATCACAGTGAAAGCTCTCCGGATCATCGCCGCCCCAGTCTATCTTCCACTGACGTTTCAATACTCCTGTGGCTCCAGTATTCTCCAATCGGGCCGCATCCCACATAATGTATCCCCAATACCGTACTGTATCCTTTTCGTAGAACCCTACGGAGTTGCTGTATGTGCATTTCCATATAAGGGTCCACGCCAATAGAGGATGGGTCGTATCTGTACTTGGCACTATTACATCTCCACAGGAAGGTAAAGGGTCCTGTCGCTCTTGCTTCTTATCGCGAAGAGCCGGGCTGTTTCTGCGGCGCATGTTCTGGACGGTCGCTAATAGGAAATCATGGACCAGGTGGCCAAAATCGCCCTCGTCCGTGTATTTTCGCATTGTCGAAACAAGGTGAATGTGATCCTTATTCTTGAAGAATACCGTGTGCAGTAAGTCGGGCCGCGGGATACTGTGCCATTTAGGGGGTAATCCCACGCGACTATTGAATGAAGTTGTGAATACTCGAAATGTATCTTGATAGAAGTTGAAATCGAAATATTGTGGCAGATGGACCAGACTGGGTTCCCAACTTACGGAAATGCCTGGCTGCCATCGACGGTCACCGGCCTTCGATTTATTGGGAGCGGGGGAGGGGGGATTATCATACACTTCGCAACCAATTAAATTGCACCGTTACGAAGGTTCTGATACAGAAGATCTCCTCCCCTCCTCCCCTCCTCATGGTTCAAAGAAGGATAACTGGCGCTTCATAAGCTCCCTCTCATCGAGTCGTGGGTGCGGACTGCCGAGAAGGTCACAAGAATAGCAGGCCTTGGTAAATAAAATATAGAGCAGTACTTTAGACGGACTTCTGCTTTATATTACATTTTCTTCCTTTGTCAACGGCAACATCCTTCCTGTGGCATCGCTCTTTGTACTGGTACATCGCTTTGTGTGGTAATAGAACCCGACAAAGGGAATTCCAAGTCTCTCTTTAAACGCCACACCGGTAAGACAATGCGGTAGTGTCATTTGCCATTACAAGGCACTTACGGTATATATAAAAGTGTGGCTTGACAATGAAACGAGGCTCATTAGCATCGCATTTAATTGTATATCCGTCAGTATGCTGGAACATTAGTAAGCCATGGAGTTTAACGTAACTCACGGCCGCACCGGCCACCCGCCCGACACCGCCCAACACGTTTCTACATGGAACCACTATTTCTATCAAAGGCAGTGAATTAGGGATGAGTGGTACAGTTGATTCTAGGGCGGTGTGCTAGGGGTGGCCGGTGCGGCCGTGAGTTACGTTAAGTCCTGTAAGTTAACTAATCCATTACTGCTATGGTAAGCTGGAGAGGATCTTTGAGAAATGCGGAGTGGTGGCCAAATCAGGAATGGTGCTCCTACGACTAGTGCAGTGACAGGGTATTCTCCAGTCTAGTCAAATCATATCACTGCCTGATGAGGCGGGGGTAACAGACGAGGATTATTGGTGAAGTCCACGTCATCAATGCATCGACACGCGAGGCAACGGGTGAGACGCTCAACGCGACGCCAAGTGGGGTATTCGGTGCTATGTGTGAGCCGAAGACGCGTCACAGGTGGTTAAAAGCGACTCTGTGTCCAGGCAAACATGGGACTGCTTTGGAGAGCGGGTGAGTTTGTTACTTTCGGAGAGGAGGATTATTTAGGGAAATAAGTATGTGGGAGATGGCCGGAAGAGTTGCTGAGCGGTGGAATGAGGAAGATGAGGAGTGGTTCAGTGATGGCAAGGTTAGGGTAGCTGGGATAACGTGGGGTGACGAGGCCATGGTTTGGATTGCAGTTAGAAAGGTTCGTCATGCTGTAGCAGATTACGCATTTTTCGTGATACTGATATTTCGCTGCAGGTTGACATAATGGACATTGATGAGGGTTGTAAGCGGGAAGATGATGGGGCTGAGTGGGGCCAGATGGGCCTGCGGCTGGAAGGCTTGAGGGCTGATATGGCGGCATCGATTTATCGGGATATATATGAGGTTGCTTCCGTCTCACTAAGATTGGGAGCCGGATTTGTCCTTCGTGATGTTATGGTTCATTGCGCAACCCGGGGAATTAATTGCAGAAGAATGGAGGAGTGGAACGTCTCTTAGTTAGGGTTTGCATTATGCTCCGGATCAACTTGAAACTCTTTCATCGCACTCACGTTGAATCACACTTTTCTTTTGTAAAGCATTGTGAATAATAAGAAAAATCAGAGTTCCTTTTCTTAACGTGGATCCCAACGTTTTTTGCCGCTTGATGAATAAGGCGGTCACGCGTTGGCCCATGGTAGACACTGAACATACAGGCGAAACCTAACCTTGGCGCAGAATCTAACAGACGAGCATAACGGCTGCGCCAGGTGATTGTCACGTATCGGCAACTCCAGTCCTGAAGGAGGGCTGGACGGAATTGTGCCCATCGAATATGGAGAGCTGCTCTTCCTTGTATCGAGTAAAGAAAGATAACATTTCAACTTGCAAGTCATGAGCTACTACCTTTCATCTCCAATCATGGCGGCCACAACTGCAGTGGCCATTGCCGCGGCCACAGCGGCCACAGCCATGACACAAGGACAATGGAGATAACTCCATTCAGAAGCAGCCATGAAAGAGATAACATAATGTCACTGTGCATATATAGAGACGCAAGGCAGAAGGATATGTAGTGTCCAGAGAGGACTTTCAAACCTTGGGATCTGCTTGAGTGAATCAATACCAACAACCTCGTTTGTAAGCTTCTCTCAAAGCAACGATCCCACTAAATATATCACTCGAACTTACGACTCTCGTCACCATGGCCTGTCTTATTGACCTGCCAAACGAGCTATTGCTGGACATAGTAAGCTACATCGAATACAACCTCGATCTGGCAGCACTGTCCCAGACCAACCGTCGAATCTACCATCTTACGAGTTCGCTCGTGGACCAAAAAATCAATCATATGTTCAGAAATAGCCGCCTATATGTCAGCGAAAGCCGTGCAATGCAACGAGCAGCTGGAAATGGAAACGTGGATTGTGTCCGCAGGTTGTTTCGAGCCGGGATCCCCGCGCGCCCCGACATACACTATGACCGCTGGAAGCCCAGTGATCCGGCTACTGTTGCGGCCATGTACGGACATGCAAATGTTGTTCGGCTGTTCTTGGATGCTGGAGTCGATCCAAATGTTATAACATCCCATCAAAGTTTATGTGCCCGTGGTAATCTTTTAACCATCGCCATCCAGCAAGGCCATGAATCGGTTGTTCAACTACTGCTGGAACATGGGGTAAAGCTGGTTTTTACCAAGGAAGACGGGGATATAAACCAGCCTCTATCCGTTGCAACGGAGTTCGGTCACTACGAGCTGGTGAAGCTGCTTCTAAAACATGGGTGCAATCCCCTGACACCCGATTACCGACAGGATGGTAAAGATGAAACATCGGCTTTCTTCAGAGCTGGCGCTCGGAGTCTGCCTATTCTGCAGCTGTTCCTGGAGCCCAATATACCAAAGGACTACTTCTCTGATCCTAAGTACAACTCTCAAGAGTTGGTATTGAAGGTTCTTGAGTGGGGAGATATACCGCTGGCCAGGTTCCTTTTGGATCACGGCGCCGAGCTTGCCATACCAAATTACGACTCATCGGAACCTACTCGAGTCGTTCCACTTGATGACGTTCTGTATCGCGTCGGCTGTGTGTCTGGCCAGTATCCTGATAAAGCTGATTTTCTCCTCCAAAAAATCGATGTAGATAACATCATCAAAGACGGGAACTTTTCCGCTGTTGTTTGTCTTGCTGCTGGTGCGGCTCTCGGAGGCAATGTGGGACTGCTTGACCGTGTGTTAGAGGTTGATTGGGTACACACACGCAAAGTCATTCAGCCACAGGACTGGAAAGATCGCTTAACCTTGTACCTAGTCGATGCAGTCCGCTGGGGTCATCTTGAAGTTGCCAGACTGTTGCTTGATCACGGTGCAGATCCCAACGGCCCAGCCCCAGACGGCGAAGACTCAACATTTACCAGGCCTGTATACACTGCAGTGGAGAAGGGACACACAAAGCTTGTCGCACTACTGCTTGATCGGGGAGCCGACCCCAACCCAGAAGACCGTGGTGGTCTGTTCTTGTTTGCCACTAGTTGTTGCTTACATCAGGTAGTGCGGCAGACACGTTTGGATATTGTCCAGCTTCTGATTGACAGAAAGATCCATGTGCCGGAGGTGTCAAGTGGCTTAGACCCAATGACATCTCTGGTCTGTTCGGGAGCTAAAGTATTCCAGCTGGCTGTACAGCATATGAACCTCAAACTTAAAGTAGGTGACATCTGGCATATGCAGGCCTTTCAGATCGCAGTGAAGACTGGAGACATTCCAATTATCACAGAATTTCTCGAGGCAGGGTTTAAACCAAATAATTGGTCCTGGCTTCTGCCCAACGCGGCAGATCATTTTGACCCAGATGTTGCCGAGCAGGCCGTTGATCTGCTGCTCAAGTACGGTGCAGATATTGACGTACAGAGTCATGAAACGAGCAGGCCAAATCTTTACAGCTTTAATTCGTCCTGTCTAGCAGTACGCAAAGACAGAGTTATTAAGCTGCTCTTGAAGAAAGGCGCCAATCCTTTCAGGGTTGACTGGTCCGGAAAACACGTTTTCATAGCGGCAGCAGCGGCAGGCGAGATTCATTCTGTGAAAGGCGTATTGGAGTACATTGAGGAGACAGGTATCCCATTCGGTGAGGTGAGATCCATGGTTGAGGAAGCCGCGCGATGTGCAACCAGTGCTGCGGAGTTTGCGGTACCTTTAGCTCAAAAAGGCCTACTATCGACTAGCAGAGCATTTGAAGGTCCCTTCCAGAAAGCTAGGAATATTACTAGAGTGGAGGAGTACTTATGGCGTCGGTACTGGCGCAGAGTCTATCCTTGTTAGGGCAGCTGATCATCTTATTGAATCTCTTCACACTTTTATGTATCGTCATGTCTTTTTCAAGCAACCTGAGCTCGCTGGCACGAAAGGTCTCACAACTCAGTCTGCTCGTGCCGATGCTACGAACAATCAGGTTCTGTCTTTACCACTGGAAGCGACCTCCACCACAATCGGTTCGCCATCCTCTGTTCCGCTTTCTGTTTCGGGACCAATATATAGCACCTGTTTTCCTTTCTGCTCTCTGTACCGTGCATTAGAAAATATAATAAAGTAATGGATGCACTGCCCTTACCTCTTGTATATCAATGTGGCTGCAATAAATCCTGCCCACAATAGAAAGAAGAACGCGAATGCAGCGGGCCACCCCTTTCGCCACCGCGGAGCACCGTCCGGACCAGCAGTAGGAAAGAGAAGCAATGGAACCCATATTTGGAACGAATAGCCAAAAGTCATCATTGATCCCTGCTAGTAGTTAACATACCGTCCTGTCTCTTGAGTATATAGTCTGTTAACTAAGGGGAAATACCATAATAAGCGCCCGCTCCTCAGAATCATCCCTCACAATCGTATTAACCGTCGAATATAGAATCGGACTTGTACACCCAGCCGCACCGAAGAGGTACCAAGCAACAAACCTACAACACAGCCACAGTCAGCAGGACTGGACGTCTATCACAGCAGGTCCGTACTTACTTCAAGGCCTTTGGAATGTTCCAAATGATCATGCATAGCGACGAAAATAAACAGCATGCAGATGCAATTGTATAAATAAGCCACGACGGATAAATAGCAGCAAGCGTAGTTCCGAGCCACGAGGCAACGATATTAATTGCGTAAGTAACCGTCGGTAGCTTGTTGACCTGTGGCACTGAATAACCTTCTGCTTCTAGCCAAAGGTTCATATACGACGTAGGATAAGAAGATATAATCATGCACCTAAGACACAACGAGTTAATTTTCTATTCAAGTTCACGATCAAAGTTGACTCACGCATAACAAAGGATGAAAACCCAGATGTGCCAACGCTTGAGCGTGCGTTTAAAGACATCAAGGCTCATCCTTCCCGGACGACGGATGTTCGCTCTTCGCGCCCGATCCTTGGCCAAGGCGATATCATCTTCTGAAAGGAAGAAGGGTCGCGGAGAATCTGGGATTCCCGGAAACACTAAAAAGCCGATAATGGCGACGGGAATAGTGAAGATCCCGTCGATAATAAAAAGCCACTTCCAACCGGGCATGCCGCCCACCCCGGATAGATTTGTGTACGCTGCCGATTGCAGGTATCCGCTTACCATGGTTCCGAGGGCGTTGCAGATAAACCATGTTCCAGCTCGCTTAAAGAGTTCGGGGCCAGAGTACCATGAACCTTGAGAAAGGTTAGCCAGCTGGAATCGAAACAATAGTGCTGAAAGACCAACCCAGGATAAAGTGTGTTCCAGCAAATACGGGCGCCTCGAACATGCCAACGAGAAAACGAAGTGCATATAGCTGGCTGACATTGGTGACTCGGCTCTGTGCAAAGGTACATATGCCCCAAAGAATTTCGAGGGAGGGGAGTAGCCATCGGGCCCTGGACCTTTAATTAGGGTTTTCTTCCAGAATCATGGATAATGACCTACAGCGTGGGTCGAGACATCAACAGGAGACCAGGAACTTGGAAGACAACATAGGCAGTGTAATAGCAGACGTTGAAATAATTGAGTTGGTTGCCGTTTAGACTAAAGTCTTCCTTGAGCCCACTAACGTATGCATTGCTGATGTTCGTTTGGTCTGGAGCGCATTAGCATCGGTAGAGGCTGTGGTCTCTCGACACATACCCAGGTATTTTACGAAAACTAGAACAGGTCAGTAAATATTCTCTATTTCCCCGAGGTTGCAACTTACAGCATAGACATGCGAAGACAAGAATGGATAAATCCAGCTTGAAGAGCAACCTAGATGGTGAGTATCCTATGGTCAAGCCAAGACGGACAACGTACTTGCGTTCATTTGTCGGATAATCGGATGGGTACCAATTGAACACCTCTTTGAAAAGTCCCCAAACACCTATTTTTCGTGTCTTCAAGTCGCTGCCGGACATATTGCCGAGCCCCTGTCTCCTCGTGTCGGACAATTCTCCGTGAAAACCTCCTCTGGCAGGGGCATGTTTCATGGTTCGGCAGGATCTTTATCTGATCATTCAATACCCCTCTTCATGATAGATTATCAAGTGGAGTAGTGTTGACATATTTGCCATCATGCCATCTATTGTCGTGATGGGAAAGCAACACAATATGATAGGCTTACTCGGACCTGTTAGCTGCAGAGTGCAACATCCGGGTGCGGGATGGCGTGCCCCAATCCTAGCAGAAATGCCCTTATCTATCTCTAACATGATTCAGACACGATACAACGTGCGTTCTAGATTGGGTGTAAAACGCTAGATAAGAATTGCGTGCTCTGCCGAGTATCTTCGTCACATATGCCGTGCGGGGTTAAAGTATACGACGCATTGAGCTTTGGCCATAACTACTCGGGCCCTCCCAGCTGGATGGGGTCCAAACAATAGTGTCATAATTGGTGCTACAAACTCTATTCTTCAACATGCCTGCGAGACTCATTGACAGATACGACCATGTCCCAGTGACTAAGGAAAATCGTAAGTAATTCCTCTGGCTTGCCGTGTGGTTCGAAGAATTAACCAATAAGTCGACTGGGCCGAACTCATCACCCTCGACCTGAGCCAATATGATCAGCCAGGCGGCAAGGAATCGCTCGTCGAGCAGCTGGACCACGCTGTTCGGCATGTTGGTAAGTAGTCTGAATTGTATCTTCAGCCTGAGCTAACTTCACTCCCAAGGTTTCTTCTACGTCAAGAACTTCAACATCAGCCAAGAGGAAATCGACCGCCAGTTCGCTCTGGGTCGCGAGTTCTACGCTCTTCCTCTTGAAGAGAAGCTCAAGTATCACAGCAGCGCTGATCTAGATAGAGGAGAATACAACGGCTACAGACCAGCTGGACACAGAATGTAGGTCCTAGACCTATATAACCATGCTATTATGCTAATACATCTAGTCTTGGCAACGGCATCAAGGACAACGTCCAAGTCTACAACATCCCCAAGTTTGACGGCTATCATCAACGTCAGCAACCATCAATTCTAGCCGACAACATTGACGAAATCGAGCAATTCAGCCGGGTAAACATTCTACATCATCTATTCGTAATCAACTCATACTAACCAATGATACAGAAATGCCACACCGAGGTAGTCGAAAAACTCCTCCGTCTCTTCGCCATTCTGCTTGAACTGCCGGACGAAGACCAACTCGTCCGTGATCACCAGTACGACGTAAAGGGTGAGGATCACCTCCGCTACATGCACTACGCAGCGCGTGGAGCCGAACTCAACAAGAAAGTCGGGGGTCTATATTCTCCCGGTCATACCGATCTGGGCACGGTGACTCTGCTCTTCCGCCAACCCGTTGCCGCACTGCAAATCCTCAACTCGGAAGGACAGTGGAAATGGGTCCGCCCACAGGATGGAACCATCACTATCAATACCTGTGATGCATTGACTGCTCTCACGGGCGGATTGATCAAATCGAGCATTCATCGGGTCCATGTGCCTCCCGCTGATCAGGCGCATGTGGATCGGTTGGGGGTGCTTTACTTTGCCAGGTGAGTCTACATCTCTCCCTTTCAGTGTAAGATGGTCGGCTAATCTTATTTGCTAGGCCGAACAATCATGTTGTTCTGGACCCGATCAAGAACAGCCCTCTGCTTAACCGGCTCGGGCTCACGCAGAATGTCTTTACGGAGTTGGGGCAACATCTGACTACTGAGCAGTGGGTAAAGGCGCGGCAGACTCAGCAGCAGAGACGCACGCGGGAGGCAAAGGTTTCCGAGGATGGTAAATACACCTACGGAGAGAAGGATCTGCAGATCCTCCCTGGGTTAGATGCGAAGGTGTATAACTGAGATATGAGCTAGTATCATACTTGTAATATCATGCCCGGTGATATTGGCTCTTCACTTATACATCGTACCACAGATCAAATAGTCCCAACTGTAGAGACTAGAGCACGCTCCGTTATTGTTCTCCACCTATTACCTCAGTGTTTCCGCGCATTATAGTAGCAGCCATTGGTTCATCTGACATCCCACCATCACCGACCATCATTTCGAGTAATTTTGGTGTATCGGATACGACATTCTCGTATGTGGCCAAAGGGGTTGTAGTGTGTCCCCTTTTCTATATAGGCACCAATGATTAATGCAACATCGTGCTGAACAGTCTTTGCTGGATTAAAATAATAAGAGTTGGGGATAAAACTTAGAGCCGCCCACCACTGGCTTCTCTTAATACCGTCTTCCATTCAACATCATGCACATCATCAGCATGGATGGATACTTTGACATCGAGAGCCTTTCGGAGCTGCTCCTTGGTAGAAGCATACAACATACGGATCTAACCATCGTGTCAGTGGACTCGGGTAAAAGTTTCAATTATACGAGCAGGATACCCTACCCGAGTAGACGTCACATCGGGCATCCAGCTGATAAAGACAATTGTCGCTCTGACGAAGGTTAGCACGACATACCCATATTGCTCTGTCTACTTCCGGAGATCCTCTCAATTACCTCCTACCGTCTTCAAGCAAGTCATACTCCACGTCATATATTGCATATCGAGGTGCAGGTTTCCCGTCACTATCATGTGCGGATGTAAGCTTTTGGAGGAATGCTTCGTAGTTCTTCTCCGGGGAGCTTTCTTCCACGACGATAGAGCGTTCGTCGTCGGATATCTTGTAGATAACGAATGCAGGTTTATCTGCCCCCCTCTTGTATAGAAGCTCTTTATAAGCAGCGATGCACTCATTCGTGATATTAACACTAATGATAGTATCATCCACATTAGGATCGAGGTTTAATCGAGGCGACAGGAGAGTTGGTAGCATACCCGGACGGAAGCTAAAGTTTTGATAGAACGGTCAATGGCCGATTGTCCAGTGCCGGGGGTGAGTGAAGAAGACTGACCGACATTGTATTACGTTATTTTGACAGGACTTCAGGATAGTATCTTTCATTGAATTGTAATGAATTGCCAGAGTCACTTATTTGTACCCCCTGCTATGATAATATTCCATCAATTGTCCTTTATATATTTTTGTCGGGCGGTCGGACTTGTGGACCCGAATGTCCGGGATGATCGGAGTTGGACAGATACATCGAAATAATAAAACATAAATTATATTGTATCAAAGCTCTCGCTTAGGGGAAAAAAAAAAAAAAAAAAAAAAAAAAAAAAAAAAAAAAAAAAAAAAAAAAAAAAAAAAAAAAAAAAAAAAAAAAAAAAAATTAGGAATAAAAATCACCCAGATTGTGCCACGCAAACTGGTAAGGTCAAACTTTTGGGTATCTCTCGGACTCGGCTGTGCTAATGTTAGCAGCTTGAGACATGCCGAGAGTGGCGATATTCCGCTACTTCGGAGGTACGGGCCCGCGGAGCCGCGGTCCCGGAAGGTCAGAACTTGCAACTCTCTTCGTTCAGCACGAAGCCATTGTCAACATACCATTCTCTGCAGAATTTGATATGTCATCGCCGAGCGCTCAGGAAACCATACAGGAGAGGCGACACCGGCTCTCGTTAGTCCCTCGGGCGGTAAGCTCCCCAGTCCCGCCTCTCTCTCTCTATTTTCTCTCTCTGTCTCTCGCAAGGCTAATATGACGTAGTGCGAAGGATGTAAAGTACGCAAAGTACGTGCAATACGGAGTAGAATCATAGTAAGACGATGGAAGCTGAGATGAAGTTTTGAAGATTCGCTGCGACCGCAAGATACCTTGTTCAAACTGCCAAGCATCCAAGATTACATGTCGACACCCAAATGACAGGACAAGGAATCAACTCCAGGCAGATAGAATAGCGCATCTGTACGTATCAGTTTGAATTTTTACTCTAGAATTTTTACTCACAATCTCTAGTGAGGCTCTAGTAGATAGCCTCGATAAACGTTTCCGTGATGTCGAGTCTAAGCTCGTTGCATTGCAGAGTCCAAATCCTAACCTAGTGGCGCAAAGTGCAACCAATCAGACTGTCATATCTGCTGGAACTGGCCATATAGAAGGCTGCCATATATATGAGGGAGACTCTTCGTTCACAAGTCAGTCGCTTCAAGCAAGTAGAAGTGCTCAAGACACAGCTCTCTCTGGCAACATCCCAGATATTGAACACTCGCTTGATCACATACAAAAGACCCTGCACGATTCGCAAGAGTTGTCCAGAAAGAGCTTCTATTTTAACAAATCATCTTCAAAGCCTTTGATACATACTGAAACCCTTCCTGCTACGTTGGTCACCAGCGTTCTCCGGAGAATGAGAGGTAAGCCATGTCCATCCCACACGAAAGTCACCTTTTTGCTGTTACCAAGCTTCCTTGTCTTCATACTAACGAATAACCCAGCCCGTCATCCTATCTTTCTATCTTCATATGCAATAAGTGACCTCGAAATTGTCGAAGATCTTTGTAAAAGCGTCCTTTCCGAAACAAGCCGTGCATCTGTCGGCCAGGTGGCCAGCATGCATGGTGTCCTATTCTTTGTCCTGAAGGAGTTTATAGCAATGAATGATGAGCTGTGTCAGAAATTTGACCTCACCACACACCTTGATCATTGTGAGAAGGTTTTTGCCGCGGCAATGGAAACATATGACGTGCTTGCTGTCCCTAGCTTCGAAAACATTCTTGCTTTGACAATGGGTGTAAGTATCCCCTTTCTGTATAGAAACAAATTGAGTCGTTCATCCTATTGTTCATTTGGATCGTGAAGTAACCATAACCCAGATGGTCAAAGCTCAGGGCGAAGCGAAGCCCTCATTATACTGGAGGCTAGTTTCTGCCGCCGCAGCTCATTGCCAATCACTTGGATATCACCGTGAGACGACCTATAGGAACATTCTCTCTGGAAAGGCAGACAACATAAGACGTCTGTTTTGGACTGTGTATATTTTCGACAAAAACATGTCTCTCTTATTAGGTCGAGTATCGAACATGCAGGGTGTCATGATTGACGTACGGTATCCTGCGATATCATCAGACCTGGGTCGCCGAGCATGGGATGAATCTTTCATTATGGGAATCAGGTTGGCGGAATTTCAGGACCGGATATTCACTAGTCTCTATAATGCTGCAACGTCAATCAAGGATGCATCTGAGCGAGCACGGCTTATTAGTGACCTTGAATCTGCCATGGAACAATGGCATTTGGAACTGAAGCAGGTGAGACGAAACCATCAATACTATTTCATGTCCTGCACTGGCTGTTAACAGTTCCCAGATCAATCCAGAAGGAGTCAACAACATCCTAGTATTCAAGTTGTCCAGAACAAATTGGGATATTTCCTTCTACTCCACACTGACGCTGCTTCTCCATGCATCTTCAAAAACAGGCGAGGAGTCACAGATCAGCTCTCGTTGCTTCAATGCAGCCCGTAATAGTTTAATGGCTCATCTCAATTCCTTCCCTCAATACCAAAGCTCAAAGCTTCTTTCAGACGGTGAATACTTCAATTGGTCCGTTCTTCCCTCCCTCGCATCGCTGTCCCACTCTTACATTGACCGAAAATTACCAGGATTCTATTATTCTCATCCTTAACACCATTCCTCGTGATATTCCTCCACGCCATTTCTGAAAAAGACACTGAGAGCGTCGGGCTCCTTTCTCAAGTAGTTGGCACTTTTGAGACGTTTCGAAAGGTCTCCCATGGCGCGGAGCGTCTGTATCAAGTATGCACCACTTTTACCAACATTGCTGAGAAAATCATTCAATCACAGCAATCGTCGGTAGGGATATACGACCAGCAAGGAAACTCTCTTAGACTGCCCGATACACCGGGTAGCATGACTCGATTTCACCCTGAAGATTTGCAAGATATGCTTGATATAGAAAATGGCGACAGAGCCACCTCCTTGTATGCTAGTGACCTTCTGAACGAGTTTCTTAGCGGTGAGCCGTTTTCGTGGAATAGGTTCGATTATGATACTGGGAATGGTCAGTGATGAGAGATGAAAAGTCTTATCGTCTGGGGAGGGTGGGTTAGGCCAGGATCTTGGTACGACGATGATTAAGGCATGATTAACATCTCAACCCGACTCGGCATCTATGAAATATTCAGACAACCGAAATTTCTAATAGTTGTACACTACGATCATCTTGTTTATGTTACAACATCAAGCCTCACAGCTCTTACCACCACCAACTAGCGTCTGCCACATACTATCTCTTTCCAAGGACTCCATGTCATCACATCGCAGCATGACCATCACCTCAAGCCTTTCATCACAGACATTTCTCCGACGGGGTAGAACAATAGCCACACCATCTGCCTCCATGCAAGGCAATCTAACGAACTCCGGCTTTCCAAGCAATGGCCCAAAGTCCACACCATATAAATCCAAACCCGCCCAACTTGTAATAGTAAAATCACGAGAGCAGAACAAGTCCCAACCCGCGAAAAGCGACCTATAATCCTCCATGGAATCCACAAGCCGGTACGTCTCAGCAATAAAACGTGAGTCAATCGTCGCGGGTGACTGCGATTCGGAGATACGGTCGCATATCTTGGCAAGCGATCTTACTGGATCCTCATCGGCCGTCGCGAGATTAGCACAGGAGAAGTTTGCCAAGGCGTAGAGAACAACGTTTCCAAGGTATTGTTGGTTCCCGGGCATTGGTTGCAGATTGCCCGGTATGCGTGACCGACCGTTGACGGCTGTCACTAAGCGACTTGTTTGTCGTCTGAGATCAGGGTTGCGCTGTGCTCGTACACGAGTGATTGATGTCCAGAGAAGCGCGCAGAGGATAACATTGGTGGTCAATTGACGTTGTGCGGACTTCTGGAGGAGCTCTTTGAGCACGTTGATCCAATGGACTGGAATTTTAAATGTCTTGGACATGCATGATGCAAATTCTTTGGGTAGGACTGGTGGTTGTGTCGAGTATTCCGGATGCAATGCGAGGAGACGTTCAGATGAAAGCGAGGAGAGCTCGCGCAGATCAGGCGCCAGAGCCTTGGAAAGCTGCACGAGCCTATCACCATTTCCTTGTAGCTCGTAAGAGGGATAAGTCTGGCTGGGTTGGAGAATATTCTTCGCCCATAGTCGCACTACTTCCGAGAAGCCAGTTACATCGACTGCATTGTGATGCAAGCAGATGCATAAGCCCACACCCTGATCTGCGAAGCGGAAGAAGCTGGCAGCGGGGTCCCCTGTCTCAGAAGGGATGTTACCGAGCAAGCTTGGGAGTGCTGGCCAGACGTCGAGCGGGATGGATTTCATGGGCATATCTTGCGACGAAAGACTGGCATATGAGGCCGCTATCTGGCCTTTATCCTGCAGTCTCGGCATCTTGTCTGCATGGTGTCGGATTTCGAGGGAAGCTTTTTGATCCGTTGAAGTGATGAGAAAAACATTTCCGGCGATCCAAGGCACTTGTTTCGCAAGCTTTTCGAGGCCGCATTGAAGCTCCTGGCTGAGTTCTGTTGTTGGACTCGTCGTTGGGAAAACGAAGAGCACCCGGATGTAGGTTCTGGGCATAGGCAAGTCCAGCGGAGTCAAGTGCTCCACGTAGGTGTGGTCAGCCATGATTGCCTGGGTAGTTGAGAGATTATTGATTTCCTGGATAATAACTAGAAATAAAGAAGGGTTTTACCATGGTACAATGAATATTGAGACTAAATCACCTCTGAATGTCAGGGCCCGCGGGCCCGAGAGTCCGTCTGCCCGGGGGTCCGGCCCACAGTCGTCTTCGGAAGGAGGCGTGGTCAGCCTAGCTTTATGGCACTTCTCAGTAAAACTTTGGTATCCATTGAGAGGGATACCGGTGCCCCAGCTGGATTAGTTGTGGCCATGGTCTATGTGAAGCTGCTGATCAGCTGCTGGCAGGCGGGAAGCTGAGTGAAACATTCATTGCGCGAAGCTTGTGCAATCACCAAATATTATGTACAGTATTTATCTAATCAGGAGAGAGGAGTTATTTCTCTCGTGGGATTTCACGAAGTAGGATGCCGATTGGCTCACCATTTGGTCCAGATATGAATTTTGTTAAATTATTGGCCTTCAATTTCTACACCTGCATCCGGCTGAGATGTTATATTCAAAGCCGACGGTAATTCCCCTTGCGGGATGAGAGCCTCTATGATTCTCCAAGGCCGCCATGGAACCCGTGGTGTCATTGTCGGCATCCCGCTTTTGGTATAGAAGCCTGAGGCGTGAAGGCTCGCGATAAGTGATGCAAGGTCAACTTTTCAGACCGGACTAATAACCCCGAGTCTTGGCCCGCGGACATGTCCCTACATATGGAGTCGACATCGCGCTGCTTCTTTTTATCTCTCTGTATGGGGCGGAGGGATGAAAATGGTTATAAAGCTATGAATACTGAGCTTTGGATAAGTGCGCTGGAACTGCTCTATTGATTGCGAGCACCATGTGTATTCATTCTAGGCGGCATTGCACCAAGCCCACTTTTTCCATCTACTACGATCAAGATAAGTAGGAAAGAAATCAGGGGTACTCAGAGTATTTCAAGTAGTATATGTCGAAGTAGTAGGTAGAAATGACAGCATAATAAAAAAAGAGTTCTTGAAAGGACCGGATACGTATTTCCAGAACATAGGTACATTCCAAGTTTCATTGATCATAAGTAACCGGTGGCTGATGTGGGTCTAGTGACACCACAACCAGCCGTCAAATGGGAGACTGAATAACTTGTCTACTAAGGGGCACTACTAGTTTGACGAAAGAGTCGGGTGGATTACAAATTATGTCTCCGAGTAAGCATCCGAACCTGTTGACGTTCGGAGGTAGCCACTGATCTACCCCGCAGCTAAACATGGTGGCTCCCAGGCGACAAGCAGTCACTCTAATTATCATCACCATCCTTGTTCTCTTCACCATCATCCTCTGGAAGCATCCATCTGGTCTTTTACCAGTTCTCTCACATCAACCATCGCCCAACATGTCAATCACGCACATTGTCATGTTTCAATTCAAAGACGGGGTCAGCCCCGAAGTAATCAAAGATGTAAGTTACAGCAGCCCACCTAGCGCTTATCCACATCTAACATAAGGACGTGTCAAAAAGGTGTGCTCTCGGATGCTAGCTCTAAAAGATAATTGTATACACCCCACCTCTCAGAAGCCATACATTCAGGCCGCATCGGGCGGATTGGATAATTCGCCCGAAGGCATCCAAGTAAGTGACGAACCACTGTCCTATCTTTCGATTGCATGCCTGACACAGAAGCAAACTGAAGCATGGAATCACCCATGCTTTTGTCGTACATTTCGCGAGCGCCGAAGATCGCGATTATTATGTGGCCAAGGATCCAGCCCATCAAGCATTCGTCAAGAGTCTGAACGGTATCATTGAGAAGGTGCAGGCGATTGACTTTACTGATCGCGTTTATTGACCTGTTGGACCGAATGAGCATTATAGACGAATACTGAATGCTAATGAATCGTCAAGAACGGGAATGTTTTCGAATCCCTTCGTTCCTTGGAGACAATACGTACAGTGTCTTTATTAGGTGGAGTATAACTTTGCTGCTGGAAAGTGATAGCATTGCCAATATTTGACGCTTATGTCTCAAGATAGAATGTGGCTGAGAGACGATCACTCATTATGTAATATGGCATGTTGATAAAGCGTTATCAGCCAAGGTTCAAAGAGAAGAGCCCCTCGTTTCAAGTATCTGCCGATATCCAATTTTGGAGATATGGCGACTCTTGTGCAACTTATTCTGTCATCGCCGTGCGGGGCCTCGACGAATAACAGCCTACCATTTGCTAAACGGCATCGGCATCGTAATGCTAGTTTGAGATGGTGTGATTGCAACACCATTTATATACTAGAACCCAGACCGGTCTTATCAGATCTTTGTTTCTTTTTCTGCAGACATCACATTCGAGTTATTCCATATCACCACTACATCCACCATGGTTGAGGTTCAAACACTTGTCCAGCCGGACATCCAATACCACCCCGACTACACCAAATACACAGCCCGCACCGAGCGTCGCATCGCAACTGAAACCTTGCCCAAGACTTTGCCCCAAGGATTCCCCGAGCATCTGGACTCTCCCTTGGTATGGGAGGGAACAGAAGTAGAGAAACGCGATGAATGGATCTACCAATTGAATGATGCGCAGCTTGACGAAATCGACCAAGCCCTGCAGTTCTTCAAATGTAATTCTTCCCCATCTCCGAGTAATGTATATCGCTAACACACTTACAGCCAAGAACCTCTCCCTAGGTTCAATCAACCAATCCACCTTCCCCTTACCAACCCTCCACCCCATTCTTCGCGATCTTTCCCGCGAAATCCACCTAGGCCGAGGCTTCGTTGTCGTCCGCGGCCTGCGCATCGACCACTACACCCGCGAAGACAACATTATTATCTACGCCGGCGTGTCCTCCCACATCGGGAACTACCGCGGAAGACAAGAGGACAACCGTGTTAAGGGCACACCCTCCCGTGTGCTATCCCACATCAAAGATATCTCCAACAAAGTCCAGCCGGGCACTATCGGCGCGCCGTCCAACACCGCTGACAAGCAAGTTTTCCACACCGACTCGGGGGATATCATCTCCCTGCTCTGTCTCCAGGAAGCTGCAGAGGGCGGAGAAAGCAAGCTTGCTAGTAGCTGGCACGTCTACAACATTCTTGCTAGGGAGAGGCCGGATTTGATTCATACGCTTACGCAGGATTGGCCGTTCGATGGGTACATACTCTTCATGCTATTAATTTGATACGATTGTCACTAATATGGGAGGGCAGATTCTCCAATCCCACACAGCCATACAGCACCCGCCCCCTTCTCTACCACCAACCTGCCACATCTAGCACCCCGGAGCGAGTGCTGATCCAATACGCCCGCCGCTACTTTACAGGCTTCATGGCGCAGCCTCGCTCGACCAACATCCCGCCCATCACTGAAGCACAGGCAGAAGCACTCGATGCACTGCATTTCCTGGCTGAGAAGCACAGTGCCTCGCTTGGATTCCAGAAGGGAGATATTCAGTATGTGAACAATCTGAGTATCTTTCATGCGAGAAATGGGTTTACGGATGGGCCTGGGAAGGAGTAAGTGATTTTTTTATCGTATTGTATTCTATCAATAAGTGCGATGGTGACTGACGGATATAGGCGCCATTTACTCCGACTTTGGTTGAGGGATCCTGAGTACGCATGGGAGACTCCGGAGCCGTTGCGGAAGAGATGGGATAGTTTGTATAAAGATCTAGAGCCGGAGGAGCAGGACTTTCCTCTCGAGCCGAGGATTAGGGGGAATACGACCTCCTAGAAATGTGTTCATACTGGATTAAAGATGGCGACGTATCTATCCCTCAATTTAACTCAACTGAAAGTGTTCTCATACTTGACTGATCCCCGCTAAGTAAGATGCTAGCTACGTGGGCGCTTCACCGTGTGAAGCAAAGAATATGGCCAGGAAAGCCTCAAATAGCACAGACTTCGCATTAATCACATATGAGTCACCAAGCAATGCAGGCTACGATATAGGAAGGTCGTCGTCGTAGCTAAATACAACTAAGCATAGAAAGTGATGCAAAGCGCAGTCATACAAAAGGTAGAAGTAAAAAGTGTAAACGAGTGTCATAGCTAGCTGGCCAGCTGCCTGCGACTTACCACCCCCTTCGCTCTTCGTCCATATTGTTGCTTCATTCCAACATGTGCGTTTCTTCCGATATGCTTTGCCTTCCCCAGATGACTCAATCCGGGGCGTATCTAGTTCCTTCTACCCAGCGTGTTCAGCGTCTATCTATCTATATTTCAAATAAAGTTCTTTTTCGGGAAAGCGATCGGTTTTGCTTGATCAGAAGATCGCCAGCCCACCGACTCATGGGCTAGACAATATCGCAACGCACAAGGAGTCACAAGATGTTTCTTTCTAGAGAAGCATTGAATGATCAAGTTTGAAGCTTGCACCAGACCTTACTTGTTTGTCTTCTTTTTACCAGACAACCATGGCCTGATCTCCTTTAGCTTGCGGGCACGTTTCCTGTAACCGGATGATACAAACTCCTGTGACACTTTCACCCACCACTGTCTTTGCCATTTCACTGCCATTGAATGCCTTATTTGTGACCGCGAGCAAACATTATTTGCCCCAGACATTACTCCTTGCGCAATTACCCTCTTCACAATCGACGTTGACTCTCCCCGCCTTAAACCACTCACAGTGAACAGTCGGTTTGGTGGACACATTAACAACCATTCAAATCATATACAATACCATCCAGAATAGCCGTAATTCTGGCTCACTGTGCATAAGGTAAGATGTATGGTGATTAGAAGTCGTTGTATGGATTTCCCTAAGGCTCTTCCTCCACAACGCAATAATCGCACCATTTCCACCTTTCATTATAAGGACCCGCAGCATTTCTTGTGATTGTACCGCTATTTAACAGCTTCATAGGTGCCAATCTAAAAGGGTGCAAGCGCTTGTGTTTCAGATCGTCTATCTTTCATCAGCTAGCGCTTCTCGGCCATCTCTTGGGATAGCGCACTGGAGACGGCCGAGCCAGTAGATATTTGTACTCCGTCTGTATAGTGGAGGAGTACTCTTTTGGGAACGATTGAGCGCGTGCTGAAGGGCTCGCCATGGTCAATGGATAAGGAAGACTCTGGGAAGAACAACCAAGAGCCGCCTGGGTTGGTTCTTTCGCCGGAACCGTCATTTCCGGCACAGGAGTCTTTCAACATCTTTTTATATGGTAGCACGGTACAGGAGTCCTGCTTTCCTCCCTTATCTCATTCCTTGGCATTATAAATGAGTATCCTTTCCTTGCGGTATTGTGAGCCCCTTGCCTAGTTTCAACGCCGTCAAGCTTGTACCCTTCATCGACTTCGTTTGACTCTCCTGTTTGGCATTTCTTTCAACGCTGTGATAAGCTTGAATTGTAATCTAGGTCGTTTTTATTATTGCTTTGGTCTCTCATCACATGGCTTGAGTAATGCTTGAGCACCTGTGCCTGGGAATCAACACTGGTTTGTTTTCAGTCCCGCGTGGTTGGGAAACGCTATTCACAATTAACGTCGGACATAAGTAGCGTGCAGTATAGAAGACCCACGGTCGGCTCAGGCGACAATGTCATTTTGTCTCTGGGTTATATTGCAGACATTGATGAAAGCGACAGTCTGGACGTGTATATATCTCGATAGTATATGTCCTAACAAGTGTGCCGGAAGAACAGATGTTCAATTCCCGGCGTTCCTCGAAAATGTGACTCATAAGTGTAAAGGCAAAATAGCCTAACTGAGGCTAGCTTTGTCGCTTGGAGGTTTCGGTTGAAGTGCTTGAGAGGAATAGCCTATCCAAGGAATTTGAGTATTGTTGACACCGCTCGCTGAGGCCGTAAAGCCCCTTTCCTGTTTCCTTTCTCGCCACTTGGAACAGCATTCATATTGTATATAGAAAACCTCAATGTTGGGGAATAGTGAGAGATTGCCTTTTTCTCTCGTAGAAAAGCTGTACTCAAAAGGGCGGTTTGGAACTCAAAACAGTTTTTTGCAAGAGAACGCTTAAAGGTTGCACATATCAAATCCATTGACTGAGGTCTGTCCAATTCGTTGCTTGGAATGTTCATTACTTTGGGGCCCTGCTCCGTCATCTGTTATTTATCCCCAGAAAGGTCATTTCTGGGTTTTCTTCCGATTTGTACCTCTCCACGTTCTTCGCTGTCTTCTTCTCAGTTCTTCCCTGGCTCATGGGATGCGTGCTCTCGTCTTCCTTTTTGGGAATTCGGACCCGGAACCCTGTGGCGGCGTTCTCTTCCGCACGTTTTTTAGGAGGCAGATTCAGGGCTCTGCCATGATTTTGGGACTTCGGCTATCAGTATAGTAAGGATTGCCAGACGATATATCAATAGTGTCCCTCTTCCCCCAATGTGCTTAGGAACGGCCCGACCCAAACAATCGGTTCGGGTCACGTTGGAATTATACACATTTGCTTCCAGCATATCAACGGAAGCAATTCGGGTTAGCAACCGATCAAGGCACAAGCAGTCCACCATATTTCAAGAAGACAGGACAGTCAGCAACGCTTCTCCGGCGAGTTCATCCGAGCCCGAGTTCTAAACCTGGTGGCATAATGAAGACCCCATTCAGCAATGAAAGGGTTATGCCTAAGCAGAAGGCAAAGCGGCCATCTTATTGGCTTTCAGCTCTTATTTGAGCACTGATGCAATTACCACCCCGGAGAGTCTTTTCGGCTTCTCATTTGTTCCACTTGGCGAGAAGGATAACATGCTCAGATCTTGCTGTGGTCGATTTTCTGGACGAGACAATGCGACGGTCGTCTAGTAAAGTAAGAGAAAATGCTTCAGCATTGTCTGTCGCTGGTCACGTTGCTCGTATATCAACATTGCTCAGATTTCGAAGGATTCATCATTCTCTTTCTATTTTATTCTTAAACCATGCCATTCCAAGTGCGTCCACAAACACGCATGAACAGGCGTCTCATCGAACTCTAGATGACGTTTAATGGACACCATGTAAATGACGCTGTCCGTAACCCAGCTCTCCGGAACCTAGAGTCTCTAGTTTGAGTGTCTCCAGTGTGGGAATTGGTTCCTTCTCCGTCAATCGTGTGACACTTCACTACCGGCCAAGTCGACTTGTCGAAAACTCTTGCACTTCCTGCTGTGGTATCCCAATCCATTGTGCTGTGAGGATTTCCTTGTTCTCCAATGTGAGCAAGCTATGAGATAGTAATTCGCTTGGGCGACCCAAAGGCCGGATAACGTGTATCATGTCGCTTTAGACCCCGGTGTTTTCTAGGGCAACCATCTGTCAGATTCCTATCCAACGCCGATGAACCAGCGACAGACGTGGTCGTCCACAGTTTGGAAGAATCCACCACCCACAGCACGATCAGGCCATAAGGTTGTAGCCGTGTGAATGTAAAGGATGTTCATTCCGACCAGAGCATGGTTCAACGCTAATGCTTCGCCTGCCATGTATGGCACATTTTGTAGTGGGCGGTAGCTCCATCGGTACCTCGACAGAGCTGTCTGTATGATATCCTTGGAGCGTATGACATTAAGGGAGCGACATGTCTAGCAAGGAAGTATATCATTGCGTGAGTGTTCACAAGGGGAGTGTTCGTGGTAGGCGCTCTGATTGGGGTTCAGGTATGTTTTGAGGAGTCTGAATGTTTCTCGGTGACACTCTTAAATTTATTCGGAGTCGGGACTGTGACTGGAAGAACAACTGCAAGCAGAGGTGGCAGCCGTTCAGCCCTCTCTCGGGAACATCATTAGGGGGCCCGATTGCCTTTGTGCTTTGTATCAAACTCGGAGTCATGGATGTCACTCTTACCAGTTTTTCTAATTATGTTGCTTCAATTTCTGTCATGAGTTATCTTTTCTTGTTTTCTTTCATGTTGCTTTTTCCTTATTTTGATCTTCTGTAGTTCGCTTGTTCGTTCATTCGTTCATTTTGATCCCGTTCAATCTTGAAAGCTTTTGTGAATTTCTTTCTCTCTAGTGAGGTTCCGTCGCCAGATATCATATTCCTGTGAGTCTGTTATATCATTATATCCTCATCTCATGAGCAAGAGATGTTGTCCTTTTTATATCCTGGTTTTGACCCAGTCACCCTCGCGTAGACAAGGCCCGCCAGTTATTCCAACATCAACAGCAGCTGTTCATATGTCACGCCACGAGACATTAAGGAGGGACACATATCTGAGCAGCTAATTACACAGATTTGTGGGGATAGTTATATCAGATTAATACCTTCCATGTTCCATTGCTCCGTCGTCGCATTTCAAATGCCAGCGTATATCGAAGACGCGTCGAAGGTATCTTGCGTCTTGCTTTCATGACTTCCCCCAATTCTTTCCGGCCTCAGAGCCAGTACTAGAAGTATCTGGTATGCCTTTTAATCCTAGCTCTGCACATGTTCTGCTGCTGGACCCACTTCATGCACCTTTTGGCCTTCCATTTCGGTCAAGAAAAGCGAGCAGATATGGACCATTAAATGGCATTCGGCTTCGTGGTGTAAAGACACGGTGTTGCTTGACATTGTCATTGTCGCCATCTTCGTAGATGATACCCATTACATTCACTCCCAAGCTACTCCACCGATCACCATCGCCAGCCAGCCTCTTAACCATAATGTGATCTGCTTGCACTTGAGTGGGTGGATGTCTGGAAGGGAGCCTTCACTGTATGCCTTCTGGTATGAACCATCCAGCAGATCGATGATTGTTATCGATTTGTACACATTGCTCAGTCGTTCTAAGAACTGCCGTTTGCCATTCGAGCAGTTACTGGCTGATTGACCACCTCAAAACAGGTGATGTAGGATAGGACATACACAAGCCCTATGTTGTTGGGAAGGATTAGAATAAAGCCTTCCTCGCAGTTCTACTGAATGGGTTGTGTCTGCGCGTGTCATCGTATATAAGTAAGACTTTGTCCTGAAGTGTCGGTGAGTCAATGACCTTTCTGATTGATTTCTCTTGAACCTGAAGAGCAAGTCGAAGTTGAGGACCCTATTTGGGCCTCAAACGCACGAACAAATGAAAGACATTGGTTGTTCGAGCGTTGCAGTAGAGCCCTATATGGAATATCGTGGATGGCCAACAACCGTGCCCTTTCAAGCCCAACCAAGGGGAGGCCACCATAGTTGACTCCCACTCAACCTGAAGACTATATGCTGATCATGAACCTCATAGTGTGTTGGCAAATGTACCTCCTCTCTTGTTTGCTGCGGCCTTCTTCCACATGACGCCATTGTTGTTGGTCGGATACATCTGACTGTGTCTGGTACATTCGATGGCTTATGGACAAACAGCAGGTAACTTGGAGCACCGAGACCAGGTTATGGACGTCGAGAATGTTTGGAGAGAACTGTTCCGCATCCTTATCTTCGTTTTGGACGTTCGGACCGAGCCACGACGGAGGGTCGCACAATTCCCTTGTACCTTGAAAGAGAGGCTTTTGCGGGAACATATCGCTTAGGTCAAGATCAACATTCGAACCTCTTACTCCCCACCGTGAGGGGAGTAGTGATTCAAGCTTGCAGGGGAGTAGAAGTTAAGTTATATGCACTAGTGTATCAAACGAACCTGTGTGCCAGCTTTGACCAGATATTGCGATTGTACTTCACTAACCTGTTGGACATTGACCGTCTTGCGTTCTATCTGGAAGCGGGTCTCTACCTGGTTATATAATCGGGCTACTGCCTCCTGTTCGTTGAAGTCAGGCACTTCGTTGAGTTCCAGGTGCACCAGTAAAGCCATGATGACCACATGGCCTCTCCGAACAGTGATCTTCAGCCCCATTTTTTTTCCATATGAGGTCCCAGTTTATGGTAATCCCATCGAAATTTCTCTCTGTGGGATTCGGTGAGAAGACTGCGTCCCAAAGACACCTAAAAACCCAAGCTGTTGTGGTAGGTAAGAAGCGCGGAACAAGGATAAATCAACTTATGTCTCCAGGTAGGAGTGATATCAAGACCAGAAACACAGTAACAGTTCAAACGCACCACTTTCACCCGATGGAACGGCGATTGAGCTTTTTATGATTTGGTGCGACGCATGAACGCCAGGCACTATGCAACCGCGCAAAGATTTCTTGAAGACCATATTGGGCCACTTGACTTCATTTTGCAGGAGTAGAGGACAAGTAACAAGCCAGGTCAAACTGGGGTGTGCTTCATCAACCCGCATACCCGTTCTTCCGTTCTATTTCCGCCCGAGCGCAGGACTTTCGCGCTCGAGTACATTAGCCTAGAGCTTGCAGATTCTTGTCCTCCCTAGAATGTTGGACGTCTTGTTCACACCATTCCATCAGAGTGGGAATGCTTTGCTTGGAACCCCGAAGGCATCTCGTCTGGAGTCAAGGCACCAAATTTTTCTTTCGTGGGCAACGCCGTGTACAGAGAACATGATTCTCCCAGACTGACAATAACTCTGTGCCTGTATCTCATTCCGTTCTGCTGGTAGATGAGAAGCCTTGCTGGTGAGTCCAGGCTCATGACATTGGAGTATCAGCAAGGCACATCGCACCACCCCACTCCTATTGCCATAGGAGTCTTGCTTGAAGTAATTTTGGGAGCTCCGTCGACGTCCTTGAAGGAAGCAAATATATCATTGCATTTCACGTGGAATTTCCGTTTATAATGGCGATTCAGAAGGTTCACTGAACAAGGTAATCGGCTGGGTCTTTTGCATGGTATGCATGACGAGCAGGGGTTTCACCTGAGCAAAGGAGGCCGCAGCACAGTGTGCAATGGCCTGAAAATTAATGCTATTGATAAACAAGCAAATTAACATAATATATCGCACCTTGTCATTGTGTGAAGGTATTCGCTGGTTATCTTCTTCTTCACCAAATTGTGGGCATAGAATGGCCCAGAGGCGCATTGTCTGATGATTTGGTCCTGATATAGCCATTAACATGAAAGCTCAATTGTTCCATTTTGCCAAAGGGACCGACGGGCGAATGCTAGGACGGTGGTGAAGCGTAGCCAGCTCGTCATGGACCTCCCCTGTAATACGCTTCACCACTTCATCCATTATAGTATCGGGATCCGTCATATCCGTCTCCCTCGGCTTCTCATATGTCTTCAGCTTAACCAGTCTTCCCTCCCGGACCACCCAGCCTTCCACTGTGAAGCCCTCCTTCGAGTCATTCAGCATTGGGGCTAGCCCGGTACAAAGAATTGTCATTACCCCGGGCAGAGCCTTCCGCAGGTTGCGATTTGCAAGGTAGATATTGAACGTGCCAGGGACGCGATACTCGTACACATATACCGCCCGCGCCTGGTCGCACCGAAGATTTCTGCCGATACACTGAATTGCAAGTGCCTGAGATGTTGGTGGCGAAAAGAGCATGAGGCCCTCTTAGCAACCACAGTGGTGATAAGAATGTGACCAACAATGAACTAGGACCGCACACGTTGTATTGCCATCGAGATGGGGTGCTAGGAGAAAAGCCAGCCATTGCCTGTGAAAACGAAACCATGTACCAGAGGATTCCGCTTCAGGTCTGCGGCCAAATAATTATTCGCTGCCGGAGATGATGATTTCATCCACTAGATCAAGTAGCACTGGATATCGATGTTCTCAATCCGTCTGGCCATAGGCTGTGTATGTGTTTGCTTCCCAACCAGACCTGGGTATCCCCTACTATAATTTGCCATTAAGAACAGGCCTTGGAATAACTCAACTGTTGCTTTCCTTTCCTCCCTTTCCTTTTTCTCTGACTATATGTTGATTCTTATTTATATTTCGTCTCGTTTTCCTTTTCTGTACCTTTGCTCTTCTGGGAAACACCTAGTAACAGTATGAAGATGTCCAAGACTGCTGGAATGAGTAGAGTGCCTCAACAACCCATCGTAGCTTTCAAAATTCGACAGTCACTGTGGTCAGAGTCTCGGTTTTACTATGTCACCTTTTAAGCCACCCAGTAGACTGAACATTCGCCAACATTTTCCAACCGGGGAAGATGGCTCAACACTACCCCTTCCCCGGTATATACCGGGAGCAGCCAATATCACAATAGGATCGCAAAAGCTCAGCACATATAGCCATGTCTGCAAAGCCGTCCAATCGACCAGATGCCACCAACGCTCCCATCCAACTCTTCATGTTGGAGGGAACGAGAAGCCGGCCAATATTAATAGGACACTTCCATGCTAGTCGTTGCAGAAGGCCGCATGAGTAGCGTTGGTTGGGTCCGCAGTGTCTGCAACAGGCAGCTGTCCGCAAAGGAGGGTAGTATGGGGATAGTAGCTTCCCTATATCTGTTGATGGTATTATGGAACGCAATAGGCCGAACTATGTGCCTTTGCGCCATTATTTGAGAGGGTGCTATCGAGCCAGACCATCACGATGTTGTATGCACGAGCATCTAGGAAGTAATTCCAGATAACCTGTTGGACGTCATCTTTAGCAGTAATCCTTTGATGCAGCAATGCATGTCTCTGCTTATCCAGAAATTCCCACAATTCATCACTTACTTCTGTATAGGAATGGTAGGTTATAAACTAGTCTCCTGTCTTCTGGCAGGCTGTGATCCCAGGCCATTCCCATTTCGTGGAGTGCAGGATTCCCAAAGAATAGGCATTGTACAATCGGATGGAAATTCTGAATAGAGCCACCTTTACCATGTCGTGTCAAGTTACTGACCAGTAGACCAAAAACGATGTATTGCGTCTATCTGGACAGCAGATCGAGATATATCGCAACATGTTGGATCTAACCAGATTAGTGGGGAATTAATAGAAAGTAATAGATAGCAATACCTGTTGGTGAAGATTATTGATGCCCTCTCTTGATAGTTGGTTGACATTCACACTAGCCAAGGGATCAGTTTACGTCCACGGGAACGGCAGAAGTTGAGAATTACCTGCCACGTTATCCAAGTTCCTTCGAACAAAACATCATTCGTCGTAGAAACCCCTTGAGGCCTCTGCCTAATACCTGGAATGCCATCATGGAGAACTTGGCAATATTGGGTTGATTGTATACCCGTTTATATCCGATTCAATCTCTGCTTCTGCTCTAACACAGTAGTTCTCTCTGTCTCTGTGTCGGTGGGTGCCTCTGGCTGGTATGTTGCTTGCTGGGAAGTGCAGAGAAGGCTGGAAATTCACGAGCTCTTATAGACCAGAGATCTAGCAGGTCACATGACCTATTCACTTTGACATCGGCGGGAGTTTCCATGACAAATTGACAAGCTTGAGCATTGACGGTGAAATTATTCTGGGGTAGATTGGAAAGCTCCGTGAAAGAAGCTGTTCTAGCCACGGAATCTCCAATACAGAAACTGTCAAGTCAGTGGCAAAGTGGTCTAGCCCGCACAGTTCACGAGTTCTTTGTAACTTTGACAAGGATGATTGAGGAGCACCCCGTGAAATAAATGGAATATTCCTCCGCGCATGGGAGGATCCCGTTTATTAAATGGAATTCTCCTTTATCACAAGCGACATCTCTGACATTTTTACGTAGAGGACTCCACTCAGCCTACGTAGCCTGAATTAGTGATTGTTATTATCCGCGAAAGAGAAGGGTGTTTCCGAAGCAGAAGGGAGATTTCCGATCAAATCAAAACAACAGCTGAATCTAGACGGGCCCATGTAGATAGGATGACGTACGAGCTATGATGCATCCCAAAGCGGAAATGCATCAAGGGAATACGGACGTTATGCGCATAGGGTATGATTATCAAGGAGTTCATTACAGCATCTAATAGAGATCGAATTATTTACTTCGTAGACGTTGTAGCCAGTATCTTGTCTATCCCGCTTTGTAATGCATCCAATAACCCAAGTCAAGACGACAGCGCCTCAGCTCGGAAATCCACGGCCGCGGTGCATGAAGAAATCACGACTCGGGCTACTCGGTGGCGTATTCCATGGAAACCTATATCCAGGTATGCATTCTCCGCATACCATGCAGGGGATACCAAAGACCGATACTCATGTACGAATTCCGAGTAGGAATCCTTTCTCACTACTTGGTAATTCTTAGTCGGAAATGCGCGGAAAGACATACCCATTCCCATTCCTCGTAACCATCCTTGTTAGAAGAGTGTCTTAAGTCGCGATGTTGAGATCAGACCATTTCATATCCTCAGTGATTTCCGTATGGCATGACACCGGCAACTGAAGACAGTCGCATCGGAAGCCGGATTCCGAAGGCAGTCGGGGAGTATAAAACATGCCGGGCTGAGGGGATGCCGAGTTAAGGGGTAGGATTGGTCGACACGGGAGGGGAAGGGATGGAGATAAAGTTAGGCTTTGTCTCCCCGTGGGGAGGCTCCGGGCTTACTTGCTCTGTGGATTGGAATACACACGATGGCTAATCCTAGTTTGTTAGGGATAATCTTGGTTTGTGCTACGCAATTCACCAATTATGGGACAGGTTTTTGGAATATGATGTCATGAATGTCGATCGATTTACAAAGTGCTACCTAAAGTACACATGGTCACACTCCACTTAGCCAGTAAGTGAAGTGATATGCGCCTAATGGCCCATCGGAATCGGCTTGTCCGCACTTCGCATCCGCTCCTCGATGATGTCTTTTCGCTCCTTGCGCAGCTGTCGAGCGTACCGGACCCCGAACCCGTGCTGGAACACTTCCTGGACTTCTTCCAGCACGAGGCCGGATACCTCGGGATAGAAGAAATAAATCCAGACGTAGGAGACGCCGCACAGGGCCGCGTAGAAGCCGAATGCTCCAGAGGGAGTCATTGATTTGGCCATGGTAAGGAAGGTGCTGGAGACAATAACGTTGCTTCCCCAGTTGGAGCAGGTCATCCACATGGTGCCCATGGCGCGCACCTCCAGCGGGAAGAAGTCGGTGCTCATCCAGGCGGTGTTGCCGACCGACACCCCATAGAACACCACGAACCAGATGATAAACACCAGAATGACGATAGCCGCTGGAGAGACTCCCGGGTTGAGGGGTTCTAGCGTTTCCATATCGACGGGAACCCAGTGGAAAGCGATCGCAACGGCGGCCATCCCCACCGCCATTCCCCAGGCTGTCGCCAGAAGCAAGCGTCGGCGACCCCAGCCATCCACCACCATCATGTTCACCCAAGTCATGATAAAGTTGGTGCCCGCGACCACTAACCCCACGGCCGTCGAGTTGTTGAACCCCACCAACGCAAACAGGGTTGAAGAGTAGTACATGAGGGCATTGAACCCACTCATTTGCGAGATGACCATTAACCCGCACGCACTAATCAACGCGCGCAAATTACTCCCCACGGTATGTAATTTCACGATCTTGGACCATCGGCTACCCGTGTCGTTGATCTCGCGCGCCTGATCGCAGGCCGCACGGATCGTGACCAACAGCGCGGCAATCTGCTCGTCCGTCGCAGCGCTGCTGTAGATGCGACACAGGACGCCGCGGGCTTCTTCGTCGTGCCCGTTGTAGATGAGATGGCGAGGCGATTCGGGACAAAACGGCATCATACAGCCGAGGATAATGGCGGGGAGAGCGCCCAGGCCGACCATGTAGCGCCAACCGTGGCTGACGCTCGCAAAGGCCGCTCCGATTGCATACGAGATGACCTGTCCTCCGGTGATGGACATGTTGTTTAGCCCAATTAGGCGACCGCGGGCGCCCGCGGGTGCGATCTCCGCAACGTACAGCGGCACCACCATCGCCGCCGAGCCTACGCCCAGCCCGACCACTACGCGACCCACCGCCATCTGCGCGATCGTATAGGCGGCAGCCTGGAGAACAGAGCCAACGACGAAGAGCACGCAGCCTAGGTAGATGGCCATCTTGCGACCAAACTGCGGATTGGGTTAGTTAGGTGCCTTTTGCTTTTGCGGCCGCGCAGGAAGCAACTTACTCGGTCTGCGGTGTTACCAGCGAAAATCGCCCCGATGAAGGCACCCCCGGAGCAGAGCGAGGTGATCATTTCTTTCTCAGAGCTGGTCACTGGACGATTGTTCAGGTCGTCCTTGAGCACCACCAACACCCCGGAAATAATACCCGTGTCGTAACCAAACAACATGCCGGCAATGGAGGCGGTTAGGGCCACCACCCACACGAACCAAGTAATGGGCAGCTCATTGACACTGGCTGCCAGAGCCTCGACATCAGTTGCATTATCGGCAACTTCAATATGTTTGGCATCGGACTTCAGATCCAGACTAGACTTGGGGTCATTGGCAACTTTCTCGCCGCCAAAGTCTTTCTCGGAAGACATGATTGAATGGTAGAGAAGTCGAGTTAGAGGAGCAATTGAGCCTGCTTTCCAAACCCCCGCTTTGAGGGCAGTAAACAAGTTGTTTATATAGTCATTCTCGTATGAGGTCAGACCTATAGCCTGGCTCGAATATCACTTCAATTGGTAGCCTAATGGTCGATCGTGGAGCCATGATCCAGTCAATAGCCGAAATGCGGGGGTGGGTGTCTGGGGAAGACCGTCGTCTGCCACCTCAGACGATGGATGGATGACGCTACATTCTTGGGCGTACTCCTGGCACTGCACTGCACGGTTGGCTGGTATTGGTTTGCTCAATGCGACTAGCTTGATTTTGGTTGGTCGGTGGAGTTGGTGCCAGAACCTTCTGTGCCAAATGCCTCATTTTACGGACCGCATCCTAATCACGGCAACCAACGGGAGAGCGTTTAGCAGCCCACTTCACGGACAACTCCCGCTCCCCAGATTGCTCAGGACGATGACTTCATGGACAATTGAGCCAGGGGCGTGGTGAGACACTTACATGCGGCATATTGGGCAAACAGGGGATACTCTCACAATTACCTGTTTCGTTCACCCCACGAAGCTAGTTATTCTCTCATCCCGTTTGCTGACAGATGCTGTGAGATGAAAGTTAGTATAATCCTCGTTGTGAGGATATTTCTCTGGAAATGCCACTCAATGGCCTAGCCGGGTCTTGTGCTGTACACTACATTCCTCGGGTCGGAATGCCATGTCGCCGTGCAGGTCGGAGACCTAGCCCATGGTCCATAGCCGGGTGGGCATTTGTTGAGGCGGATGCTGCCGTGCCCCATGCATGACGACCAATCGTGACGCAGATGGTAATCTCATCCCATGCCAAGCTGCACCTCCATCGATATCGGCCTTTGGCTGTCCCTGCCATACGGAGTCAGCAGCCGTCTTTCAGTTCACATCCTATGACTAGACACTTGTACTCACCATTACGCAATCGGTCTAGAATTGTTCAAACCAGGTATTGCGAATGTACGTCGCAACAACGATGGTCTGGCACTGCGAAAATATTGTGCTTCGAGAGTTGCAATGCCCTGTGAGCTCCGGATAACTAGACCCGGAGACGCGGCAACCCGGCAGGGAAGCGTATGCCTCGGTGTTGAAGAAGGCTTCCGCGTCGGCGCGCTGATAATCTTCGCCACTGCGCTAACTTGAGACTTGACCCGATGATCCCAGTAAGATCTTTCAGGGAGGTCTACTCCTCCAAATTTCCAGTACAGCTTGACCACTCATACATGACCCAGTCACTCTGCACCTTCGATCGTAATAGACTGAGTGCTTTGGGAGCATAGTCCCCCAGGTCTGTCATTTTGCAACCAGTGTTTCGGTGATCCATAGTATCCCAATAGCCGATGCATGACGTGAACCGGTTCAAGGCCTCTCCAAGAGAGTCAATCGAGTTTTCCCATCGTCTGCCCAATTGTACGCCCTGTCTCGATGGATCCACTTTATCGTATTCTCGGGAAAGCACGGGGTACACTGTTTCTTCGCCTATAGTCGCTGACACACACCGTTCACAAACATATCAGTCAGTGCAGGGGATGCTGCAAATCAAGGCGTGATGGTTTGGGCCTTCGAGGGCACCCGGGGGCTCAAATGTCGGGCATTCATCGTAAAACACGAGGCAGTGTCAACTTCCGAAAATATCTCGGCGTCGAAGTGTCAAAATCAAGAGGGTATTTGCTCCGGATGCATCTGTCCGTTTCTCAGATACATCGTTCTTGCCTTAGCGATGAGTTCTCGAGGCATAGCCTGCACTGAAGCACTGGTAGTTGAAGTGGTGAAAGCGGGGATGCGGCCGGCAGGCGCCAAGTCACCGAGGAGATGACACGATGATTGATTGGTGGATCTAATGAATCTTCAGGCTGACTAGTTCGTTCCTGATTCACTGACAGATTATACTCCATCAGAAAGGTAGTCGCTATATATCTCTAATTCTAGGGTACTCGTTCAGCACCTCTCAAGGCCACCCAGACCACCTTCGCTTATCCTCAGATACTAATTCAGTCAGAGTCTACTCCTCTCCCCAAGGATCGTCTTCCCTCCTTCCCATGCCCGTTCCACAGCATCCCAATACCGTCTCTCATCCCCCATCACTAACCCACAGTGCTTCCCATCCTCAAAACCGACACCTGTAACAGCATACCCCCTGCCACTAGCCTCGATCATATGCCCTTCTACATCTTTCCAGGGAATCATGTCATCAATCCTAGAATAGAGGTACAACCTACGTGCATCGCCAAAGATTTCTGGATCATTCAAATCCGCGCGGTAATCATCTATGGACCTCATAGCCCCAACACCCTGCAGCGCGTATGCCACTTTAGCAGTGGAATAAAGCACTGCGGTTCCAATCGCACGACCAGGCTGAGCAGTCGGCAGAGCCATTGCTCCGGCAGCGTAGAGTCTGTCAAACGATGAGTCGCCAGGACAACAGTCGAAGATGATTAGCTTCAGTGCTGATTTGAAGTCTGCTGGTATAGCAGAGGTTGATGATGGAGATTTCATTGCTCGCGCGAGCTGGGTGACAGTGTTACAGCCGCCGTTGGAGAACACATGGAGCAAGATCGTGGCATTGGGAGTGGATTGCAATATCTTGGTTATTGTATTCTTAGCTGGAGTGAGATTCGCATCGATGGAGTGAAGTGATCGAGCGGCATAATCGCGGAAAGAAGTGTTGATGAGCAGGATGGGTGTGCGGAGATAACGTTGGCGGTAGCCGCTGGTGTATTTGGCCACGCGGCGGGGTGTTGCGCCGCCGAACCAGGTGCACAGGATGATTAGGGTGGGATGCGTCTTTGCATCCTGGGGTATTGGTGTGTCATTCAGATCCGGCTCGTAGAAGTAGATGTTCTGCCCGATTGAACGGAAGTCTGGGATGAAAGGAGTTGACATTGTGAATGTGCTGCAACTGAGAGTGGGGATGTCAGGTTTTGCTGGGGATTTTATGGGTCATCAGCAGTTCCCGGGGGAATACGAAGTGGGTAAGCGCTAGTTTGCTATCCTATCGCCGGATTGATTCTAGCGCGCCATTCAGTTAATGTGGTGCATGATGTTATCCCTCAATATCACAATAACTATCGTTGCTCTACTCCATACATTGAAGATCAATCAATCCTGTTCCTGACGGTTGCCAACAAATTCCACGGATTCTTCCCGATGATCATCCCGATCCGATTGGGTTAAACTTCGCTCGGACCATTGGCTCGACTCAACTCAACACTACTCACTTCTTCTCAAACAGCTCTCCCCATCTACCCAACACCTTCTGCTTCAACTCCTCCGAATACAACCCCTCAAAACTTCCCGGCACCCACGGCCTCTTCCCCTCAAACTCCGATGGCAACAACAAGTTCACCACACTCTTTCCACCCTTCCCCGGATTCGGCACCTCCCTCCTACTCGCCCTGGTCATATACGGAATCATCGGCAACCCGTCCACCTCCTCGAACACCAACTCATCCGCCCCAGGCCGATACCTCGTCGCCAACGCCCACACGAACTGCCCAATATCAGTAACATCAACATCATCCCCGACAACAAACACCTTCGGTGCCTCCCACCCCGCATGAGTCCCGAAAACCACCTCCCCGACCCTCCTCGACAACTCCTCCTTCTTGATCCCCATCCTGCCCAGCCTCTCCACATCCACACTAACCACCACCCAACAGCACTGCGCCTCATACGGCATCCAAGCCATCTTCACCGGTAACTCCGCCCCCCTCAGCGCATCCAAAATCTCCGCTGATATCGCTGCCCCCCACACCGTGTGCGTCTCGTCCGGCGCTAACCCCGCCACGCAGATCGGCACCACCGGATCCCGCCGATACGTCACACAGTCCACTTCGATTCTCGGCTCGGGCACCGCCTTGTCCTGGAACATGTACCCATGGTACTCGCCCATCGGGCCCTCGCCGACTTTCTCGGTCGTGCTGATGCGGCCTTCGAGGACGATTTCCGCATTGGCGGGGACATACAGGTCATTCGTCTCGCACTTCACCACATCCATTGCCTCGCCGCAGAGAGCACCGATGTAGCCATCCTCTGACACGAACGCGGGGAGAGGCATTCCCCCAACGAACGCGGCAGCTGGAGGTCCACCTAGTACCAGTGCCCAAGGCGTATCTTTAGCGCCCTGGTCAGCCCACATCTGATGCACCTGGGCGATATGCTGGCCCGGCATTATTGGTGCGACGATGGTACGAGGTGTATTTGCGACATGCATAGCACGGGAGATCGACCATGAGGTCCATGCTTTATCTGGTGATTGGAGGATATGGAACCCATACGTGGCGAGGTAGTTCCCCCCGTCTAATGGGTGAAGGCGCGGAATAGGCCATTTGGTCATGTCGATCTGCGACCCGTGAAGGATGTTCTCTTTGCATGGGGCAGATGAAGCCGGAACTGGAGTGGGAGGGAGTGGGGTGGAGTGTTTCGCCGCGATGAGCTTCTCGAGGATGTCGAGCGGGGTGGCATTTTGGGGCAGGCCGAGTTGAATGGCTAAACGGCCAAACCGAGTAGCGGGGTCAGCGCGGAGGCCGACGGGGGCACCGAGGATCTTGAAAAGGCCGGTTTCAGGGTCTGTGTCGGTGACATTATGGAATAACGGGGCGGGTGAGTGTGATTCGTACACACGACGAGTCAGAGCAGCGATTTCAAGGTCAGGCGAAGCGGGCTGGGTGATGTCGACGAGGTCGTCCTGGGCGCGGAGGGCGGAGAGCAATGAGCGGAAGTTGAGGGCGGGGGAGTCGTTGGATCTGTGGGGAGTGGTGGAGAATGTCCGCGAAGGATGAGTGGGGATGCGTCTACCTGGTCTAAGCATGCGAAGCATTGTGATTGATATGTCTTGCAGTGGTTGGTGGTATGAAGTGGTGGGTTCTAGCGGGAATATATCTACGGGCATACAGCTACTACAGGAGTCGGTTATTCGGCATGTTCATCTGCTCAGACCCGGGGGGCACATTCTCAACGCGAGGGGACATCTCATGATGTTGGAGATGGGTTGGAGATTCTACACAGGGTTGCGTCAACATGACAGGGAAGAGAGACACTAGATAATGAAGGTCTGCAGAGAGCTCTGGAAGCGGGCTTAGTCTTCGAATGGAAACAAGGATGGGAGGATTAATAGCCAATGATGGCTGCGGATACTAAAAGCTTGATCAGAACGATATGATCTAGTGACGTATAGTGCCGTGCCATATACCCCCAGTCTTATGTATCTCCATTTACCCCGAATTGGAGAAATATGCGGATGCCCTGATATCAACTAACACAGCAGCACATATACATGGCCATTAATCCTAACATAATACCATTAACAGAAGCTTCCTAGTCATTACCATTCAACGGCCATTGGATTCAATGAAAACACAGACAACAATCCCGAAAATGCGTCCCCGCCTATCCCTCCCTCCCCTCCCCCTTCGACTTCACCATCACCACCACACCCTCCGCACCTACACAACACAACCCCCCAAACCCCCCTCCAATCCCAGCACACCACCGCAACCCAACCTCCGCCACAACCGCCTCATCCTCGCCCTCACCGGCGCAACCGGCTCCATCTACGGCATCCGCACCCTCACCACCCTGCACCAACTCAACATCCAAACACACCTAATCCTCTCCAAATGGGCCCTCCCGACCCTCCGCTACGAAGCTCCCCAATACACCCTCCCGTACCTCAACACCCTCGCAACCTACACTCACTCACCCCGCGACCTCGCCGCCCCCATAAGCAGCGGCAGCTACCCAGTGGACGGAATGATCATCGCGCCCTGCAGCATGAAGACCCTGGCGGCAATCCGCATGGGGTACGGCGAGGACTTGATCTCGCGGGCCGCGGACGTGTGCATCAAAGAGGGAAGGAAATTGGTGCTGATGGTGAGGGAAACACCGTTGAGTGTGATTCATCTGGAGAATATGGCTGCGTTGGCGAGGTTGGGGGTTGTTATCTTTCCTCCAGTGCCGGGGTTTTATACGAGGCCGAAGGGAATTGATGAGGTCGTGGGGCATAGTGTGGCGAGGATGTTGGATGTGATGGGGGTGAATGTGGGTGATATTGGGGTGGATGGGAGGGAGGGGGATGGGGATAAAGAGGGGGGTAGTGGTGGAGGAGGGGTTATGCCGGCGGAGGGAAGGTGGGTTGGGTGGAGGAAGTGAGGACTGAAGGGGATGGGCGGGATATGTGGCTACGGGGACTTTATCTAGCTCCAGGTGTGTGGCTAAGCAGAGGGTAAGGTAACTCTTCTAGTGCTAATGATATGTGTGATGAGGAGTACGTGAGTGATATAGAGTCCTATGTTTCTCATTTTTGTAATATAATATGGGGGTATCAGCACCTGTTAATCAGGGTTCTTATAAACAAATAGACAATATTCAAGCTGGTTAGCTGAGGCACAACATCATTTCCTGCTCCTGCTCTGCTACCAAACCTTGATCTCCTCCGTAAGACGTCAATGTTGAGCCTAGCAATGACATTGTGCGAAGAGTACTGCCCTTCAGGAAATACACCAGATGTTCATAGAAGACGGTCTTGGCTGCTCACCAATCTCTATGAGGCCAACATGCTTCCAGCTATCAAGTAAGCACAATCATATGTATACACCGACAAGCAGCCGTTATACCCTCCTTATTCTGTATATAATTCTTCAGCTCGTTGCACTTCCACGACAGGCAATTAAGGCAGTCCGGTATTCGTGCGCTGTTCGCATTCAGAGCCTCAAGATTGACCCCTAGGTGGAGATACGCCACAGCAGAACCCTCGCATCGCTCTTGCTTAGGATTTGCGTATCTTACACTGTTGTTCTGTTCCTTCGAACCCTGAACCTCTCTCTAGAGCCTTGATGGCAACAGTAGGATCGCTCTGAGGATCATATTGTTCGGAAAGCTCCTTAATGTCTCCTAAAAATGGTCCACCAACGCAGACACCAGCGTTTGGCTGGTGGCGATGACCAAGGAAAGTGCAGCACGTTGCATGAACAGCGGAAAGCAGCAGGATGGATTCATCTGCAACTTTACAGCGGGGCAATAGCATGATGTAAGTAATATCGCCGGGGCAGTTTCAAGCATATGGTGGACGGCCTCTATGTTGTATATATGTAGCTCGAACCATTGGTGACATCACGGATAGCGAAAGCCGAGATACTTACTCGACGATATCCGATGAGACAAAGCGGCACTTCCGAGAACCAACATACCTCGATTGGTGATGTATCTCGCTGTCGAGACTTGTATATAGAAGTATATAGAAGACACCATACAGTCAAGTCATCGATGTCCTCCGGAGTCTCAGACAATGGTGCCTTTTCAATTCCTGTTCTATATCAATTTTTCGTTCAGGAACTAGGAAAAGCTTCAGTGTCGTCAAAGAGAGACGCAACATTGGTAGCTTCCATGATGGCATACTCCCATCATTTCATCATCCACGTCCGCGGTAACAGCAACCCAGCCGGGTGCAATCGCAGCAGTTCCAGCAATACCTGATGCAGCTGCGCTGATAAAGGTATTTTTCAATAACCTGGAGTGGCCACGCAAACGCAACGACAAGCTGGGCCGGAAACCTCCCTCATCTGTCCATGGCGTTTCGTTTTGCGCAGGACAACACGCTTGGTTTCTCATGTTACTTTGTCAGTTGAGGAAGGGTAGACAATGCCCTGAATGAGATACATGAGGTGATAGTCAACATCTCATTCAAGCAGCCGGCTTGTCTTCGAAAGAAGCCGCCCGTGGGAGGGAAATAACGCTTTCCGATCGGAAAGCAAGGCTTGAGCACGCCGGCACTCACAACAACATGAAGTGGTTAGAGGAGCCCTACTCGGCCTTGACAGGTGATGAGAGGACCAATCTAAGAGTGTATCCCGGACCATACACAGATCCAGTACCCAGATCGCATCCCAAGGGAGGCGCTCTGCCTGTCTGCGGTTGTTGAAGATGAGTTGTGCGAGGAGAAACGTTTACCTCCAGCCAGTCAATAGGGGAGACGACGGTTCTGTGTGCGTAGAGCACAAATAATATATATAGTAGCATATCGATGGTGGTGTTGATTGGTGAACTCTCACCCTTCCCAACAAGATGACTGACGGCATTAGCATCGTCGAATGGGAGCATCGCATATAATAGCCACGGTTCGAGGATCTCTGTTTATCTCAGTCAAGTCCGGTGTGTCAGCTCATATCTCTGCCTGAGCGTAGCGTTGGGCGTTGATATCCTGCTTCGCTCGTTATATAAGGTATCTTTTATGACGTTGGTAGTGATCGGGACATCGAAGTCATCGTATTCAGATTTTGATGACCTCATTATCTTAGCCTGTACAGCGCTATCGTCGTACTTATGACCAGCTCCGTTCAGGCGTAGTACCTTGTCTTTCGAGGTAAACAATACAACTGCCTTGAGGAGAAACAGCAAGCGGTATCCACATTGAGCCGTGTATATATATAGAAGAGAAAGTGTGTACGCTGGGTATCTAAGCTCCACAGGTTGTCTTGCAGGGATCGCAATGCTGCTTGAGAGCTGGATGTTGAGATATTCATCATCATTGCAGCGGATTCAGAAGCATTATAGCCATTGAGGATGCCCCCCCTTCCCTTCTTGTTGGGATGGGGTGGATGAGAAATGGAAAAGGGAACTGAAGGCGATACTCAACCCCTTTTATAGATTTCAGGCGCTTGAATTACATGGGAAAAGCCTTATATATGCAAGGAAGTACCCAGGAGCCTTAAACCCTCGCGATTGATCTTCCTTGGACAGCAATCCTTGATCTACTTGGAATCTTCCTCACTATCCAATGACAAGTCCAATCTACCGCATCACACATAGTAATCCAGCGGCAAGTCCAACGCAGTACACTGCTCCACCTCATCAAAGGCAGCCTGGTACGGAGGCCACTGCATTCTCCTCAAACTATAGTCTCCCTCTCGCAATGGCCGCCACTCACCACTTTCATCCACAGCCCGGCTGGTATTCGCATAGCCCCTTGCTTTTAACAGCTCTGGATCAGGCGTCGGATCCCCAGTCCGAATGAAACTGACCCACAAATCTAGTACGTACTGCTCGAACGGCAACTCATACTCATCCCTAAATGGCTGATCCAACCGTCGCAGATTGCCAAAGACATAGTATAGATCCCCAGAATGACACTTCCAGTACTCCAGATTCGGGTCACCGTTTGGATGCTCTGCCGTCGGGGGAGCATAGCATACCCGACCGTTGTATACTTGGCCCTCGAGCTCATAGGACCGGTTGAACTCATAGAAGTATACCTCGGGGAATATGTTGTTGACGACCCCTGCATAACCCGTCGCTTCGTCTATGCATCGAAACATACCGTCAGTTGCCACACGAGCCGATGTGTTAAACACGTCCAATGTGGCATTGGGGCCTGTGGCTAGGGGGAACAAGCCGCTTGCAAGGACAGACGCAGGCAGGTCATTGTCTGTTAAGAAGGTGCCGATACTCTCGCTGGCGTTCGGGTAGTCGATGAATTGCGCGCCGTCATCGCGCATGATACCCATCAAAACGGGCACGTGGGGTGCTTCTGTGGAGCGGCTGAGATCAAGCTCAGGACTGGTCAGATACGTTCCGTCAACGACGAGGTACCGTGCTGTGGTGGACAGATCGGTAATGGCACTGGCGGTATAGTTCCTGAGACAGTCCACAGGAGATGTCGCATTAGTGCAGTTCGTCTCTTCCAGAATAGCATTACCAGCTACATCCATCTCTTCATCAATGGTATAGTATCTAGAGTAAGTGGTGCCATACGCAAGACCCCCGAGGTTGCTTTGCATGATGGCACGGCTGAACTTTCCCTTGGCCTTAGGCGAGGCCAACAACGCTCGTACGGAGGCTGCTCCAGCAGACTGACCGAAGATGGTGATTTGGTCTGGGTCACCTCCAAAGGCTTTGATATTCTGGCGCACCCAATCGAGAGCGGCAATTTGGTCAGCGAGGCCAAAGTTGCCGTTCGTCTTCCCGTCGTTCAGTGCGAGAAAGCCAAGAGTTCCGAGTCGGTAACTAATGCCAACTACCACGACGTCGCCTCTCGAGGCAAGATTTCCTCCGTCATAGTAAGGGTCATCGGGGCTCCCTCCAGTAAAAGCACCTCCATGGATCCAGAATGCTACTGGTCTTAGTTTCTTCTTCTCTGCAGGTTGACGAGGGAGGTAAGGAGTCCAGATGTTCAGAATCAGACAATTCTCTTCATTGCCGTTTGCATCGCGCTGACACACCGATCCATACTTTAGAGCGGATAGGTTGCTTCCATTACCTATGTATGGTTCTGGATAGGTCCAGCGTTCCTGTTCTGTAGCAAAGCGGACACCGATGAACCGGAATATAACATGATCGCGATACCTATCCCGTGAGTTAATGTTCAGTGCGTGGGAAAAATACTCTTACCCTGTCAAGTACTCATTATTTGCCTGAACTGTGATCTGATACTGGCTGCTTGTGTTCTGGTACTCTTCCGTAGAACAGGGTGCACTTTGTGTGCAAAGTACAGGGTACTGATGGTTGCTGTCTGCTGTCGATATAGTCCCTTCCAAATCAATCGTCCTGCCAGTGGCGTTGACTGGCGCTATCCAGAAACACTGATTGCTTTTGTAATTACCTTGGTATGAAAGGTATTTAAGATCAGCTTTTATGTCTGCAGGTGTCGACGAAGCAGCCCCCCAGAGCGACTCTCCGAGAGCATTGCAGGCCTCGGTCGCTTCCTTCAGAGGCTTGTTGTCCAGGATTATGACGCTTGAATTAGTCAGTGGACTATCTCCCTCTGTTCACGGGTTAGATAATTTGCTGCTTTGCTATAGAGCTGTTCCTACCTAACAGATCATTGTGCAGCAGAAGAAAGATATCAGACCCAAGAGATTCAGGTCCCACAGCAGCAAGAACTGGAGCAACGAGAAGGGAAAGAAGAAATGCATGCATGTTGATCATACTTGCTCGTCTTGAAGATGTAGACCCCCATTTCCTTCCTCTTATGTGCCAAGCGCCGAGGAAAGTGGGTTTGCTATCCCCGAGGTGACCGTGCTCGAATTCATGTAACTTCTTTGTATTGGTGGACTGGGTTTTCGCGTCTGCTGGACAGACCTTTCCCCGCACCGGGGTATGCAGCTTTACAAGTCTGTCATGCATGACTCGGTCCAACAAACTCCGAATATATGAGAAGCTCGCCTTGCTAGATCTTGTAGCTTCGAGGCTAACCCTTCACGGCGCGCTATATAGAGGAAGGATCCTGTACCCTGTCATGGTCACTCCATCGCACATCGCCCTGTACCATGGTATAGTAAGCTACGGTTTTATTGTCTTAGGCCAAGCTTTTACTTGTAGCGACCAATGGTCTGGTGCTACACGAATATCGTTCTTAAGCCAGTTGAATTTAGAATCTATGATGAGGACAATGGGGTCAATTACTGCAACTCATCGGTTCTGTCACAAAGCAAAGGAATTCAAGTGCCCAATGCTAAGCTAGCTTCCTATTATTATGCTACTTCACCGGCTTGTTGGTCATAGGATGTGTACGCATAATTCGTGTTCTGATGGTACAACTCGGCTACCCTGCGTAGATTCGAGAGAACCGGAATTCTTGTAAAGATCAGTCCACGTTCCTATACCTTTCTCCGATATGATCCATGAACGCTTTCTCTATGGCCACTGCTCCATCACACTGTTAGAATATATACTAAATTTTTTGACTTTGCATACTCACACTCTCGTACACTTTGAAGTGTGATTCCCGGGACAAGCTTCCAAACCGCCTTCAGATTCTGGCCGGGAACAGGTTCCAAGAAGTCCACCACAATCACTTGAATAGTCCCCACGAGAGGTTCTGTTCTCTGGACGTTTCTGAATGTAATGTAATCCATATTTCTGATCTGGCCAGCCTTGAACCACTGGAGTTGCAGCTCATCCCAAAAGAACGCTTTGGATATTGTCCTTCCGATGAAATCCCTGAAGAGCAGTGTTTGATTTGGATTGAAGCCGATACTGGTGCAGAATTCCATTATCGAGTTCAGTCTCCTATCGGGAAATCTTGGGATGAGGTTGTTAGGACGTTTTCATCTACTTAGGGATCAAAATACTGCCTACTCACTGAGCGATGAAGTAGCGGGTGTCAGATAGTACAAGATCGTGGTATTGATCCTCGACGATCAGGTCAATTTCAGGCACTGGAGCAGTAATGGTATCAGCCGGGAGTGTTGGTTCCATGATCTTTACGAGATAACAAATCGCTAACGACTGAGATACGAATAGCAGAAGATGTTGCGAGCTATGTCTGTATGTTGTGAGAAATAGGATTTGACTAGAGATGAGAACATTGAGGTAAACGATGGTGAATGTGGGATGTTATCACTGGTGGCCATGTCACTCGATTAATACTAGGCTATGTCTAAAGAAGCCGTCTCGATGTATTATTCCCATCGATGTTAGTTGACTATTTGATAATATGACAAGTCACTTAGAAATATACAATAGCACCGATAAGAATGATAAGTTCCTTTACCTGTTATATATTCACACAAGTGGTTGAATCTCGGGCCTGGCTTGCTACAAATCTCCTTCACTCCACATTGCACAGACAACAATGTGCAATGTTTCTGAGACAGTGGTTATGAAACATTAGCGTAGCCTGTCAAACATACAATCACTGCTGACACTTGACCAGTCACTGCATGTCCAGACCCTCGATCAGAACCGTGTAAATAAGAATGTCAATCAGCTCGGAAGATTTGTCGCTCTTTGTCGCAAGTGCACGGCTTCACCCGGTCTTAATAGATTTCTGGAAAGAAAGTGAAGGCTTCCATCAGATCTATATAAAATGCCGTCCAGACGTGCTCGTCTGGACTTTTTATTTTCTCGCCAACTCCTCCTGACATTCCTCTCATTACTACGCTTTCCAACTCTCACCATTCGCTACTACACTATCCGTCGCTTGATCCTCCAGCGAACCTACCATCCTCACAAACGATCGCAAAATGTGCTCCTACGCGGTACGAGGTCACATTGGATGCACACATTTGGCCCAGGCTGGGTTCACCCGCTGTGAGGCGGCACGACAAACGGGTAGAGCCTGTCCTCGGAACACTTGGGACTATCAGCTCGGTAATCCTTGGCTTGGAAAATGTCATGAATGCACGAACGCAAACCTCTGGTCTCGGGTTAGTAGGAGGTTGTAGGCCTAGGCCTATTCATTCCAAGTGGTGTGCTATCAATGCTTCATGGACACCATGCTAACGAAGACTATGGGCTCGGTTTTTAGAAAAGGACTGTTTATCGAAAACTCAAGCATGTTGGATGATATGATGGGATATTCAAGGGTGGGGTTTTTTATGAGATAAAGGAATGACAGGAGTTATAAGTGATGAGGTATCTTGCTGCGTTATCACTTGCTTCAACAAGCCAATGTCATTCGACGTAGTGTATTGTGACTAGTGAAGGGCAGGTATCATCATCTGCCATTAGCTTTGTACAATGTAATGTAGCCGCTCTCTAACAGACCCGGCTGGGCTGGTAGAGATAATAGGATACCCTGTACCCCTTAACTGCTGCAATCCTAATACGTTCATCTGCAGACTTCAGTTTCTTACTTTACTAATCTATTCTCGTCAACTTAGCCATCTTCACTTCCCTACTTATTATTGAGTCACTGCAGAGCGCTTAACCTCTTTAGGCAGAGATCACCTTCCGGAGAAACCATCAGCCGCACCACTTCGCTTACCCAAAATAGCAATCCGCCACACCCGATCCAGCTAGCGCAGGCGGTCAACCAGCCACCGCCCCAATATATTGCCCGACTTCCGCATTCGGCGCGTCAACTCTGGTTCAGCTCAGCATCTCACACGATCTCTTTCTCGATCTCATACCTTTTCCACTTCTATTATTGCCCCATTGACCCGTCCACCCACCACCTACGCAATTAACTAGTACGCCTTAACCAAAAACACACTCCAATCCTCCCAATTGATCCACTAACACCCTCACAGCTCACAACCACACAGCTACAGCACAGCTTCACACCACCAAACCCAATCCCTCAGTTCCATCAATCCGCGACAAAATGACCACCCGCCCGCTCAGCCCCCCGACCTCCCCCCGCAAACGCACCAAAGCGATGCACCTCCCGTCGTCGCAACGCATCTGCCACGACTGGATGGTCGTGCAAGGCAACGTGCACTACGCGCGCGACCGCGCCCACTTCACAACCTACCGGCCGGTGACCGCGCACCTCAAGAACAACATTTTCAACCCGATGGACGAGCTCGAAGTGGCCGGCATCGGAACCGTCGAGATCCCCGTCGTCCGCAGCCTCGATAACCCCTTCGATACGCATACAATCGTGCTCGAGAACGTGCTGCATATCCCCGAGGCGGTGTGCAATGGGTTCAATCCCCTGCTGTTTGGGAGTAGTATGTCGTGTACGGAAACGGCGTGGATGGGGGCGGATCGCGAGGGTAGGTTGATGTGGGTGGCGATGCCGTTTCGGGGGGGTTCGAGGTTGGTGCTTGCTGGGGGGTTGGTGGGGGAGAGTGAGATTATTGAGGGAAGGTATTATACGTTGAGTTTGTATGTTAGTCCCGAGGAGAAGGGGGAGTTTGGGGGTTGATTTCTTCTTTTTTTTTTTTTTTTTTTACCTTTGTGTTTGGGTTGGAGTTTGGGGCCCGGGTGAGTGTATGATAGCTGTATAGCTAGCTAGATGTTTATTGTTATGTGTAATATGAGTCACGATAGACAAGAAAGACAAGAAAGACAAAGAGACAGACAGCACTAAGCAATTGATAGTAAACTGTAATTACACGTGGAAATCTAGCTCGGACCCTGCGTCTAAAAAGGGTCTGGGTCTACTACTAACAGGCTAGATCGAGCTGACCCGGTCTGTGCGGGTTGGGCTGCAGTGATGCCCGAGGCGAATCGATTCGGTCCTCGTTTCCCACCCAGTTTCCATGTGGCGGGTGGGGAAAATCACTCGCGCGATATAGTGGCCTGATTTGATTCCAGGCTATAGCTATGGGCAGATTCTCGAATGGCCGATTGGCAGATTTGTTGCAGCTCTTCGTATGGGTCATGCGCTGCGGACACCTCGCTTAGGGTTGACTTTAATTTCTCTACCCCGGATCCTCATGCCTGCGGCACGTCGGGCCGTATTCCGTGGTATTTGCGAACACTGGCATGAACAGGATCAGAGGGTCATTAAAGTAGGCTGGCTTTAGTTAGATGAGTCAAGTAGCTGGCTCGTAGTGGCTAAAAACTCTATCAAATCAAAGACTCAGACTAGTGGAGTAGTTAGCAGCCTCCCCCGCCAACAATTTGCCCTCCAACCATTCATCATCCACACAGGGCGAAACCTACCCCGGATTCTCTATTCCCGTTTGGATACGGGGCTACACCCTTGCTGCATCAGCCGATCCTATCACATCTCCTCGGCCATATTACCGTTGCATCCGATACATTCTACCTGGCCTCACCGGCGGCCTCGACTGAGTACTAAGTAATTAGTATATATGTGTAGTGAGTTCCCCGTGTTATTCCCACTTCTCATCCCGATCATCACCATCACTGTCCTCATTGCCCTCAAAACTGAGTGAGTGGACCATGGCTGAGAAAACCGCCACCAGCGTGTCTCACGTCGACGAAACCGACCACCCTAATGTCGAAATCAAGGGAGGGGTCGGCGACACGGCTCTCGCTGTGGCGACGAGTCTCCAGAAGCCGTCTCTATGGAGCAAGAGCATGCTCAAGGTATACTCTTCCTTTTAGTATTACTCTATCCCCCCCTAATATGGTGTGTCGATAGTTGTATGGCTGCATCGCCGTAGCCATGCTCAACTCCTGCATCAACGGCTACGATGGATCCCTGATGGGTTCCATCAACAGCTACGCCCAGTATCGGGACTACTTCGGCTTCGACCCGAACAACGGCACGCCGTCCACCGGTATCGTCTACGCCATCTACACCATCGGAAACATCGTCGGATCGTTCGTAGCTGGTCCAGCTACTGATTTCAAAGGTACTTTCCCCTTCCCACGCCCCCACCAACTAAAACCCCAACATACCCGAACTAATACAATAACCCAAAACAATAGGCCGCCGCGTCGGCATGGCTCTCGGCTCCCTCTTCATCATCATCGGTACCATCGTACAAGCAACCTGCCACAACATTGGCGGATTCATGGGCGGACGATTCATCCTCGGTTTCGGCGTCGCCATTTCCGCCACAGCTGGTCCGGCTTACGTCTCGGAGATGGCGCATCCGGCGTACCGTGGTGCCATGACGGGTCTATATAATGTGCTGTGGTTCGGAGGCGGTATTCCGGGGACGTTTATCCCGTGGCGCACCAGCCAGATCGAGGGGACGATGAGTTGGCGGATCCCGATCTGGTTGCAGATGGTGTTTTCGGGGTTGGTGTTAATATTTGTGCCTTTTGTTGCGGAGGTATGCCACCCCCCACCACTTTTCCTATACCCCTTGACTAGTACCTTCTCATTGTCTTGAAGTGGGTATGAATGCTAATGTATAATGGAATGGTAGAGTCCCCGCTGGCTCATCTCACAAGACAAGCACGACGCCGCGCTGCAAGTCCTGGCCGACTACCACGGTGACGGGGACAGGAACGCCCCCATCGTGCAGCTCGAGTACCGCGAAATGATCGAGGATATCTCCCAGACTGGGTCTGATAAGCGGTGGTGGGATTATCGCGAGTTGTTCAATACTCGGGAAGTGCGGTATCGGTCTATGTTGGTTATTATCATGGGTACTATATATCCCTCCCCTCCCGTCTTTCCCCGTTCTTTATATCCCACCCATACTAAATATAAGATAATATAGCATTGTTCGGCCAATGGACCGGCAACGGCCCCGTCAGCTACTACTACCCGCAAATGCTACGCGGAGCGGGCATCACAGACAACAACACGCAGCTGATGCTGCAGGGTGTGCAGAACGTTGTGTCGTTCCTCGGAGCCGTATCGGGAGCACTCATCACCGACAAAATGGGCCGACGTACGCAGCTTCTCGTGTCGACCAGTATCGTGGTGGTTTTATTCGCGATTGTGACAGCCTTGAACGCAACGAACGTGGTTGACGGGCCTGATGGCACGCCTATTGCCAAGAGCGCAGTTGCGGCGCGGGCGCAGATCGCCATGATTTATCTCTTCGGGTTTGTGTATTCGGCTGGCTGGACGCCAAATCAGGCGATGTATCCCGTGGAGTGTCTGCGGTATGAGAGTCGGGCGAAGGGCATGGGGATGAATAATGTGAGTGATTATCCTTAATTCTCTTTATATATATGTGTGTGTGTTTGTGGGTCGCTAACATGGGATAGTTCTTCGTCAACATCGCCTCGTTCTATAACACCTTTGTGACTGGTATTGCGTTCACCCAGGCCGGATGGAAGTATTACTTCCTGTTTATCTTCTGGGATACGATGGAGGTGATTGTGATCTACTTCCTGTTTGTGGAGACGAGTAAGCGCACGCTGGAGGAGTTGACTGCTATCTTCCAGCAGAAGAATCCGGTCAAGGCGTCGTTGAAGAAGCAGGATCTTACGGAGATCGAGGAGATGAAGTAACTCCTTTCAAGGGATGGATATATATATATATTCCATCACTTACTAACTTACCATGTGATTTCTCACACTACTCAGTCTCCTCAGTCAATTGCACTTTGTTATGTGGTGTCAATTGTCATAACCCATCCATATCCATATCCATATCCATAGTGTTTTAATATATCCATTTCCATTTTACCCAGCCCAACATAAGAAATAACCCCACAAAAGAAATAATATAATAAAAATATCAAGTTGTTGAAACAACCGTCTCCCTCCCCCCCTTCCACCCCCCATCATACACCCCATTACTACTATTCCCATCCGTCCCATTCCCATTCCCGGTACTCCTCGCCGCATGACTAACCTCCCACTCGCCCGGCGGAAGCATCATCTGCTCATCACTAACCGTATTCCACTGCGTATCCGGCAACGACAATGGATGCTTGAACTTCCGTCTCTTGTTCTTGCTATTGTCGGTACCTGAATGCGCTGCTCCCTCTGATAACGGATAGCTCTGTGAGCTGCCCTTGGTGCCTTTGGTGGACATGTACCAGCCTGCTCGCATCGCTAGCCGCCGACACATCGGGTAGATCATGGGCGCGTTGCCGATTATTACCGCTACGAAGGTCTCGCGACAGGCCCAGCTGCCGGCTTGGGAGGCACCGTTGGCGCCGGCCTGTTTATCAGGGTGTCAGTGAGTGGTGGTGTTGGATAAAGGGGGGTTAGGGAAGGGGTGACATACAGTGACGATCAACACACAACGCAGAATGCCACACGCCATGACAAAGGTACCGCCACTGAAAAGGATAAGGAGCTCAAGTTTCTCGCGCCAGGGGAGACGGGCTTTGAAGAGGATCTGGGTAAAAAAACAAATTAGTCTTGGCTGTGTATATATATATATACTTGTTAAGAGTGAGGGAATGACATACAGGGGTCGGGATGGAAATCAAATACACGTCCGTAGCAACATTCAACACCACCGTCACGTAAACATCAATATGCGAGACAGCCGGCTGACAATAGTTCCCCGGGTTGGGGTTGATCTGCCAGTTCTTTTGGATGGGGTGACATCCGACCAGGATGCTGAGGATAACAGCGATGTAGGTGACTGCGATGAGGACGTAGGCGATGCGGATGCGGATGTGCATGTTGATGAGGCCGGCCCTATTACCATACACCATTAGTATATTGTTGTTGGGTGGGAGGGGGAAGTGCTGATGGGGCGCATACGTCAATCGAGAGTAAAACACAGCCATGCACGACTTGAGCAGCCACAACAACGTGGTATACAGCGACCACCCTAATACCTGGGTCTTGGACCCCCCAACCCGCAAATGGTACTCCTCTGAAGACGGCGAGAGCGCGGCGCGCTCAGCGTCCGTCATGGCATTGTTGGCGAGACCTTTCCACCAAGCGCTGACGCAGTAGGCGGCGCCTGTTTCGAGACCGTATACTACCTGTCACATCATGACTTATCAGCACGCTTATTCCATTAAGAGGCGTCGGAAGATGGTGGCGGGGAGAGAGGCACATACCCCCGCCAACGGCATCAAATAATCATCGAGCATAAAGTTCTTCCAGCCGGCGGTGAACCATCGTGCAACGATGCGAATGGCGATGGTGACGATGGCAATAGCTAGGAGGGTGAATGCCTCGACAGCGAAGTCATCGCCTGCCATGACTGACAGATGACAGAGAGTGTGAAAGAGAGTGTGGGAATGAGTGGACCTGTGGATCAATTCACAAAAGACAAGACAAACAGGAGAACAAGACTAAGAGGGTATACTATGTATTAATATATCCCCAATCATCAACAACCCAGCGACTGACTGACTGCCTGCAGTGTCGGCCTGTTCTAAATTTTGGCATTGAAGTTGACAGTCGGCACGCACGGTTCATAATCATCACCCGGCATAACATCCGACCCAAGCGAGTGGTTCCGTGCTCCCTATTTTTTATTTTTCTTTTCTCCCTGCTTGTCGTTCTGTCTCCTGACAGGGGAGAGCCCGAAGTACGATGCAGTAGTTTGGTGGCACTTAAGCCAGATAGGGAGGCGACTGGCCACACACCATGCTAGACTGAAACTACGGGGACCAGGTTCTTTGTAATTTCCGAAAGGCCATACTAGACTATACTAAGCATCAGGCCAGCCCAGAAACAAGGCAAGGCAAGGCCAGGCCGTGTACCGTTGCGCGGGAAGGCCAGGAAGCCATGGCCCAGTTCGTGTGTGTGTGTGTGTGTGTGTGTGTGTGTGTGTGTGTGTGTGTGTGGACGGGGCGATTAGGGAGTGGAGATGGGAGGAAAGATGAGGGTGAAGAAAAGACGAACGCTATAATTACCGGATAGAGACAGAGATCAGCGGGGGGAGGGGGGAATGGATCACGGAGGCATCGAGCAGACGGTAGTTGGTCAGTACTTTGGGCACAGAGCACAATTTACGGATAGCCGATCAGCACAGACCCAGAAATTGAGTCGCAGGATGCAAAGGCTGCATGACATATCGATAATGCGGGTGTATGCATCAACTATTGAATCTGAATATTGAGTTTATCGCATAAATCAGATAGAGATGCAGGACAGTGAGGCAGGGAAGCGGACGGACAAGTCAATTGCAACTAAGACAAAGTTCTGACGATCCAGGAATCAACCAAAGCTGTCATCCTGTCAAGTGAATCACCGGCCGAACTCTGAACATTGGGACCAAATCCTCACACTCCGCCCGGTGGAGCTGGGATTCATAACCCTAACTATCAAAAGAAATCAGGACCACCAAACTAGTGCCCGCGCCGGCCGTCGCTTGCGATCAGCCAACAAATGAACGGCTTTCTACACCCCCATTCCTCGTACTTAGTTGAGGATTCTGCAATTTCCTCGGAAGTCTACTCTCATCTTCCGCCCTTTGCAGACCAATCTAGTCCCTCTTTTTTTCTCCGTCCCTTTCCTCTCTACTCCGTACTATTCCTCTTTTCAATCGCTGAACCCGTAGACCAGCCACTAGTAACGGAGTAAATCCATCCCATATGCAGCCAAGACAGGGAGAGACGACGGGATTAAAACCCGCGATCGGCGGGTTTCCAACGGTCGTCCTGCCCCCCCCTCCCCTCTCTCTCTCCCCATTCTTTTCTTGGGTGTTTGTGTTAGTATAAATCGCTGGCTAACTGCTGGCTGCCTGCCTGTGTGTGGCCCGCTCCACTTGAGGAAATGCTTGTGAGCGTGGTTTGTGTTACATTAGCTACGTTACAAAGTACTACATTATTGACTAATTACGGACTGGCATTCTTGCCTTGTCTTTCTTTTTGCTATTGTCTCCCACGGTTCTCTTCCTTTTGATCCTTCTCTCAATTCCACTTTATTCACAGCCTACGGATTCGTCATTCATCCACTATGGGGTCATCAGTGGAAATGGAATCCGTCGATCTCGTTATTGTCGGAGCAGGTATTTTCCACCTTCCCTCCTCCATCCATTCATCCTTCCGTCTATCCCTTGCATGCCTCTTCCCGTCTCATTCCCTTCCCCCAATGTCGCGCTCTCCATCATCTACCCCCCTCCTTCTCTCAATACATACACAAGACTAACAAGCCTCTGTAAAAAGGATGGTCCGGCCTCTCCGCCCTCAAAACCTACCACGAGGTGCACCCCACCGCCCGCATCCTCCTGCTGGATAGCGCCACCACCATCGGCGGCGTCTGGGCCGCCCACCGCCTCTACAAGGGCCTCAAATCCAACAACATGCTGGGCACCTACGAATACAGCGACTTCCCCATGGACAGCGCCACCTTCGGCGTGAAGCCAGGCGAACATATCCCCGGCCACGTGCTGCACCAGTACCTCAATGCATACGTGGATCACTTCAACCTTCGGGATATGATCCGACTAGAGACGAAGGTGGAGGTCGTGGAGCATGTGGATGAGGATGGAAGTTGGACGCTCACCACCTCCCCTACTTCTTCCTCTGACATTGAGAAGAAAGACAGCATCCACACGAAGAAACTCCTCCTCGCAACAGGAATGACCTCCCGACCCTTCCTCCCCCACTTCCCCGGACAAGAAACCTACCCCCACCCCATCACCCACACCGGCACTCTCCTCCCCCACCAAGCCACCCTCTTCCAGAAAGATAGGAAAGTAGTCATCTACGGCGGTACCAAATCCGCCTGGGATGCCGTGCACACCGCCGCCACGTCCGGGGCCAACGTGACCTGGATCATCCGATCCACGGGCCACGGGCCTACCTGGATGTCTCCGCCGTACGTGACTCCTTTGAAGAGATGGTTCGAGAAGCTGCTCACCACGCGACTTCTCACATGGTTCTCGCCGTGTATCTGGGGCGATGCAGACGGGTGTTCTGGTATCCGATGGTTCCTGCATTCTACCTGGTTAGGACGGAAGATCGTAAATGCGTTCTGGGCCGTGCTGACGAACGACCTACTAACCCTGAACAACTACGATGGCCACGAGGAAACGAAGAAGTTGAAGCCGTGGATAAGTCCGTTCTGGGTTGCTAGTGGACTGAGCATCTTGAACTACGAGACTGATTTCTATTCTCTGATACGGGAGGGTAAGGTCCGGGTGGTGATCGATGAGATTATGGAGCTTACGGAAGGTGGCGGCATCTCTCTTGGTGATTCCGGGGAGGTGGTGCAGAGTGAGGGGCTGATTTGTGCCACGGGCTGGGAGGCGACGCCGAATATGGAATTTAGACCTGCGGAGATTGAGAGGGACTTGGGGTTCCCTTGGGCGGAGGATTACCTGGCGACGCCGATGGTGAAGAGGGCAGATCAGGAGATCTTGACGCGGTTCCCGAAGCTAAGGGAATCGCTCAGTGTCGGGGTCAATGCGAAGGAGGATTATCGCCCCTTGGCGAAGGGGGCACCCGCTACGGCGAAACATCCGTTCCGGTTGGTACGGTTCATGGTGCCGGCGGCGTTTATGAAGGAGCGGTCGGTGGCGGTGCTGGGGACGCCGATGACGGTGAATACGCCGCTGATTGCGCAGGTGCAGGCGCTGTGGGTGGCGGCGTTTATGGGAGATGGGATGGGGGTGAAGGCGCGGGAGACGTGTCCGGAGGAGTTGAAGAAGGGACTACTAACAGAAGGAGAGGTGGACGGGGACGTGGTGTGGGAGATGGCGCTGCATACGCAATTCGGGAAATATCGGTGCCCGGGAGGGTTTGGAAAGAGGAATCTAGATACCGTCTTTGATACGTTGCCGTATATTGATCTGTTGTTGCAGGATTTGGGGCTGGATTGGCGGCGGAAGGGGAGTCTGAAGTGGTTGAAGCCGTATGGGATGGAGGATTATAAGGGGTTGGTGGAGGAGTGGTTGAAATGATCTATCTCTCCATAACTTATCTTAGTAGTACTAGTAGTACCTTTTGTGAATAGGCAACTTGAATACGTGTGTGCGTGTCCATTTCAGCTGCAACTTGTTGACTAACACTACAACCTGAATCCTTCAAATACAGCTACTCCACCATCCAGTCTCTGGCCCTCCACTGTCCCCGAGACTACCCCGTTCCATCGGAAATAGTCCTTCCCATCGCCGGCCACCTCCACTGTACCTTGGATCTGCAGATCCACGCCAGACATCATCACGTCCACGGTATAGCTGCTCGATGTCATCCGCTCCTGGATGCTGATGATGCTCGTGCGACACCCGGACTGCACTACCTTGCCGTCACGGGCCAAGTAGGCGCTTCTGATCGGCGTGGTGGAGTTGTCGGCTCCCACTCGAGGCGTGTACTGCAGCCACACCAACGAGTAGGATCCGATATGCACATGGCCCCAGGACCAGGTCTTGACGGTATTCTGGAAGGGCCGATTCCCCCAATTCTGACACTATCAGGCACAGACCAGAATCAAGTGAAAGGAGAGAAGGAGGAGGCTACCTTATCATGGTACCCATACCCCGTAAACTGCAATTTCTCCCCATCGACCATCAAGTCCACCGTGGCATGCGAGTCCGGCACCCTACTCACCCATCCCAAGCCCTCGCCAAGCCCCAACGCACGATTGACCTGTTCAGGTGTCGAGCAAGGTAGAAGCGGCGGAGTAGGCTACCATCATTATCGTTAGGTAACCGGCATCTATCTTCTTCTCAGAAGGTATACTCACGTTACGCAATTGAATACTCCCATTCACGCGCGACCCCTGCCACCCCACCCATGCCTCGTACCCCGATTCCTTTCCGGACCACCCCCCTGTCCCTTCCCAACCCCCCGAGTTGACATCGCGGTCGCCCATCACCGACGCATCAATCGGAACGGCATTCTGGACAACGGTGGTGCCATTCGGCAAGGTAGCCCATGCGTAGGTGAGCAGGACAGACGACGAATTAGGCGGGACAGCAGGAAAGGCTGGGGCGGTGGTAGTGAAGAAAGTGAGCACAACGGAGGCGTTGGGATTAGCGGACGAGACGGCGTCAAAGTACCACCATTCGAAGACTGTGGTGTTGACTTCAGATAACTTGGGAGCCTCCAGGTCAGCAAGGGCTGTAGAGTCAGGGACGAATTCGACATGCACGGGATAGTCGACTGGGGTGGGGTTGATGTCTTTGAGGTATTGCGCGGTGCTGGTTAGGGCTATCGCGGCAAGAAGGAGAAGGGGACGCATGTTTGGTGATGGTGATGGTATAAATGATGTCGCGATTCAATCAATCTGTCTGTCAGGAGGGGGCTGGCAACAGCGGACACTTGTCGACAATAGTAGCAGCTTTTATGGGCGTGGACGTGTACGGACACCCATTGCAGCGGTGGGTGAGACACCAGGCGGAGTAGTAATGCTTCCGGCGACCCTGGATACCCCTAGCTGACAGGGCAGTCGCTCATGTGCCACCCCAAACATCCCCAATCTGAGTCAGAGCCAATGGAGAAGGATAGAGACAGAGATAAGTAAAAAAGTAAATAACAAACGAATCAATCCATACACGCTGGCCAACGCCTCTACTTACATACGTATACATGAATCAGGCTGCCCGACGCTGATGCCATCCCGAACAAGCAAACAATCAACAATCCGGTCCCAACCTGTCCCGTCAGAAATAAGTCACAGTCAATACAAACTCGCCGTCCAGAGTAGCTGGTCAATCAAATACAATAACGACCCTCCATCAACTCCTGAACATGCGATAAACGCCAATCCCTGTCTCAGTGCTGTCCATTCGATTCGTCACTTCGATCCTCCTCCTTCACTCCGTGCTCCCCTGGCTTCAGGCCATCAGAGCCGTCTTTTCCGCAGCCTTTCACAAGGATGTGTCGCTGTACACACATGTTAGACCCGATCATTTGTAAGCAGAATGTAAGTAAGAATCTCACCTTTAGCGCGTCCTTGCGCGAAAAGCTCTTGTCACAGTGGGTGCACGGGAACGGCTTCACCGAGAGGTGAATTCGCTTATGCCGCTTCAAGTCATGGTTGCGGTTGAAGCTTTGTGGACACTGGTCACACTTGAACGGTCGGTCGTTGGTGGGTCCGGGAGCGCCGTGACCTGGATGGGGTGGGTGACCCCCATACAACTGCTGCATCTGCTGCATATTGGCCACGTGCCCACTGTTGTACCCAGGCAATCCAGGCAGCACCCCGGACTGCAGGTTTCCGGTAAGTGACATCTGCCCGTTCGGATTGTGCACATTCGTCCAGATGGGTCCGTTCATCGCCGGAAGCGAATATGACGGCCATGGCTGCCGTTGATAATTCAAGTGGTGCGAGGGGTGCGGATTTGATGCCACCCGATTGGGCACGATTCCCTGTTGTCCGTACGGCGAATAGCCGCCCGGCGGGCTGGCCAGTTGCTGGATAGTGCCATACGCTGGGGCAGACGATGATTTGACCATGTAGGGGTCGTTCGAAGGAAGGGGATGCGGCGACGGCGCTGGATTAGGCAACGGGTTGTGTGCTGACAACATTGCGTGTGTCATGGCATGATGTTGTTGAGGAGCACCCGCCTGAACAGGTGCAGTAGAGGAGACCGAGGCAGATTGGTGAAACGGAGGCAAATGATTCATCTCGTATGGCTGGGTGATATGCTCGGTGCCTGGAGTCGACGTGGCAGGATTGCGATTCAGGGAGTTCACCGACGGGGAGAAGGTGTCTCGACTTGGATAGGACACCACACTTGAGTTCCACGACTGACGGGCGGCTGCTGCCCCTGACCCACTCTGGTATGCGCTCTGGCTTTGCCAGTACGGTGCCAACTCCGGATTTGTGGGTGCCGTGGTGGTGGCTGTGTGCGAGGTCGTAGCAGGAAGAGTTTCGCCAGATTGGGTGGTTGCTGGTGGTGTAAGGAGGTTGCTGACGCTGGGGTTGATGGGCGGAGGATTGTGATGGGCGTACTTGACGCTGGTCTGAAAGTTGGGTGCAGGAAGCTCAAAGCTGGGTAAAGTCGGGGCCGCAGGACGACGCGAGTTCAACGGCTGGTGGTTCAGCGCATCGAGCGCCGTCCCCATGCCTGGAGGGGGGATCGCGAGGGCAGCCAGGTTGGCGGATGTCTCGCGTGAGAAGCTCGAGGAAGGAAATAAATCACCCACTACCACTGGAGAGGGCGTGGCCAAGGTGCTGGACAGATGTCCTGAGAAGGCGACCGAGTCAGATCCAAGGGTCCAGTATCGACTGCCAGACAGGCCACCGGCAATGTCTGGAGGATCCAGGAGGGGCGATCGGATCGCGATCAGCGATCTGAGTCTGCAACGGGGGTGGTCCTGGGAGATCGACCGTAGGTATGATGCTGGACGGGTACCACCTGTGTCGGTTGTTTCACGATCGACGAAGAAGATTTCACGTCAGGTTGGATTGGCCCCAATGTTTTTATCCAGAAGTCATATCCTTTCCGATGGAGCGAGAGTGCTGATGCGACAGACGGATCAAGCGCGAAAACGGCAATGGAGATAGATCGACGAGGTATGTTGGATAATAGGATAGGTATATTGCGAATGAGAAGCTAGTCAAGACAACGGCATGATCTTTTTTTTTCCGTCTCCAGGCAGGCCAACGCGCCCTCACGCGATGCGCACGAGAGAAGACAGAAAATAGTTATATGTTGATGTGGATGTGGATGCGCGATGAAGATCTGGCGGAATGACAGTTTAGAGTACCATGGACGGCAGTCGAATGGCAGCGGGGATGGTAGGATCCGGCGCGCGTAGAGCGAGATTTAGGAGGGCGGGAAGGGAAGATTGGCGGGCGGAGTCGGAGTCGGGAGTTTGTGGTGGACGGTTTGGTTTGGTGGGAGCTGAAAGAGTGGGAATTAGTGGTGAAGATCGGACGAGTCGTGGGTGGCGCTGATGGTGGAGGGAAGATGCTAGTTAGATAGGCTTGCACGGCAGGGGAGGGAGAGGAGAAAAGAAAACCGAAGTCGTGAAAAGACAACGAAGGGAAGGGGGGGAAAGTTCAGGGAGGGAGATCTTTTATTGTTCGTGGGAAACGAGAAAGAAAGAAAGCAGAGAGACTCGGGTTGGAGGTGAATATGAATAATAATATGGATTATTTGCTGATGGGCGAAAATGGGGAGGACCAAACAAGCCGGGAATGGAGACGTATCCAGACCAGTCCAGCGCCGGGTCTGGCCAGCGCGGGGGTTGAGTTCACGCCGGGAAAAAATACCAGGGAGAACATACCCACCCTGACGGTCCGATAATGACTAACTCCCTCTCCTTCACGCGATTTTTTTTTTTCTTTTCTCTATTTATTTGTTTATTTTTTTTTGGATGATGGGCTTGAATTCTACTTATCTACGGAGCACTACAGGATAGGATGAGAAAAAAGGAGAACTGGTTAGATACAGAGCATGACATCCATCCTGTACTCACGCAGGACTATCCCAATTCGACCTTCATTTTGTGGTAATAATATCATTATTATTCTTCTTATTCCCATTCCTATTATTCATCCCATCAGCAGTCAATTAAAAGAAATAGAAAATCAAAATAAGAAAAAAAGAACAATATTCTTCTCAATCAGCAGACTCCAAAAAGCAGCATCCAAAGCAGCTAGTCTGGTCCGACCGCATGGAGTGGAGGATTCCCAATCGGGGCCAAGGCCCAACCAAAATTTCAGCAGAAATGAATGAAATGGATGAATGAATGCTTGCTTGTTGCTGCACTTTTCTTTTCTCGAAATGTATTTAGTTATTTAGTATACTTATTTTTAAACACAACTCTCACTGTCTGGTTTTTTTATTTTTTCTTAGGGAGAGATTATTTATTCCTTTTCCCTTCATGTAACCCGTAAAAAAGTCTATTCAGGCAGAAAGCAAATCTCCCCTCCATGAGGTGAAACATAGAAGTAGAGAAGAAAAGAAAAGAAAATCATCATTCGGAGAGCACACAGAGAAAGAGAAAGAAAGACAAGCCCAGCCGCGCCCGGACAGGCCCAGGACGTTCCGCCGGTAATATTGAAAGGAACCATTGACAACAAACTTTCCTACCTGACTGAACCTTACCAGTCACTCACTCGCTCAAATCACTCTCCCTCCCTCGCTAGGTCACCCTGAACCACACCCGGATGGAGCCATTCTCCCGGTCCAACCACCCCCAGCGCAACTGACTATCGACCACTTAAGCCTAGCCTAGCAATTCCTAAGCTAAGCCGAACCAACGACGACGGCTCGCTAAAACACACTTGAGCCAGTCCCAGAATCCAATCCCTCGACGCCTGATCAACGGCAACGTGGTTGACAGGGCTCGTCCAGGCGCCCAAGCTGTTTCCGTTCCACCTTTGGCGCTTCCCACGGTCGAGGGGGGCGACTCGGTTAGTCGGCCACCTACTAGTAGTAATCAGTCCTCCACTGAACATAGATAGCTTAGTAGTTGATCATAGATGTCTTAGCAGATAAATAATCAATAATCTACTCATGATGAGCAGGAGCTCTCCCTCATTCCAGTCATTTCCCTTTCCCCCTCAATATCCTCCAGATGAGACGAGATATGGACATAATTTACCTCGTCTCGCCCGACAAATAGAATCGTCCAGACCTTCTTCTGCAGATGGACTTGACCCGAAAAGGGCCAGAATCAATGGTGCCAGAAAACCGGTTAGCCCTCCCAGAATCCCTTTCGGGTCTAGTCGCTCCGCCGTATTGTTTATCCAATCTCACACTGCCTTTTTCGCTGGGGATTTGCTGATTGCCCCCTTTGGCAGCTTCTCAGGAAACAAAACAAAAGTCACTGTACTTTACACCGTACTTCTGTTCTGTGCCTTCTCCACATCCTTCCCTCCCTCCTTTTTAGATTTTTTTTTTTTTCTAAAACCCTACTTTTTATTCCCCCTCCTCCATTACTCCATACGGATCTTGGGATCGTAAAAACTAGGTTGGCTGTATGTATGTATAGATAGGCATGTGGAGCGCCGTCCCGGCTGGACGATCGGCCACCCCGACCCAGCAGGGAATGCTGGCCACTGTTGCCCTGTTTGGTGGAGTTTAGAATAAGCTTAGCCCTCTGCGTCGGGGGTAGCGATCAGAGAGGAGGGGAAGGGGAAAAAAGGGGGGGTTTCTCCAGATCGACGGTGGATGGTCGGGAGAATTAACAACGATCAGACTGATGGCACGGATAGAGACACGTCCACCCAGGGTTCATCTCCCAGGGCACCAGGGGAGGAGAGGGGAAGAAGGAGCAAAAGAGGGCCAGCGAACAGGCCATTTACGGAGTACACGCCATGGCCAATCGACGTGGACCAGCAGCAATCAACACCAGACCAAAAGAAATCAAAAATACCAAACGAACAAAAAAAAAAAGAAGAAGAATCGAAAAAGCAAAGCACGGGGGACCCGAAAAGGGGCAGGCAAGCGATCGTTGCTCCTTGCGTCGAGGAATGCATGACAGATGCCGGGCGGTGGAGGACACAGCTGAGGCTGATCGGGTCGGGGCGAAAGGATGGGGGAGGAGGAAAGCCATGGCGGTCCCTCAGTGCTGGTAAGCATCATAATTTTTGGAATCCATAATTATTAGAAACATTATCGGCAATAATTAGCTGGCCGGCAGGGCACACAATTGGCAGCTGGGGGAGATTATTCTTAGCTGAGCAGCCCGCGACCGACCGACGTACGGAGAATTACTTGGGTATAGCTCGACGGGGAGATCCACCAATGGAACATTCTACGTCCTGGGGAGGGGAAGATGTCCTAGTATGGTGTCCAATGAAGGAGATGATATGACTAGAGAAAGATAACTACCATCACTAATCGAAATATCATCAGGTTGGATGAAACAATATATCGGGACCCAAAGGGAAAGGTGGTTTCTCGATCCAAGGTTGATGGGGTTTTTTGTTTTTTGGTACCTCGTATCCGTCGGCCATCGACTGCTCTGGCCTGGGCCCTGCTCTCACGCACGGACACTGCGTCCCGGCCCTCATCCCAATGCACTTGCGCAGGAAAACCCATTCTCCGTCAAAGGCAAACGGTCCCTGGTCCGCTTCTTCCATTCCACGGCCAAGGTCACCTGTTCTTTCCTGGGACCCTGGCTCTGAACGGGGGATAGACCCCCGATCGCTTGAGGATGAGATTCCAATCAGTCTGTCCCATTCCTCCGAGGATCCCCCCAACTTCCAATACGAGCGCATATTGGACCGCCCACGATAGGGTTGTTGGCACTTGTCAGTCTTGCGGGCCATCCACCCATTCATTCCCCCGAGCGAGGAAGAACCAAGCGATAGGCAGGGACAAGTCTGACCAGAGTTTCGCGGATCCCGGTCCAGCACGATTGATTGGTGGATAGACCCGTGTCTGGCAGTACTCCGTATACTTCCATTACTCAAGTCCTCCCGTACTAAGTCACTATCCGTCTATCTGACACTACTTACTACTTGGTCTTAGCCTGAGTGGTTAACTCCCCATACAGACCGTCGCTCTGGATATTTTACCTACACCTTTTTTCTTTTTGTTTTCCCCCAGGTGGTACAGCGTCGATACGCCCGGTACTAGCGCCTTGGAAGGAGAGTCTGCACTGGCTGGCTCGGGCTTCGGGTGTGGCCCACTAACCCCATCCGGGCGTTAGCGTTTGACTCTTCCCTCCGTGATGCCCCACCTGACTTGCCTGGTCGGCCTGCATCTTGGGACAAAGCTGCCGGCCACTCAGGCGCCAGTCTTGCTTGACACGCGCAAGCTGTTCTACACCTACACTCTCTCGGTCACTTACTCGGTTCTGTTGTGCCTTCTGGGATTCTCAGAGGATTTGAATAACAGGACTTCATTAACTCATTAACTCTCTAGATATTAATTAACTTTAGCTTATGTAGTACTGTTTTCCGTATTGGTATTGTTTGTATGGGAACCCCGCTGACTATTCTCCGTATCTACTTGTATTCCAGATACGGAGATAGGCCTCGGATGGCTTCAGCATGGCTTCGTCAACCAGGTCAACCTAAATCACCGCCATCCGCGATGGTGTCAACAGTCGGGTTTCAAATCAATCCGCTGAAGAAACGCATATGCAAGCCCCGTGGACTACAAGATACCAATCACCGCAGTCATTGGTTCCCTCGGAAGGTTGCCAGACGAGAAGGATCCGTGGATTGACCATACCTACCTATCAATGAACCTCCCCCCGGCCTAGTATTAACGCTAAATAAGGCCCCCGTCCAAGGTACTTACTTACTGGAGTAGGAGACTACTGCCCCCTTGGGTAGTACCTTAGGTTCTCCTCTTCCTTTCTCCTCCTCCTCCTCCTCCTCCCCCCATGTCCTGGGTAGTGCGTGACCAGACCGCACAAACAAAGAGGCGCCGGAAATCACAAGCTTGGCCTCCTCTCCCTGGAACCTAACGGTCCACCATCTCTAGCCTTTCCCGACGGGAGGCGCGGCCAGCACCAGCCTGTCGGTATTGGCGGGGGTTTAGGGGTCGGGAGATCGAGGGCGGTGGCGGCCACGGTGACAGACGCATTAATAATCACGAAGTAAACTGTCTTCATCCCATCCATCCCTCCATCTCGACGCACTATTTAGCCAGTCATCCCAGTTTATCCTCCGTACGCATGCTACGCCATTCCATGTCATGCCATGCTGTATCCCCCCGGCAGTGGCTCGCAAGGGGGGTTCTCCTTGCCATTCCGTACAAGAAATAATCACCCCCTCCCCACCCAAATTGCGGACAAACAACCCTGCCCGGAAGCTACTCCTGTACGACTTGGTTCAATCTAGACAGACAGGGGGGTTCGATGGGTCAACTTGTAGCCAATGTGATCTGTGCATCGTCGATCAAAGCACATCTTTATGATCAGTCGTTTTTCGCCCCCTTCATCCATTTTTCAATCTACCAATCGCAGCGTGGAGCCTGCGAGATTATAGCCAGAAGGACTAACTGCCGACTAAAGGTCTTAGCCGCTCAGGAGAGCTGCTAGTGTGCATTGGCCTCGAAAAGGGTCTGCTCGGACGTTATCCGTCTGCAAGCTAGGAGATAGATAGATAGGAGATTGTAGCAGTCGGCAGATTCTACACCGCACTTGCCACTGTGACAATGACTAGAGTAGATTACGTGCCGCAGCCGATATCCCTTTCCGACCATGACAGATGTAGTTTACTTTGATAACTACTCCGTACTTACGATGAGTGAGATGGCGTCGTCGTCAACCCGACCAGGGATTGACAACATGTGATAGGCTCATGGCTATCGCTCTTGTCACGGTGTTCCTTGCACCCGTCTCCTAACCTTGCTGGCAACCTAGTTTTATACTTTTCGTTCCGGCTGGGGGCTAAGAGAGGTGCTTGGTCGCGCTAGATCCGCGAACATGATTTACCTACCCATCAGGCTTGGCTGCGCAGAGAGTTAGCTGCTGATAGGCGGACTGTGATGGATGAGGTGAATCATCAGTCGAACTTAAATTATGGGAATAGGAGAGATATCACTGTTTCAAGTTACATATGAGTGTAGATGTCGCGGCTGACACATTAACCACTCAGCTTATGGAGAGGCAAACTCAATGTTGGAAGTTTCTCTGAGATATTAGAAGAGCTTAATGCTAGACATAAGTACTATACCAACCTCAGCTTATACGCCAGACCGCATACACAAGTCTACATATGTTCCCGAAGGAAGAAGCCATGGGTGACTGACTAGCGGCGGCAATTGTCTACTCAAAAGTTAAACACAGTACGCCTTAAGCCTCACAGAACGCCAACACGTATTGTTATAACTCGTTACTTTGGTTCGGAATATGCTGAATACATTCACTGACTCGAGCCCTTTAGATCATCCTAACAAACAACTCTACCTCCGGAAACCAAGTCAACTAACATGTACTTTTTAAGCCACCACCACCGCAAAACAAGATTCTTCCATTTCTATCTTGAACGGCGTATTATAGACTCCACCAGAAAGGAAAGGAGAAGAGGAGGTTCGAGCTCAGGCTCTGTCCGGAAAGCTTGAAGCGGATTCAGTTTACGGACCTTACGCCATCCGGCCGGATGCTTGCTCAAGAGAGTTGTTTATTTGTTTGTATCTTTCCTGACGGGTCAGTAAGAAAAGTATAATTTGTTAACTGCTCATTGTCAAGTACTTTGTTCATATCAGGTTTCGGCTTTGCTGTGGATGAATCAATTGAAGTGAAGTTGCGGTCTAGAAGAACACTGTTCTTGGATGGTCATTAGCCAGTTACCTTGGAGCTGGACGTATTTTGTTACCCACTGATGAAGGGAATGACTCGCCTTGGAATGATCATTATTATGTGACACTCTTTTTCCAACTGATGGGTAAGTGAGTGAGCTAGTTTTGAGCAAAGAGGACTAAGCAGCTAGCCTCGCATCCTTCAGGAGCTTACTCCTGATTCATCTTAGTACCGCACACCATACAATCTCACACCCACCTTGGAGTAAGCAAGCAAGCAAGCAAGCACCATCGCATGGTGATTCCGTAAATTCCTCATGCAAGGCGTCAGTCAGTCAGTCAGTCAATGCGGGATAAACACACCAGACTAACCAACTAACTAACTAACTAACTACCAGGTGATCAATCCCTCTTAGTAGTTAACCACTGAATCCCCCCTATTCAATCACATTCCCTCACCACAGCCTGCCCGGTTATCTTACCGACACACTACTTACCCAACTAGTCACATACATACATACATACGCACTATCCATGCATGTCAGCCAAAGCTCCGTTCGCTCCGCTTTTCTTTTCCCTCTTTTTTTTTTCACTCATTCACATTACGATCAAACCCCGGATCCCGAGCAAAGCAAGAAAGCAAGCAAGTAAGCGATTCGCCACTAACACTCACAAACCCACCCCTAGTCCCCTTTTAGCTCGCCTAATCATCCGAGTGACAAGAAACGCCATGGCGAAAAGCCCGAGCCCAGTGCTGCAGGAAGCTTGATCTAGCTAGTATGGCATACTATAATACGGCTTGGCTTAGGCTGGCCTTATGGGGTGTAATAACACCGTTCGTTTACAATATACTAGGAGTATTATAGTGAGTATTATGTCGCATTGCTCCCGTGACATGACTAGGTCTTAGTAGGTGATTGTATACATTCCTAGTTGCAGAGTTTGTCCAATGGTGTAGACTGGCAGGACCTAGGTGCATAGTAAGGTAGATAGATTCACATGCCGAAGGAAGGAAGAAAAATTGATAACGGGCTTTGATCGGCCGGTCGGTCGGGGTTCCCCTGAACTGCATTGCAGTCAACCAATTCAGTTCACTTATGGGTTGGGGAGGGGGACCCCCTTGGGGCCCCGGTTTGTGCACGCTATAAGTGGCTTGGTTATACTGGGGGAGCTACTACTTATCAGAGGAGGTATCTCCGAGGCAGTGCGGGTGAGGTATAGGGATGTTACTTTGCTTCGCTCGCTTTGTTGTTATGTTTCTATTCCTAGATTGTGTGTCTGTGTGGCAATGAAATATGATTACTAGGCTGGATGTTCATATCGCACTCGGACTATCGTAATCCGACATCCGATAAAGTATCTAGTGGATGATGAAGATGCTACATGGATTTAGCTGCTCTGACAAAGAGGATAGTAATCACACTATATGATGATATTATCTCCGTATATTCGGAGTATGTTCTGAATTGAAGTAGACTGTTGTGGATTCCTCCTCCAATAGCCATGTGGCGATATCACTGTCGCTTCTATATTTATAGCTTGCAGTCGTGTAGGATGCCGACATCCAAGTTGTGTATATATACCACTAGTAGCAAATGTTCTACTTTGGTAACTCCGATCCCTGCTCACTAGACGGATACTCCTTATAATAGTAGCTACATATCCACATCCCCAGTCGGTCCCTACTTACCCACCATACCCACTGCAAACCCACATATATAGCTGACAACATACCCTGTTGATACCCTGTTGGAAACAACTAGTTGGCAAACACATATCGCCACTTTTGTTCTTGATCCTATCTCTTAAGCAAAGCATCTATCTGCATGTTTCAGATGAACTACGGACCAGAGTGTAATTATCCACACCGCCTCGGGCCCCTACCAGCACCATTTCTTTTACTTTTTCAATTGATATAATCCAAAAAATAGTAATTATCACTATGCTAATAAGTGACAGCGATCATATCACCCTAGTAGAAGGGAAGGCTACTGCCAAGCGCACCAAGAATCAACAAACCATGAATATATGAATATAGTGTCTCCCTCCGTACGAGCTTGGCAGCTTGGCAACACACCCTTCACTCAATTATTATTACCAACTACTTGAATATTGTACTAAATCAGAAACACAATATCCCAGTAGATACCATACCATACATACATACCAATACGAACTAAACCAAACAATTCTAAATCCGGCACGGAATGAACCCGAAAATACCTAACTAACCAAACCACCCCATCCCACCCATACCTGCATCAATCGATCGATCACGAGATCGCTGCTGCAAGCCTAATGTCTCTTTCTCGCTTCAGGCTCCCGGCCGAAGCAAACCCAAATATTTTCTTATTTCGTTTACGCATTTTAGCGTTCCTACTTTCATTTTCGTGAGAGAAAGAAAGAGAATCGAAGGGAGGGAGGGGGAGGGTGTTATTGACAGTCCAGACCAGTCTAGACTCATGCATGCTTGGCACAGTGTGGTCAGAAGAGAATGCTGGGGGCGGGGAAGTAATGAGTTAGTCGAATTGGGCAGGACATGCCGTGCCGGGGTGGAACAACGAACTCCATGGGAAATGGGGTTGTCGATTGTGGGTGGACTGGGGATGTAGTATGTAGTAAGAGGTGAGATGAGACTGGGATTGAAGGCTGCGGCGCCGTGGTGGCTTTGAGGTTGTGGTAGTTTATTTGCCGCTTGTCAACAACAGGATCTATCCTAGTAAGAGTGACTTTGTATGAATCGTAGCTAGCTATGGGGAGTTTACTTCCTAGGCTTCCTCTTCATCCTCGACATAAACATCATACTTGTACTTACTCCCCGGATGATCCGTTCTCAACTCCCTCTGCCCCCGTCCATACACCTTCTCTCTCGCCGTCAACCCTTCTCCCTCATCCTCATCGGCAACAGCCTCAGGATACAACCCCCTCCTCCTCAATTCCGGCACCAACAACTCCACCACATCCTCAAACGTCCCCGGAGTAGTCACATACCCTAGATTAAACCCATCCAGATCCGCCTCTCTCACCCACCGTTCCATCTCATCTGCCACCCTCTCCGCACTCCCCACAGCAACAGGCCCCAACCCCCCAATGGCCGCCTTCTCCGCCACGACCCGCGGCGTCCACCGCGGCACGTCCTCGCTGGTGGTCGTAAACGCATCCAGCTGACTCGTGACCTTATGCGCCTCCAGCGAATCCGCCGCCGTGATATCCTGATCAATTGGGATCCGGCTGATATCAATCCCCGTCCACCCGCTGAATAGAACCAGTCCGCCGATGACAGACGCGTACTTCTTCACTTCTTCGTACTTGGCGCGCGCTTCTTCGTCCGTCCGGCCGATGATGGGCGTGAATGTCGCGAAGAACTTGATCGAGGCTGGGTCGCGGCCTTGTTCGGATGCGAGACGCCGGATGTTGGCGATCTTGGGCCGCAGGACGGCGGGAGAGTGGCTCGAGACGAAGATCGCTTCTGCGTGTGTGGCCGCGAAGGAGGATCCCGCTGCTGAGGTGCCGGCTTGGAAGAGGAATGGGGTGCGTTGTGGCGATGGATCCACGATGTGGCGCGTGTTCAGGGTGAAGTATTTCCCCTTGTGGTTGATTTGGCGCACTTTGTCCGGGTCGACGTAGCTGTCGTTCTCCGGGTCAGGGGAGAGAGCGTCAGGCGCCCAAGAGGATTCCCAGAGTCTTTTTGTTTCGCATGATGCATGTTAGTAGGTGAGAGAGAGTATAGGGGGAGGGGGGCGGGAAGCATACTTGTATAGCACACGCAGGTACTCGTCTGCTTGGCGGTACCGCTCATCGTGCTCGATGGGAGTGTCGAGGCCAATGGCCTTGAAGGCCGCTTTCTTCCACGAGGTCACGATGTTCCATCCGATGCGGCCGTTGGTGAGATGGTCTAGCGTGGAGAAGCGCTTCGCCAGGAGGAATGGCGGCTCGAATGAAGTCGAGGCTGTGATTCCGAACGCGAGGTTCTTGGTCACAGCTGCCATGGCGGAAATGGGCTATTCTGTCAGTATACATCTTGCATTGGGTGTAAGGGGGGAGTGGGAACGGGGGCGTACAATTGTAGGATCAGTGACAGGCCACTGCGCTGCACGCCGGATACATTCGTCTAGTTTGCCTTCGTAGGTGTCGTATCCGCCGTAAGTGTCAGCCAGGAACAGGGCATTGATGCCTCCGCGCTCAAGGAGCTTGGCTAGATTGATCCAGTAGTCGAGCTTGCGCTTCGTGGCTGATTTGTCGGCGGGATTCTATAAATTTGAGTCAGTATATAAAGTACCATGATGTTGAGTCGGGGAACCTTACCTTCCACTGTCCCGGAGACAGGTGTCCCACGGTGGACATGTCAAAGGCATTGAGCAGGATCTGCTTCTTGCCATTATGGCTACTGTCTGTACTGATGTCGCCCATTGTGTGTCTGAGATTGTTGTATTGGTTCACTAACACTCATTCGAATGTAGCTGTGATATATCCTGGTGTGGTGCACAACCCCTCACCAATCCCGCCATCAGATGTTGTCATGGCGCAAGCGTGTTATCAGTGGGATGGATATGCAAGATACAAATTCGCCATTTTCCCCGCATCATGCGTGAGACGGTCCTACTATCACTACTTATCTTCTCTGAAACAATACTTCTGCCATGTGCTCCGATGCCGGATGGTGGTGGATGCTAAGTAAATACACCATATGCAGGTATATTGCGTGACAGTTTGATAAGATGGAGCACCCAACCTCGAATATCTAATTGACTAATCTACAACCTTCTATTTTTCACTTGGCGTCCATCCCTTCCTCATCAGTGTATCTGTAGTCAGTCTTAGGTCGTGTAACCTGCACGACAGCAGATCCAGACTCTGGCTCGTCTCGAGAGGCCCTCGAGTCCTCATCCGTAGCTGATATCGCGCGATCCCTAGGTACATTAGTATTACCCAAATAGCAAGCAAGCATCAATGCAGAACGTACTCTTTTGAAATGAAGTACTTCGTAATGTGCGACGACGCAATCAAGCAGATCGCACAGGCAAGCACAAACGAATACCCCTTCGTGAACCTCGGCCCCTCGACCGTCTTGAAAACCAATAACGGCGTCCACGCCGTCGTAGACTGTGCAATAGTGTTTAACACAATCAAGATAACTGCCCGCTCGTCAGGCGAATGCCGTATCTCGCTGTTGATCCAGCCCATTAGCACACTGGACATGGCCACAGACGAATACATCGTCGAGAAAGCGAACCACAGCGCCGACTCCGGCACATCCCAGATAACCTGAATCACCAAGCCAATGATATTCCACACATGCGCAAGCGTAATAGCCCACGCCGGACCCAGGACCAAATCCGACGCGAAGCACACAAGCAGGGTGTAAAACATCCCCAGCCCGGGCGCGATCGCAAATAGCTCATTCACCTTGCTAGTCGAGTACCGATTCAGACTCTTCAACCAGAGAAGGTACCCACCCGTGTTGGTTTGCACGCACGCGTTCCAAAAGAAAATGTCCACCAACAACAATGCCCAGAACTTCCAGTTCCGTAGCACCCGTACACAAGTTCTCCATGAGACGTTGGATTCTTGGACCCCGTGTCCGGCTTTTTGGAGTCGAGTCCTCACGAGTTGGATGTCGGATTTGCTTAGCACAATTCGGTTCGGTTTGTCTGGCGTTCCGGGGAGGACTATGAATCCCAGGATGCCGACGGGGATGGTGATCACCGCGCAAATGATGTACATCCACCGCCAACCGGCTAGGCCGTTTACTCCGTCTAATTGCGCGGATGCGCCGGCTTGGATGAAGCTTGCTGTTAGGGTGCCCAGCGTCAGGCCGAGGTAGAAGAAGCCTCCGCGTCGGGCGATTTCGTGGCTTTGGTACCATGAGCCTGGTTTTGATGTTAGCTATTTGTTGGGCTGTATTACTAGTGGGTTGGACATACCGAATATGTAATGCATCCCTGGGAAGAATGCAGCCTGACGACAGGTCAGTAATTGGATTCCAATTGAGGTAGTGATAGGTTGGGGATATACCTCGAACCATCCCACCAAGAATCGATATGCCATCATTTCCTCATACGAAGTAGCCCGGTATTGCAGCAAAGTAAAGACCCCCCAGAGCAGATCCATCCCGGGGATGAGCCACGAGATGGGGTATTTGGTGAACAGGTAAGCAAATGGGAGTTGACCTAGGACAGCGCCAACGGTGTAGATAGTTTGAAGGTTGACGAGGTCATTCCCTTTGAGGTTAAGGGATTGTTCCATTCCAGAGACGTAGGCATTGTCTATTGACAAGTGTGATTGTTGTTAATGTTATTGCGCCAATTGGTATTGACCATATATGAGGTACTGAGTGGATGAACTCACTAATATTTGCCTGGTCAATATATTTGGTCCAGTAAGCGAGAAAAGCATAAGGAACGATGAGGAGATCGAGTTTGAAGAGGAGACGTCGTTCCGCTGGGGAGTCGTCAGGCGAGAACCATCTTATCTTGGAGAATTTCATAGTCGAAAAGCACTGTGATGCGTATGTGTATGGCTTAAAGTTGCATGGAACTTGATGAGTGATTGAAGACTACTGATATACTTGCAATGCGTTGGCAGATGCATGGGGACGTTAATGTCACCATAGCATTGCTTGTATTACGTGACAACTGCCTATCTACTGCATCTTCCTGCAGCTGCATGTGTCGTGTAAATCACCGGATGGTGAGTTTATTCTTCCTGCCTATCTTTTCAAGGTGACTGGACGGCAGGATGAAGCTTGAATTGTCTGTGCGGTGTGGGGTTCAGCACGGGGTGGTGTCACTGGGGGGTAGGAAGGCGTGCTTCTTGGCTGAGTGGTGATAGCAGTAGCAAGTGGATCAGATACGATGTTGATTGCTTGGTGGGAATGAGGTGATTTGCGGAATGTGAGACATCCATGTGTCAACAACATCACCAGTACTGAATTCATTCATCTTCATCAATCAGTGTATGACGATTATCGGATCATCTATTACTAGTATACCCGATTAGTTCTAAGATATGCTTCGCTGTATACTTCCTTGTGACCCAAAGGAAGCATATAGCTTCAACGGGTGTCTACGAAGTATACATACATTGCGAAGCAGTGAAGTCAGGTATAATATTCCCGGTAATTGGTTCACCGAGTAATGTCTTCTGGCTCAGTAATGTCAGTTGTAATATGAATTCCTAGACATGTGGTTCGAAACATATCTTCAGATACTAAGACTTAGAGGTAGAATGAATGGCTTGGCTGCTGCAACAGTGCCGATACCGGGACGAGATACTAGTTGTGCAGGGATCATCCGGCATTCATATACGACCTGATATAGAAGACTAGTAGAGAAGTACATGCTGCACGCCTAGAACGTGGGGGTAATCGACTAGAAACGGTTTGGAAACATTAAAGACCAATCCTTTCTGGTAGCACAAAATGCATTTCTTAGGCTCGCTGACGCAGAGAGACGCTGCCATCCCATAAGTACGGAATAATACCGCTGAGAACACAGGTTATTAACATGATCTACAGTGCAGTTTCCTGCGCGAGATTAGCTTCGACGCAAGGATGGAAAGTCCGCCCAGAGAGCTGGAGCCATTTACATGTCTTCTCGCTATGCAGCCTTAAGACAGTGTCATGATCATAGAGACAGATATCCGGAGACCCTTCTCTAAGGACGAGACAAGAGAAGTGGTTCTTGCCAAATTGATATCACTCCTAATGTCATGTTGCTGAAACGGTACTTATAGCAGCCCGGCAGGTTCCTTGTTAGTTGGGAGCCACATACTGGGGTTCGATCAATTATTACATCAGCTTGAAGAGGCACGAAAGAGTCGCTGTGCATGTATCCATCGACGATGATCCATGGAAGCGCCCAATCTGAGGGACAGATTCTACTCCGTAGATCAGCACTGTTCGAAAAGCTTCATATAGATGAATTGGAAGACGGAATAACCCATGTATAATGAGATCTACATCATGCATGCCAGCACCCTACTGGGTCCTCGTCAAATGCATCGCTTCTTGATATGCGAGTGGATCCAAGCGTAGCCTGGAATGTGGCGACCGCAGATATCAGTGGCCCCAAGAATGCGTCACGCTCTACTTTTTTTTAACGCGGTGTAACAATACAAATTCTGGGAGGCATGCAAAATTGAGCAGGGCTTTTGTACATAAAGAATGATCCTTAGTAAACGCATAATCAGGTTTCCAAGTGTAACTAATTATAGAGGGGCGGTGTCTGACTGCTCCTATGGCATTCCTTCCTTTCCGTTTCTGGAAGTCTCGAGGCCTTTCAAACAGCAAGGGGCATGGTGAGCTGAAGGGGAATTTGTAGGAATTTGAGCCGTGGAATAGCACACAAGAATCCCTTACAAGTACCTTATACGGTCGCTCCAATCAGTGCATGGGAATAGTAGTTTGCTCTTGATCGAAACCAAGGAGTATTCCCCTGTATGGCCATAGGCATAACTATTGAGGACTTTAATCGATTATATAAACTGCGACGTCAACTAATAAACCATTACCACATGTTAGCCATACTTTGTGAGCAATGTGGAGATGATAAGGTTATGATATACTGTATGACTCCTACAATAATACGACGGAAAAGTACGATCAGGTATTTGAGGAATATCAAAATAGTGGTATGTAATTGCTCAGGTAGAAGGAACATCAATCCTTACCATGGACCGCATTGTTTAGCTTCCGGTCGGGATGATCCTCGCTGGTAAACATGTCACCCAAGCTATGAACTATTCCCGCAAAATCCAAGAGGTAGTATGATTTTGGAAAGTAAAATTAGATACATGTTTGAGAGCGGTTGTAGCTCCACGTGTGAGAAGATTCATAGATGCCTTCGAATGATGGCAGGGATGGTGGGTCTGACAGGTCTATCAAAGCTCAGCCCAGTCCAGGCTAAACCCCCGCATATGCAAGATACTTTTACCCTTCTGCTAACATTGAAGCTCCGTGAAGACATATTGCAGTGATCTTGTATCACTGTCCAAGTGATTTGATACGAACTCCTGACCCTGGGAAAGGGGAAAAGGGAAATCCGGGCGAAATCGGGATTGGCGGGGACGGATTCGGATGACGTCGAGGGCAGGTGGGGTAGCTTCACTGCTACTCCGTTACGGTGTGTCTGCTCGGCCTCGCATCTCGGCTCTTTTCTTTCCCCAGCTTCATTTAACCCTGTTGTGGTCTCTTTCTCAGCTTCCTCCTCCTCCTTCTTTTTCCCCTCTTCCATTTTCTCATCCATCCATCCCACATCCATCCCGATTCATCCCAATTCATCCAACTCATTTTCCCTGTGCGTCCGCTATCCGCCTGTTCTTCTAACATGTTCCCCAGACAGCTTCTGACTCTCCCACTAAGAAGGTCCTTCTTGACCCCAGTCACGCCCCTCTCTAGTCGTATCGTGCGCCCTCTTCACTGTTCCTCTGCAGCCATGTCTGGTGTCAACAAGGCTTGTTGCTCGTGAGTAATGCCCTGTCAATGGCTTACCTCCAATGCACCGTCCTCCATACTCACCGTGACCAGCATCCCCCCGATCGTGGCCCAGGGCTACCAGGGCAAGGGCGAATACAAGACCATCAATGGCTTGAAGACTTGTACGTCGAATCCAATCGACCAGAGAGACCCAGCTAATTCCCTACCCAGACGTCACTGGCCCCGAATCCGCTACCAAGGCCATCCTCGTCATCTACGGTAAGATAGATCCGTTCCCGATCGGTCCAAAGCTCCATGCTAAGTTTCATGATCACTTCCAGACATTTTCGGTTTCTTCCCCCAGACCATCCAGGGTGCCGACATCCTGGCCACCGCGAGCGAGCAAAAGTACCGCGTTTTCATCCCCGACTTCTTCCAGGGCGAGCCTGCCGACATCACCTGGTTCCCTCCTCAGACCGACGACCACAAGCAGAAGCTGGGTAACTTCTTCCAGACCAAGGCTGCTCCCCCCGCAAACCTGCCCAAGATCCCCTCCATTGTCTCCGAGGCCAACAAGCTTGCTGCTGGCGGCAGCTTCCAGTCCTGGTCGATCCTGGGTTACTGCTGGGGAGGCAAGATCACGACCCTGGCGTCTGGTCAGGATAACAAGCTGTTCACGGCGGCGGTGCAATGCCACCCGGCGATGCTCGACCCCAACGATGCCAAGAGTGTCAACATTCCGATGGCCGTGCTGGCCTCCAAGGACGAGAACCCTAAGGATGTGGAGGCGTTCGGTGCCAACTTGAAGCAGGCCAACTATGTCGAGACCTTCTCCACCCAGATTCACGGATGGATGGCTGCTCGCTCCAACCTCGAAGATGAGCAGGTGCGCAAGGAGTACGAGCGGGGATACCGGACCGCACTGGACTTCCTCCAGAAGCACGCCTAAACAACGTGACGGTCAAACATGCCATAATGAAAGGAATTGAATAATGAATTTAGCTTACCCAAAAGTGTACGTATGGCATTCAGCGAATGCCCAAGCACAATTTCATTCTGATTGTGACATCCATCTGCATTCCGACTCCGCTGTAGATATATACTTCGTTGTAGTACTTAGCAGACAGTGGGTTAGTGGTTAGTAGTCCCCATCCCGGTCGGACCATCTTGCCCGACCGGGCCATGCCACTCCCGCGTCTAGATTGCCGGGGAGCCGGATGGCCGACGTCATCGCTGGAGTGCCGTCACCAGACTCATTCGCTTTCTTTGTCTCTCCCACCTCCCTCATCAGTCCGGATGCAGCCATCCCCTATCACCTTACCAGTGGACTGATCGGTACTAGCTGGACTAGATCTCCATTTTTTCTTTGGCTTCGTCCCCCACATCAGTTGTTTATATCCTCCGAACTCTTCTTGTAACCTCTCATTTGGGAGACCGCAATGAGTGAGGACATCATTCGAGTGTGGCAGCGTATCTGTTGGTCTGACTGATATCGCCCACACATTGTTCCTACCCTTATTCTCCTTTACACAATATCAAAAGAATCGTACCTGTTGGTCTCCGACGATAACAGAATGTCGTTTTTCTTTGGACGCCGCCATTCCATCTCATCCGCCACTCTGAGTCAGGGCGATAACCTTCCCAGAAGTGAGAGGGGGAGGAGAGCCTCATTACCCAATGTGTCCGATCCGAACAATACCGGCTCCCACGCTAAAGGTGTGATCCACGACATATTCCACAAGCATCGAGGGGACTCGGAAACAGGCTCTTCAACTGGGACAAAGACGCCTAAATCGGTAAGGATATTGGCGCGGTCAAGGAGCTTTGCTACGGATAGACTCTGACCGACTTAGAAGACTGATACAGCCCGATCCAATTCCACAAAGCCGGATACCCACTCCCAGGACGAGCAACCTGGTTCCCACCACCATTCGGAGCAGGCTGCCAAACCTCGTCAATCACACCATTACGAGGGTCCATCTTCACATAACCAGCTGACGAAAAAGGACATCGAAACGATATTTTCGGGAGCTCCATACTTCCTGCTGGAGAAGGGAAAGCATGGGCTCTTTTACCCACAGATAATATTCCCTTTTGATGATCACGATCCCACCATTCAAAGTCTCGGGGATAGACGGCCGCTTCCTCATGCCTCCTACACCCTGTGTACTCTTCATGCTCATTTGCCAGTACCGGACGACTGGGTGATTGAAGGGGAAACGCCGGTTCATCTGGGGCATTGGAAACGATCGGAAGCTCCGAAGCGGGCGACTTTTGATGTTGGAGTTCACGAAGTACCCAATATGCTGTCAGTCAATGGCAAAGACGCTGGTACGATCGGTTTCCGTCACTTCCTCGAACTGCCCGTCGCCGACTCGGTCGTATACGCGGGGCCCGTGAAACCACGACCATGCTCTGACCTCCTTCACATCTCATCGCTACCAGCAACCGAGGCGTATGAATTGATGGGGCACTATAACGACCCGTATGCCCAGTGCGCGGATGGTACCATCCATGACCGGAAGAAATTGCTCTGCGAAGGACCGGTAGCTTGGAAGAGGATCGGTGTCCGCGATGTCGACTTGCGAGCCCTAGTGGAGCGTCTCCAGACGCTGAAGACCCTCCGCTACGATATTCTGCACGGGGAGGCCCCAAAGACGATTCTAGACACAGAATGCACTCGAGAGCTATACAGTGGACTGTTCAATCGGTTTCTGTACCCACCGGTGCGGTTTCTGCTTGCGGATGCCGGCGATCCTCATAGTTTGAAGGCTCAAATCAAAGCTCTGACAGTGGTGTTGGCTACCCCTGGGGCGTGGTTTGACTTTAGTCTGATCGATTGGCGATTGCATCTTGGACAAGTACTGTTTGAGAATCCCCCACACAGCGACGGCGACTTCCTTGATCCGGACAAGTCTGACAAACCCTGGGTGCATTTCACACTGGAACGCAAGTGGCTTCTCGTCCAGATGCTGCTCGCTGCGGAGCTACTAATGCGTTTGGATGCCACTGTTCGAGTAGGAATGCTGCAGAATGCGCGGGATATCGATGTCTCGGTGCATGATGTGTACGAGTTTGACCGGCTACGTAGTGGTAAGCTGAATTGGGATCTGGTTACAGTTCGACGATTTCTAGACAGCTTTCGCTTTGCCTACAACCCTGTGGAGCCGGACAACCCTTCTCCGACCATACCTGCGCCGAGCAAGTCGCCTGAGCGGCATCATCATCGTGGATTCCTCGAAGCCTTCACACACCACTCGACATCATCCGCCCATAATGATGAATCCGCCTGGCGGTGTCACCTAACTCCCAGCCATGTTGACCAGCAACTAAAAGGATTGTTCGTTTTTGCAGACAACATTGGCTGGCCAGGACTGAATACATTCAAGAGTGCACTGCGATCCAAACTTGAGGGTGATGGTGTGGAAAAGAAAATCGAAGCCGCCTACACCATACCTCTTACCAATGCGCTACCTGCGGAGTATTCCACTACGGACTTGACAAAAGAGATGTATAGCAGATCTCCATCGCGCCGGTTGCTCCTCCTTCATTCTCCTCACAGCATACGTCCCCTGAACATTGGAGGTTGGATTACGCGTAGCTGGCTCGCGGGGTTGGTAATCCCTGGCGAGTCCATCAGCCACCTTCTCATGGCAACCATCCTAGAAAATGACGAAGAGGCTATGGCTACACTTGGTCCAGTCGCGAACGTTTATGGTGGTTTCACGTACAAGGGGAAGACCTGGTGGAGTAAGAAGTGCATTGTCGGACGAGTATTGGCAAGCCAACCGGGTACTAAGGTCTGTTTGGCGTGGCTGGCAAGCTCTATATTGCCCAAAGACTCGGAGAGTGGAGAGCGATTGGTCAACACATGGTTTGAGGTGGATGTCCGCGAGCCGCCCCGGCGTCCAGGCAAGCCACGCATCAAACACGGAAACAGGCTGTCCTTTGACTCTACGCCGCTTGGCTTGGGAGAGCTTACGAGTGGAGTATTCTTGCTGCCTGTCGATGGCCCCTGCGATAGCTGGTCGAAAGCAAACATTAACTTCCAGGACCTCACCTTCTCCCTCGATACGAAACGAACAGGTAACAACCTAACCGTAATTAAAAAGGCCTTTGCCAGTTTCCTTCTCGCTTCCACTGCTACCGGACCAACCCCAGTGTCGTTTGAATTGGCCTACAATGTACGATTCATTTCTTCCCACGAGTGCCGTCCACCCGGGGGGTCGGTCAACTATCAGAATCACCCAAGCGCCCCGGATGGCGGGTCATCATCTTCGTCATCAAGCCATGTCTCCCATAGACACCACCGTTTGCCGGGCCACCCGTTGCACCGATCGTACGCGTACAAGTGGGTTCCTCTAGAATCCCTTTCGGAGACATCTCACTCGGATAGCCACAGCAGCGGACTAGTCAAGGAAGAGATCCTCCTTCTTGACGCGCGGGGCTCGCACGACAAGGAAACATTTGCACGAGCATGGTGTGCGTCTGTTGGACATCATGCCGTCATTGGCAAGGTTGGACGGACCTGTCTGGCATGTTGCATTCGAGAAGCCCGAGCGTTACAGGTGAAGGTGGTGATTCGCATTGGGGACGGGATGTCGACGCCCTCTTCGTCGATCCAAGTATTGTATGGTGGAGAGTAGGATAGACTGATTGGTTGGTACTTAGAAGAGTCTGGTTTCGGTCGCACGTAGTGATGCCTGCCAATTTCCTGTGTTGTTTGTATGTAGTAGTATCCTTCAAGAATCCTCTGATCCTAGACATGGCTATTTGTAGGTAGCTGCCTGGTAGTCTGGAGGTTAGCTGCGTAGTGTTACGGTGCACGGGATCCTTCCCTACAGGTCGGGGCTGTTTGCCAGAAAGGCAAATACCCGTTTGGTGTCACCCACTCCTTCGTCTTCCTTTCTTGTTCTTCGTTGCTCTTTTGATCTCTTCTTCAGAGGTGGGGATTTCATCCCGGGTGGCCTTCTTCTGAGCCATAAATACTTCCAGGCCTCCAGAGCATCTTCCGTCGCTTCTCATCGCCATCACTTCCTATATACTACTGCTTTTCTTATATAGTATTTCGCAGTTCTGTATACTATACGATGCTGCTATATACAGTCCATCAAGTCCGACATCCTTCCCATTCATTTTCCCTCTTTGAGCTGGTTTTTCAACTTCCTCGTGAAAGACAATTCGTCTTAGATCCGGGCGGGATGCGCCCTGTGGAATTGTATCGACAGTGATACGGTGCTGATTGGGCACGGTATCAGAAATGATCTTAATTGCCTTGGGATAATTTATCCTAGGATAGTCGGCTCGACTATCCTTGCAGCAGAAGCGGTTTCAGGGGACCTAGTTATTGAAGACTCTGCCAAGGATGTTTTTCGAAAGGTTTATTCCGGGTGGCTCGAGTAGGTACAGTGCGCTACAAGATGCTGTTGCTAGGAAGGATGTGGTCATATTCTGCCTTGACCAGCCCGAGTATTCAAAAAATTGGGCGAAATTCGCGAGAAGAGGGTAGGATATGCTCGACGACCATGAAATTTCGATATCTCTTGTGGTTGATGGTGTGCAGGTCTCGGATTACCTGTGAGGTAGAGTTGTCTATCGTCTACTCTACTCTCCACAGCTAATGTCTCTAGAAATTCCAGATAACCTACCTCAATACGACTTCCGGATATTCCTGCGAGAAAACTTCACCATTCTATCCTCATTGGCTGCTTCCGGCATTCCTTGGCCCTTCCCACAAATGCCGGGTTATACTTGTTCATTCGATTCCACAGTGTGCTCAGATTCTTTGTGCAAAGGGATTCGGAATCTGCACATAATACGAACGATGGTAGGATTATGGAAACATAGATCAAGGGAGGGGATAACCACATCGTGAGCCATCTAAGTCAGATTGAATTTTACATGGAGCTAATCAAAGTAGATCCCTACAGGCTATAAAAATCATGGTGGCTCTCTGCCTCACACACCCGAAGATGTCGACACAGTTGTATTCAACAATGAAGACTAGTTGGCCGACAGAAATTTTCAATACATGATTTTGAGTGGGGAATTTAGCGGACGTCCCTGGGACCTGGAGATCTTCTAAGAAGATTCTTTTCCCCCAGCCACACCTCTGTTGCGCCTTGTCCCGATCCATGTATTTGTCTCACAATCCCTAAACCTGTGGTATAAATCGCAAAACTAACAGCTAGAAGAGAGGTGGCTGTAGTACAAGGGGCCATGTTATGTACCGTTGTGAATTCTCATCGACAACACGTGACTGGATATAGCAACAGCTGCCACTGGACAGGCTTTCCAAACAACAGGCTTTTTCAGTTCCTTGCCTGAAGCCCTCCCCATTGCCTGCGCTCCACAGCCGTCATTGCCACTGCTCCGAGAGCGGGATGATCTCACACTATACAACAGCGAGGAACGCGAACAGCAGCTTCCCAATGCGCCCAGCAAGAAGGTCGGCCCCCCTGGTTGGGGGATGCAATCCCTCAGAGCATTGACCTCACCATGACACCGAATGAACGGCCTCTGGCACCGCCGGTCAAAACGGATCCGATGAAAGCAGAGCCCCCGGCCAGTCCTCACGTACGTGTCTTGCTACCTGGGTGGTTTTTGCGCCAAACAGTAGTCTAATAGGAATGCTATGAGTAAGTGTTGACACCAATGTTCGTGGACTTGCAAACAATACTGACAGGCCATCTGCGTAGCTGCTACCACTTCGACTACCCTTAACTTTCAGGAGGTCTAAACCGCAGCTACTTAGTCTACATACATTCTTTGGTGCAATCGTAGTCCAGAACGTGACTCTCGCACTTTTATATTCGGTAGCGGGTTGCTTGCTTCTTCGAACAGAGGATCCAAGCAATCGGACTCCGGTGTCTTGACGCAACGCTTATGAGAATTACTCATGCGCACACCCCACAACGCCGGATTTTGGTTATCAGTGTAAGTCCTTGCTCCTTGCTAATCTTGTGCATTTCTGGGTTTCAGCTAAGATCCAACAGACTTTATACAGTTCTTTCATCAACAGTCAGCCGACTGGGTCATATTTGGTCTCTCTGGTGTATCCTCCTCGAGCACGAGAATAAAGACCATTGGCAGCTGTATTCGGATTACAACTGGAAATGGATGATTGGTTGATATGCTTAAGTGATGACATTACGCCGCCCCATTCGGGTCTCCTGCTTAGTAGGCCAGATGGTGCATGATCGTGACCACTCGAATAGTGCTGCGCAAAAGAGCGCTTCAGTTGCTGCCACCGCAGCCTTTGATCGAAAGGCTACAGCCTGGACACTAGCGACATATACATGGCGTTACAGACACGCGGGGTCAGTACGTCAGTTCTGAAGCCCTCGAGAACGAGCTTCCATAGCAGGATCATGGAGAACCATTGTCGAAGGTAGCGGCAGAGAGGGACCCCATCAATCAGTACAGTCAACAATGATGGCTGTCGATGAGACAGCACGACCGGAGAACATGAAATCGGCTTTGTGCTTGGGGTGACTAGGATGCGATCAATGCAGCCAATACTTCGTCAGAAAACATCAATAACATTTCTCTTCTGGATATTGTCCCCAACATGACTTTTTTTTCATTGATATATCCCCATTGGATGCTCTCAAAGCTGCGAATTTGGCCTTCGAATGTCCCACTGCCGCCAATGTCTGCTTGGATGTTTCATGGCACTCTCACCCCGGTCAGCTCTATCGTCGGCAGTCTCGGTGGTCGAGGTTCCTATGGTTCGATATCCACCAAAACTGGAGTGCAGGGCTTCCAAAGCACTTTGTGCTCAAGACTATGTGCATATTGTCTCTTGTTGTTGAAGACAGATTGCTTCCTGCAAGATGCTACCCGGGATGTGTGGATGTTTTGAAAGCTTTGGAATTACCATCGTCCATCTAGTTCTACCTCCGACTAGACACTGTTCCTTTTCTGACTGCGTCTCTGCCTCCTGCAGAATTAGGCGATATGCGGAGAGGGATGCATGCCTTTATGCTTAGCATGAAGTCTGGAAAACCAGTGGGACAACTCCGTATCCGTCGCTTTACGGAAATCCCGAACCGTCCGACCCTTTGCCCCATATTTTGGATCTTTCTCTGTGAAATACGGTTCCGATGTCCAAGGAAGGCCTTGAACATATCCATACAGAGAAAGATACAAACTATGTATGATCCCTTTAACCTTTTTCTGGTACGTTACTGGGTTGTAGTTTACTGGCTTTTCTCGTCATCTATACAAGTCGCCGGGGTCATGAGGCAAGCAATCCCGAGGTACTCTGATGTCCACACAATAAACCAGTGCCCTATCGCGACGATTTTCTGATTGTGTATTTCCTCATAATGCGGGAGTTCATTGTAACCCAACGGGCTTTGTTCTTCGAGCAGTCGTTGGCCACTCCTATTGAGAGCCAGTGCTAAACCCTTTCTTCAGAAAGTGGTTCTGTCCACCTTATTTATGCAAGTACACCAGGGACTACTTCATATGGCATGGCCAAGCTGAGAGAATCTGTTCTCCACGAGCAGGTACCATGGCAACTGAATATGGCTATCAATCGTGCCTATCATCCCAGAATCTGTCAGCCTACATACGAGTAGACCGACCCGGGGCCGGGGATTTATGAACACATCGACTTGAAATGGGATCACAGTCTTCTAAAAGGTGACACGGTTGGAATGACACTTAGCGGATTCCTACAGATAATGGCTTCATTCCTGAATCACTCCAAGTCTCCCAAATTCACAGTGTTCTGGAAGGTGGCGGCAGATATCACATGCAGACCCCGTTGGTAATTGGTCGCTGTCCAAAATCCGAGCCAGTTAATGTCTCCGAACTTTGACACCAACAAGGTTTTCCTTGGGATTCCAGAAATGAACTTTATCGATCCGCTTAGTGATGCTCAGCAGACTAATGTCCTCGCCTGGAGCCGAAGTGTGGATGATTACGGGCCTTGTTGAAAGATCTTGAAAGTGCCGAATCCACCACATCGCCAGTCAAGCCAAGCCTCATTAAAGAGTAAAAAATCATGCGACATTCCAATGGTACTGGAAAGCATTTGACAAGAACAAAGGAATGGCACAGCCGGCCCTGAAAGCACACAATATGGCACCCACCTCACTGTCTTCCTTTTCACAATGGGCCATTGCTTACGCTCAGAGTGATCGTATTCTCAGCAGCTTCGCTCCAATTAGACGCTATCTCTAATAAGAACACGTCAAAGACTGCGGCATTAGCATAGTCCCTCGAAGAGGACTGTGTGGGCCTTGCAAAGAAGGAAAAATGAGTTTTGGATTCCTTCCCCATATGCAGACACCTTATTTTCCCTCTATCAAAACCAGTTACTCCATCACCTGAAGAGAATTTCTCAGGTGAGAATACTCTAACTTAAACGACAAGAGCTAGTGGTCCTGCTAAACGACATCGAAGAAGTCCTCAGGGAGCTGGAATAGGCATTACCCTGATTCTTCGGAAGATTTGCACACTTCAGACTCTCGCACCAAAAGACCTGTCGGTAATCCCAGTGATATACCGGATGGATACTTGAACCTATGAGACGGCCTAGTAGCCGTGGCGACTCTTCAGAAGGAAAACTCGCTGAACCCGACAAAGCGATTCTTGATCTCGAATCACAAAAAGTGGATGAGACGATGCAGGAAGTTAAAATAGAAATAAGGCAAAGAGAAAAGAACAGAACAAATGAGATATTCCCAACTACTCGAAAGATTTGGAAGTCCATCTATTCATGGGGACCAGGAAGTCCAAGAGCAGATGACCGACGTTGATGAGGAAACCCCTGACCGTGATGTCGGGGATCCTATGTTCTATGTTTGCAATTCTTTGTATGATTCTGCGCAGTTCTAAGGAAGAAGGAGGAAAGGCTCGAGTCTAGCCCCGACAGAGTACGATCAGATAGTATGATCGGTTTTCCTCTTTCATTTCATTCACATCGAAACCTAAAAGGTTCGGATTCGTCCGTGAACATCACCTCTGTGCTTGTAGTCAATACCATACAAAATACCTCTTTCTCAGATAAAGACATCTATACTATTTAAATTCTTTGGAAGCTACGATAACGTAAATAAGCTATATAGATGAGAGACAATTTCATCAATATTTCTTTCTAGTTCCTAAAACGCTCTGGATATAGTAGTATAAAGAAAAGTCATAAATCTTCAGGGGTATTAGAGTAGCATAGATAGTGATCAGAAAATCCCAAATAAGTTTTAATAAATACATCAATATCTATAGATTAGCGTTCGGAACACTTACAAGTTACTAGTTACTACAATGCCTGAGATACGTCAATCTGAGTGGGGGATGAAAGAGTTGCTCTACGTATAATACTAATGGAAGACCGTTTCGGATGTGAAGTACGTTGTCCAAATCGCTTATTAGTAAAGAAGTATCCATCAATAGTACATCTCACTTGATGTCCCTATAATGTGAGAGCTATATCAGATGTGTTTCTGAGGTGATGGATCAATTATATTTTCTGGAATATTACTAACGCACCACAGCAACGAATTTTCACACACATCATGGGAGTCTATTGGCCTTTGGGCGGATAATACGAAAGAAGAAAAGTAGTAGTGCTAATATGTGCTAAGTGTTTCCCTAGTTTTTGATTCATATGGATTTCCGGAGGATGACGTACTGGTAGTAGCTATTGTGTGTAAGCTGAGGTTGACTTAATATATTTTTGGTAACGCTGCCGTGTACTACTAAGTGCCTTTACGGGCACAGTCGGAGGGATATCAAATCCAAATGATAATGTCATTGGAAAAAGTAAGAATTCGAATAGGTTTCGATGATTCGCTACCATGCATGAACACTAAGATGCTACAGTGAAGTTCTATACGTTGCGCCTATCTTATGAAAAGAATCCCGAAAACTTCTGAGTGGAATCGCCAACATTGCTCCAATAATTTGTTCGTTCCTCTCGAAGGAGCGGAAACCATGTGCTCCAATCCCTGTTACCGGTCGGTAATCATAGCTTGGCTTGCGGTTAGTCTTATTTTGCATTGCTGCAAGGTATGTTGGCTGGATATTAAACCCGACGTCTAGGTGGATTTTGATTCGACCTGCATGTAGATTGATGCAGACGTTGTGGAGACACTAGATGCTCCCGAAAACAAGATATCTAAGACCTGGTCTGAGCAGCACTGGTCTATATCCCGGTATGCAGAGGGACAAGAGACTATAATCTGCGAAAGGTGTACTCTTGCTTGAAATTGTAGTGAGGACTCTTAGGCACCATCTTTTTCATCGCGTTCGAGAGTAAAATCTGAATGACCTTCCTCTGTCGTACGATGTTGACTGGTGTATCCCGATTGAAGCAGAGAGCATCGTGCAGTGTAGTAGGGTAAGTTTTGGGCTCGGAGCATGCTGTCAAGTGTCTATACGGACATCGAGTTCGTACTGGACACTCAAGAAGAAAAGGTTGTCTGTCTGTGCAGCCACCAGCCCTCAAGAGACCAAAAATTAGCGTGAGTAGGCCGGCAAGCGACACCAAACTGCTGTATATTATCCATATATACTCTGTTACCACTAGCGTTCCCTTTCCTTGGCGGTTCGTAGCTTCAACTTTCGTCGGACAGCTGTAATCAACTCAGCAACAGACGGATTGCCACGTTGTGATAACATCCTGCCTTTGTACCGCATCCACCTTTGTAGAGTGCTAGACCGTCTTATTCTTCACCATCCGGTGAGACTAGCGTCTGCTGCGTCTCTCGTGGCCCCTTGTATGGCAGAACAGTGGATGCATACACCTTGCGGTATTATCTTGGCTGCGGTAATCTAAGGACTTCATCTGTCAGTCGTTTTCTCTGACGTGGCTAATTGTTGTCTCGAGATCGCGTTCAGTGAGCTGTGCTCTTTTTCGTTGTCCTCAACGTAAGCCAAGCGGGTGCACCTTAATCAAGGCAGGGGCATTGAACTTGTCATTGTCATGGTATTGAGTCAGCGCAGCAGGTGATCCGCAGTCACAGCCCTTTTTCTTAGACTAAATGGCATTTCTCCGTTGGAGTGACTGACTGTTGTGGTAAGCATGTTATTCCAGGGCGATGAAAGACGAGGAGGGGCCTTGGAATAAAACCCGAGCTTGGACGGTCCAGTATACCGCTTCTAGAATTGTTCTTCAGATGGGAATAGAATCGTGGCATCACTGAAGAGAACCAGTATATCCTCGTCCTTTCCTGCGCAGTCTCAAAACCAATCCGGTATATCAGCCTCGAGCGACGGCCAGTGGTCATGCCGCGGAGGATCCTAGACAAGCTAGAAGAAGGGGATATTTAGTGAGAAATAACAAATTAGAAAGTCAAGCACTGGGAGTATATGCTAACTGAAAGAAAGCTCCGAATGCCGATGAGATAGATCAAGTGTCCACATCGAGCTGACACCTCCGTGCGGTCATGCCTCCATCACGCGGCTGATGGGTCTCTGTTGTAGCTTTTGATATTATTTCCGTGTCTTCGCAAGGAAGATGGTTAGTTCAGTGCTAATATCTCGTTCAATGATCATTTTTTGAGATAGGAACTGCCGGATCTGTGCGTTTCTGGGAAAGGCCGCTTGAAATTTCTCTGCGGTCCAGTGGATCCTGAGTGTTTGTCTTCCTTGACCATAGTCGAAGTACTCGGTAACTTGCAATGCCAAGGTAGAACAAAAGAGCAGTCACATTATCCACTCCGTAGTCCAAAGTAGATCAAGTGAATCTCGAAGGAATAGGATCGTGGTTCTTCAGACGCTAGTGATCGTCTCTGAAGGAAGTTGCGGTCAACGCCGACTACCCGGATTGGTGCTAGCCGATATCTAGTAACTACTCGCGGGGGAGGTCTAGTACTATCTATGGAGGGGGGAGGGATACCTGGATCCCAGTCACGGAGGTTTACCGGCAAGTATGAGTACATGGAGAGGGGGACTGAAGACATAAAGGTACATATGACAGAAGTCCCGAAAGTACTCCCGACGTCTGCATCGAAGGACGATAGATACTTTGAGTGGGATGGCTATGTCTCAGGCAGCAGTCAAAACAGCCACTTCCGCTGTCTCTTCCCCCAACCAGCAGGCTACACTATTCACGTTCTTCATTTGCATCGCCCCCGGTATCATGTGCTGGCAATAACCCATCCAAAAGGCCGTATACGGACTCAGTGGGTCATGTGAGGGAATGAAAGGTGGTACGGTTACCAATCTCGAGTGGTGTGTTAGGCAGCGGAGAGAGGGATGTAGGGGGGTCAAATGGCGCTATATAGGTGATACAAACATGTATATGCTGCTGTCCTTCATGCTGCCAAACCCACCATGAACCCGACTCTGGCTAGGATCTCGTGTTTGCAACGCCGTCATGACACCGACCGAAAAGCCAATCGCGACCGCAGCATTCTTCATCCAGAATTCACCGGGACGTGAGGAAGGGTTGATATACGAGCACGCCAGATGCCAAGCACCAGACACAGTTTCTCTTTAATTGCAATCAAGATTTTGCGGCTTTTCCAATCGGCGCGATGCGTCCAGGGCACAAGACAACACTAAACCCAAACTCCCTTCTATACCAGAAGGGTGTACTCCGTGCCCGACACACGCCTTACCACGAGTGGAAAGTAAGCAAGCAACCAGGCTAACCTTTAGTCCGGCACTCCCAGGGTTAGAGCAAGACCGGCTTGTTTCATCCTCGCGGGCACTTGTCTCTAAATGGACATGCTCGACTGGAATGCTGAGCGTGTAAACTGGGGTCCTTACGTGTCCTGCGTAGAGCTTTGCCGAAGGAAAAGTGTGGGCGGGTATAACCTCGATTAATGCACTCGATGTTGGAACAGGAGACGGTGCATCGCTTCTCCCTCCGAATTTACTCAAGTAGTACTACTTACTGTAAAATAAAAGTCTGTGCTGAAAAGCCATATGGCTGACGCCCCTATTTTTCGTTTCTTTTTTTCCCTTTTACCTCTTGGGTTGAATTTTTTTTTCTTTTTCTTTTTTGCTTTTTCAATAACCGTTGCGGTCAGTCGATAAGAGTGCGTCGCATGGTCCGCCAACCGTAGGGCGCCGAAATTGTTTCATAGATAGGCAAACCTATCTAGGCACCATTTTGGGTACCCCTGCTAGACAGGGATGCTTTGAACTTTGACAATCACTTTTTTTCTTATATGTCACAATCGATAGATCTCGTTCCTCCGAGGAATTAGTAAACCAACAAGGAAAAAGCAAGAAAAAAATGACTAGATAAACAAAATGGGGGAACAAACGACCCACGAACGTCAAGGATCTCCGGGCCGCCAGAGACCCTTGAGATCGAACAAACAGAAAACCGAAGAAGCTCGGGGCCCGGAAATCCGTTCAGGGTCTGTTTCGGATGGATAGATCACACGGAAGATCAATGGAAACAGCAAGCTGGGATCGTGATGGCGCGCGTCGTGTCGAGTATAGAGTATCTATTTACTTGTTGGTCTGTTAATAGAATAGGACATAATTACTACATCGAGCGAGAACTCCGCCGATTCACTCCATCAGCAATGGGTGGTTGAAAAGCAGACGCCGTTGTGATTGGCCCCGATTCACTCCAAGAGGACAGATGGCGTGGCCCAGCTGTGGGTTAGAGTCCAGTCGGACCGTAGATTCCTACCTACTTTGTACGACTCCCACCAACAGGAGGAGGTAATCCGTAAGAGGGGAGCGAGCAACACTGCCGGACTGACAGGCCGAAAGCAGGGAAGAATGCTATGCTAGTTTCTCCTCTTCTGGTATTGCGCCGCACTTATCATCATCATCATCATCGTCAATCATGATTGACTGGGTTAGACCAATGGCCGCGCATTCATTGGTTAGGGATTAAGTTTCACCCCTCGGAGAATTTTGACGCATGGCTTCTCGTGGAGAGGACCACCAGTGGTGCAGCGAAACACTGGTTTAGTGTTGCTTTTAGTCCCTGCAGAAGCCGGGGGGGTTGTGGATGGGGGTGGGTGGGAAAAGAAAGGCGTGCGTGTGTGTGGCCGTTAATCAGGAGGTAGTACTCCGTACTCCGTAGTACTAGTCTAGTAGACCATAGCCAAGGCCATTGTTCTCGCCGGTTAGTAGCAAAAAGGAAGTCGGAACTGGGCAACCGCCGTTTCCCACCTATTGAATGGCAGTGCTCCGTCCGGCGGACCGCGATGATCAGATAATGATTTGTATGATAGGGCAGAGCGTTGATGGATGAGGCGAACTTGTTTCAAGTCCGATACGAGACAATAAATGCCACTAAACAGCGCTAGGGCGAGGTGCGACTGCGGTGTTCAGGGAGAAAAGTGGGAGTCGCCAACGATCTTCGCCTCTTCGCTTACGTATATCGGCTGCCCGATCCCGCTAGCGACGCAGAGTCTGACCAAAGTAGCAATATCCACGCGTTTTAGTCCCAGGTACCTAGTATCCGAACCTCCCTAACGACTATCTTGCTCAATGGAGTTAATGTACCAAGGATCAGAGTAGATTAGAATACTGTTAATATCTGCCACTATATCTTCCTCAGTTATCAGCTAGTATCAGTTGGAAAAAAAGGGAGAACAGGCCGTCAATTGACGCTCCCCTATCGCCTCCCATCTCTGATAATTGACAAACCAGAAAAAGGACAGCGTGCCATTGTTCGTCAGTCAATCCATTGAAGGGTCCAGCGGATACTCCAAGTCTTTGTTGGAGTTACGCGGGTACGTAATGGCCCAGCGACTGCACACGGTAAGTGGAGGAAAACCATCCGAGTTGTGTCTATGATTTTATCCTGGGTAGGGGAACTAAGTTCGGAGCCGAGTTTATCCATCCACGGCTAGCGAAAGCGCTACTAATAATAAATTGGAGGCCGAGAGGACCCTGAAAGGCCAAGCAATCTGCTTGGGTTTGGCATGGGTGCTATAGTGCTGGCTAAGTGCATAGTTTGCATGCATGTCACCATTCCATACTTTGATTGTAGATATATTGTATAACATATATAAATTAATTTAAAACAATAGATAAACAAAGTCGCGCATCCCCTCTTTTCTCCATTAGAAACGGAGAAACTCAAGTTCATTACTTTAGAACACATATGCCTGATCCAAGTAGAGTGAGTGCCCCCTCCCAGTCGAACTGGACAAGTGGACTTTTCGACGAGACTAGTAAAAGCACTCATGCCATCATCAGCAACAGCAACAGCAGTAGTGGCAGTGGCAGTGATGTCTTGTCATCATACGATTCTGGAAGTACCTCCGAATGCGACCTTGCAAATTCCCATTTGAGTCGGTTTCCATTCGACTGCGATCGACTGCAAACGCAATCCCTTACTGAGAAAAACCACTACATTCGGCCAGGCCAAGCCCACTGGCTACACTAGGATTGCAGATGTGATCCTTAAATCAAACCTTGGCCTGGAAGAGGCCCACATGATTTCTGACAGATTCGGTCTCGCTCACTCTGCCTCCCAAGGCGGAGTTTATTTCCAGGGTACATGCAGGTACGAGGTGAGCATGGATGTGGATGTGGGCTGTACAGCAAGGTGTGGGTGTGGATGGGCTGAGAAATAGCCGCTATGACTGACTGACTGACGCGGGCGCGCTGCTGCTCTTTTTCTACTACAGTTGTTTGGTTGCGTACCCGTAGCAGGAGGAACCATTCTAGAATTAGGCGAGAGACAGAGCATTTGCTAAATATCACCTAGTTTAGTGGAATCCAGTTCGAGCGAGATCAGAGGGTGAGAGAGGGGGTAAGTAAAAGTGAGAGAGAGTAAAAAAAAAACTAGTTTTTTTTTTTTTTTTTCTTTTCTATAAAACAGAATAAAATAAAATATAGAAAAAAAAAGAAACAAAAAAATTTAAACAAAAAAATTTTTTTTTAAATGAAGCCCCATGTCCATCCTCATTAACTCATCTATGGAAACACCAGTGGGATTGCTGGAATGTGCAAGTCAGGATGACGATGATTAGGCCCCTGCCCCATGCCCTGCGGCGGCTCACCAATCAACAGCGTGTCCACTTGGAGAGGATGACGACTCCAGGGCTTCTCGAAGCTCAGCAAACTTCGAGTCTCTGTTTCACCTCGCCACTAGTCCCTTTCGGGTGATCTTGCGACCGGACGAATTCCTTCGTCTTCGCCCAGAGGGGAAAGTCCCTCGCGCTGGGGCGCTGCTGGTTGGCTGCAGTCTCCGGCCAGACCCATGCGGCCGCCCAATCGATCGCGGCCGTCACCCTGGCCCCAACGAGGAGTTAAATTTAAAACCACGCTCTTCAGATTCTCAGTGGATGAGAGCCGGGATCCAGATTCCCCAGTTCTTCAAATGATTGACAGGTCTCAGCTATCAGCGTGTGTCTTTCCCATCCCCCCATCCTCTCTCACTTACACCACCCCCCCCCTCTCTACTAAGCCCAATGGGGGAGGGAAGAACGCATACCTCCATGGAAACCCCACCCCCCACTACTACTAGACTACTAAGAGAAGTGAAGTTGAAGTGAAGTAGCCTAGACTAGACTAGCCTTGACTTGGACGTGGTCTGGTTACAGGCGTCTGTCACAGACCTCTGGGACCACGGACGAAGACGGTGGGTGAAGTTGGGAGGAACCAGCCGGGGCGGTGCGAGGGATCAGGGGTATCTTTTTCCTTTGCCCGCACCGACCGACCGACACCTATCTAAGAGGCAAAAGTAATGGAGTAAGTAACAACTACTAGGTAGGTCCCCATGCACGATGCACACGCATGCTCCGGATGGTATGATAATGATTGGCGTATTTTCTATCGTCGGCTTCTTGACAACCTCCAAACCCAAGGTACTTCGTCCGTTTCCCTTGCAAAGGTACCAGCCATTTGTCCTGGTCCTTGGGGGGGAAAAAAGGCTGCAATTTGTACCTCCATCAGTTCAGTCATAAGATCACCAATCCCACTTTCTGATGCCAGGAACTAGATGCAGCCCAGCCCAGCCTTTCCCATGGTCTCTGGTCTCCTTCCCTCTTTTCCTCTCCTGGCTCGCCTTGACTCGACTCGACAACCTTAAGATCCCACACAGCCACATTCCATGTGACGGCAATGATCCCTGCTAATATTCTCGAATGCCGCCATCACCCTTTTCAGACACTCGTCAATCTCTGCCTGCCTTGGTAGGTTTGATGAGATGTTTCAATTGGACAGTAATCCATCTTGTGCCTGCGCCTGAAGACTTTCAGGCTGTCTGGGCTGCTGCTGTCTAAGACTGCTTCCCAACCAACTCCCAACCATGAGTAGTATGGAGGAATCTCACATCAGGCAAATCAGTATTCAGTTAGGCAGGTACCTCGAAGTTACCAACGAGTAGCTGAAGTAAATAGACGGACTAGTGGTGAGGTCGGCCAGTCGGGCAGTCCGACGCAAAGTCTACTAACTACTACTACTTAGTTACCTAAGGTACAGCCTTCTCTTCGCTATGGTATCATCCTCGGGCATATTAATAGTAAACCAGAGGAGGGGGGGAAATAAGAGGGTAAAAAAAAATAATAAAAAAAAAATAGAATTAAAAAAAAGGTCTCCATACCCAGGCTGGCGTTTCAGCTTGGGTTAGTAAAGGCTTGCCCACCTGAGGCGAGCTAGTTCTCCGACCTGATTCTTCAGCACTGACAGTACCTTAATACTGGGGGATGGGGGGGAGGAGACACCAATTCTTCCTTCCTTTAAGGAAAGATTTGGTAATAATGGTTCCGAATAATCCACGCATATTAGATTGCTTGATCTGGCTCTTCGTCATCGCCGGCATCATCAGCACTTTGTCTCATACCTCTTCCCCATACAGTTTAACTACTGACTCTGACACTGGGCCTTGTCTGGTTCCTGTGCCTGTCCCTGTTCCTGTTCCTGCTCTTTCTCTCTCTCTCTCTCTCTCTCTCTCTCGCTCTTGTCTCTGTCCCTTTACTCCTTTCTGCTAATTCTCCATTATCCACTTTGCGACTTACTCTCTGCCTTCCCTTTCCTTCCTTAGTCTCTCCCCCCCATGGTATAACCCCCATGGAATTTCAACACATTGTGCTTGAATCGTTCCAGTAGCCTTTTTATTTTTATTTTATTCCTCCCTCTGTCTCCTTCTCCCTCTCTCTTTTGCGCACACATATTTTTTCTTTTACCCATTTAATTTACCGTTTATCCTTAACTTTCTTGTTTTCTTTTCCCTCCCTCTCCATCTCACTCTGTGTTTTATTTTTTTTATTTTTATTTTTTCCCTATTTCCTATTTTACTTTTTCCCTACTACTTTTACCCTCCACCTAATTTGGCTTCCACAGCCCCTTTCTTTGCAGTTCCTTCACGGTCCCCTAAAAAGAAAAAAAATATATTCCAGCTTGGCTGTACAGACAATTCATACATCATACTTACTCCCAAAGGGAGCCCAAGAATAATATTACTTCGCTCCGGGTTTAAAATCTAAATCCCACCGCGCACAAAGTCCCGAGATCCTAGATCCCGAGCAACGATACCACTACTGCAGTGGGCACCCACTACGACGGAAGTAGGTCCTCGGTATTTCCTTTCCTCTTACCAAGTACTACTACTGGCTTCCTTTGCGACTTGACCACCACCACCACTACTTACTACCACCACTACTTACTACCACCACTACTATTACCACCGTCCTTCCACTCAATTTGACTATCGTCCCTCTTCCACCAACCCTCACCTTCCTTTTCTCGCTTCTTGCCTTTCCTTTAATCGTCCAACGTCCAGTTCAGTCTTCTTCGCATTCACCTATCTATCCGACGTTTCCCCGCTTACTTTCGCTTTCTTGCTGTTCTTATTTCCTGCATTCAGGTTGCTGGTTCCCTACTAAACGATTTAATTTTCCTTAAATTGCAGGCCGGGTTACCATTTCCCTCTATCAACAATTTATCCTGTATTGAGAGATTAAACCCTGCGATATCCTCGGGCATTGCTACTTCCTCCTGAAGCCCCGCTCCACGATTAGCAACGACGCGACGAGCCAAATAATTTCCATTCAACCATTTACCGGTGCTTGCGACTCGGTCTGCCCAAATCCATCGATACGATCCGAGTCTCTAGGTGGTGGCTACTCACAGTACCCTGCCCGCTAAGCAACGATTGCGGAGGCGCACCGTTGGAACGAAGAATACCGACATACCGACATACCCCAACAGTCATCGCTATAATTATTTGCGCTTCTGACTTAGTGACGTATTTTTTTTTCTTATTAATTCGGCACTTTTCACAGTCTAGCGCGGCACATTGCATCATCTCGATCCCACAACTTTATTCGGAATACGCTGCGCACTTGGGCGGTTCGAGAAGATCAACTTGCCCATCCTCTTTCTCTGTGTGATTAATGTGCTCTGGGCATACAGTCTTCGTTTTCTCATCACATCTTATATAGGGCTATGCCCGCGGTTGTCGAGGATATCACTCCGATAACAAGATCAGAAGGCACAGTCATGGAATCTTCCACTGCGGATAAGAAGCGCAACAAGCTTGGATATCATCGCACCTCTGTCGCATGTGGTAAGCTCTCGGTTCTCGGTGGTCTCCGTTTGGAATACTCATTTCTTATGCGACAGTACACTGTCGGCGGCGAAAGATCCGATGTCTTGTTGCGCCAGACGATGCTCAAGGACGATGCGAGAATTGTATCCGCCTCCGAAAGGAATGCCAGTTCTTCCCTGTCGACCAGCAGCCCCCGATTGAGAAGAAGTCACGTCCCAGTTCTCGTCTAGAAACCGCTTCGACGGACCCGTCGACCGCTTCTTCGTCGCCACCGAATGTGACTGGGGTAGAGCAAGCGGAGCCTTTCTTTACTTACCAACCCATGCCGTTGGGTTCGAATCCGGATGTGGGAGCCTTCAATACTGCGACCTTTCCGAGTAACCCGATGGCACCATTTACTCCAGGTTTGTGGCTCTAATGAGCAGGAGGAATGTTGAATCATGAAGTGTGTTGACCATTGCCTGAAACAGATCGCAGCGTCGGTGCGGAATTTGTAGCGCCTCCTTCTATGGACCCCGGGGTTCCGTGGGACGAGTATACGACCATCACAGACCCTCAAATGTTAGCAGCTATGCCCGCGGGGAAAGCAATGATGAACATGTCTTCGAACGTTTGGAGTGCGACACCCAATCCTATGGCACCGATGCCAACCACTTCGCCCCTGCCAGGAACGCCCACAGTCCCGTCGCAGTCGCAAGGTCTGGCACAGACACCCACGTATGCCATGCAGCCTGATGGGACGGTCTGGCAAGTGCCCCCCCAACGCGCGATGACATTTTCGGCACAACCCGCAGACATGGCAATCCCGTATCCGAACCAAGGTCAATTCGTGCAGCCATCGCCTGCAGATCTTAAAAGAAGAATGACCAGCCCGGCCCAGTCTTTCCCCGGAACTCCGATCAACCCCCAGAGTCCTCCTGCAGCGGATCTACAGGCGGTGTCCGTCTCATACCCAGGCCAGCCGGCCGCTATGGGTTTCAACACCTGGCAGGATGTGAACAGCATGTCCCCCATGAGTGTGGTCCAGTACCCGATGTACACGAACGACCCAGCCCAGCAAGCAGGCTTTGGCAGCCCGCCACCGATGGGCCACCCCGGTCCAGGCCAATCCCCGCAATAATGAGCTCGACGAAGAGCGGAGATGACAAGCGCTTCAGAAGGAAAACAAAAAGCATCATCGGATTCGCTATTAAATACCCCGTGCGACGTATTGCATCCATTTCTTTTTCTCACTTCTTTCCCATATCATTCCATCCCATGCATGCACCTTTACTTTTACCGGCTGGTCATTAGCGGGCGCAGAGGATCTTGGGCGGTATTTTACTCTTCGTTTCTTCCATGAGACCCCATCCCTCTTGATTGAGGCGTCATCTATCTACATGCGCGGCTCAGGGAGCAAGTTCATTTTAGACTCTTTCGTTGCTCTTCCGGTTTTATTATTCGCCATTTTGCTTTTTCACCTACTGTTCATATTAGCTTTGGATATCCACGGTGGGGTTCATGAGCTACGCATTCGGCCACCAGCGGGACAGGTGTCTGATCATTGGTTTTGAGTGGCGTTACCGGCCTGGTCCAGTCTCATATGCTGATCCTGGCGCTGTCATGCAGCCTGGATCGAAGACTAGTCTGGACCGGCCCGACTCTTATGATTTCGTTTGCTTTGCTTTCGTCCCCTTGCCATGCACCTGGTCACATCACATCCGTCGTCGACGAGTCGATCAACAAGGGCAGACAAAGGGATGGAAGTCAAGTGGCCATGTTTATGCTTTTGCTTGTTGCTTTCTTATTGACATAGACTCCCCTATGAGCCACCCTCTACCTCTAGTACCCCTTCATTATGGAATAGAAAACCGGCACATAACTGCCTCTTAGTTCACCGTGGATCCCATACAGCCTTTTGGGTTCCTTTACCCATTCCGTGCGTGAAGCAAGATATCTTTGGCCATGACGCATATAGTAAATGATAACCCTCTTCCTAGGGCTTCCCATGACAATGGCAACAGGCCATGCCGTTTGAGTAGCCGTTATTTCAGTGCCTTGGCCTTCTAGGAGTAATTGCACTCAGATGACCAAGGTTATTGTTCAGTCACACCGTTAGGGTAATGTAGTACTAACCAGTAGTAGCTAGAAGAAACCAGAGCGAAAGCAAGAACGGAATCTTCAGTACAAGCAACAGGACCAATTGCTGCACCTGAGGATCAACTAGTGATATCGTTTTGCACGATCATCTTATCGTGCAATTGCTCCACACATCGCCTTCTCACATGCCATTATTGCATCCGCCTTATTCTGCAGCCAGTCCTCTTACATCGCTAGAATTTTTATACAAGAAACTATTGTGGGAAGACTTGTTCCTCACCGACCATGATACAAGAACAAGCGGATCAGGAGGTCCGCAGTGCACACTGCAGCCAGGCTCCGTCACATGTTTGTGATATACCCCCCGCCTGGATTGTATTTGTAGCTGGACCCATTTGTCGACGCGCAGTAGCCACAACATTGATTTGTGCGACTGACACCAACAATTCCAGTACCACAACTCCTACGTGAAGTATTTCTTCTCATTGCCATCAAGAACAATTCCTTCAAGACGCCAGCCAGGCCAGAAATGACATCATCGGGGTGACGCGATCTGGACGCACCCCGATTAGGCAGGCACGGGGTGGTCACGAGAGCCCTTTTGTAGAAGAGAGTTACTAGAGAGTCAACTCTCAACTCCTGCCTGCGATTCACTACATACCATATCCTCATCATTGCAGCACCAACTCTGAACTACATACTGTCTTGCTATCCTGCTGAACCACCGTGAAGATACGTCACAGCCAGATTGCTTTTTTATTTTTGCTTTTCCCGCACCTTGTCGATAACACCGTAACACTGACAATGTAATTGGAAGATTCCCCGACCCTTGCTAGCTGCAACGGCGATCAGAAGAACAGACAGAATACCTAAGCAATTGCTTGCCGTCCACGGTTTATCCGAACGACAACCCCGGACCAAACGGATCATGGGGCTTAGTTGACTGATAACTAACACCTTCACAGACGGATCTGCCAATAATAGGGGCATTCTGCAGTATTGCTTATCACCCTGTCGGATTGCCTGGCGGCTTGAAACCGGAGCAGACCAGGAGAAAGTATATTTGCTCCGAGGTGATAACGATCCTTTGATAAGCTCGGTCGGGGATCGAATTCGATGCGAGTACTACACAGTATCCGGAGCGGAGCCATGCTGGAGGAATACTGTGCCACTGCTCACACTTTTGCTTTGCGCCTTCTGCGGGACTTGAGTTTTACCTCTTCAATCACTGATCTTTCAGAAGTGACTGGTATGTGTTGTGTGTGGGTGGGTGTGTGGGTATGAGCGTGTGCGCGCCACCGATCGTTCGGTCTGGGGTCCGATAATGCGGAGAGCAACAGCCTCACTTTATTAATATCATCGACGGCACTGATAGCAAGCATTAGCTGGGTCGATAACAGCTGTCATGCTGCAATCTGATTGCCCCTTTGATGATGATTGCAGGCTCAGGGTACCAGGTTCAGAATCCGCGACGTGACGTGTCTGTGCTCTTCCGGCCTTATCTCCAGGCTGTCCGGGCGTCTCGATGGCGACAATATGCATAGTTATCAATATGATTATCGCGACTCCTGGCCGATGGTCGGCGAGAGCCCCTGTTTTGACCGAGGGCGCTCGTCCAGTACAAAATCCGGTGCTGCTCCCATTGGGTTGGGACTTCTGATCTCTTCACCCAGCGACAGGGACTGGAAAGTGAGGGCCTAGTTGACCGCCATTCACCTGTGATGCCTTATCGTGCTCCTGTGGGGGGCTGTATGCGGTTAGTAGAAGCCAGTCAACCCCTTTGGGCGCTGAAGGCCTTTCCCTGGAGCTGTGTGGACCATATATAAACACTGGCAGTCGAAGTGGTCGACACAGACAGTGACTGCTGGCCTTTCAGTTCCTTCTTATTCCTTTGGCATTTTCGTCCCCCTTTTCGTCGTACCCGGCAGACGAGGCTCATGTTTGAGGTCTTTTATTTTCTCACGTTTCACTCAAACCATCGATATATGAGAGAAGCCGTGTGTGTACTGTGGATAAATCTCCAGTTTTAACGCTGACTCTAGTGCCCCATTCTTCCCCCAAACTATCTCCACGCCCTCCCCGTCCCGACCCATCGGTTCATGCTAGCATCTCTTGTATATGTACACACCTACTCGCAACTAGGGACATGCTACTGGAACATGCAGACACTCTTCGATAACGCAGTCATTGCCTTCTTGCATTGCTAGCCGACCCTCCTTTGACGGTCGCATCTGATCTACTCGCAGGTTTCTTTCGACCATACCAGTCGGGCTTCAACAGGCAAACCCTCTCGGCATACAACAACCCTCCCATGGACATGCTGGCACGTCTTATTTCCACAGTTCCTGCACTCTTGATGCGGGAAAAACTAATTGCAGGGGTTCAGGCTGTATTGCATTGCCTGAATTTCCGGCACGCCCGCGCCAGCCGCGAGAAAATCGAACCGATCCTAGCGTGGGGGAGTGGGAGGAAGATGCCGGAAGATGGATGCTTTCGCTATCGACTTTGATCAGATGTAATCTTTTATGCTCATGATTGACATCTCTGATGCATTCCTGATGACTATTATCTGTCTTCCGATTGACGCTGCCTGACAGTGGCGCATGATGCTTCGATCCACTTCTGGACAAAAAAGGAAGGACTTACTGAACCTTCCACAGATTGGGGACAGACTAGGAGACGAAACTGCGAAAGTGCCGAGGCTGGAGTATGGGGTGAAGACTACCCCAATAGTCAACACGGAATATGGGCCGGATGTCTTCCGGGTACGTTCCGCCTAGTGATGACGTCCCAGATCGTCCCTACTATCGACCACGAGGTAGCAGTCGGTCGGTGACGTTGCCTGATTTTGATATTGCATGATGCGAAGAGACCATGCATCTGGTGCTATCCAGCGAATTTTTTCTCTCGCTCGCCCCTTGAAACTAACAATTTAATCATCATATTGTTGCGGTGCCCTAGAACAGGTTTGACTGAGGTGGGCCGGATGCTCGATTTGCCGCACATCAGAGGGAAACTACGAAGTACGGCCATCCCAGACACTCTTAGCGACGGTGTACTTACTTGGGCTGGTTAGCCCAGGCACACATCTGTGCTTCATAAGACCGGTTTCCTGTTCGAGCGTCCCGCCGGAAGTTGGTCGCTGCATCCGGACCAAAAGGGAGCAGTCATACCTCGCTCCATCCAAAGTTTGCGTGGCGTCGACTCAGGAATGTTAGAGATGCAAATTATTGACACTATTGACGATGATTACAGAATATGGGAATGGCTTGGAACGGGCCTTATTGGACGTGTCCGTGGACCATGAGGTAGACAGGCTGGAGATACTGTCGATCGATGGGCATTTTCCGACCAACGGAGTTAAGGTCGGGCGGGTGAGTCAGCCGGATCCGTGCACGGCGCCACTCGCCCGCTTTGCCTTCCTCCCAAGGCTCCTGTCTATTCCCGTCGAACTCTATTGCTTTTGCCACGGCCCCAAAGTACCCCCCTCAAACCAATGACTGGCTGCGCTTGATATTCCCCTTTCACATGCTGGCTGACCTTTACTTTGCTTCAGCTTTGTCCTTTTTGTTGGCCAAATATTTTCGTTGGTCTTACCCCAGCTCGGCCATCCTTTTGAAGGTAGGCGACTGGGTGCGGCAACCGTGGCATGCATCCTAAGAGTACCTCATCGCTTCGTACTGACCCGATTGACGGGCAGCCATTGGCCGCGATGACCAAGGCCCATTACATGCTTATCTGCTTATCTGCGACTGTTATCTCCAGGACATCGTGGGTAGCGTGGGAGGCCGTGATTATGGAGCACTAGTGCGGTGGACCTCGCGGTTGTTCCTCCCGTGGGGCCGAAACGTGCTTGAGAACCAGTACAGAAGCAATCAACGACTCATGCTGGCGCGTACAGAAGGGGCAGATTACTGTGGTCACTATCTACTGCCTGTGCAGGCATGCAGTGGCCAAGCGACTGTCCTGTGCTCGCTTGCCCTTTTTTTCAATACACGATCCATCCGGCAGGCAGGACACCCACTTTTTCCGGCCAACGATGATGGCTAACGGTTTCCCTGGACAACCTTGTCCGGGCTTGGCAATATCTCCTACGCTTGGATCTTCAGCCGTGTTATTATTAACTGCTTATTATGACTTGCCACTGCCAGGGGTTTCAATAGTACTGGGAAACGCCTCTTGCACCGTGCTTTTGCTGGGGCAGCGCCCGCACCAGTGTTGCAGTAAATAGGGATGAATACCGAAGAAGAGCCTGATGAGCACTACCGTCATACTTACCGTTGACCAGGGCCCTGGGCTAAAGCCGGTTAATACGACGCGCCAGGACGAGGCTGTGAACCGACTACTGCATCATCATGCACTGCAGCTGCAGGATCGGATAGTTCTGGCCAACGAGTGATCTGGCCCAACTCAGAGGAAGCATGTCGAGCGGACAGGCACAACTGGGGGAGGGGATGGAGAGCTTCATCCTCTGGTTGAATCAGAGAGACAAAGGGCCCCCGCAACCATGGGTGGATCCACATGCATCAAGATGAATCGTGGATTTCTCCCTGATTAATATCTCTGCACCTGGGAGTGGAACGAAGGCAGCTATGAGGCTGTAGGGATTACTCGTAGCAGGCTAGCAGCAGTAGCTAGCCCTGCTGGCATACTGTCTATGCTTACTAGGCGGTGGTTTAGTCGATGCTTGTTACGCGCTTGAAACGCATCTGACCAAACCGTCAATACCGCAGCGGATTACCGGGTCATACGCGGATCGGGTAAGATAGGGTATGGTGGAAGAAAGCCAGCTCCGGTGAGTATCCCGTAGTAGACTACGACTAGGCAGTCTGACGAGGAGGGTTGCCAACTTACGAGGGTCAGTCTCGTACCTGCTTCGGGTTTCCCCCTCGACTGTCTTCTGCTGCCTGCGGCCAATTCTCCATTTTGCGAGATGAGGGTGGAGAGCTGTTCCGACGAAGCTTTGTCCGCGGGCTGGCCGTTGGCTGGCCCCCGGAACCTCCAGAGGGCTGGCCAACACGGCTGCTCAAGTCCACCGTGTCCGCAAGAGGACAGCAACCTTAAATTGGGCCGCCTCGTGTAAGAGGCATGGTCGGTGGCCGGCCATGTGCCTGATGGTGGCCCATGAGTGTCCCCATCTACGCGATGGAGGGAGGACTGGATCACTCGAGGGCTCGGGGGTCGTCCGGGCCAGGCGGACAGCCCGATGGTGGACAGGTCCCGCCCCGCCGCTAGTGTCAGCGTCGAGGACATCGGGACGATGCGCTCGCTCGTGGTGGCTGGCCTGTCGTCCTTGTTCCTCCTACGTCCGGAGAACGGGTCCGATGAGCGGAGCAGGCCCTGACCCGTTGCTTAAGTTGTGGAAGCGGTCGCGGGCCAGCTACTCAGTCGGGAGGTCCAGAGAGAGGGGTGTACGGTATGCTGTCCTGCAGGAGCGTCCAAGTGGACACGGTCAATTAAACCATCGGGCCGATGGGACAGACCAAGATGGATCATGCATGCAAGCGCACAGTCCAGGCTTAATAGATTTGATTCCAACAAGGTCAGGGTTAAGGTAGTGACTAGGGGAGCGACTATCGTGCGCTCAGATCCCACTATCCCAAGCGATAACAACAGCTTTATATGGCATTTCGGCCGACGATAGGGGGTAAGCTTTTTGGTCAAGCGAAGCATCGGCTGATCCTAATCCCAGTCCATTCCGGCCCGTCAGTCCTTGGAGTGGTGCTTGATTTGATCAATAAATCGCATAGAGCCCAAAGACTGGCATGCGATGGGTCAGAGATGAATCGATGGTTGGGAAGAGGGCTACGGGGGGGTAAATGAGTGGCACAGGAAACCTAATTCCCGAGGAGGGTCGCGGAGCTCGCTGGCCCGAATACCTGGGACATTTCGTATACATCAGATTCAGCAGCAGGAGCAACAGCAGCAGACTCTCCTACTACGAGGAGTATGCCGGAGTTTTCAGGGCTCGGATTGTTTTACTATAGGCTGGGCATGACTGCGACAAGCCAGCGACGGTCGGCCCTTACGGTCGCTTGGCGGGCGCTGATTGGTGGGGGAATTCAGGCCAATTCCTGGCTCCGAATCAGGATCCGGATCGGTCTGCTGCATCCATCTTTTTAGTCGCATCCCTCTGCTGGGTGGACGGTCTACTAGTCATGATGCGTATGTCTCGGGTCTTGGGGGGAGGAGCACAAACAGCCTACTCCTGTGTAGTAGTGAAGATCTCAACCCGTCCTGCGTGTCAGTTAAGAGACGTGACAGCCAGACAGGTAGACCAACAAACACACCATCGTTCCGAGACGGATGATCAGGGAGGAGAAAGCAGTCTCGAGAGTAAGTATGAGAGGAAGAAGCATGAATGGGTTAATCTAAACGGACGGCGCTACTGCAGCTTTAGTGCTTCGAGAAACGCCAAAAACCCATCCCGACCCGCGCCACTGGCCACGCCCGCCGTCACGGTAATACAAGGGTATTGGACCAAGCTGCAGAGACCCAGCTAGTAAGTACTTTAGTATAGTAGGAGAAACAATGATTCCCAGCGGACAGCAGGGGGAAAAGGAGGGGCAATGAGTTGGAGGAGGTTGGAGGTCATAATGGGGATTGTATATATATGCTGTATACCATTGTCACTTTAGACTTGTTACTGCTGCCACGAGTTTGAATTGAATTGTTGTTGTTGCCGTGAATCTGTTTTTGAATTTGCCTTTTCCCATCTCGAAATTCGCCAGTCTGCTACGGCGGGAAGCTAAAAATTCCGGCAGAATCCCGGCGGGCAAATCAGCGTGGATGCGCAGGGACGTTCCTCGCGCATTGTGACTGGTTCTTGGGTCACTGAAACTCCAACTCACCCGTGGATGGAGGCAACAGCATCCACCGGCATTTGGTTTCTCGAATGAATGACTGGACTGAATGAGAGGTTGATTGCTGGGTTATAAGAGGTTCAAAGAAGCAGTAGCTTTCTAGGAAGGTGAGTAAAGTCAGTGAGAGACCGCATGATTCCAGACAATCTCTCTCTCTCTCTCTCTCTCTCCAATTCAATTCCTGCCCCACTTCTTCACAGGAAAAGAAAAAAAAAAAGAGAGGGGCAAAGTCTTGTTCTTGTTCCTGTTCTTTTTCCTGTGCTTGACTTGACTTGACGGACGGACTGACACTGTCTCTCCTTCTTGTAATAATTAAGGCCCGACCTTGACTGGATTAGACTCGCAGCCTTTCCTCCACTTCCGGTGTCCACTTTCCACTCTCCGGCTCCGTCATCTACTAGGTATCGCATTATTATTCATCTCCACGGCTCTTCCTCTCTCTCTCTCGCTCGCTCTCTCTCTCCCTCATCTTATTCCCTCTCCTCCTCTTATTTCTTCTTCGGGCCCCCCTCCCCAGTCTATTTCTTATCTCCCCCCGGCTGGAATCTGTCCCATTTTATCTATTTTTTTTTTTATACTTTTCTTTTTGATTTACCGTTATTGAGTGCATATTACATTGCCTTTTTCTTTTTTTTATTTCTTCCATACACCCTCAGCAAATCAGCCTTCCAGCGCGTCATGTGCATCGGGAGGGTCTAGCCCCCCCTCGCCGGTCAGCCATCAGCATCATCATCCTGCATCCTCATCCTCAATCCTCGCTTACCCATTCCTTTGGATTCGCCTCCGCCCACTTCTTCTGTTCCCCTTCCGACGTCACATCTAGGAGGAATAGAACACCATCTGATCCATTGAGTTTCCATAAAAGGGAATGAGAGGGGGAAAATTAACCCAACATACGAAAAACAAGAAAAGAAATCAGGTATTCAAGCAGAAAGAATTACCCGCCGCGAGATTGCTCGTGGACGGAATAGCTGCAAGGCCAGGGATTCTAAAAGGTACGCACCCTGAATACATTCGCACACCTCTTTTTTTTATTATTATTATGATTTCTATTGTATTATTATTATTTTTATTTCCAATTCCCTCGGACGGATCCCGCCGCAGAAACGGAAGGGGAAAAGAAAAAGAAAAGAAGGAAAAGGAAAAGGAAAAGCCGGGGGGAATGCAGTGCATGCAAGCCACTTGCATCTTGCGAGGAGGGGGGAGGGATTATCATTATAATTATTATTATTCTGATTTATGATTATTATTATTTCCTGCTGTTACTACTTGCTACTTACTACTAGTTGATCTCACCACTGACCTGCTCCCGATCCTAGCTCCCGTTGTCCTGCTGCTGCTGCCACCACTACTACTTGGCTACTACTGCACCTCGTTTTGACTTTCGACCATCCACCACTACTTTGCGCTTACTGCCAACTTACTTATTTTCGATTCTTTTTATTGTTTCTTTTGGATTTATCTATTTTTCTTTTCTTTTCTTTTCTTCTTCCCTCTCCAAACTTTGGGGGACCGAACCCCTCCCACATACACACACCCTCTTGTCTCGCCGCGATCCTCCGAGACAGACAGACAGAACACAGACAGACAGACCCTCAGTCCGTCTATCTATTTGGAGATATCCGATAGATTATTATTGCCCAGGGTTTGGCTGAATCTGGTCGTTTACGGCGGGTAGCCTGGAATTCCTCGTGCTGCGACCACCGGCCAATCGAGCGCGGCGGCCTTAATTGGTGCTGGACTCTCTTCTCTCTCTTCGCTTTCCTTCGCTCTTCCTTTTCCGCCCTTTAATCCGGCCTCCTCTTCTTCCCTCCCTCGCCGCTTATCTTTCGCCGTCGACTCTCTGGTCGTTCGTCCTCCTTCGCCTTTCCCCAGTCTTTCCCCTCCCTCCCTGCCTATCTCTGGTCCTGCACCTCCCTTATCTTTTCCCTTTTTTTTTGATCGCATTTCTTTTCTTTTTTTTTCACCTCAATTAATTTATTCTCTTTTGGGGGGTGGTCGACTCTTTCTCTGTCTGCCCGTTACCTTTTTTCTTTTCTCCGCCCTTCTATTTCGTGTGCCCCCTTGAGGGCTTCCTCCAATCAGACCAACCATGTCCGGGTTGACCCTGGGGGGAGGAGGCAGTGGTGGTGTGCGACCGACACAACCCGCGGCCTTTGCTTCTCTCCAGGATTCCGCCGACGCCGACCGCCGCTCCTCCACCACCACCTCCAACAACCCCCTCCACTTCCCTCCGACTTCCTCTCAACTCTCCGACGATTTCTCCTTTGGCTCCCCAATCAGCCCCGCCGATTCCTCGAATGCTCCCGACAGTCTGCTTCACGATTCCCTTTTTCCGGAATGGAAGGTCGGTACGCCTCGAGCCGGGTTTGATGGGCCCGATGAGATGCAGCGAAAGGACCCTTTAGCGACCCAGATATGGAAGCTGTACTCTAGGACCAAGGCTCAGTTACCCAACCAAGAGCGCATGGAGAACCTGACGTGGCGGATGATGGCAATGAGCTTGAAACGCAAGGAACGGGAACGTGCTCAGCAATCTCGGTAGGTGGAGTGCCTCGTCAACCCTCTCTGTTCCTCTCCCTCACCCCCTGCCGTCGCTCGATGGAATGCTGATCGAACCTCGTGCGTCAATAGTAGTGCCTCCGCTAGAAACAGCGTTTCCGGCCCCAGTGGCATTGCTCAACTACGTCTCACTGATCGCGAGCCGACCGCGGCAAATCCGTCTCTCTCCACCGACCTGACCTCTGATCCTATGAACCTCGACGATTTCATTGTTCCCTTCGAATCTCCGTCCGATCACCCATCTCCTCAACTCACGAAAGGCGAGGCGACGTCGGCAGCCATCCCGATCAAGTCCCGCAAGGACCAGGTGGCTGAGTCCACACCCGTGCCCGCATCGTTCCCCCACCCACCCCAGGACCAGCGAAAGAACAGTGAGTTTGGCTACGTGCCCCGTCGGGTGCGCAAGACGAGCATCGACGACCGCCAGTTCTTCAACCTCCAGGTGCCCACCCGGAAACGCCCGGCCGAGGCGTCGCCCCAGGTGCCGCCCGTGTCGAACGCCATGTTGGCTCAGGATCCGGACTTGTCGGGCGGTGTGCCTGACTACGCCCTGGATGCGTCGTCGGCCTTTGCGTTGCATCATAATAACCATTCTTCGTCCCACCACAACCACACTTCGCCGGGCATGCCGTTTGGTCTGGATACCTACGGCCTGGGTGAAGATCCGATCCTTACTTCCGCCGGTCCCTACCAGACCCAGTTTACTTTCTCTCCCACTGAGTCCCCCATGACGTCAGGCAACCCCTTTGCCAACCTGTATGCGCACACGCCGGTGGCCTCGTCCCTCAACTCGACCGATTTCTTCTCCCCGCCGCCGTCGGGATACCAGTCGACAGCGTCGACGCCGCAGCCCGCGTATGACGGTGAGCATTCGATGTTCTTCGATATGCCGTCGGTGGATGCGCGCACGCAGCGCCGGGTTCCCAACTACGTCTCGCACCGCACGTCGAACCTGTCTGCTTCGCTGCAGCCGCGATATATGTTCAACCAGAACCAAGATCAGTCGCACCACACCGGCAACCATTCGTCGTCGATGCACTCGCCGGGCTATCCCATCCCTCAGCCCCAGCACGTTGATCCCACCCAGGTGCTCAACCCCAACGATTTCTCGACCGGGGCTTCTCATGCGGCCATGTTCAGCTTTGGCGCTGATTCGGATAATGAGGACGACGACGGTAACCAGTTCTCCGACCGTGCGGGATTGACGATGCCTGGCGATCTGGATGATGGTGCGGATATGAACGGTGGCATGCAGTGGGATGCTCAGTTCCCTGGGTCCTTCCACTCGCTGCCAGGATTCACTGCACAGCACCGTAAGCATGTGACGATCGGGTCCGCCGACATGATGGACACCCCCAGCGAGTGGGCTCAAAGCGGCAGTTTGGGACGCACGCATGGATCGGCCGCCTCGGTCAGCGAGGTGCGCAACCGCGAGCAAGATCCCCGGCGGCAGAAGATTGCGCGTACGACGTCGACGCCTAATACGGCACAGCTGCTGCGGCAGAGCATGAACGCCAACACTTCACACACGTCACCCAACACACCGCCAGAGTCGGGCTTGAGCAGTGCCGTGCCATCTCGGCCGGCCAGTCCGGGTGGCTCGAAGAACGGTGAGCAGAGCAGTGGCCCGACCACATGTACCAACTGCTTCACGCAGACCACCCCGTTGTGGCGGCGTAATCCTGAGGGCCAGCCGCTGTGTAACGCCTGCGGGCTGTTCCTGAAGCTGCACGGGGTGGTGCGGCCACTGTCGCTCAAGACGGACGTGATCAAGAAGCGCAACCGCAGCAGCGCCAACAGCCTGGCGGTGGGCACTTCGCGCGCGTCGAAGAAGTCGGCACGCAAGAACTCGGTGCAGCAGACGACGGTCACCACGCCGACGTCGAGCCGGGCGCAGAGTGGTGCGACGTCGTCGGAGTCGCCGCCCGCGGTGCCGGGTGGCAGTTCGTCGGGCAGAGCCGCAGGCGTGGTCCCCATCGCGGCGGCGCCTCCAAAGGCGAACCCGACCACGAGCTCTCCAGGACAGAGTCGGGGAACCTCGTCCGTGCAGATGGCGCCGAAGCGTCAGCGTCGGCTGGAAAAGGCCACGGACGCGGAGGCAGGCGGCGACGAAGCCAGCAAATCGAGCACGGCGAGCGGAGGACGGTCCAAGGTGGTGCCTCTGGCGCCGGCAATGCCCCCGGCGGCAGCCAATCCGGCCAACCACAGCATTGCAGGCGGGCAAGGAGCCAGCCAAGAGTGGGAATGGCTGACTATGAGTCTGTAAACTTTGTGCAGATGAGTCTGTAAAAGTTCTCTGCGGACAAGTTTCACGGGATGAATCTTTTCTTGTTTCTGATGTTCCACGATAGACATGACCGCGCAGCAAGGAGTTCTCGCTAGACGAGCAGGAGTTGGTAATATGCAAGGGTAATGGTCTGCGCTGGCTGGCGGCAGGTCTAATGAGTGATGCGATTTCGGTTCTTGGGGATGCTTAGGATGCTTAGTACATGTCTAATGAAGGGGATGGACGAGCGGGAGGATTTTATTGTGTGTTTTTGCTTGATACAATCGCGTCTGTCCGGTCCATTCTGTTGTTGCTGCTGTTGCTGCTGCTGCTTTTCTACTTGTGATGATTTTGTGATTCTGTTATGTTTGTTTGTTCAGAACTCGGACCGGGCAGAAGTGCGCATCTCCTTGTTTAGAGTGATTTATTCTTTTCTGATTTTATCTTTGCTTTCCGCTTGATTGTGATTGTGATTGTGATTGATTGTGATGATGAATAGTTAGGTAGTCTAAGGGTGGGTTCAATTTGAACGACATGTCTTTTTTCATTCCTCCGATTATGTAGTTACTCGAACCAGAACCGTATCGCCTGCACAACCCCTATAAAATGGAGACCAATCCCAACGGTGGAATGTGGTCCAGAATATTGGGTGTAGGGGGGTGGTTGTGGGGGGAAGATAACTGTTGTATTCATGGTGGTGGTCTTGATGTATATGGGGTGAGATAGTAGAATTGGGGGAAGGGTTCGGGGAGGGATGGTTGGTGTCAATGTGGCGGAGACGGAGTACAGAATGCATTAGTGATGGCGTGGATAGTTTAGGATGGTGGTGATGTTGTGGATAGTTTAGAATGGTGGTTATGATGTAGAATAGGAGGATAACGTGATGTAGACTGTGTTGTGTTGTGTTGGTGTTTACTGGTCTAAAAGGTGCAAGTCGAGGATCAGGCGTACCACATGATAATGTGCAGAGTAAGAGATATGGAGTAGATCTTGATCAACAGTATGCTTTACTTTGAGTATCCGCACAGATGCTGATTAGCACTAAAATATTATAGAATATCCTGATAGACTCGTTAATATTCTAGTTGCAAGTTAACCGTATAGAACGCATTGACCAATAACATCAGTTGCATCACATGACACACGTGACCATATAAAAATTCCATCGCTTTCATACAACAACATCAACCACCATACACGCCACAATCACACCATATACAACATATACTCCCTTAATACCCATATAATCATAAACTACACACTCAAACCATGGGCTCCAGCTCCAAAAAGAAGAAGGAGAAGCAGAAGGACTTCCAGGTACCCCACCCATCCCATACCCACCACCACCACCGCCAGACCCAACATAACTAACTTGCACGACCAGAAACCCAAGCTCAAAGTCGGCAAAGCCAAAGCCAAACCCGACAATTTCACCGACACGAGCTTCAAATCCAAGAGTAAACAACCCCCAAGAATCCCCACCACACACCACACTCCGTGGTTAACATAAGAGAAAAAAACCAGGTATAACCCTAACCCAACAATCCCTAACCCTGCACGCCCCCAGCACCACCCACCAATTCACCCACCACGTCTCTCTCCTCAACTCCAAATCCGACACCCAGCGTCGAGACTCCCTCGCGCATCTAACCACCCATCTCACCTCCGCCCCCACCACCCAACCCCTCCCCATCCCCGTAAGCACCCTCCTCCCCACCCTCTCCCCCCTAATCCTCGACGCCAGCACAACCGTGCGCACCCAGCTCCTCAAGCTCCTCCGCACCCTGCCCCCAGCCGACGTCGAAGACCACGTCGCCAGCCTAATGCCCTACGTGCGCGCCGGCATGACCCACCTGGCCGCCGACATCCGCGTCACCGCCGTGGATGTCCTCTCGTGGCTGGTCGAGATCGCCGGCGAGGCTGTGGTCTCGTGCGCCGGCGGCTGGATCAAGACCCTGAATTGCTTTCTCTCCGTGCTGGGTTGGCATACCGAGGAGAGCTCCAAGTGGTCGAGTAATCGCGCGGCGTTTGGGAAGGCCGGTGCGAAGGGGAAGCCCATGGTGAAGGTTTTGGGGGTGTTGGCGGAGTTTTTGGAGGCTGGGATTGGGGAGGAGGATGATGAGATGGAGGTGGATGAGGGTAGTGGGAGTGGGACTGGTGTTGGGTTCCCGATTGTGCAGACGGAGGTGCATATGGTGCCCAAGTCGGCGCAGCCGTATGTGTATTTGAATTTGTTTGGGGCGCCGAGGGATGAGGAAGGGGAGATGTATGAGACGAGGGAGGAGAGGTTTCGTGTGTTTAAGGGACGGTTTTTGGTTCCTGTTGAGCGCGGGTTGGAGAGTGCGAGGCAGGATGGCGGGGAGGTTGGACGGGCGTCGTCAGCTGTGAGTAAGGTGTTGAAGGAGGCCAGGGGGGTGGATTGGGAGGGTTAATTGGATGTCTTCAGTTGTGTTGTGTTGTGCTGATACTGGCGTTTTTGGTTTGGTTTTAAAATGTGTGCTATGGGGTGCATTGTTCTAGATTTAGTGATATTTGCTTGCTGGCTGTATACATCAAACGTATTATACTTTGGCCTTCTCTTGCATATTGTCCAACTGTTCTTCGGATCCTGCGTCAACTTCCCGTCCGTCGTAGATCTCTTCTGCCATCACAGCCCTCTCAATGATGGCATGCCGGGCAGGAAACAACCACGATAACCCTACATACACCACGCTGGTCCCTACGAACCCCAGCAGCCATCCGAACTGGTACGGGTGGAGCCCCACTCCTACCGAGATACTGCTGTTGACCGAGTTGATCAGCCCTGGCAGACTCGGCACCACGCCGACAATGAATGCCACAATGGCGCGCCAATTCACTCCCCATTTCGAGTATCGATACACCGGGTTGTTCGGCTGGTACAGAGCCAGGGTGTCGTACTTTCCGTGCTTCAACAGCCAGAAGTCCCACAGCATGATTGCTGCAATCGGTCCCAGGAAGATGGCATACGCAGACATGAAGTTCAGAAAGCTGTCCGCGGACTCAAGAATCTTCCATGGCACCAGTGCCCAAGACAAAATGCCGCAGATGATCTGGCCTCGGCGCAGATTGACATGTCCCGGAAACAGGGCCATCAGATCGTTTGCTGCTGATATCGAATTGGCGGATATGTTGACACCCAGAGAAGCCAGGGCGAATGAAAATGCGGCGAAAAACCGACATGCCCGGCTGGACCAGTGGCTGATTAGTTCGATCGGATCCCATGGAATTGATCCACCATATCTGGCGTAGCCGGCTGAGGAGGCGGCAATGCCGATGAACGAGATAAATGTAAACACGATAGGCAGCATAGGGACGTATAGGAGCTGCCACTTTGCCGTAACACGCGAGTATCGAGAAAAGTCGGACTACGATTGTTAGTCATTGCATCGCCTTCCATTAGCCTACATACCTGGTTGACACTGAGGGTGGCATAGTTCCCCAGAACCGATGTCATACTCGCCAGGAACACCCAACTGTACTGTGATCCCGAGACTGTCGCTTTCTGCTCGAACATTTTACCTCCTCCCTCTGCCACAAAGGCCCAGATCAGAATCGCAATCCACGCGATCGGCACAAGCACAGACTTCACCACGAACAGCCACCGCACTTTGTTCGGGTGGATGCAGAGAAACGGCAGTTGAAACAGCCAGAAGATAAAGTATCCGACCATGCCATTTGTTGTAATGCCCTGATCCTCAGGGATCTCGTTCTTCACCCTCAAGAAGCTGGGCCAGATGGCCCCGATCATGGCACGCACGGCGTTTCCGCCGTTGACGTTCTGAATTGCGAACCAGAACAGCGCCAAAATGACTCGAGAGACGATGGCAACGTATGATCCCCAGAATCCCCAGCTAGCCCGTGAGATCACCGGGAACGGAATGTGATAGATCGCGCCGACAGCGCCGTTGCCCGCAATGACGAAAGACATGATGAAGAACGAAATAGCGACGATTATGAGGGATTCGCGCCAGCTAAGTCCGACTGCAATTATACTGCTAGCAAACTGCCATGTAGCTGCATTAAAGGCATCGGAAATCCAATACGCTGTACATCCATTAGCATAGCAAGAGTAACAAAAAAAAGGGGTCGTACAGATGAAGCTGAGCGGTCCCCATTGTCGACGATGGAGAGGAACCGGATCGAGATCGAGATTTGTCCAGCGAGCGCTTCCATCCGCAAAAGCAGAGCGCGACTGCGGCACTCGAAGATGAGGCCGTTTGAACTTCATGATCAGATGTGTTGCCGCCGGGATGCGGTAGATGGAGTCGATGAGGTTGAAGTCATCCGATAGGAGTGCGGGAGCGAAAAAGCAATATGGTAGATCGAATGTAAGGGAGCGGTCGCACAAGCTGCGCTGTCTAAATGCTAGAGAAAGAAAGCTGCAGCCCGACAATCACGATCTGCAGCCCATCTGTTCCAGCCAGATAAGCCGATGCATGATAAGCATCCCTGCTGGCGATAGCTACCACCCTATAATTGGATGTGTCGCCGAACAGACTATCTGCCCAGCTTCGATAAGCGTCGGATAGCGGGGTGCTCCAGGGGATGCCATTTGCGCCAGATAAGTGGTTATAGTATCGCGCAAAGTATGAGGCCTCCAATCTGACGTCAAGCACTGGCTCAATCCGACAGCTTCTGCGATCGAACCGTGGTTCAAGCGTGCATGAAATGTCAGATTGGCTCGCTGCGGTATGCAAACAGAGCTATCAGGCACGTTTTTATTAGCCATAATGAATCATCAGGCTTTTGGTTTGCCTGTCGGAGAGCTTGTCCATATTCTGCTCCATATTGGATGTGGATGGTGCAGCTTGTGTTGATCACAGAATCTCCGTCTCCAAGAGTGCTGCGGTCTAGAATTCGAATCTGTCCGAAGGCGACAAGGAATAAACAATAGTCTAGAGATTGACCGACTTACTAGATCCGATGTTGCGAACTTAGTAGATACTCGGACTCGCCCGAAGTTGCGATAAAGCTAAGATGGGGCGAGCGGAGATGGCAGCTTACCCCTCTCGCTGCCCTCCTCTTCAGGCTGCCACGATGCGTCTCGGTTCATCCCATACAACACCACATTTGGCTCTCAGATTGCATCTCCTAACCAACAGTACCACTCAACATGTCTTTCAATATTTCGCAGGCTCGTACTCGCTTCCCCGCCTTGAACCAGGAGCAGATTTTCCTGGACAATGCAGGTCGGTCTACACCCTACCCCATTATCGAAAGCGGGAGAATTGATACCAACGGCATATAGGAGGCAGCCAGGTATTGGACACAGTGATTGAATCGTAAGCTCCCAAATCTGTTAGCGGATTTCTCTAACCAAGTGCAGTGTGGTATCATATCTCTCAAAGACCAACGTTCAACTGGGCGCAACCTATAATACTTCCAAACTGTCAACTGCAGCTTACGATCACGGATACGAAGCAGCGGCGAACTTTATTAACGCGAAGCCCGAGGAGGTATGGCTAATATACTCATCAGTATGCAGTGCTAATTCATGCAGATCTGTCTGGGTGTCTCAACAACGCAGCTCCTGCACAACCTCTCCACGGCTCTGGACTTCCAGCCAGGAGACGAGCTGATTGTATCAAAGCTGAACCATGAGGCCAATTCTGCCCCGTGGGATAGGATTGCACGTCGTTTGGGGCTCACTGTCAAGTGGTGGGGAGCTACAGACCCCCTCAATCCCGTTTGCGATCCTAGTGAGTTGAAGCAGCTGATGTCGGAGAAGACCAGGCTTGTCGCCTGTCCGCATGCTTCCAACATCACAGGAACCATCACAGATGTAAAGGAAATTGCCAAGGTCGTGCATCAGGCTCCTAGGGTATGACATCCTTGCATCATATCCAGTCAATCTCTCATACAAGTTAGGCACTTCTTTGCGTTGACGGGGTTGCGCTTGCTCCCCACCGCCAGGTCGACGTTAAGGACCTCGATGTCGACTTCTACGTAAGTAAACCCCTGGTGTAGGCAAGCAGTATCTAATGGCGACAGGCATTTTCGTGGTACAAAGTATACGGTCCTCACATAGCTCAGCTGTATGCCGCGTCGCGTATCCACGACCAGATAAATCCTTTGTGTCACTACTTCAAATCCACAGAAACCCTCGACCTAAAGCTGAACCTGGCTTCCGCCAACTATGAGCTGACACAAAGCATTCCACGTGTCCTGGAATACTTCGGGTCGGATTTCTCCGCCACATGGGACGAAATTGCCACGTACGAAGAGAAGCTGCAGAAGATTCTCCTGGACTTTCTGAGAAGCAATGACCGTGTAACCATCCATGGCGAGCCTTCGGAGAACAAAGATCTGCGAGTTCCGGTGATTAGCTTCACCGTAAAGGGCATCAAGAGCCAAGCGCTAGTTGAAGAAGTGGAGAAAAGAAGCCCTTTCGGCTTTCGCAGCGGACATATGTACAGTCATCGCTTGCTCAAGGACATCATAGGCTTGGACGACGTTGAGGATGGAGTTGTGCGGATCAGCATGCTACATTACAATACTGGTCAGTTTATATCTACCTTTAACAATTGAGTACTAATGTCAGATAGAGCAAGAAATCACCTCACTTGTTGAGCTGCTGCGGGAGGTCATTACAGCGATCTAGAATTATTTGGTGGATCCTTGATAACAGAAGGGGCCATTCTGACAGTCCATTAAGATGGATTTCCTCCCCACATCATTTCCGTGTATAAATTTAGCAGGCAATAGGCAACAGGCATGCAGAACAATGGAATTGCTGCCTTGTAAATTTCAAGTCCTATTACGAGATGCTCATCAATCTCTTGGCTCTCGCAAGCAGGCACGGTACTTCACATTGAATCACTAACCTTTTATGCTGTAATTAGTGACGGTCCTGGTTGAATCCATGGTGTTGCATGCTAACTTATTGGGTACACCGAAACATTTGCTGACATGATGATAAAAGCATTCTAGCTATTTCAGTCCAGCTAAACCATGTGATGTAAAAGCAGGTAACCCCACTTGTTGCTTCACAACACTTCGTAGATTCATCTTTTGCCCAACATCCGCTGTCTGATAGCTTCAACTGATATCACGATGACACTCGCTTACAGCAACATCCCCTCGGGTGCGACCGTCATCCCATCCCCCTTTCAAGTTCATATTTCAGACGAGCAAATCGAGGAGCTACAGCTATTGGTCAAGCTGTCGAAGCTCGCGCCTCCTACATACGAAGGCCTTCAGCAGGATCGTAGATATGGCATAACCAATGAATGGCTTGCCAATGCAAAGGAAGCTTGGAAGAGCTTTGACTGGTAAGATCAAATAATCGGCTGATCTCAGCAAAGCTAAACAATATAGGCGCCCAGCGGAAAGCCGCATCAACAGCTTCCCTCAGTTTACCTATGATATCGAGGGCCTGACCATTCATTTTGTGGCGTTGTTTTCTGAGAAGAAGGATGCAATCCCTATCGTTCTCCTCCATGGCTGGCCAGGCAAGCTCACCTTGACCTTTCTATCTAGCCAGTCAACTGATACAGAACAGGCAGTTTTCTCGAGTTTCTCCCCGTTCTGACTTCAATCCGGGACAAATATAGCCCTGAAACCTTGCCATACCATATAGTGGTCCCGTCACTTCCGGGATATACGTTCTCGTCCGGTCCTCCGCTGGATGTCAACTTCAATGGCGAGGATACAGCCCGCGTCATCAACAAGGTGATGCTCAATCTCGGTTTCGAGGATGGCTATGTGGCACAAGGCGGAGATATTGGGTCAAAGATCGGTCGCATACTTGCAGTTGATCATGATGCTTGCAAAGCTGTGCATTGTAAGCATGCTGATTGTATTGATACTATTGCAGAAGTCATCTAATTATATATCAGTGAATGCCTGCTATATGGGCAAGCCATCGAACATACCAGACACGGCTATTACTGAGGAAGACAAACGCGCGCTGGCTCGTGCACAGTGGTTTGCTACCTTTGGCAGTGGTTATGCTGTCGAGCATGGTACTCGACCCAGCACTATTGGCAATGCGCTATCCACAAGTCCGGTCGCTCTGCTCTCCTGGTATGTACTTCACACAACATCCATTCATCGACTGACGAAATGCAGGATCGGAGAGAAGTTCCTCGATTGGGCTGGTGAAACCATTCCCTTAGAGACTATCCTAGAATCGGTGACTTTGTACTGGTTTACTGAGACATTCCCCCGGTCTATCTACCACTATCGGGAGGTATGTCGATTCTACCTCAACCTGCTCTCGTACCCGTACTCACCTTGATCCCAGAACTTCCCGCCGCCCAAGCTGAGACATGCCGAAGACCCCCGATGGTACATTCGCAAGCCGTTTGGCTTTTCATATTATCCGATGGAGCTTGTACCCACCCCACGCGCTTGGGTTGAGACAACAGGAAACCTGGTGTTCTGGCAGGCTCATGAGAAGGTATGCTTTACCAAGTCCTGTTGGCGGCATCTGCTGACACCCCACAGGGAGGACATTTTGCAGCGCTGGAAAGGCCCCAGGATTACCTTGATGATTTGACGGCGTTCTGTGAACAAGTATGGCCTGGTAGAAAATGAGATGGTGCCACGATTACCGTGGGTCGTCTATAGCATGCTCGGAAGGCTGCATCAGTCCAATAGCGATATGCGAATCAGACACTAAAGCTTGTCTCGGATGTAGTTGTATATATCGCTCATAATAGAGCTCCCCATCTGAATGGACAGTCATCTAGCGTGTCTACGGCATATTGTTAGCTGAGTTTTCACTGCAACTGGATTGGACCCCTCTCCCACCGAAAGTCATGATGAGTCGATCCTCGTGGCTTTGTCGGTACTTTTCATACAGAGTTTGTGCAATCCCGTGATGGCTGGCATATCTCCGACCCTCCCTTGCCTTTTTTTTTCCCTTTCACATCGTGTGACCTCATCCTTCGCTCAAAGCACCACCCCTCAGGACAAGATACCTAAGCACCCAGTCATTCATCCAGCATCCTGGCCCGTGGTACCTCGTTTAAGGGGAGTACCTCCTGTCGCCCGCATGGGCCGGCATTAGCCTGCATCCTTCATGCGAGTTCCCCAAAGAGGGGTTGCCAGTAAGGTTCTTTCCATCCCGTTCTAGACGGCGGAGCTGTTTGCTGCCTCATCCGTAGCCTTAGACAGTTCTACGAAAAGGATTTGCTATCCTGCGGGATCCGGAGAGAAGTTGTCTGCGCTGATTCGTTGTAGTTGTCGCGGGCTGCCAGTTTAGTCTTTCGGTTGGTCCGTATAAAAACACTCCGTGCGTAGCGGTACTTTCTGTGACGGGCTGCCAAGTTGTTTGAACTTTTGACTTGGTTTGCAGATAGTGTTTTTTCCTCTGCTAAGGTTTATCGGTTGGCGTACTTATTGCAAGGCTACAGATAGCATACTAGTACTAGTAATATAGCATCTCACTATCATAGTATTACAGTTCTGACCGGGATGGTGATATTAACTTCGCACCCGTTTGACAGAATATATTTTCCTGCTGTCGCCAAAGCCTGAAACATGGCCGGACAAGGCTTTTGGCAGAGCTAAACTCTCGTACATGCCGTCTGAGCCTAAACAGATGACACCGTCCGGTCGAGACTTGTCTAACCGTGACTCCTCACTTCTGACCATCTAACTATCTAATTACTATCTAGATAGAACAGATGGTTGTTGTAATTCTGACTGCCAGATGGATGCTTCTCCAACCAAACCACCAAGCCCGAGTCGGGATCAATCGGGAGAGTGGGACTCCCAGCGACTGCCGGGCCAACCAGCAAAGCCAAAGTGGGCAACAAAAACTCACCGGGCAGCCTGGCAACCCCGCGTCATTGGGCGGTGTGGCTCCACCCCTCTTCGGCTTTGCCTGGCCTTTTTGGAACTTTGGAGACTGCAAAAGGGCTCTTTTCTCTTTCTTCCGTCGTGGGTGGCCGGATTATCCCACAGCCACCCACGCCATGACTCAGTGTACGGGTTCTGCGGGTAGGGAAGGTCATGAGATTTGTCACACCTGGCAGTCCAGCCAGCCCTTTGATGATTGATACTCAGACTATCATATGGCCATCCTCTGCTGTCTGAGCCAATCGTCGTCTGCCTATTCTTAGAGTTCCACTGCTCTACTGAGGTTGATACCCAGCTTATTTTGTAAGCCAGACGCCGTTTGAACCTGGGGTTCTTGGTGACCCAACCCTGGGTGCATTATTTTAGTCAGTTATTGCATATGACTCTAAACCATTTTGCATAGGGGGGGAGATTATCCTGGACCTTCTCAAAGGGGCAGGTGTGGAAGAACAACGGAATCATGTGATGTGATTATGTAGTGCTTATGTATCCAGGCTTAATTCTATGCACTCACCGGCTTAGCCGTGCACTTATCATCGCCCACTAAGTACTGTCTCACAATGAAAAGATGTACCCCGTAAATATCTGCTCCGTTAAGGCTGTATGACTTCTACCCAGCTTACACTGACACAGAACCCTTGCACAACAGTTCCGAACATGACCCTGGACGTTTGCTGGGTCTTCGAGGTGGATACGACTTACTTGTTAGTCCATACCGTGATGTGGTTAGTTAGGCCAGGAGTCCGTAGCCTTAGACTACCCCGGAAAGGTAAACCGTAGTAGCTTTGTTCATGATCATACAATGGGCCGCGAAACGAGAGGATTGGTTGGATATAGCATCATCTACGGAGTAAAGGCGGAGGCTACTACTAAGTCGTATTAAGTCCAAAGTAGGCGAACTAGTAGACGGCGCTTGTCGATGGTTGCTTGATTGTCACTGGTTCGTTTTTCTTCCTTTGCATCTTTGCTGCCTGGACTCACCACCCTGGTTACCTAATCTTACTGCGACCGGGGGCGGTTCCACAGCCAGTTGTTCTTTTTGACTCCAGCATATGGTACAGTAGCGCTCCCGTGGTCGCTGTTACTTTTGTGCTCTCTGCATCAGGTCATGTTCACAAACGCCAGACTCTCTCTCAAGCGACCATGTAAGATGAACAAAAAGAAAAGACGGGTTAAGAAAAGGAGACAAGTTTAGTTGTGATGCATAGCCAGCAGGCTGTGTTTGTTCATTTCAGTTTCAGCAGCCCCATCTAGAACTCCTTCCCCTTTCCAGCAAGTCTGGGCAGAAAACAAGAATAGTAGCTAAACGCCCCAATATGACGACGACAAAATTTTAAGGCAGGAGGAAGAGATTCTCCCCGAGTCCTTTTTTCGCCATGTATGTACGTGTCACTGCCTCAGCAGAGCTTTTTTCCTTTTCCCTCCCCCATTTCTGACGGTGGTGGCGTGGCTGGCAAATCCGTCCGCGGTGGTTGGCTGACCACCACCAATTTTCGCTGGGCCATTGACGGAAGCGGCAGGCCTCTCCCTCCCAATGAGAAGGGATCGTTCATTTTATGTTACACTTGGGGCCGGTGCTTATGGACCAACCTACATACATCCCTCCGTACATAACATCCCTTTTTTTTTTTCTTTTTTTTTTTTTGTCTTAACTAAGATCCATGACAGCCCGGTTTCATCGCATCGTCTATTGGATTATGCTTATTCTGGGATGATACAGACGTCAACACCTCCATACCTAGCAGATGGAACGGGCGGGCCTGCCTTGCAGTACAACTTCAGCTGCGTACGTCAAGCAGCTGCCCGTGCTGGTTTTGCTCTATCATGTATCTCTTTCACAGCCAGGGTTGACAACCATGTAGGACAACAGCCACTGTCACTGTCATAAGCACCTAAATGCGCTGTCTCTAGGCGATAAACCGCAGATAGTCTAGTACCCAAGTCGGCTGTGCGATAGTCGCGCGGAGGGAAAAGACGAGCCCCCTTATCAGACTACGAGATCGAATAGTGTTATCGGTCTCTGCGACGTCGTATCATCTATCTACAATGACAATTTCTATATCGATACCCTTTGGGACGGCTTCGGTAATGACCATAACTGGAATCGGATCGGGGTGGATTTGGAACCTTAGTCATGCGACGTGAGAAAGGAAACGCAAGAAAAGTGCCGGCGCTGTGTTGTTTGTAGGACCATGAAAAATTGACATGGGATACGAAATCTTGAGAAGTAGGCTGAAGTGTAAGCTCAGGGTCGGCAGACTCCCGATGACCATGGGTGTGGGAAGCGAAAATAAGTGAGAGAGTAGGAATTTTGCCTCCAGGGCTATAAGGTGAATACTCATGAATAATGGGAATGCTGAGAGGCGAAAACCAGGTGTGGAAAGGAACCAGAGTCAAGAGTCAGAGCCAGAGAGCCAGAACCAAAATCAAAACTAAAACCAAAACCAAACCAAACCGAAAAGCCTCCATGCCCAACCCGGGCCCCAGAAGTTGTCCAGTAGTGGGCAGTCCCTATCTCGGACGGGCGTGAAGAGTCATCGTTCCTCCACTCCATCCGCTCCCGTCCTGGTTCCGATCATCGTCTGCCTTCCCCTTCTACTTTACTTACTCCGGGCCCTCCTCCCTCTCCTCTGCCAGCAGGGCTGATTGACTGACTGGACTTGACTTGACTCTTACTTGCCATCTCTTCCCTCTCTCGCCCTTCACTCACTGATATCCTCCCTCCCCTCTTCTCTTCCTCCCCTTCACCCTTGTCATCTTCTTTCTTTCTTTCACTAGAAAAGGAAGTGTGACTGAGAGTGTAGAGTCATTCTAGTTTCCTTGTTGTCTTGCTTCACTTACTTTGTACTCGGTTCCTGTTCAGTTGTCTGTTTGGCTCTTCTGCTCTTCCCGTTGCCTCTCCGCTCACCCTTTTTCGCCCGCTTTGTGAAAGACGAAGCGTGGTCCCTGCATCCGCCCAAGAGTCTCAAGACCAGTTCCGCCACTCTAGCCACTGGCTGCTGCGTAAGTAATTTCATTCCCTTTTCTCTCTCTTGTCTGTTTGACTCTTTGCTGCGTCGTTCCACTCGCCTCCGGCTAGCTTCAGGTTGCCATCTCTGCCTGTGATTTAGTCTGGCCGCCACCCCAGTTAGTCATTGTCTATTGCTCCGCCCCCCGTATAGTCACCGGACTCTTGGACCCTCACCGTGAGATCCGGAAGTAAGAGTCATAGACGAGCGCTAAAGTGGAGAGATACTCATAAGATCGTTGCTGACTCGTTCCTTCTTCGCCTTCCAGTCTTCCTTGAGCCTCACCAACTGTTGTCTTCTGCCTCCGATACGACTGCTGACTGCCTGGACAAGCGCCGGTTATCTCGCCTGCTTGTTGACAGTCCGCCGCTCTATCGGCTCGTGATATAACCTCCAGCGCCTGCGCATCTCAAAATGTACCCTGTTGTTATCAAGTCTTCTGTTCCGATCACCCGTGTTGCAGACTCCTCAGATCTCCGAACCTCCGGCAAGACCGCTGCGTTTGTTTAAATAGCTTCCAGCATCTGTCATTCTAGAGGGTCACGTTGACATTATCTTACGTGTCTTCTCTGGTTACGCGATATTCGGCTTGATCTATTCGGGACTCTCCAACTGGTGATCGGAACATTAGACGGTAAACCCCTTCTTCTTTTCCCGATTCCTTGACACGTACCACTACTTCACCGGCATCTTCCTCATACCCACATCTACCGCCCGACCTCAACCCAACAGCATCACTTTATATCACGATCACCGTGCTAGATGATTGTTGTTCTCTCGCTTGCCTAATCTGTCCTACTATACCACAACTATATCTCCGACAACCTGGCGAATTTTCTCTCTTAAGGGTCTGCCGTCGCCTGCGATCAAAAAGACGGTTCCTTGTCTTATCGGCTACACGTTCACGGTTCACGCACAACGGTTTATTGAAAAAAACACACGGTTTAAATTTACAGTCTCGTGTCATATCCGACGCATAGAAGGAAGGCTAGCTCAAGTTTGTTAGCCCTCTGGATGACCATTTGAGGTACTTCCGGACCTTTTCTTTTTTTTATTGTCAAAAAGTATCAAGGTCGCTCGACTGGACATCATCCCGGATATGTCAGGGATTGACATTTTGGGTTTGAAGGATCCAAACCCGAACAGCCAAATCCGAACGGCTTATGCGCACCCGTATGCATCCTCGGTCTCTTCCTCCGCCTCTTCCTCGTCCTCTTCGGTCTTCTCGCTAGATGGCCTGTCCACTCAGAGTTCGATCTCCTCCACCTCAACGAACCCGGTTGATGTGATCTGGGAGAATGAAGGCGAATATCAGGCTGGAGGAAGAGCACTCGCTGCTGCAAACGGTGCGCGCGGTTACCTAAGGGGCGTGGTCCCGAAGGCAACTGATCCTGCTATTCCGCCTGAGTTACGTAAGCATCCGCGGCGGACCAACAGTTCATGCACGCGGCCTCCGCCGTGTCTTTTGAGACAATCGGAACGGAAGGTCAACTTTGTCGATAATCTTGTCGGTAAGTCTGGGGAGCTGTCCGTTTATCATGATGTGGTTGTGGTTCAGAACTAAGTACACCGTGAAGACACCGCGTCGCAGATTGTTGAGGTCATTTGGCCCTTGTCGGCTGTTTCGCTGCGGAGTGATTCGGCGACTGGATGCAAAGGCGTCTTGCCTTTGCGAACATTCATCCAGGAGACACTCCGCCGCTCCCGCACCAGCTATAGCACCCTTCAGGTGGCGCTATACTACCTCATCAAGATCAAGCCCCACGTGCCGAGCCATGACGTGACTCAGGACCAGGCCCGGGGCAAGCCCGTTTGCCGGGCTATGCAGTGTGGGCGGCGCATGTTTCTTGCAGCGCTCATCCTCGCATCCAAGTATCTCCAAGATCGCAACTATTCTGCTCGCGCTTGGAGTAAGATTTCCGGCCTGAACACGGCGGAGATCAACCAGAACGAATTGATGTTTCTGGAAGCGGTTAACTGGCGACTCCATATCCCCGAGGCTCTTTTCCAGCGGTGGACTGATATTGTACTGAAGTACACTCCCGGCGCTGGTAGTATGGCTTTTGGGGACGGGCACTGTTGGCGTACAATCATCCCGAAGCTCACCCCTGACTTGGAGGAATTTGACGTCAGCCCCGCGACACCTAACATGCAGTCTCTTGGCTCCCGCTCGGTGTCGGACTCGCCATCTCCTCGCGGCACATCGTTCAAAAGGGATCTTCCCAGCCAAGCAACGAACGAGCCCGTCAGCTTGCCCTCCATTCACGAGCAAATCGCGGCATGCGGGCGTCAAGCGTTGGAGTCGGTGACTCGTAAAGAGACTGCACTTCCCTCTCTTCCGTCACTGCCGCCCATGCCACGGCCGGCCATGTTGCCCACACCGCAGATGACTCCTCAGTCGAGCATCGCCTCCACTCCTGCAGTGAGTGCTGGCGGTATCCCTGCGCACCGCCGATACATGCAGACTGCTATGTCCCAGGCGCAGAACATGTGCACGGCGCGGTCGATCTACGACCAGCGTCCGTCACTACAGTTTTGCCCTCGGGCTAACACGTTTGATGGTTACCCCAACTTGGTGCGCCGGTCCTCTCTCGCCCGCTCGGCTTCCTCTGCGTCGTCTCCGGATTCGATGATTTCGGATGTGTCAAGCATGTCGTCGCAGTCATCGCGATCATCATCCATGTCTTCCAGCTCTTCGACCGGTGTGTCTGCTATGCCTCGCCTGGCCGTCCAGGCGACGCTCCGATGCACTGGCAACTCCCTCAAGGAGTGCCGCAAGAATCTGGCCATCGCATCGCCCATCGACGAGGGTGCGCTTGGAGACATCTATAGCTCGCCCGAGACCTATGGCGGTCCTCTTGGCCAGGTTCCGGATCTGTCCGGCTACTCGCTGGAGCCTCCGGTTGATCTGTCTTCAGCTCATGAGGCAGCACAGAGTCTTTGTGCTCTTTCTGGTGCTGTCCCTCGCGCTCAGCAAACGATCGAGCAACAGAACGCTGGCCAGCGTGTGTGCCGTAAACGCGGCCGCACCGGATCCGAGGACATGCTGCACGGTCAAGTCCGTCATCTCGTCAAGTCCAAGACCTTTGCTGAAGGCACTGTACTACCTGATGGCAACATGGCGGATCTGTTCCTGAACTCCGAGTCCCGCCGCTCGCAATCTCTCACCGCCTCTCAACTGAGTGCATTGAACTACAACGTTCCGCTCTCAGGCCCCGTTGGCATGAAGCGTGCTTGCTGCGGCAGCGAAGCCAGGAAGATTGCGCTCAACCCAAGCATGCGGGCAGATTACTAGGTCTCCCAGAATATCTGGACCTCATTCATTTACCATTTCCTTTTCTTTGCGGAAAAGTGTTTACATTCATACCCATAATTCTATTCTGACCAAATCTGGTCCGGTTGCAACAGCAGCGGAAGAGACGCAGACCGGTAGGGAAAAGTTTTGTGCGAACTTTCTCAGGTGATTCACGCGTTTGGGGAAAGCAAAAGTCGTCTTTGTATATACCCTGCAGCTGTTGTTGATTTGGGGAGGCTACTTGTACAGTGGTACTGCTATTGGCAGACTGCTGGTGTATGATGTACGTTGGGGAGGTTTGTTGCTATCTTTTGACTATTTTTCTGTGCACATTTGCCATATCTATCGTTATTTATTTCTGTCTGTCATCGCGGCACCGGAGTGTGGTGGGAACGGTCGGGTCTACTTCTTTCACTTGTTTTCGCCTGCATTATTCTTGACATCTGACTACATGGGTTGCGAAGGGCGAGGGAACGCATTATACTATTACTGCGGAGTTTACTGGCAAACGAAGGATTCTGCTCGATTATTAGGACACTCATCCTCTGTACAGAGGATAAGCAATACGAAGATGTTGTGAGAGATCTATGTTCCGTGACTGTATTGTGTCTGATCACCCCACTTTCCATGGGTACATTGTAGAACATAAGGCCAGCCTCGTCCGTGAACGGAGTCTGTGCATCCGGACGGGGGCACTTCGGTGATCAACTCGCGCCACTATGACTCACCGCAACTATGATGGCAGAAGTGGTGGTCAGCTGGTTACTTTGGATAGAACCCTACTCCGTACGGTCGGGGCGTTTCCCCGGTGAGTCACACCGTGGCCTCAGGCAGGCACCGATGTCGGACAAGGCCGGAATCACCGGATGCGACCGGAAAGTCACCTGCCCGACCGTTAAGAGTCACATGGGGCCAGCTAAACCAAAGGCAGTCTAGCGTCCATCAGATAAGATCAGATCGTGACCTTCCCCTCACGGTGACACCACTTCCCTTGCTGGTAGCTACCTCTCTTTATCCCTTCTCCCATCTCTTGTCTTCTTCCTTATCTTCTTATCCATTTCTCTCATCGACGCAGCTTCTCTACCTTCTCATACATAGGGCACCCATCTACAACACCACGATGATGGCCCGTCCACTCATCACCACCTTCTTCTCCGCACTCGTCCTCCTAACCCATCTCCTCCTCCACGTCGGTGCCAGCCCTCTAGCCGAACAGGCTCCTCTCACCGACACAACCACCACCAACTACAACCTCGACACCGACACCGACACCGACACCCTCATCCCCTCCTCCTCCGACCTCAACACCGACTTCGCCCCCCCATCCTGGTTCACCTCGACCCTCCTGGCGCGCCGCCTCCTCGCCCTCTCCCGCACCGGCACCGCCTCCACCATCTTCCCCTCCCCACTGCCCCCCAACTCGCACACGCCCCCCTCCCTGGCAGGCCACTCCACAACCCAAACCGAATACCTGGCCGACTGCGACCCCTACCTCCCCGCCAACGACACCTCCTCCGAATCCCCCCGTGGGCTCGGCAACCCGACCTTCCTGGCCCTGCACGTGGCCACCACCTTCCGCAACACCGCCGCGGGGTCCAACATCTCGCTCTCGCTCGACTGGTGGGACCACGTCAACGACACCACCCCCGTGTGGCCCGGGTTCCCGCTCAGCGAGGCCGGATTACCCCGCGTCACGCTGTTCGGGTATGTCGAGCCGTTCGAGACGCCTGTGCCCGAGGCGGTGGAGAGCGCGTTGACGAAGTGTTTCCTGGAGAAGCATCCTGATGCTGAGGCGTGGTTGCCTGGAAAGGAGGGCGCGCCGCATAGTAGTTATTGGGCAAGGTTGAGGGTGGAGCAGGTTTATTGGATTGGAGGGTTTGGCGGGTTGCAGAGGATTGGGTGGTTGAATGTTAGTGAGTGGAAGGGGATCACGCAGTGGGGGAGTGGTGGTGGTGGGGGTGGGTTTGGGGATGGGAGTGGGAGGGGGTGGGGGGATGTGAGGTTACCTGGGGAGAAGGAGTAATTTGTTAGTTATGTATAGGGGGTGGTGTGGATTATGAGTGCTGGGGGTGAGGGTGGTGATGAGGATGATGATGATGATGGTATGAATTACGAGGAAGGATCAAGGATGATGATTGATGATGGTGAACATATGAACTACGAGAATGGATTATGGATGGTATGGAGATGATTGATTGATTGATTGATATCTGCTTTGAGATATGGACAAGGATGTGAATATGTCTTGATGCCACCACTAGTACTATGAACACAGTGACCTGCATAACATTTAGTTAAAGTCACCACATAGTCCGTCGTTTGACACATTCCGGCGACTAGCACACACCCCTTCGACATCACTTCAACCGGCACAGACAATTCTCCAGAGCAACGAGTGTCTCTTGGACATCAAACTAGTGTAGCACGCACATACGTATTGTACCATCATCACGATTTCCTTATCAATGCGCTCCCCACCCTCTCATACCTTTCATTAAGCTGCATCTCGCCCATCAACAACCATTCCCCAAAGCCATTCAGCAGAGCGCTCAAGCAGCATCTGAGTTCGGCGGTTGAATAGAAGACAGACCATTGTGCCCAGGCAATGCCTGTGACTGGAAAGGAGTCCGACCAGCGTCACGTCAGCTTTCATAGAAAACAAATCAATCTAGTGAATGGTTCAATTCCAGACCACTTCCCAGAACCATCCGAGCTATGAGCTCGAGTAGCGCCTGTCATCGGCAGGATTATCCAGGCTATCAAAGCATTAACTGTGCAAAGAGAGCCAACCGCGCCTCTAACAGACAGAAGCTCATCCAGATTACCCGGGCAATATCCATCAGTGTTGGAAAGAGCTTGATCAGCAACACTACACCACCATCTGTAGGCAGCGTGCCCAGCATACCAGTCCAGTGAGGAGGGTATTTGCTGACCGACTCGACTTGGAGGAAGGGGTCAATGGAACCAAACCCAAACCCAGACAATGAAGCGGGCTTGGCCATCTTCGCAGTCACCTCGATAAGGCGTCGGTTGTGGGCTTGGATCGTGCGGCGAGGAAACTTGAGGTCAATGGTCATGTACCGGACACCGGGGATGTCTTCGCTACTACAGCCGTAGTCGGTAAGCTGTCCGACGCAGCGGCGTACAGAAAGTAGACGCATAATAATGGGAAGTACGATGCCACACCGGACTTCGTGTGGGCTAGAGTATCCTCTTTCGGATCAAAGACGTAGTTTGCAGATTGCTTGGAATGTATTTCCTAACTGGTTGTTACTGGTCTTCCCCAGTAGATAAGTCAGAGATCCATCAGCAATTGAAGTCGAGGTTTTCCTTCAGTGTCTAGACGGGTCATCCAACTGCCCTTGGTTGGTTTCTTTTGTTTGTTATCGTCTTCGAGCAAGAGATATCTGGCATTGTGTTTGAGAGGAAGCCATTGGAAGACATGATCCTTCATATAGGTTGTTACTGGTACCGTTACTGGTACCAGTAGAAAAGCCGAAGATCCATCAGGGTGTAAGATCAAAGCTTTGTCTCGGTGTCTGGTAGATCATTGGAACTGTTCTTGACTTGTTTCTCTGTTATTGGTATTCACCTTCGGGCAAGAGCTGTATCTACCATCGTCATTGGAAGAAAGCGATGGCTGATTCTGATTCCTTCTAGTATGTCACAGAATATAACCATAGACCACCAGGATCTGATATTGATGTTGTCTTCGTAGTCTCGATGGGTCGTTTGAACTGCCCTTGACTGGTGTCTCGTGTTAACCAAGCAGATTGATTATTTGAAGACAGAAGGAAGAGATATATTTGTAATAACTTGACAAAGCGTCAGCCACGCATGTTGCACCATCTTGTTAGTTCCAAGGAATTTGTCGAGCAATTGTGTGGTTTTGGTATAGTATGATATAACTCGTTGCCAGCTTGGGCAACCTGCATCGTATGTAGAGATAGATTTATATCGCAGATTGTTTCTGCATGTCAGCTGGTTTGACTGATTCTTCGGACCGCTTAGAAGGGATAACCAGCAAGTGACGGAGTCAGGAAGACAGTTTCATGTTCCTTGCCCAACCCATCATGGCGTTCTCCATCGAGCAATAGCGCATCGCTGTTTCAACTGGCGTACGCAGCTTGCGTCTTGCCACCCCGAGCTGAGTTGGAGCAAGAAAGAGTACCGAAAATGTGCCCGTATACATGCACGATAATAAGCGGAGATGGTACTGCGAATAACGAAAATTGTCACCCGGAGGACATGCAACAGCATCTCGCAGCGCACAGGACTCCTTTTCTTGGCGGGCAAGTTAACAAAGACAACAAGAGCAGATTCAGGATAAAAACGAAATGTTTGGATTGCCAGAAACACCAAGAGGAGTTCGAAAAGAAGGACGTCTTGATCGTCCCACAAGCTATAACCCCGGAGCATGTGTACTGTTCGTACCCGTGATTCGAGTCCCGGTCTCGTAGTGTTGAAATTGCTCGATCATGGTATATTGGTCGTTCGTAGGGCCTAATAGAAGTAAAGTCTGCCTACAGCAGACCCTTCGTACCTTTCTTATATGAAGCAGCGCCTTTGATATTCTCCAAAGCCCTGACAAGTGAGATGTTATAGCCGATATTGGTTTGATTCCGATGATTGCCGTTCATCACCTTCTTTATAATTTCCAACGGCGGTTATTCCTGGCATGACTTATAGAGTGTTCTCATTCCAACATCAACAGCGGCTGGATTGTAACAGGTAAGTAGACTCTTATATGTCTTTGGATTGCTTGTGCGTGTGGGGCAAACCGCAAGCCGCCTCTGAAGTGGATGTTCCCGGAGCACGAAGCGTAGCCACATATCACGGTCTCTCTTCTGCGAATGCATATCACTGCTAAATATGTAATCGTAGCAGGAAATTGACTTTTTGTGCCACGCCACATTGACAAGTCAGCGACCAATCAAGGATTGGGCTACTGAGACTGAACAGGGTAGATCTGGCGGCCAGTCCTGGACTCGGGAACGGTCGACCAGATGTCATCGATTGTGCGGCCCTCGACAGTTGTAGACACACCGAAACCTGGATCAGATCGGTGAACCAGATGATTTTGTCGATTGTCTATCTGCCATAAAGATCAGATACTCCAGTCTCGTTAGACACTGGGCTGAACAGCAACCGTTATCTGCTGGGGAGTAGAAGCCGCCTCAGAAGCACGCAGCATAGCCACGTAGCCATGGGGTCCTTTCTCTATATTGGCCCATTCAAAGTAGCGGGGCATATCAATGCTATATAGATTGTAGCAGGAAGTCTGACCTTTTGTGTCCATGGATAGTCTGTTATTCTGCTCCGGAGTGGAAGTCGCCCAGGAGCACGCAGCATGCCACGTACCTACGCGGGTCTCTGTACGGAGCCATAGGGCAGAAAGGCCCGTAACTCGATTGGCCATGGGTAGTTTGAAGACCAATTCTAGTGATGGCACTTATGCGAGGACACAAAGTTGGTTAAAGCCTTGCCTAACTTTGCCACTATCCATTGACAGTCCTCAAAACTTCCTGATTCCATTCAATGGCCCTTCATTATGTCCCCATGGAACAACGCGCTGGTTCTCTGAATATTCCTTAGAAGTAATGGGCTTCAGCATGGTGTGGATTCCATACTGCCCGATTATCGCCTGGGCTATCTTAAGTGCCTTAAGCACCCGAAGAATCGGTTTTATTCCCATCGAAGCCCAGTATAGCTGGGACATTGGTCTCTGTGTAATGGAATCGTCATCTGCCGCGAGCAGTCTATCTGGAAGGCTGGTTGTTACTTGTCGAAACCGGAAACCGTCTCCTGTTGGGTAAAGCCTGCACTCACTGGGCTACAGGTAGTGATACAGCCATAAGAGGAACATATGACTTCATCAAACAATAGTCAACATCTTGTCTTGTCCGCATCGAACAAGCGAATGTTGAAGAACCGCGAAGCGTGTGCCTTTGAGTTTGGCACCCCGATTGATAGCTTCACACTGCGATGGCCGTTCATGTATCGTCTCACTTCCGCGAACGCTCTTCGACCGTCTCGTTTCTCTGTATTCCATCGAATATTGGAAGCAAACACATGTGGCTTGCTTGACACCGTCTATATATCGTTTGGGTTTGCTGCTCTCTTATGGAGAATGCCGCGCGACCACCGTTTTAGAAGGTCCACGATCCCGGAAGTGTCGAGTGCAATTGCTTCTCGCTTCATTTCGTAGCAGCAAAACACCCCATCAGGGGCCGGATGTAATATTCAATGTTGTGAGGATGTCAACATTCCTTGGCCCTGTCTGCCTTCGCTCGTATCCGCTCTCCCATGCGGGATACGCTCTCCCATGAGGCTGTGTCCGCAGTTGTACACCCTGGAGCAATGAACCTTTCAAGGTCAATTAGACATTGCGTTCCTCGTTACAAAACCACGGTGTATTTCTTCGTCAGGAGCTTTATCAGCCCCTTGCAGTTATTCCAAGCATGAAGTTCGGCCGAAGAAGGGCATCGTAGGCCGTCGTCATGAAGTCCATGTTTGGCCGCTATGGAGGGTTTGGTTTGCCAGTAAGAGCCGACTAGAGTGTGTCGAACAGACTCCAACAGCCATCCATTATGTCTCCTGTTGTTGTCTTCCATTTTATATATGCCATTGGAATGATATTGCACGCTCAGATCGAGCGGTATCTTGGATTGTTCTGGGTGATTTCTTCCATCTTGAAGATCAAGACGCGGCAAGTGAGGGTATCTTCTTCCTAATCGATTGCGCTAAGCACCCATAGTAGGCCATTGGAACGACATGGTTACCAAGATCAGTTGATATACTTTTCCCCTCCACATGTATCTATTCATGATACAGAAGCATGGTATTCGTGGTAAACGTTCGTGTTATAGTAATTCCCACTGTCGTCTCTGCTTTTGGATTGTGTTGACACTGTTCGGCGGTCAATCTTTCTTTATGACAGCTAAGGTGTCGCCGAATTCTCCATGTGAGTTGGCGCGTCTGACGTAGCTTCCAGGTTAAGAATAATGGAGCCCTCCCATAAGTTGAGAAGCGTCCACACTATATACGAGGCTCATCTTTCCTCTACCCCAGTCATGAAGGTTTCTGTGCCTGGGTAGGGCCGGCTAGCGAGTTCGCGAGGAGATAAACTTGTCCAGGCGTAACATGCAATGAGATGTGTCAAGAAGCTTTGACCATTCCCCAGCGCAGACGGACACCGGCGAGAAGTATGTCGTCTCAAATGTTAAAGTGCATGCAAGAGAGACCTAGGCGAAGCGTTGGCCGTGGAAGACAGAAGATATAGTGAGGATGCAATAATGACAACCAGGGATGACGAGGCACGACTGGTTCCAGACTTTCTGATGTTTCAGCTCAACGAATTGCTCCGTGATTCATTCGTCATGAAGTTGAGGAAGTTGCTTGTTCTTCAATACACCATCATTATTGACCTCAGTCCTAAATTTTTGGCACAGATTGGACCGGCTGACTGGACTCAATTGGCGTGCTTAGAGGTGGCAAGACTGACTGGTAGGACCATGATTCAGGTTCATCATTCCGAGGCTGTGAGCAAATATGGAAAGAGAGTAGTAGGTGGCGATCGCGCGATCGCCCCGTCGAGATCACTCTGCAAAATGAGCGAATGCGTACCCAGTCGTAGCTTCGCCTCCTCCTCATAATGAGCTATATGGACCCGGGCTCTGGCGTTTGAGACGAAGAATGGCCAGCTACAGTCATGTTCATGGCCCAATACGGGCAAGGCCAAGGTCGCTGGGGGCTACATTTCTGGGTGTAGTTCCATGATCTGGTGAGCTGCAGAGCAGGGGGGCAGTTAGGGAGATATCGAGAACTATATGACAGTTTCCCGTGCCCGCAAGCAATAGCGATCGGAGACTGTTATATTGAGAAGACGGAACGTTCCACGAGCCGGTTAGTTTCGTGCACACTGGCCCAACAAATTATCCGCTGCCGGCTTCTGCCTCTCTATGAACGTCTGGCAGCAGGAGCCCACGAACCATGTGATTCTCGAGTCAATTGTAGGTCAAACCTGGCTTCTTTACCACTCCAGTCAAAGTTCTGAACAAGAACCTGAGTTTCGAGTTGGAAAACTTGTGCTTTCGATGTATGCTGACCGCAGGCATGCTTTCTAAATCTCCAATTTCGATCGATCGAGCAACAGATATATATTCGAAAGCCTGTGGAAGAAATCGTTAGCTCCATAAGAAACAGGGCATGTCAAATATAGTCTTACCATTGTCCTGCATCCTCGTCTTTCGTCTCGTACTATGACAGACTTCATCACCCAGCAAAGGGCGGCGTGCTTCCAGCATTCTTTAGTTTATAGGCCCAGTGTCATTAGGGCGTCGGTGACACACAGGCTCAAGATTAACACTTTCCAAGCCTTCATATCGAGTCTTCTGAAGGGACATCAACACGTCCTGTGTAAAAGCCCGTTCCCTTTATTTATAACGGTGACCACGCTACCGAGTAGTGACCACACCGATGACTTGTACGTACAAATCCCAGCATTATATGTTCAGTCTGGAGTTTCGGTACAATCTTCCCAGAAACGACACGGGTATTTCCATGATCATGGCTCTAGCTCTTTGGCCTCTCAGCCATCCCGTCTTTTTTCTATGTATCCGAAGCCGTTCCCTATGTGATATAATAAGGGCCAGTCGACACCATATAAAGGGTTTTCAGCACGTAGGTGGCCGTACTTAGGCTCGTACGATCATCGGGTCCCGAAGCGATCCTTTCTTACAAACAAACCGCACTGGGCCTTGATTGGAGTCGAGAGCTTTCTTATACTCGAGACAGACAGCCTATTGCCTGTTATCTTCTCTCAGAGCCAGTGCACTGAATCATGAGTACTTGGAGATGGCACCCTTTTCTGTTGGTATATGCGTAGCTGTCTTCATTGCGCCAGCCTCAATACAATTGGGAACCGTGTCCCAATCCTACCGATCTTTTCATCCCCAATATATCGCGCCGCGCACGTCCCGCAGGAGCGACCGTAGGACGCCAGGATACCTGCCTATAACAACAAAACATGAAATAAGTATCCCAGTTTCAAGGCGCTGCTTGAAGTCTCTATGCTTTTTGTAACGCGTCTTGCGTGGCAGCTTCTGCCAATTCATTATGTGAGTGTCGTAAAGAAGCGGCTTCTTTTCCGGGTCCCGGATGGCAACTTTGATAACGTGCGGACCTTAAAACAGCAATTGGGCCCTTCCATTGATCCCTTCGTCTGCCATTCTAGCTCAGACATTGTTTCTCTGAAGCCGTTCTTTCTCTCAGCTGCTTATACAGTTCAGATAAGTTGCCTGAGCCATGCTGAGCTCCCAGGCTGACGATAGGTTCGTGCGTGAATACCACGAAGGATTACGTCCCTGCAGGCTCCCGCGTACTGGAGTATAGTAGGCAAGTGTCTAAAGAGAGACGTTGAATCGTGAGTGACGTGGTTTGTTACCAGTCTTATATACCACTGTCGACAGTGTCAGGATTTCTTAGAAAGCTTCTGTGCTGAGTATGCCAGAGCCACAAGACAGTATTCAGCTGCAAGGCAGCCGAGCAGTATGTAATGTCTCTGGAGTTGAGACGGGTAGCTGATTATCAGGATGGATGTGATGCCTGTGTGAGTATCAGATGAGAAGTTTATATAAAAAGAGAATATTATATGTAAATAGGAAGCTAGAGGCCTGGATGATGCTCTGGGAAGAAGAGGAGAGAGAGAAGAGGCTTTTTATGTCCGCTTGAGAGGCAGTGACGCTGATGCGGGAATGTGAAGTGTTGACGTGAAGTACGTGTTGAAACGTGAAGTTCAAGTTGATCAGGCAGCGGGATTCACATCCTAATGCTACCGTATTAACGTATATAATTCATCGTAATTGCTGACTCGTCACTGCTATCCTGCTTAGTCGTTCACTATCACAGCGCCGTGACGACCAGGAAGCCCTTCAATTCCGTATCATTCCCGCAAGAACCGATTCTATCAAACTAAACTCAGCTCGAGAACCTCGTCACGAGTGAAGTAACGCTGCATGAACAGAATCACGGATTAAACCAATACATTCAACAACATACACAAAGAAGTAAACCACAACCACCATCACTAACCCTAAGACACACGCAAAAACACTCCGGGTATATCCACCTATCCATCACCACAACCACCCCCTACCAATATCCATTAACCAACCCCAAACCAAACTATGAATACTACCTGGTATCACAGTACACCAATTACCTCCGCCCCCCAGCAGCACCTGCACTCCCACCCGCCCCAACACCCCCATGATGCGCATCATGCACCACACAAAGCAAGAACTTCCTATCCGGCACGACCACAATCTCATGCCTCTTCGTCCTCAACCTCAACAACTTGACCTCATCATCGCCCTCTTCCTTCTCCCCAGCGCCACCAGCACCAGCGCCAGAAGCGCTTCCTCCATCTCCAGCCACTCCTCCATCCACATGTCTAACAACCCCATCCCCATCCGCATCATCCTCCGCCCCGGACAGCGCAAGACTAAGTTCCGACGCACTGGCCACAAACGCAAAGATATGCGCCGCTAGAGCTTCACCCTGCGAAGGCTGATATGGTTGTGTTACCGCTTCTTCTTTCGGTTGTTGTTGTGGCTGTTTCGTAGACGGGGGTGGGGTAGCTTCCGTCTCGGTAGGTGCGGGCTCAGCTCCGGCTTCATTTTCAGTCTGCGGCTCAGTGTCGGTCTCGGTTCCGTCTACAGCGGTAGGGATAGGTGCGGAGATGGACTCGTTGCGCGGTGATTGCTGCGCCGCAGCTGTTGCTGCACTTGGGGGAGAAGGAGGTGGTGGTTTCGCATACAGCCCGGTACTCTGGATTATGGAGCCGTCTTTGCGGGAGAGAATGAAGGTAGATTGGACGCCGGGGCGGGAGGTGAGGTGCGAAAGGAGGGCGGTTACATGTTGGGGGATTTGGGTCTGTTAATTATTGGTATTAGATTGTTGTTGTCATTAAAATTTTTGTTGGTTGGTTGGTGTGAGGGAAGAGGGGGAGGGGAAAGAGCGTACTGTTGACGTTGTTGGTGGTGGTAGGAGTGTCATTGTGTTGGTGTTGTTGTGGTGGCGGCTTGTGCTGAGGTTGTTGTGTCTTCTGTGTGTCGGTTGGAGGAGAAACCGGCTATCGCATGCCTTTGCGTCGGATTGTATATTTGGGTAGAGGCTTGGTTGGGAATATGTTGGTTTGGCTGGAAGTTGGGAGTTGCGCTGGTGGTGGTGATCAACAATTCTCCGGAGTCGCGCTGGTGCGTGGCCTTAGGCTCCAGTCCGTGGTCTTTGTGCTGTGCTGACTGGAGCACCACTTATTGTGAAACTACTCCGTAGACCCCTTGTGTAGGTCTATTTCGTTTTTAGCGAATATTAATCCAGTTCATTACATTTATCATCTCTAAATGCACGGGCAGCGAAACTTAACTACGACGATGTATCGAATGTACAAACGTATGAAATTCTAGTATATTCAAGGTAAATCAACTGAAAACAAAGTGGTATCGTGCAACAAAACAACATAGGAAATATCTGCAAGTAACAGAGAATGACATCGGAGGCAAAATCCATCCACCAGGGACGCGCATAAATCCTCATCCTAAGATCGGACATTTCAAAGAGCGTAGAAAAACATCAACAATCGCCATTACACAATTTGGCATCAACTTCAAGACATCTGAAAGCTCTCAGGATTCGACCTTTCAGACATCCAATCCATATCAAAATCTTCAATCATATCCTCCAATTCTCTCACATTCTCACTGTCTTCGGTATCGTAGCTTCCCCGTCTGCTGGAGACCGGGCTCGCTATCCAGCTGGTTGGACGGTAGGGTGGCTGCCGTCTGCGGCTGCGCCGACGGTCGTCCACCATCGACTCATCCAAGCTGGAGCTGTTCGTAGACGAAAAAGACCGTCCTGTTGCCGGCGTGTTTGCCGAAGTATATAGAGAGGTAGCAGATCCCCCAAGCAGGCTTTCCACATTGCCCACGTCCAACGCAGCCATGAGTGCGGCCTGGAGGATTTTGTTCTGTCGTTCAAGGTGCGCAATGCGCCCTTCAAGAGCCCTGATCGTGTCGTGGTGAGAGCTTCGTGAGTCCCGAGAATAATACGAGCTCTGGGTATGATACGACTGTGGCGACGCCCGTCCGGAGGCACGGGTTCGGTGGCTTCCCGGCGAGAGACAGTAGTCGGAAGACCTCCTTGTCGCGCGCATTCTGTGCGAGCGGTGTTCATTCATGGTGAGGGCTGCTGGTCTCATCCGTCGCCGTCGACTAGAAGTCGGACGGGCTTGATCCTGGCGAGCGCTTGCGCTGGTGCACTCGTCATCGGAAGATGGGATGGGAACGTCGGAGCGGCCCATGGTATCCTGTTCTTTTCTCGCTCTCTCATGCGAAGAGGTCAAGCTTCGAGTGCTACTGCTCCGACGAACAGGGGCATCTCTGGAAGCAGGGAGCAGCTGCGGCTCAGAATCTCTCGCCAAGACTGCACTACCGGTAAGAGGTGTGCTGCAGTAACGCCTGCCAATGGATTGGCTGATTTGTTGTCTTGATGGCTTTGAGGGCGGAGGGGAGAGTGGCGGCGGGGATGGAGGGTCCGAAGCGACCTTTCGCTGATAGCGCATATTGCGAGTCGCTGGCTTTTCAGACTCAAGCCTAGGAGATTGTACCTCTCCGCGTTCCTGGGCCATTGCTTCTTCGAAGGCCTTTGCACTTCGTGGGGGCTGGTGATCCTCTTCTTCCTCGCGAGGAGTCTCCGAGTCCTTAAGATAAAGACGGCTCGCCGACATGTCTCTCATCTTCAACGCATGAACTCGTTCGGCCCGACTCTGACCTGCCCGTACCAAGGGAAGAGTGTTAGCCGGTGTGCCAAGGGTTGATTCATCATGCGCATTAGAGGCCTGGTTTCTCTCATCCAACACTAGTCTCGCAAGAGGCGCAGACCTGGAGGTGCTGCGACTATGAGCACCACTTGCTGCAGTTGATTCTGGCAGCGAAGGCAGGGGTCTCATGGGTGCTGGCAGAGGGAACGCATCGATTGTGCACATTGGCAGGGATGAAGGTCGGCGGGATCCTTTCTTCTGCGAATTATTTTCGCTCGCCACGCTTGCCAAGGGCTCCTTGTCCGATTTCCCAACATCAGAAGAAGTAGATCGTATCGGCTCAGATACCTCCTGAGCACCGCAGTCCTCTTTGACCGTGGTGCTATCGATCGGTTGGGGACATTCTTTATTTGAATCCATGCTACTTTGCTCCGGATCGGGGCTCGCAGGGAGAGGTCTGTTGAGAGCGAGCGAGCGAGCATTGGAGATGCGCCAGGCCCCTTTACTCGAATTGCGCGGGGGCATTGTGTCAGGGAAAAGCTTCAGAGACGGAGTGGTTTGGCTTGTCGATGTTGAAGAGCTTCCAGACGAGCTCGTAGCAGGCTTGTTAACTGCTTCTGGGTCGATTGCGAGACCTGAATCTGTCTTGAGACCAGACTGCACAACGTTAGACTTGCAAGTATTTTGGACTCCCGAGAGATTACCCACCTGGTCTTTGTCTGACGCCCTTCCATCTTTTAATACATCATCCGGAGACCTTGTGTCGGGTATTTTCTCTTCACTGCTGTCGACATGAATGCTGGGGTTCGCCGCGTCGCTGGGTTCGAGCGACTGTTTCTCCTTAGATCCGGATGTGGTGTCGGCGACAGTAACAGTAACAGCAACAGCAGGGTCCTGATTCTCGCACTGTGCGTCCACTTTGACATCCTTTGCCGGCGTGGGTGGCTGGTACGGCGGGGGATTCGCGTCATCGAAGTGCGGGGGGGTGGTTACCGCAGCCTCCACCAAAGATGTCAGCTCCCGTAGATCCAGCGCAGACAAATGATTTGTGCTAACCTCCGGTCTGTCCTTCTTTTCGAGCGGATCCGTGAGCCACGGCTGCCCAATGCTCTCTACATCCCTTCTAGAGTTCGCCATGAAACTGAGGTTGGAGATGGAACGAGAGGAAGACCGGCTCGAGTCCAGGCTTTTCTTGTGGCTCGACCGCTTGGAAGGTACTCCAGCAGGAACAGGAACACTCGTCGGCAAGAAGCCTCCTTCCTGAAGGGCAAGCAATTGCCGCGCTGACTCTTCGGCCTTCGTCCTGGGGTCTGTACTCTTTTTCGGACGTTGAGCGAGTTGTCGGAGCCGTCTCTGCCCGGCCTTGAGCATCTCCCGGGCTCCTGTGGATCCGGTGATGGGGCTTTGAGATTCAATGAACTTGGCGAAATCGGTTGCGTTCTCATCTCGCAGATCAAGATGCGCGGAGGATTGTAGGGTGTCCCGGGACTGCCGAGGTTCGTGTGACAGGGTCGACATGGTGTAGGCGCTTCTGGAGGTGTTCAGGGAACTCGGCCGACCAGTGGGGACAATTGGACTCGGGGCAATTAAGCTGTCATGGGAACCGTTGCTCTGCTGCATGGGACTTGCAGCTGCTTTTCAGCTGCTGGATATGCAGGTGAATCTCCCGCCACTAGTATAGTCTGAATGGTTAATGGCAACCACGGACAGTCAACGGTTCACACTGTCCGAACGAATGAAAGTTAATCCCGCGTAGGTCAATGAACGCTTTGCGGCGGATAGAAGAGGATGGTCAGATGAATAATGAGGACATGCAGGTAGTGCAGCAAGTCCACTATAGCCAGAGGAGGGTTGTAGATAGACGAAATAGTAAGAGCGGGAGGGAATAGTAGCAATGATGCAATTGATGAGAGACATACAGGTATATACAAAAGAATACTAAGTAGTCAAGGATTGGAATTGCCAACGCCGGAGCGAGAAGCAACCTATCCGGCGGGAAAAGAAAAAAGGCAGGTCCAGGGGAGAGGAAAGCAGGCTTTATGAAGGGTTCACACAGGAATCTCGAGGAGCTGTCAGACCCTTGCTGTTGGAGTCGGGGGGGTGTGTGCACTGCACCCTGGTAAGGTCTGACGGGCTAACGATGTCCCCTCCGTATGTGGAGTTGATGCATCGTCAAATGACGAGCCTTCCTCGTTCCCGATAGCTTGAACGATAGAGTTGGATCTAGATAGTGTAACCGGGCCCAAGACAAGGGTGGCAGGCATTCAAGGGCCCTACAAGAAAAGGTGAAAGGGGAGGAGGAGGGGAGGGGGGGCAAAGCAAGGTTGGTGGAGTCATTATTGGTTGAAACACCAAGGGAGAGGGGGTGAAAGGGAAGGGAAAGGCAGAGCTCTGAGCGCGAGAGGATGATACTGTGAAGCAGGAAAAAGAGAGAAAAGAGGGAAAAAAGAAAATGGAACAAAAAAGGAAAATCAAAAAATATAATTTTTTATTTTATTTTAAAAGGGAATAATAATAAAGAAAAGGAAAGAATAAAATAAAAGTAAAAAATAAAAGAATTCTTGTTAAGGAAAATATGACGAGCAGGATCCAAAAGAACCAGAAAAAGAAAGAAACGTTAGAGAGCAGCGATCGAGTCCGTGCCAGGCGCACTCGATCGGGGGAAGGAGGCCGATGATGGCGTCGAGTGACAAGAAGAAAGAAGCCCAGCAAGCGACTATTTGCTCGGCTGAGGAGGTCTCCTCCTGTCAAGTCGATGATAGTCAAGAGTCTGTCCGCCGCGCATCGCAGGGCGCGCATCGCGGATTTTCGTCATCCATGCTCCTGGGATCGTCCAGGCTGCACTTCGTTAGCCCGAGTCACTAGCCTCGAGAAGAGCTGCTTTAGTTGCATTTAGCTACTTTAGCTCGTTGGGTCCAGTTGGATAGATACTAGATACTTAGAGAGCCACCCAGTCAGTTTGAGAATTTCCTGTTGGCCAGCTGCATGGAACCGGGGGCTGCATCGAGTCAGTAAAAGCTGATCCCTGTCAGACCAACAAATTGAATCATTCAATTTTCTTTGGGACTTGGTGGAGTCTTCGGGATTCTCTGGCGGACTGGCCGTGTATAGGAGAGAGTAAGAGTGAGTGATTGAGTGAGTGAGCAATCCAGCGCGGGCTGTCGGATCGGCATTCAGCTTCCAGTCTCGTGTGACGTTAAAACTTGTCGCCGACTCCTATCTTCAGCAGTTGCCAGCCAGTTATTCCTGCGAACCGTTACAAGTAAGGGATATATGATGGGGATTAGTGGAGGGGGTGAAGAGGACTGAGAGGGGGGCGGATGAGGGGGGGGAAAGAGAAGGTCCTAGCTCTCTCACTCACTCTCGCTCTCCGCCTCCTCCTTGGAGGAAGCAAAGAGGAAAAAAGAGGGGGAGAAGGAGTAGCAGGAGAAGGAGGTCCTTGTCCCGAAAGGCAGTTAACGGTTTGGCGAGAACAATCCCGAGAGCAAAGAGAGGGATGGGAATGTGAGCTATCATCTGTGGATCATCGGCAACCGTAAGGCATGGACCAAATTTAGGGAGTCAAATGGAAGAAGAAATGTGACAGATGCACAGACAAGATAGCAAAGAAGTGGGGATTGGCAAGTCAAAAAGTTCATGCCGAACGAACCAACACTCTTAGTTCTCACTAGTCACTTTTAGCACATTCAACACTCGATACTAGTAGGTAGTATGTAGTAAGTAGCAAGCAATCTATCTATTCTGTTTGTTCTAAATCTCTCTCGCTCTCCCTCTTTCTATCTATCTATCATCTACTTAGTTATGTGTCCATCCCGTTTCTAAACTAAAACTTCTCGGGATCTATAGTATAGAAAGAAGGTTATACATCAGATCGGGAACATGGCTTGGAAATGGGATTCTGGATCCTTCATCCACCACCTCCACCTCCCAAATACTAATGATAGAAAAATATCGGGTCTCCACCAACGCTCTTGCGATCATCGCTCCTCCATCATCTAGTCACTTCCTCAGACTGTACAGAGTCGCGTAGGACAACATGAACGCCCTTGCCGGTCAATCCCAGCAATTTGGGTCGATCATTACGAGGGAATTCCCCCGGAGAGATTCTTATTACTGTCGGGCAGTGAGGCACCACAGATCAATAAATCGAAAGTAACGGTGTAAATCACCACCACAAAACTGAACCTTCTCTCTCTCTCTCTCTCTCTCTCTCTCTCTTTCTTCTCCCCTTCCTGCCCAGAGAAATAATAGAGGTAACTATACCTAGCGAGATAGTAACTAATTGGCTCGCTCGGGAATCAATCACCGAAGGAATGAAGCAATCAATCAATCAATCAATGAATCGATGTCTCCGGGATTCACTACTACGAAGTACCTCCCCCACGCAAGTAGCTAAGTAACCAATTGGGACGGTGATTGGAAGTTTAAAAGTAGTTCTTTCTTACCCAACTCCCGATGAATGAAATAGTGTTCACGACTATCGATGGCAAAGACGAGCTGCCAAACAAAGAATGAGAGCCGCCGGAATAAGCACCACCAGGCACTGGTTTCTTTTCCATCTGACCCTGGCATCCTCCTTCCCCTCTTCCCACCCCCCCTAAATCTTCCCCAATTCCCCTCTCTCTTCTTTTTCTCCTTTCCAGCCAAGAAGTGGACCGCGCAGCGATGGTTCGTGTTTAGGGACTTTGACGGACGGCATGTTTGCTTTCTGGGCTGGATCCACATCCTTCCTCCATGCCCCGACTAGCTGTAGAAGCAGACGCAGACGAGACGCAGATGCAGACAAAGGAAATGTCGTGGGGGGGAAAGGGAAGCTGAAGAGTTGGAGAAAGAACTCAGGCAAGCAAACCGGCAGATGGGAAAGAAAAAGACGGACCGGGAGAATGCATGAGGACCAAAGTGGAAAAGGAACTGAAGAGAAGATCCAAACTAGTGGCTCTCCCTTGCAGCAGATAGTTCATGCAACGCTCGTCCTCCAGGAACCACTCGTCCTTCATTCGCGACCCTCACGATGACCTGCTGAACGACACCGTCCGTGGGTTGTCCGAGAGAAAATTCTCCGATCGCACAGCCGCAAGGTGGACACCTGCATGCTGCTGCTGCCTTCCATGTTGCATCCACTGGACTCTCTCACATCATGGCCTACTTGCTCTACTTGGTCTAGCCGTAGTTGGTAGTGATAGTGTGAGGATGGTAGGAGATGGCTACACAGTAAGCTACAATACTTAGAAAGCTGCATGTCTGTTCATCCCGCCAGACGAGAGCCGATCCCGGTGGTGGCCCACCTGCTAGACAACTCACACGACCCAGTCCTTCTCATCCCGTCCCAGCTCGGCTCTGACAGACAAGTTGAAGGAACTGATCTACGGACTGACAACTGGATATTCGACTGGTCCCCAGATGCGTGCCGCGTCCCTGGGGATCCCTTCCGACCCGTCGTAAATGTCTACGAGATAGGGAAAGATTCAGAGTCGCAATCGCAACCGAAGGCTCCATCCTTCCAGTCGGCTTACGAGTGATTCGTCGTCATCGCTCTAGGGTGCCTTGATGCTGGCCCGAGAAAGAGAGAGCAGGAACCCCCCTGAAGACAGGGTATCGGATCAAATTCCAATTCATGTTCCACAGTCTTCCACTCACAGCCATGCAAGATGACATTCCTCGAAGGTGACAAAATAAAAGCAGAAGGATGATGGTCCGATTTTCTCCGATCAGCCTGATCGTCGTCAAGGGCACCTGCAACTGTTGCCTGTCAGCTCACATTGATACGTGCTCCTACCCTTGACAAGCAAATAGTCCATGTCCATCATGGGGCATAGGCCTCCCATCTGCCAAAGTCCATCTTCAACATGAACCTCATCTATCCTGAAAGGGGTAAGAAGCAGGAAAGAAACTGCCAAAGCCGGGGGCCATTCACATCTAAGGGTATGTTTGGACAAGCACACTCTGCCAGCTTTCCTGCCATCGCTTGTCCTCTGCCGAAAGAAAAATAAAAAGACAGTATAGAGAACATAGTTTAACAAACCCCAAGTCGAAACAAAAACGCCACTGAAACTCTGGCCTTCTTCGAGACATTCCAGAATTCCATATGCTCACGAGCGGTTCGAACCTTAAACCATAGGGAGGAGAAAAAAGTGTACATGATGAAAGCGCGACATCCAAGCAAGACGGCCCGAATGCATATACAGGAAACAAAATGGGGAAAGGACATCAAGAATCCGCCATGCTCGCTCATATGCATGCAAGTAAAGGACCAACATGTCATACTGTCGGTCATTAGACCCATGGAGTGTGTGATAGGTCTTCCAAAGAAAACGAAAAGAAGAGAAGAGAAATGAAAAGAAAAGTATAGCGAGGATGGATATGCCAAACTGCCATAGGGCATCGCATTATCTATCTCCGCTTTGGTCTAATGAATGGATCGGCTTCCTTCTTTTTCCGCATCGGGGGAGGTCGAGCGCCATTCCCGGGTCTTGGTGGTCCAGAACGTGGGGGTGCCTACATGCAAAATCAAATCAGTAAATAGTGTGTCATATGCTCACATGGAGACCAAACATACGTTGGCGGGCCCCGGACCTGGTTGAGGACCATTGATGGCTTTGCCTTTGTCAAGAGGGGCATACGCTGGGCCATCCCGGGATGGTCTTACCAATCCCTACAGAACCTGTTAGTGGTTATCGCAAGCATGCGTACAAGTCACTCATACCTCTGTATTAGATGGAATGTTAGCATCAATTTTGCTGCGTCGCGGACCCTTGGGAGCCTCGGGTGGAGGAGCGTTTGCTTTATCAGTCCGCGGCCGCGAGGCCTTCGATGCATTTGTCGGTGGCGAGTCGTTACGTTTCCTCTTTGCCGGGCCACTGCTATCATCACTCGGAGTAGCTTGGACAACAGGCACCTTGGGATCATGGCCTCCAAGTTGCCTAAGTCGTTGACGCTCCGTTCTTTGCTTCTGGTTCTGTACGTGATAGGACTCCTCCCGCGCAATTTTGGATCTCTCATGTTTTGGTAGGGTCTTAGTGGATCGGCACTCGCGTGAGACATGTCCAAACTGTCCGCATTCCACACATCGCGGAGCAGTACAATGGAACCGTGTGTGCCCAGTTTCCCCACATCTGTGGCAGGTCCCCCTGGTTGCCTCTTTTGCGTCAATATTGTCGCAGTTATGTGTCATGTGAGCGAAACTCCCACAATATCCGCACGTGCGGGTCTCATCCAGGCCATTTCCGCCGCCAGATGGGCCATCGGGAGGCACCGGAGGAGTTTCTTGTTCGGAAACAGACACTGATGGAGAGTTACGCGTAGATGCTGACGAAGGTCGTGAGACAGATACAGCCGATGCAGCCCCCGATTGCACCACCGGAGCCTCAGACTGTGCATCCAGCATGTCGACATTCTGGTACCCAGTGAACTGTGGCCGCTGAAGGATCTTGAGTACATCACCATCCGTATATACATTCCTTCGGCGTGCGTCTTTGATTAAACCATTCCAGAACTCGCCTTGAACGAGAGCCTGAGAGTTTCCCAGAACCCAAAGAGACGACTTGGCACGTGTGAGACCGACGTTCATACGACGAATGTCAGCCAAGAAACCTATGCCTTTATTGGAGGCTCGCACGCAAGAGAAGATAATAACTTCACTTTCCCTACCCTGGAAAGCATCCGTGGTGTTGAAATCAATCTTGTTGAAGATCTCGTTGCCATACCTGGCAGCGAATTGTGTCTTGAGCTCTCTCAATTGGCCCTTGTATGGCGTAATGATACCAATCTTTCGATCGAAATTAAAGGCGCGGAAATCTGTCACCAAACGTTCATACAGCTGCATAGCCACCCTAAGTTCTGCTATGTTGATCAACGAGTGTCCCTTCGCAGCACTTTGGTGAAGTCCTTGCACGTCGAAAAATCGGTAAGGGCTGAGAAGTTCACTTTGATGCCAAGGCCGAACGCGAAGTTGAGCCATATTAGGACCATCTTGTAGTCGGCCGTCGTAGAACGCAGAACTAGGGAATGCACTGATTTCTGGATGCATCCGGTATTGGATATCCAGCAAGTGCACATCCCTTGGATGGTTGGCTTGCATTCTGACGAACAGACTTTGCTCGTATTGAAACTTCGAAGCGACCTTTGACAGAACAGTTGGCGGTAATTGCTTGGGATCACCGACGAGGATACATTTAGAACACCCGTACTTCAAAGGAATCAACGCACTTAATTCAATCGACTGTGCCGCTTCATCAATCACAACAGTTTCGAACTCGATGCTGAGATTTTGGAACATTTCATGACCACTTCCGCTCAGCGTAGCACATATAACATGAGCGCCGTCGATGATCTCCTGCTGGATGCGTCGCCTAGTTAGTTCTGCGTCTCGGGCTGCGGAGTGGTTCTTGTCCCTGGCGCTATCAATCTCCTGGCTCAGTTGTGTCTTTTTCTTTTTTAGCAGGTCAAATTCTCGCTCCAACTCTGCGGGAACGGGCAACCCTTGTGCTCGGCACTGATCCATCCGAGCCCGAGTCTCCTTGAAAGCGGTATCTGCAGCTTTGTGCTCCATATAGATTTTCTGTAGATCTCGCTCCCCTGGATCTTTGCGTGCCGTCTGGTTTAACCTAGCGTTGACCAGCTCATCCAAAGTGACGTCAAGTACGTTGGTATTGATAGCATCGCTTCTTCCTAAGCGAATAACGGAGAGCTTCTCCTGACGACCATGTATAGTCTTCACTCCCTCCTTGAATCTCATGACTAATTCGTCAACAGCAGCATTACTAGGAGCGCACACCAAGAGCTTCTTCGACGTGGTTGTCCTTCCACCAGCGGGCTTAGCATTCCCCATGGGTCGTGAGATAGCAACGCCTTGATTGCCAAGGACATTACTCAATAAGGCACCCACGAGCGCCACGATCGTCTTGGTCTTTCCAGATCCTGGAGGTCCCTGAATCAGAGTGAAAGCATCATTGTCCAGCGCAGATTTGATTGCTTTTGCCTGGGCAGAATTGACATTGTAATTATCTGCAATGGGCTTCAGACTGGCATCCGAGTAACTCAGGATCGGCGATGGCTTCGCTCTGACGATCTCTTCACAAAGATCGTAATACTGCAAAGCCATGAGTGCACCGTATTCACGTTCCAGTGGGGTCAGCGACGTAATCTTTGCACCCCAAATTATGGCTCCAGGACCAAGAGAATTAATGAAAGGATTACCGGGGTTGACTCTATAGGAAATTTCGACCATTCCTTTCTTCCTGTTGATGCCAGAGACCCTGGCCAAGCAATGAGGGGCCGATGAATCGCCGGTTGGTGAGCTTGCTTTAGAAAGCAGGACAATGTCGGCTTCACCCAGCCCGAAGTCCTTGGCCTCCATAGCTGGTATAGCTGTACTGACTTCGACAAACGAATCCACAGACAACCGCGTGGCGACTTTCACCTCGAACGGCTTGAACGTGCCCTCTTCCTTTGAGGACTGGAATCCTTGCCATGCCTCCAATATTAGAAGCGGCTCGAATGTTCTTTGGTACTCGATAGGGTCTCTGAAAGCGTTAGAAACTAGGCTGTAATCAGTACGGCCAGAATTTGGCGGAAGATCGCCATTCGTGAAAAAGTCCCAGGCAAGGATTGTGCGGTGCAAAGAAGAGAGGTCAGGCGCAAGTCGTGCACGCATATCTTTTGCAGACCGCACCTGCTTGATCTTCTTGACTGGACCTTGTTGCTTCAACGACATCCGCTTGCTCTCCTCGTATGCCTTAACCGCGTCCGGTTTCCTTGCTTTGGCACCAAAAAGCTCTTTGTCAAGCTCATCTTCGCTTTCCGATTCAGATTCGGATCCAGATGAGACCATCATACTCTCAGCAGGGGTGTGGTCCTTGCCCTTAACCCCAATCCCAGTAAGCCCAGAGCCCTGTTCAGCGGTTTGCTCAGCAACACCTAGCGCGGGAAGGCCCTTCTTTAGGCGCGCTAGCTCTGCCATATCACGCTTTTTCTTGGCCTCTCTTTCTCTTTCACGCTTCTCGCGGAAAGCTTGGACGGTCACGGCCGGCCTCAAAGGAGCGGGAGATGGTTTAGGGATCGCTGGGAGTGCCTTGGCAGCTCTTTCTGCCTTTTTCTTGGCTTCTGTAGCTACCCTTTCTTTATTGAGCTCGACAGACCTCGACAGCTGAAGCAAGACATCATCTGGGACGTTATCATCAAAGTCGTCGGCAGACCTAGACGGGCTGGGGGTGGCTGAAAGCTCGGCTGGCTTAGCGAAAGCCGTGATTGTGCTCTGCTTCTTGAGGCTGGCGGTAGAAGCAGTGACAACAGGCTTCTTATAGTAAGCTTCAAGAGCTCGTACAAGCTCCGCCTTTTCGCGCAGTGTCAATATAGTCTTAATAGAAGAATTGACTGCCACGCCCTCGATGAAACTCAATGCATCCTGCTTCACGGTGGTAACGCTTAGTTCCCCTAAACGTCGCAGAATTTTAGACACAAGCCCAACCAAGGTGGTTGCTAAGTATTCATCTTTCAGTCGAAGCCATTTGACCATTGCGCTCATCGTTGTGGTTGCAGACTTGAGAAAGTTCTCACGGGCAGAGTTCTCTTGATTTGGATCTGCGTCGACGACAGCGCTCAAGAAGATACCATACTGCCCAAAAAGAAGATCTGCGAATTGTATGGTATCTCGACAAAATTCCAACATCACAGCCTTGTCATTTCCTCTTAGGTGCCATGTCTCCGTCTCGTCGAAAATTGTTGCCAAGGCTTGCCAGAGATACTCCCAGAGTTTCTGCAGTGAAAGTACTTCCCTGCGGTCAGCGAGCTTGCGTGTTCTGAGCATGCCAGTTTGACTATCGCAAAGGATATCAACAATGTCCGTTCCGGTATGTAACATCCTCGGGGCAGAGGCAAAGGTTTTCATGTTCGAGATACGTCGGAAAGACCAACTCAGCCCATACATGGTCGTGATGAAGAATGATTGCAGTAAATGGGAGATTGCATCCCGCCGAGCAGACTGACCGCTAACATTCTTGATGAGATCAACAGCAGCCTGGTAAGTGTTCAAATCAGCCGCAAAAAGAGCAGAAATCAATGCACTACTGGTATCTTGGCTCTTAAAAAGTTCATCAAGATGCTCGGGCCTGAAGTCTGCAAGGCGCTCTATTATTTGGCAGGAGAGATGAGTTAGATGCCCGTAGATGACATTGAAATGCGTCTTTTCCGGGCTAGATTCCCCTTTCGTGGGGAACTTCTCGAGACCGACCAGCGGCAAAATTCCAAGCAATGCTGACGTTGACAGGGCCAGATTATCTTCATGCAAATGTTTGACGACTGCATCCCATATCGTGGCGGAATATGTACTCACACCATGTTGAAGTGTATTATGTCGGAGGATGACTTCATAATCACTCTTGAGCGATTGACATTCGAGAGCAAGCGTGTTACGAATGACATCCATACACAGAGAGGCGATTTCTCGCTGACGACCCTGCTCAACCGCAAACTGAGGGGGCTTCAGGATGGTTTCAATGTTGGCGCTTACGACGCCCAAAGTCTCTGACAGCACAATACGCTCTACAGATCCTCTTGACGACTCGTGGTCAGTGAAACTGCGAAGTGTATGGAGCAATATCGCTAGTCCGGTATGGAAACAATGATAACGGGCAAGATTCGGAAATCGCACATCTTGCAATCGGTCAAGAAGCTGGTAAACGAGGGATCTGCAGGCCGAAGGTTGATGAGCACCTTTCAGTGACGACATGAATGGACTGATCCATGACAACATATCCTTCATTGCAGACTTCTCGTACGGCTCACCCTCAGTGGCTTGCATCAAGAAAGCATCCAACTGAGGATTATAGAAGACGAGCTCAATCAAAGCCTGAGGCGATATTGTTTGCATTGCATCCCAGAAATCACCCGGGGCCTTTTCCAGGAAGATCTGTATAGTGTTCAGGAGGAAGCGTAGCCCGGGAGATTGTATACCGAGATGGTCCACAGAAAGACGGCAGGGATCAATTTCAAGCGCTCGTAAATGATGGGTAATCTGGTCCTTGTCCAACCTTCTTACGACAAGCTGCATACCACGCCACAGACGTTGGATTACAGCTAATTGTGTTGGCTGCTGGGAAGCCGTCCTGAGCGCATCAAGAAGCCCTTCTTTGACTGCCCAGTCAAATTCCATCGTCGTTGGGGGGCGAGCGTAACGCATCCAAGAATGGATGGCCCAGAAGCTGCGGTTTTGGTTGGGGTCAAAGAGAAACCGAGTGACGGCGGGGATGTAGTCAGACACTTTCAGGCTGCGTTTTGTCTGTATTAACCTGAATGGTACATCAAAATACTCCTGCAGGAGACTGTCATTACGGAGCATAGCGTCACAACTCAAAGTCTCAAATATTGAGAGTAGAGAAGCTCGATCCAGCACATGGAGCCCGATCTCTTGGGGCGGGACTTCTTTAAGCTTTGCTGTTGCCGTTGTAAGATTTCTTGTAATGCGCTTGATGTCCCATTCATCAAGCAATCGAGCAAACTTGTCAATATCCTCATCATCATAGCTTTCCTTGAGATGTTCCATGAGCCATATTTTTCCCGTGTAGTATTGCTTAATGCAGAGGTCGCACTTCTCAAGCGAGTCGTCCAATTTTCGCCAGATCCAAGTCTGTACTTCCTCAACTCCCTCTTGATTATAAGCCAATATCCTCATGCACGACAGGAACTTCTCCTTGCGGCTGTTGGCCTCCGATACCAGATCCGCAACAGACTTCCCAGTTTCGTCAACTTGATTCACATCGTCGTATCGTGCATGGTCGTCATCGTGTTTTCGGGGGCATAGAATATGAATACTGTCGGGGAGCGACTGTAGCTCCCTATTGACATCAGAAATACTAACTGTCAGTGGAAAATAATACTAATATGAATATAAGGTCTATACCCACCCAACTATATCCATGAATTCCATGGCTGTCTCTTAAGGGTTTGGTGTGTGTCAGGGACACAGCGCATTCCTCCAAAAACAGGTCGAGGCCGAGCTTTTTCTAGCGACAACGGAAAAGAGAAACATCCCAGAGTTGCCTACTATATAATCATGGCTACCCGTGACAACTGAGCACCTGAGGAGGAATTAGGAAGTCGGAATGTGCTCAACACAAACCAGCCGATCAAGTGTGTATTGAACTGTAAGTGAGGATAATGACCGAAATGTGAGGTCAATGCTGGTCCAAGCTGGGAGCCAAGTATTGCACCCCCGAGTCTGCTAGGAAAGAAGAAGAAGCGAAGAAAGGGAATAAGAATCGCAAAGAGTGAAAGTCGATTTGAAGTGAATGAAGGACGGAGTAAATCGGCGCGGTCCTTGCAGTCATTCTGATTGGAGGATACTCAAGGCGGTGAAGCCAGGTGGTCAGCCACTTTACGCGCCTTGACGCGCCTTGAGGCAAGATTCGCCTTCCGCTTCTTTACCCAAGTGGGAAGGTACAGATCAGCTCCAGGAGCGATGTTAAATCTACACACACTCACCAATATCAAGGTGGATACAAAGCAGACTTACGGAAGTGATACCCGTATCAGCAGTACTCATTGAGCTCTTCAGTAGAATACATAAGACCCATAACCTCCACCCCGCATATGATTCGTTTCCACGTGCCGGCTCCGAAGTACTAGTACCAATCCAAGAGAAACATATGCGGAGATGCTCGAAATCAATTGAACAGAAGGGATAAAAGAGGAAAGTTCCTTGAGTGAATGCGCATTTGGTGAAAAAGGCTTTGTACAGGAATTAGAAGGAAAGGGATTGTGTGAAGACTTTCAGGCCTATTGTCATCACATAGGGCCTTCAGTGTAAGTAGAACGATAGAACTGGGGGTGACCCCAGGCGCTGATGAAAGCAATGCAAAAGTTATAAAACAAGATAAAAAGACACATTTGCGCCGGACCTCCATCCAATTCCGAACCGAACGCCTTCTATCGGGGAATATGGGAATTTGCTCGTCAAACAGAAATGGGTAACAGATTGATTGCATGGACAGAAAAAGGAGACAGGGTTTTCGTCAAGGGAAACATTGGGCAAAAGAGGGATTTAAGAACGAAAGGCGCGGAAGATATCGAGCTATGTACGCTGTAAGATAAGAGACGGGATTATATGGCATGGAAAGGAGGGTCGTGAGCACCATGGAGAGGGCTATGCGGTTCTTGGGCACCAGCAAAGGATGACTCTCTTGTCAGGTCTCCTGCTGAATAGTCGTTGGTCACTCCAAAACCATGTTGTACCCTCTCAAACGAATGTCGTGTTCGATCAGATGATTGATGAATGTAATCAACTGGCTGTGGATGAGGCAGTCGAGTCGTGTCAAGGCTTGACGCATAATTTGTCCCGTTGCTTCCGCGCGGCCGGTGAGTGTGAATTGTGGGAACGATGGAGGGCGAATAGATTTGCTGTTCATCCGAAAATGGATCTTGTTTCAAGCTGGGTTGAATAGGCTTCGCAAAGTCGGAAGATGTCGACGACTCATCACTAAAGGCGGTAGATGCTGCTGCTGCTGCTGCTGCTGCTGCTGCTGCTGCTGCTGCTGCTGCTGCTGCCGCCGCCCGAGGAGGAACTGTTCCTTCATACTGGTCCAGGAATTTAAATTTGCCCTGAGAGACCTGCTCACGAATGATGTCCACATCGAGGGGGAAGAAAACCTTTTGGAACGCTTTGACAGTGAAGCGCGGCAGGAGGCATATCGTGACCGTCAACAGGAGCACAACCCAAAATGACAGGGCACCGTACATCTGGGCCCCTGCATTGTAGAAGGTTGTTGATGCTTCCATTGAAGAGTAAATACCGGTCCAGAGAAAGATAAGAAGGGAGCTGACGACATTGATCAAGACCGTCAACCAATCCCAGCGGTAGCAATTCATCAAGATGTAGGTGTTGCTGGCAATAACCGCACTAGAGCCGACGAGGACGCCCATTCGCGTCCGGTCATTGACGTCCTTGCCATTAGAGTGCACAAAGGTTGACGGGCTGTACAAAAGATAGGGCATGAAGAAGCAAATAATGGACTGGTAAAAGCCATCGAGCATATAAAGCCTATTTCCGTTAGTGATTGCCTCACTAAATAGCAGATCATATCATACCAGAACTTGAGTTGTGACCATTCTTTCTGCTCAATGCCTCTCATGTACAACTGAGGAACAGCTAATGAGACTTTGTCGTCAACATCTTGATCAAATATGCCCATTAAGATAACGGGCAATGATGTGAAGGCGACGTTGACTAGAACGATATAGGTGTAGTCAAAAAGGTAAGAGCCGTCGAAATTATTGTAGAACGAGTACCAAAACAGAGCAATCGTCCAAACCAGATTCTAAGAGTAGGTCAGCAAGCTGTAGGTGGAAACTTAGTGCAGGATACTGTACCTTATAGAAAAAGTTTGCAGTTGTTTCCGCCATACGTCGGTAGGAATACCTTCCATGGACCAAAACAAGGCGCTGCAGGAATCGAAATTGGCCGATAGCGTAGTCAGAGGACATGGCTGCCTGGCCACCTTCTTCACCGAGTATACCGACGCCGATATCAGCCTCTTGAATCATGGCGACATCATTAGCGCCATCACCAATTGAAAGGGCCATAATATTGAGACCATTCTTGACCAGCCGCACGACAGCCGCCTTCTGGGCAGGACTGACACGACAGCATAAGACCGATTTACACTGCTTGCATAGTAGGAGAAACCTCTGCTTCAGATCATCACCGAGCATCAACTTGAGTGTGTCACCGTCAATAACAACGGCATGTGTTGGTGGTGGCGGTCTATGATCCTGACGAGCGGCAACAAGTTCTGCATCTGATCCAACCAGTCCAAATCGCTGCAGCTGGTTGTCCAGTTCCTGTGATGCACGCTCTAGCTGGTCTCCAGGAACATTGAACACTAAAAGCTCCATATCATTGCTGAGAAGGTTGCATGAGTAGCCGATATTGATCGCAGTCTCGACTTTGTCGCCAGTGAGAACCCATAGCTTGATGCCTGCATCTGCTAGCAATGAAATGGTGTCTGGAACGCCATCCTGCAATCGATCCTCAATCGCTGTACCACCTATAAGCATGAGGTTTTGCTCTATCTCGCTTGCTACTTGCTCGAGCTTCTCTTCACGGTCAGTGAGCGCAGCAGCAGCCAAGTCATGTTCCTTGCTCCACGCCCGATATTCTTCTTCGCTGAGATCTCTATATGCAATACACAAAGTTCGCAGACCTTCATTGGCAAATATCTCCAAGTGCTCTGCAGTTGTCTTCCGAAGCTCCTGCTGCTTACCTGGGGCCAGACGCGAATAAATGATACTATCTGCACCCTTACAGAAGAGCCGTATACTACCGTCAGGCATGCGGAGGATTGCGCTCATCCTTTTTCTTGTTGAGTTGAATTCCAGGGTATTAAGGACTGTATATGTCCTCTCTTCGCCGAGGACATTGACAATAAGATCATCATTTGATCGACCGAGAAGAGTAAAGCCACAATCCCTTGCTGTGCTGACAAGAGCAGCCTCATCTGGGGATTGCGCTTGGAATTCGATTTGCGGAGGATCGCCAGGAGTATGCTCGGTAATCACAGTATGACACACTGCAAGGGCTAGCATGAAGTGCTCTGTTGCCTTCCGTTGCTCCTCACCAGCTTGGCCGCCCAAGTCCGCGACGTAGCTTGGCGCTATGAACGTCAAGTTTTCTTCACGCATATAAGGATTGTCATACATTTTGCGAAGCATGTCAACCATCATGACTGTATCGGCAGCCAGCTTTTCGCGGGCTCTCGCGGCTACAGCATCAGCGTCACCACCTTCTCGTCGAACAATGCCAATCTGCGCTTCTGTAAATGCCTCGCCGTATGAGACTCCATTGATGGTGCACTTTTTGAAATCCATGACGTTCTGGGTCAGCGTTCCGGTCTTGTCTGAAAAGATGTATTCAATTTGACCGACGTCATCGGAAATATTCCAAGACTTGGGTACACATGACATTCCCAGCTTGTCATAATACATGAAGACATCACTGTGGATAAACACAGCTTGAATTGTTCGGACAATTTCGAGCGAGATATATAGCGAAATAGGTACCAGATTTTGGAATAGGATGACTGCGACCCAGAAGGTGATGAGACCAGTAACAGCAGGTGTACTTCCGTATGACCCAAAATCGAAGAAGTCAAGCGATGCGTCAGGTTTACCCCAAGCAACTCCGTTGCCTATACCACAGATAAGGCACATGATGAATAGAATGATGAAGTTATATATGACGTTCCAATTGAGATCCTTGGCGAGTCGAGGTTTCTTGGAAGGAGTTTCGCCAGAGTTTAGCATGACCTTGGTCTCCTCCCCGGTAAAGAGAACGACCCCGAGGGCCCATTCTGTGTTGCGAAGGAAGCAACCGCGGAGGAGCACGTTGTTGATTGTTATCGGCTCAACCATATTCTTTCGAGGTGCGTCTGAGTAGGTCGGATCGCGCTGTTCCCAGCGTAAGGCACCATTGTAGGCATACAGATTCGGATGAGGAGCCTCGCTATCAATCACGAACTCGCATTTTTCGCAATCCCTAGCGTGTCGGACTTGACGCCCACAGTTTAGAGCTTGTCTGACTTTCAAGTTCGTTTCGCCATCCAAACTCTTTGTTTCCACATAGCACGCGCCATCCGGGTCGGAAGTCGAGAGCAGCACAATATCAGCCGGAATCTGATCCCCATTGTACAAACGAACAAAGTCTCCAACTTGAATATTTTTCCAAAAGTCGCGCTTAAAACGAGCATTACCCAGAGTCTGCTTTGACATATCCACGATACTGCCGCCTTTAGGAGGATGAGCTGCAGGAGCTGGAGTAGCCAAGCTATCCCGAGCCAATTTGTCAGGATGCAAATACTGTTCATTGTTGCCAACTGGAAGTGGCCAATCTGGGCGTGCCTCTGGTGCTGGTGTAGAAACAGGAGTCATCTGGATAGCGTCGTCCTCGTCCTGCTCGGAAGACATCGAAGCCCTTGGCGAAACGGTCGTCATGAAAGTTAACCGCCGGTTGTCTTTGACTTGTTGCTGAGAGGTCTTATTCTTTTGGGCCAGGCCTTTCATCGCCCTGTAGGTCTGAACCGTCGCCCTAGTACACGCTTTCTTGAACTGACGCCAGAGAGAGACGTTATCCTCAGTCGAGTTCACGTTGGTCCAGTCTATTAAGCGATATACGGGCGAGTTGTTTAGTTCGTTATCCAGGACTGTACGCCGAAAGTCTTCGATGGCATCTTTGATCGAGGTAAGCACAACAATGACGATGAGAGGCACGGTATTAAGGGCGGGGTCAGAGACGCCGAAGATCGAGAAAAACTAGAGCTTTTAATGAGCATTTCCGGTACTCTGCACTATATCTCGAGGATAGGGTCATACACTCAGAATAATGATGAAGAGGAAATAGATATTTGCAATGTTCTGGAACTGAAACCAAATGTTTTTCGGAACGAAAGACAAAGCAGTATATTTTGCGGTCCGGATCTTGTTCCTAGGATACGCTGCCTTGGGACGGCCGTCTTCGTCCCTTTCGCTCTCCGGTATAGGGATGTTGAAGTAAATGCGTCTATTGCCAGACCCCGTAGGGCTTTCCGTGCTTGTAGTTGTTTGTTGAGAAGTAGGTGATTTCATCGACGTAGGGGAATTGGCTGTACTTGTTTTCGGCATTTCCTCCTTCGCATCCAGATTCTTCTTATGCAGGCGATCCACTATTGAGACGCGCTTCCGGGTGCCGCCTGCGCCGGCTCTCCGTTGTGTTGCCCATCGTTGGCGCTTTGTCGGTTTCGAAACGTTGCTGCTAACCTCCCGGATGTCGTTACCACTTTCATTGAACTCTGCGCCCAAGTCGATTGAAGCCATTTAGGCTACTGTCAGCCCTAGCAAGGGCATAAAACGAGCGAGGTGCTGATTAAACCGTTGAAAGGATAGCATCCGCAGCAACGAGCTGGACCCCGGCAGCGCAGCCAGCTCGCGGAATCGACTCGTTATTTCCGTCGCGGATTTGTTTTTAGTGCAGTAGAAAATCGAAGGCCGTATTTACAGGAACTGGTGGGTAGACGGGTTCGCAATTAATGCTGGTAGGCGCTCAAGCAGGTCAAACGTGAAGGAGAAGGAATGAAGCGTCAATTAACACCAAGGGACGCCCAAAACACAAGGCAGTCAGGAAGGTGAAACGAGCGGAGGGGGAAAAGATCGAGGGTTACTGAGGATTATGCATTCGTGTGCCATTAACGAAAGAATGTCGAAGGCAAAGCAAACGAGAAGAAAGAAAACCAAGAAACTCATGCAAAAAAGGAACCGGTCCTCCAGAGGCAAGAGTAAGAAAGAGGCTTAAGGACAGCGTCAGTTTCTTGGAGAGCCAGCCCAGCCGACAATCCCTCCTGGAGGCCCCCGGGGGGAGAAGACGACGGCTGTGTAATACGGGCACAATACGGGGAGTGCCAAAAAGTGTAACTTTCCAGGGTTTGTCAGCTCCGTATGGTAAACATGCCTCCCCGACTTTGTAAATTTTCAAATATAACCGGGCAGATGGGTCGGTCTCCAATCAGATGGACTTTCGGTTCATGTTTCATCTACATGGAAACTACTAAGCAACTCCTGGATATGATCCATGTAGTAAGTGAGTAGGCCTATGGGGGAGGCGGTTACCTATGGATGCTGTACTGTTCCGGGCTCCCGTCAGGTACCTGCCTCACCCCTGCTATGGAGTACATTCGAGCACAACAACAGCAATCACCACTACTATCTCCTGCGGCATGGATTATGATGCTTGAGAACGACGATGATTTTCCCTATCATAACTATTTCTTCTCACATGTAATCTGGAATACACTACTGTGTATTATTGGATTTCATGGTGTGTGGAATTTCCGACCGGGTTTACCAGCCTCGCCCTAGACTGCGCATGGGTACATATGAACGCTGATCAGAATGGAGCCCTTTCGACGTTGGTCTTCTTACTACTTTGTGTGTATCCAGGCCCCTCTTCGACGGAACTGTCGGTCTTCCATGAATATGGCCAGTTTTCATTAGACTGCGCGAACGATTTCTTGATTTATTATTTATAGACACAGCGTCTCCGGTTGACCCTTCTTCATCTCTTCAGCATTTCATTTGCACACCAATCGGATCCCATGGCAAGTATTGGTACCTCCAGTCGCAACTCCTTGTCTCGAAGCTGATCTCCCGCCAGCCCAGCGATGATACATTCTAATCCCCCCTAAAGGAGGGATTGAACCGCCCGGATGTAACATGCATGGATAGTCAAGACAACAGCGTGTAGATATGTTCAGGCCGGACCACTCAACGACCCTTCATGGAACGGAAGCTGTCGCGTTAGTTGGTAGGCCTCTCCTTCCGTACCTTGGGGGGCGCTTGCGAGTCTGGGTCGGGATACGGAGCCTGAAACAGGCTAACAGCCGTCCGGGACGGCACATGCTGATGGCATCCATGGATAGGTCCACCCTACGGAGCGCGGAGATTCGGAGGTACCACAGAAATCCGTGCTAACTGCATATATTGAATCAACGGTGCTCCTAGTCTTGCATTGTAGAATTGCACATGGACTGTGCATGGTCTAGCACCAGAACGCTTCAGAATGCCGGATATAAAAGCATCCGACTCCAGTACACTCATGTCTACTGTTCCCCAAGCACGGGTACCTGACATTCTCGTTCCCCTTTTGCCCAGTCATGCTTCATGCAGACTCTACTCCTTTTCCAGTCTTGGCTGCTTCTGTTAGTGGGGAGGCCAGTCTTCCCGATGCGGTTTGGTGTGGTCCCATACCTATTGCGCGTAGTTCATACTAACCTTTGCTGTTTACGGGGGCTAGAAGAAGATCACTCCGAGACTGTTTCAGTGAGCCAGATCCTATCCCCGATTATCTAACAATGAGCGTGGAGGTATGTTTAGCCATATGTGCAGAAATCGCTTGTTTTCTGCTGTAGACATTCAATAAGACGCTTCCTCCACTTTTTATGTTACATATTTATATGCCCGTTTCCATTAGCACAAACAAATCTCGATGTCCACCCTGGGCGGGAGGCTGAGTAGGCAGTTCCGTTACGTACCCCCAAAGCTCGGCTAATTTACCATGATTCTCCCATTTTTAAATACCTCACGAACTGGCGATTTCGCATTACAGTCTCTCCCCTTGGCCGTGGGGGGCCGCAATATCTCCATCGACAAATGATTGTGCTTTCAGCATAATCTTTCATTTGTACAAAAACGGACCTCGAAATGTATACCTGCAAAATGTTTCATTAGGCGATTCTACTTACCCCTTTGCCAATTTCGAACCCGGCGGCTTCCAAACAAGACCGACCGCAGCTTGCAGCTGCATCCACATCCACATGGCACAGCCAGGAGAGATGGAAAATGTATCGAGAAAACAAGAATCCAGCAATCTAAGCCTGGCCATGTACTTCAGTCTGGTGGGCATCTTCCAGCCCCCAAAAGCAGAGATATGACAGATTGGCGTCAGATGGTCAGATCAACCGTGAACCGGTGTGGGGACTACAAAGTACTTTAGAGATAGATCTGCACCACTTTTCCACCCCTGGACCGCGCCCAAATACGATCCTGCGAAAGGAAAAAAAATCTTTTCTGTCTACTGTGAGTAGTGATGGACGGACTATTGGCAGATTGAGCCAGCTGTGTGACTATCGAAGCTAGCAAGTCAGCAGGGCCTTGTAACAGAGTTGTATCTCCTTTTGGCCCCAGTGACACACAGGTAGTGAACATGGCTAGCTTGGGGTCTGAATAGCAACGATCAAAAGGAGGTCGACAGTCAAGCAGACTTTCAGGGAGCCTTCCACAGAGAAAAGGGTTAGTAGTCTAGAACAAGCGAGAACACAGTGTGCAAATCACCCAGGAAGGATCGATGGAATGGAATCAAGGACGCATAATCATCGGAGTATTGGACTACCCCTACATTAACGGTCATGGCGCATGGAGAAGCTGACGCACCACTGGTGAATCGGCGCGGTACATCACAATCTGGAAAAAAAAATAGATCGAGTTAGCAGTGACAGAGAACAACTGTCTTTGGCAAATCGGCTAAACTACTACCAGCAGTACTACTGACTGCCCAGGTATTCAAAATCAATAGTCGATACCAGTCAATTTCCTGTAGCCGTTTTGGGTAATGAATAGACATGCTGACTCATGATCATGTGACCACGCGCACTGTGGCACGCGCCCAGCGTGTCCAACAGAGGCTAAGTGCGGAGATCTACCGAACAAAGCATGCGGGTCATACTCTACAGCATAATATATCCCCCTTCACCAAAGTGTCCGGCATGCGACGCATTACCAGTTTCTTCAACCGTCCGGCTTTTGCAGCAGTGAACCCAGGCGCTCAGACCAGTGACCGAGTCAATGACCCCGATCAGACATCTCATTCGTCCCCGCAATTTCTTCATTCAAATGGCCCCTCTTATTCCTCATTAGCGGAGCCAGACTCTCAGCTGGCACTGTCTTTATCTCAATCCATAAAGGATGGCGATAATGACGCCGGGCTTCATCACAGCTTCCTCAGCACAGAGTCTGCAGCTAATGATCCATCTCCTGGAGCAAGTTTCAACTCCTCACAGCGTGTCATGAAGAACGGGAAGGAGGTTGTTATCAGCTCGGATGGTGAGGATACAGATTCATTAAGCTCGTTCGAGTCTCCAGACGATCTTCTTGCGAGGATTGTTAAGCCGCCTGGTTTTGTAAGCAAAGAAGATAGAGAGAATGATACGTCTAATCCAGGAATGACCTTGCGGAATGGCAGCTTGAACGGCGCAAAGTCAAATAACCGGTCCCGCTTTCCAGTAAAGGTCCCAAAATACAGCAATACGCTAGACTCGCTTGTTGTCCAAGCAGTTGATGATAATGAAACCGAGGCTGGTATTGCAAAGCTGAAAGCTGCTTTTGAGAAAGAAGATATGCGAAAGAACGGAAAGCAGGATGATGTGAAACACAGCACGCATTTACCGACCACACAGCTTAATGAGGATACTCTCGCATCGGCTCTGGGCGATCAAGACGACGAAATGGGGCTGCGACGTCTTCTAGATGCTGTCCGAAGAACAGAGGCTCTTGACCTAGAGAAATCATGGCACTTCTTTGACTATAAAAGCGAATTGCCCCCTGCGGTTGACTTTCCCAAAGAGTGCATAGATCAGGACGGTTTTATGTTTCGACTACGAGGTTAGTATACGAAGCATGCTGTTTTTAGTCTCGGTGCTGAATTGCTTTGCAGAGAGACACTCCAGGGAGCGGGCACTCCACTCAGGCATTGTCGATTTCGCTCTATCGCGGTCATACTTGCCGGACGAGTTCATCTCGTGGGTTTTTAAAGCTGGTTGGTGTGGAATCCTGCGGAAATATTTTCATCGCTTACAGTTCCTCAGTACCCTCGGAGACGCAAGACAGCATCAGGCAAGCGCTTTGTAGAGCATTTAGAGTCAGTGGCTATGACGAATTGGAATGATCGTGGCACACTTTGCTGATATCGCTTAGAATGTGAATCCTGAGCGGGTCAAGTCCCTCATAAAACCGGCCGACATCGATCAAGTTTTCCAACAATTGGGAACCACTCCCCAAGCATTGGCAACGTCTGAAAAGATTGTCCCAGATGCTCACATTAACAGTACGTCACTGCATCAACCTCAGCACAAGCATCCATTGACAGTAATATGCAGAACATAATGTGAAGAGCAATTCCCTACGTGAGGGAATGTTGGTCTCTGTTCTTGAGTTGCTCAGTGGAGCTGCAGACCTGTAAGTTTTAGAATATCCTGTTCTATCTCCGAATGCTAACATTGGTATTAGGTTTGCAGAGGATACTCGAGAGCGCGCATTGGATTTACTATTCCGTCTCACTCTTGATGTCTCCTTGACCAGCAATTTTTTGGTCTGTTCTGAACTGGAAAGAACCATCGTCACCATGTTAGAGAGTGCCCCTGACGATACGGCCGATGACATGGTATGATCGAGTTTC